GTCTTGAGCCTGGCTTTAAAAATATGAATGTTCTCTGCGACCCTGGTATTGAGGTTGTAATTTTAGTATTGTGAGGACACTAGTGAGTGAACGCATGCTTGTATAATAAGATAATGTAAGATGTTTAATAAATGTTTGTTATAAAATATACTTACTTATATCAGTAGACTTTTCATCAGAGTGTGTGTTTGTGTCTGTGGCCTATATTGTTATGCTTAATTTGATGTTTTGTAAAAAGAAAATTGGGTTTACGTAAGTACTTTATCTTCTGTTGTTATAGGACAACCTTCCAAAAATGAGCCCAAAATCAAAACAATAGTCACAAGGACTTCATGAGACTGTTAGATTATTTAAGTATAACTGGGGTTAGTTCTTGTGATGTGCTAAAAATCGTTGATATATATTATAGTTTCATAGATTTTATAAAATACAAAGATTGTTAGACTACAAATGAGTCTAACAGAACTTTGCCTGAAACGTCCTCTTGTTGTCCCTCGCAGTGGGGGTAACCGCCTTCCAAGCCTCGACTTTCTATATCCTGGTAAAGACCTCTGTGGGTGTGATCCTGATGATCCAGATTCAGCCCATCATGCAACTGGTCATCGTAGTCCAGAACCAGCACGCTGCCAAGACCTGTGGTATGTACACTTTTTGCTTCAGTACCTCAAGTTATATGATGGTGATGCCTTTATCAATCAATCAAGGATTTATTTGTTTAGCACAATTTGTGTACAAGGCAATTCAAAGTGCTTCACAAGTGCAATTTTAAAAACACAGATGAACTAAATTGTTATAGAAATCTTACAGTAGTGAATTAACATCAAATAGTTATAATTATCATAAGATATTTATTTCCTATTAAAACAGAGCAGTATAAGAGTGTGGGGTTTAAAACTCTCATTTAAAAAGGGAGATAAAAGCGATATATGATACTAGGGCTGAAACAACTAATCGATTAATCGACGACTAATTGATTATTGAAATAGTCGACAACTATTTTAGTAATCGATTAATTGTTTTCTGGTTCACACAGACTCAAACAGAGCAAAAATGACATGAAAATTTAGTATTTTTAATTAAAACCAACTTTGTTTTTATAATTTCATGAATATCTGTCTGTCTCATCCAATCAGAGCAGAATTAGCACAAAGAGCCTGTTACAAACATTTACTTTAAGTTTACGCCATCAATACGTCCTCGAGTGTTGCCACTTTAGCTTTTTGTGATGAAAAAATATTTTTTTTCTACACAATTCACAGCCAAGCGATTACTCGATTAATCGTAAAAATAATCGATAGATTAATCGATTACAAAATAATCGTTAGTTGCAGCTCTATATGATACAGAATAGAATAAGTTGTATGCACAGCAAAATTAATAGCAACATTTAGTAAATAGCTTTTTAGTTTATAGCTAATTTCGTTGTATTTCCTGAGCAAAGCCACATCAAATAAGTCAGTCTGAGAACCAGTAAAAGAAAGCAAGGCAAATTGCGTTGAGTTGTTTTGTGTGCAAGTTTTAATATTGTAAAATTGTATTTGTGTACTTAGGGTTGTGTGGAAACTTCAATGGGAACCAGGCGGACGACTTCATGAAGCAGAGTGGAGTTTTGGAGGCAACTCCCATTGGCTTTGTAAACAGCTGGAAGACCTGTGCTACCTGCCCTGACATTAAGCCTGTGCTCCACGATCCCTGCGGACTGGGACAAACCCAAATCCAGAGCCAAATCCAGAGCCAGGGACAAATCCAGAACCAAAACCAAATCCAGAATAAAATCATGTACCAACTCAAAGACAGCAATGGTAAGCAAAGGTACAGTGTGGTGTGGAGAGAAATGGCTGGATTTCTGTTGGTGAAGTTTGTCTGTCAGTGTGTTTACAGATGAAACAGTTTTTTACCATTTAAAACTAAAATCTGACTGACTCCTTAAAAGAAAAATTAGATAAATCAAGATTATTTGTTATAATGTTTTTAATTGATAAAACATCAGAGAGAAATACTTGTAATGAGTCTTTATAATATTGGTTTCACATATTTAGTAGAATTACCGAAAGAAATTAATGGGAGTAAATGAGAGGCAGCATAAAGTGCTCCTTCCAGTGGGTTTCAAAACAGGGGCGGGACCTTCAAGAAGTGTGCAAGACACTAATTTTGGCTTGAGATGATTTTAAGATACGATTTATTATTATATTATTAACATTTTTTGTGATTATTTTTTCAATCAATCAAGATGTTTATTTTACATTTATGTAAATGATAATAATCTATTACTTTATGTTGTTTGCAGGCAACTTAATCCAGAACATGTGCACCCATCTGCTGGACAAAGACCTGTTTGGCCCGTGTCACTCTGAGGTCTGCCCTAAAATCTTCTACCAGGTGAGGATTACGCAGGTCCAAGTTCCACACATCGCACTGGCTTTGTGTGGCACGCACTGATACATGCGAGTGTGTTTGAATGTTCCAGAGATGCATCCACGACGCATGTAGCTGTGCAAACGCTGAGGACTGCATGTGCGCGGCCGTGTCCTCCTACGTCTACGCCTGTTCAGCAGCAGGGGTCCACATCTCAGGCTGGAGAGAAAAGATCTGTGGTAAGGACTGAAATGTAATGTGACGTAAGTAAGTCATCTTTATTTATACAGCGTCTTTCACAGACCAGAGTCACAAAACGTTTATCTCTCTCTCCACACTGAGATGGGCCACTAATTATGGACCACAAATAATGCATTATATCTCTCTTTAATGATACCAATTTTTTATGATAGTTCTTACATCAAAACATTCAAAAACTGCAACAAAAAATTTTTGTTTTTGTTTTGCTTTAGTATTCTGGCCTAATTTATAAATAGGGATGTTCCGGATCTTCCAATACCAATAGGACAAAAGTCTTTTTCAGGTATCGGTACTACTAAAAGTTAGATAACCATGTAGACTTAAAATTTTCAGATATTTTAGAACTATGGATTCTTTAAACTTTAAATAATGGATTATTTTAAGTGTCACTGCATAGGTTTGAGCTCTCTTTTATGTCTGCGTTCACTCTAATATCGGGATCGGTAACACCTACAGGCAAATATTGGATCAAATCCCCAAAAATTATCATTGCAATTATATGTATGTCATTTATTACCCACACTGCAAAAAGGTAATTAAAAATAAGTCAAAGATTGCTAAAATTTGGCAAATTGTATCTTAATTTGAGCACATTCTGACTGCCTTACAACAAGATTTGCAACTGGGACAAAATCAAAATGACCTTGTTTTAAAAAGATACAAGAAATGTTTCTATTGGAATGTAAAACAAATTCAACAGTTTTTAAAAATAAGACTCAAGGGCCTGTCCCATTGGCAAATCTTGTTTTAAGACAGTCAGAATGTGCTTTGATGAAGATCCATCCATCCCTTTTCTTCCCCTTAATCCATTTCTGGGTCGGGGGGGTGGCAGTCAGAGCTGCACCCAGTACACAGAGCACCAGCCCCTCACTGATCCTCCTGCAGGTGGTGAGTCCACAGGGGCCTTGATCTTTCAGAAGGGGCTTCAGGCAAAGTGGGGTTAAAGCTGCACTAACTGACTTTGGGATTTTGAAGCCGCGGACTCGCTGGCCTCGCTCTTTCTGCTCCCCTCCCCGCACCCACGAAGCTATCGCCCCCCACACACACCCACTGTTGTAGACGGAGATAGCGTCTCCCAATATGGATAATACATGGATATGGATTTGCACGTGGATGGCGTGACTATAGAACGATAGAACCGGGAAGCGCGGAGGAACGAGACTTTCTTTTGGATGGCTGTCTCACTGTATAAGCAGTAACCGTGACGAAGACACACGAAGCTTCAGGTTAGCTCCGCCGCTTGTTGTGCTAACTCAGCCGTCTATGCTAACGGACCTGTGGATTTCTCACGAAAGTGGGGGCTAGTGGTCCGCTGTGATTGGTCACAATCTGCAACCCGAAACACATTCTCTTCCTTGTTTCATCAAAACTCAATCTAAAATATTATGTTACGCCAGTACAAATCTGCGCTACTTTTTCTTCAAAAGGACGTATATCCCAATGCACTACATGGACATGGATAGCATTTTTGTAATGAATACAAAAATAAAGTCAGTTAGTGCAGCTTTAAGTGTCTTGCCCAAGGACACAGCGACAGCAGCTATCAGTGGGAGTCATGAAGTAGTTCTTAAAGTGGGCTCGAACCCACAACCTTCAGGCCCAAAGGCCAATGCTCTACTAACTGAGCCACTGTTGCTTTGATGAAGATTTCTTTTGCTCAAATCCTTTATTACCTCCTATATTATCACTTTTTTCAGTCCAAGAGTGTCACATTTCCGACATATTGAGAACCTCTGAGTAATAGCCAGTTATTGACCAGTATGTTGGCATGATGAGAAGGTTCTGAAATAGCTACATTGTGTTATAATTATTGTACGTGTAAACATTTGTGCTGTGTGTAGGGAAATATACCTCATGTCCTGCTGGAATGGTTTACTGCGACAAAATCACAACTGGTCCTAAGACGTGCCGCTGCCGGTCCTCCACCGCATCCAACTGCAACTTGACCTTCCTTCCTCTGGACGGCTGCATTTGCGCCCCGGGAACTTACCTCGACGACTCTGGAAACTGTGTTCCTCCTCAGCAATGCCCGTGCTACCATGAGGACATGGTGGTGCCACCGGGGCAGACGGTGACCGTAGGAACTGTGATCTGGTACGAATAACCATCCTGACATTATCGACACTTGTTATAGAAGACATTCAAGTATCCAAGCGGTTAATTCACCTGCAGAGAGATGATTGTGACTTAAGATATAAAATAGATATAACTATGCAAATGTATGTCTTGACGATATTCTATTCAGATACATATTTTATGATCCAAAATTGTGAAAGAAAATCTGGAACCATGAACATAGCTAATGCTCAAATGTTCTATTTGTCCAGCACCTGTACAGATGGCGCCATTGTGTGTTCTGGTGTCGGTGAACCTCCAGGTAAGCGGATATGTATTCTCTGTAATGTTGGCAGCACACTGGAGTAGTTGAGTTATATAGATTCATTCAGATTTATTATATTCATATTATATATACAATGAAATACAGCTACTGTCAGAACCTTTATTAAAAATAAAAAATAAATGTAATAAGCCTTGGTCTAAGCGCCATGATTTGCATTGTGCTGCAGTGGAATGCATTCCTCCCATGGTTTACTTCAACTGCAACGAACAGGAGTCAAAAGGAACAGTGAAAGGCACCGAGTGTGCGAGGAGCTGCAGCACGATGGACTCTGACTGTGTGAGTGGCCCCCCCTCAGTCTCATGCACTTATACTTATACCCTTTAGTCCATGGCAGTAGCAAGATGTCACATCTTACATTTCACACCGTTCAGGTGAGCTCTGGCTGTGTGTCCGGCTGCATGTGTCCACAAGGAATGGTCTCTGATGACAACAACGGCTGCATCAAACCAGAGCTGTGTCCCTGTATTCACAACGGGGTGGCATATTCTCCTGGACAGAACATCAAAGTGGACTGCAACACCTGGTGAGTCCTTCACGTCTTCTGCATCATACAAGCAAAGTGATACAAGATCTCAGATTTTAATGTTTAACCTTCTGTCATGGTTCAGCACATGTATGAACAGGCTCTGGGTCTGCACTAAGATCATGTGTGACAGCACATGTACAGTCTATGGAAACGGACATTACCAAACCTTCGACAACCAGCGCTTCACGTTTGATGGGAACTGCGAGTACATCCTGGCCCAGGTACTTCCACCACAGCTCATCGGGTCACTGGGAAAGCACTATTTATTGCAGGCCATTGAGCTGAGGGGCATGATTTACAAGATACAAGAATGTATTTCCCATTTGTTGTTAAACCACATTGGAAAAACTGTGCAGGACTCCCCCCCCCAGTGTGCACCAGATAGTACACACCAGAGCTCTTGCCACACGTCATGTGGTTTCAAGACTTTACTCTAAATGCTTTTTACTTTTCACCAATTATTTGAATTCAAATAAAAACATAAAAAAGATTTCTTCTGAGCACCCAAGCCTGAAATGAAAAATCACTCAAACAATGCTAATGAGTATTCTTGCATTACTCAGTATATCAATCTAAAAAAACGCATTCTTGATTTTACGATTTTTTTCAACATATTGCTTATTAGAAAGAAAAAGTGAATTACCACTGTGGGCTAATTCTTCTACGACCCTTTTCTCATAGCCTTGGTAATGTTCACAAATCAGTAATCTTTCTGATGTGTGTCTGACAGGATTACTGCGGTAAGAACAAGGACAAAGGCACCTTCAGAGTGGTGGCCCAGAAAGTCCCCTATGGGAGCACTGGCAACACTGGCAACACTGGAAACACAGGCAACACTGGCAACACCGGCAACACTGGAAACACTGGTAATACCGGCAACACTGGAAACACTGGTAATACCGGCAACACTGGTAACACTGGCAACACTGGTAATACCGGCAATACTGGAAATACTGGCAACATCTTTTCCAAGGGGCATAAAAATCCGTATGGCAGCGGTGGCTCCAAAATGTACTCCAAGGGGATCAAAGATTTGTACAGTGGCCCCATCACCTTCACCAAAATCATCAAGATCTTCCTTCAGGTCAGCTCATCTTTCTAACTCTATAGTCCATGTTCAATTCAAAATGATTCTGGTTAGGTTTTGTTTGTGAATTAGTATGTATGGCTAAATTTAACTTAATACGGTAAAATCATGGATGACATAGGTGATTGGTAAGTCAAAGGAAAAGTGTTTGTTTATTTATTTCAAACGAGCACAAGATAATCTCAGAAAAATGTGTTAATGAAAGAAAACAAACCTGTGCATGGTTTAAAAAGGGATTGATTGAAGCAAAAATCTTCCTCTACCAATCCTCTACCATCAATTCAGATGGTAGAGGATTACAATACAATCTTTCTGTCTGAAAGTCAGTTCTGTAATTTTTTAATTGTGAAAAGAAACAAAAAACAATTCAACTCCTAACTCTTGCGGCAGCATGGAGAGTTACAGGCGAAAAGCATTCTTGACCTGTTACACCATATATTGTCTACTCATCATTTAACATTCTACAACCTGAAATACTAAAGTAAATAGTTTCATTATCATTTTTTTTGGTCAAAAATTATGCCTAAGATTTTCTTCTTTCATGTGACTCAATTTGAAGGTTAGACTGGCAGTTGCTTCCACAGTCCTAAGTGTGTCTTGTTGATTGCTGCAGGGCTCTGAGCTAATCCTGACCCAGGGAGACTTCCAGGTGTTGGGCTCGCAGGATCCGTTCCACTTCAGTACTTTGGGTCTGTACCTGGTTGTGGAGACAAGCAATGGCCTCACACTCATCTGGGACCGCAAAACCCTCCTCTTCATCAAACTCAGCCCCATTTACAAGGTACATTCAGCTACAGAGGCATTGATCAACAAACAAGAAACATGAACTGACGTGGCATTCCAATCCACTGCACAGCTTCTTTTCTGACAATGTAGAATTTTTTATATTGAGTTTCTCCCCTTAGAAATATCAGTCCTGGCTATTGACTGAGTTTTTGTGTAGCAAAATTCATAAACAAGAGGGGAAGCATTAAAATCGTAGAATCATATAAATAATGACACTGCTAACTTTTGATTTGCAAAAAGCTTCAAAATTGTCATTTGAATATTTGCTCCAACCACCAAAACTTGACCGTCGTTTTTAGCTGTCAAAGATACTCTAAAGCAGGCACGTCAAACTCAGGCCCTAGGGCCAAATCTGGCCCGCGAGGCCATTTTTAGTGGCCCCTTAAATTATTTTCAATTCTCATTATTCCATTAATGACAATTGGGCTTCTATGGCATAATATACTTAATTTTAAATGTAGTGAAGTGTAACATCACGAAAACAACCTTATAATTGAATCTGTTCTAAAATGTTAACGGACATGTAATAGAAGTTAGGTTAGATTTCATTTTCAAATTAAACTATAAGTCTTCAAACACATTTCTTCTTGATATTTGGCTTAGTTGTGGAAATAGAATATACTATAACTCATGTTAAATAGTACTTTTGGCCCCAACCAGCTCTTTGTTTGCTCTACAGAAATGTTTCAGGTGAACACAACAAAATAAATCCGTGTTATTTCCGCAGGGTAACGTGTGTGGACTGTGTGGGAACTATGATGGCAATGCAAACAACGACATGACCACTCGCTGCGGCGCCACGGTGATCAACCCGCTGGTGTTTGGGAACAGCTGGAAGGACTCTCCGGACTGCCCCGACATCACTGTAGTTCCCAGCCCCTGCATGCTCCGCCCTCATCAGCTGCCCTGGGCCAATGAGAAGTGCAGCATCATCCACAGCCTGGTCTTCTCCACCTGCCACTCCAATGTACGTACACAAACTATCTCATTACATTCTGGTTCGTGGAGTGTGGGTCAATGTGCTCGGTTATAAGGATACACCCTGTCTGTGGAGCAGGGCAGTGTGATTTGAGGAGAGTAATATGTGTTTGATAATATAAAGAATATAAAGAATGTACTACTACAGTAGTACGACTACATTTAAAACCATGAATGATGATTTTTAAGTCACGGACCCCTGGTGGCCGGAGCATGATTCTGCATAAACACAGTGACCTGAGGTTTGGCATCAGGTGAAATTAAGGTCCATTACAATTACATCATGGTTGTGTTTGGTAATTATCCAATTTTGGTGGTAGCATAGTAGTAATGTTTTTCAGATGTATGTAGAATAAACAAAAAACAAGAAACAGGATACAAAAATATAAACCACAATATACAGTTTGAAAACGTGTTAAAGAGTTCATACAACACAACACAAAGCGCCCACACTCTCACACACACACACACACACACACACACACACACACACTCAGTAGTCACAGACACAGCCCCAAATACTCTTTGACCGCACATCTCTCCTCCTTCACTCATACAGATCACATATCGTCATTATTCTCGTTGGTACATCCGTCGCCATCTGATTCACAAAAGTTCTATAACATAAAATTACATAATGTAAAGTAAAAAGTCTCATTAACACTTTAATAACAAACAAAAAAATGCAAAAATAATATGTCTTCTTTTTATTATCTAAATCTTGCAGGTGGATCCAACTCCCTACTTTGACATGTGTGTGTTTGACACCTGCTCCTGTGACCCTGGGGCTCCGTGTGAGAGCTTGTGCTCGGCTGTGGCTGCCTACGCTGAGGCCTCCAACCAGGCTGGCGTCTGTGTGGATTGGAGGACCCCCGACTTCTGCCGTAAGCTCACACCGCTCACACAGCTCGTACTTGAAGTTGAATAAGGGCTTTCTCCCACTCCTATCATGTCATGTCATTGTCTTCCCCTTCATTAGTCAATTTCTGTCTCAGGGGGGTGGCAATCAGAGCTGCCACCCAATGCTCAAAGCACCAGCCCCTAGCCCACTCCTTTTCGAGTTTATAATCATGCACAATATTGTAATAAGTAATTGTTAATGAAGTAAAGACATGCTCATGAAAATTCTATGTTTTGACATTTGATAATAATATTTGATGTACATTGAATTCAAAATAAATAAACACTCAACTCAACAAGTTAGCACAAATATATGGTATTTTTGGCTTACTTATCAAAATATTATAAAAAAAATTATGTACATATAAGTCATTAAGGTTACCCCAATTCTACTTTATGACTAATGTGTAAGGCCTGTTTTAGATTACTCCATTTACTCTCTAGTCTGGGAATGTATTCTCCCCTCTGTCTACTGCATGTGGGCTCGTGTCGGTCTGGTCTGGTCTGGTCTCTAATTTTGGTTTTTGCGCTCTGCTCTTCTCTCTACTTCTGTTAATTTCCACCTCTCTATCTACACTCCCTTGACGCAGTCCTTCAGTTTTGTGTTGTCTGTGTGGGGCATAGTTGAGATAAGACAGAACATTTACTTTCAAGAGTTCAATGTTGTATTATGATCATACTTGTCTCATGGTCCAAAGTAGACCTTGGCATAGTTATTTTTATTTCACTATTTTGTCCCTTCATTTAAAAGCTGGGGTACCAAACTTTTATCTCAACAAAAAAGTATTGTAAATAAAATAGTTGTTACTTAAACTAGTTACGAACATAGATTACATAGTTAAATTTGTTGTGGTTTCAAAGTTTGATACTTCTAGCTTTATGCAACTAAAACAAAAATAAGTAAATAAATATGATTGTTTGAGGACATTAACAACCAGTCTTTGCATATAATCTCACAATAGCGCTTGTTGGAGAGGCTATGTTCTTTTATTTTTACACTATATAACAGCAATCTCAGTGATAGCTCAGTGCTCACTCTTTGTCTTTGACCTTGTGATATTTGCAGCGATCTCATGTGACTATAAGAACTCTCCAGAGTGTATGTGGAAGTACAAGGCCTGTGGCGCCCCCTGCATGATGACCTGCAAGAATCCTTCCGGCCTCTGCTCCTCCAACCTGCCTCCCCTGGAAGGTAAAGGCCCATTCATACTCGACATTCTAGACACATATTGTTGGTGGATGCGTTCCCTGTGGAGCTTTGGGAGTCATGGTGCACTACATTAACCAACAATTGGAGGAACTATGCGGTAGTATCTATATCGGCTCTGAACACCCACCTGTATGACGACAAAACGCACACAGCTATTTCCAAACATAAATATGAATATGAAACAACCTTAACTCTGTAAATGTGATCATTATAATTGTTAACTGGACTATTTAAACGTGTTTAAACAGGCTGCTACCCAAACTGCCCCCCTGCACGTCCGTACTATGACGAGATTGCAAAGCGTTGTGTTACTAAGGACCAGTGCGGCTGCTACGACAAAGAAGGAACACATTTTAACAACGGCGACACTGTGTCCTCATCCCACAACTGTTATGTATGGTGAGTGTAATCTTACCACTTTAAACATGCATTATTTATTTTAGTTTTTAACGGTTATAATTTTCTCTTCTCCAGTGTTTGTGATTCCACGATCATCCAGTGCCACTATGACGTCAAAGGTACACTCTCTATTTACTGCCACCAGTGTTCAAGTTTAACTTTTTAACCAAAATGATTTTAGTTGTATTTACAATGTACTTAACATTAGATATTTTTAGATTACAATGTCATATGACTCAATCAAGAGTAGATTAAATTAAATCAGCCAAAATAATCATAGTGAAACTGCTTTATGCAAGTACAATATAGCAGAGAAATCCCAGTAAAGACATTTTTCAATGTATCCATTTAAAGCTGGGGTATATAACTTTGAAAACTCAAAAAAGGTACAATAATTCAAATCCTCCAGCTCTGGTAGTCCTGACCAAATGCATGAATTGCCCTACGAGGAAGTGCACCTTTACCTTAAAAATGTAACTATGTAAAACAAAATCCATGTTACATGTAGTTCATAAACATGCAGTTTTTACATGCATCTTCTCAGTTTTTCAGACAGAATAGTTAAAAAGAGAGAATGTCCCTCACTCGGCATCATGTTTCTAATAATATGAAGACAGTATTTGGTCACAACATTTTACATTTACAAATGCATGCATTTAGAAAATAATTGTCTGCGTAATATTTAACCATTTTAAAATGAAAAGTAGATAAATTATTGACCCAAACAAAATTGTACTGTAAAGAATAATTGATCCTGTTGACAGTGCAGTGTTGTTTGTGTTGCAGCCTGCATGTGTCTGTACCATGGCGTCTCACACCCGTTCGGCAGCGTTCTTTACAACACCAGCGATGGCCACGGGAACTGCCTGTCCGCGGTGTGCGGCCACAACGGGACCATCGACCACAACCTCTACCCCTGCACCGACCCCACACCCACCGGCCAGACCACCACCTTCCACTTCACTACAGGCCGTAAGAAGTCTCTCATGAGTCAGGGGGAATCTTACTAGCAGCATAAAAGGATAATGGAAATATAAAATGTGTTTTAAAGATAGGCAACAGATCAATATCCATTACAAAGGGAATGTATATAATATTTAAATTTGAAATCGCATCTACACCTGTCATATGTGTCTCCAGATAATTGGTCAACAAAAATGCATTGGATTAGAATGAGTCTCTCATTTGGTTTCTGCCAGTTTCTTCACAAATAATGTTACATAACCCTTTTATCTTCTCCGGCAGAACAAACTGACTGTGATGAGACCTGCACTTGGACCAGCTGGATCAACTCAGACCACCCCGTCCACGGCAAAACCGGAGGAGACGACGAGAGCATCAGTCGCCTCCTGGCCCTGGGATATCCCGTCTGCCAGCATCCCCTCAAAGTGGAGTGTCGTGCCGTGCAGTACCCAAAGAACCCTATAGGACAGTCCGTCTCCTGCAACGTTTATTTTGGGCTCATGTGCAAAAACAGTCCGTTCCAATCCTGCCTGGACTACGAAATCCGCATGTGTTGCCCTCCTGGTTGCGGCGGCACCACGAACACACCTCACACGACATTGTCCACTCCTTTAGCCACTCCCACCCCACACTGTCCTTACGGTCAAACCATGATCTGCGGCTGGTCCCAGTGGTTCAACCTGGGTCACCCCACGTCTGGAAGTGGTGGCGAGGAGGTGGAATCCATAGCAGACATCATCGCAGCTGGATTTCCCATGTGTTCCGCTCCAGTGATGGCGGAGTGCAGAGCGACCCAGTACCCGGCGCTCTCCCTGGGCCAGGTGGGACAGAATGTGATCTGTAACAAGCATGTGGGCCTCAGGTGTAAGAATATTCATCAGAGCAACAATGCGGAGTGTCTTGATTATGAGGTCAGATTCAAGTGCTGCGAATGTTCATCATCCAACACCGGGCCGACTCCTACGATCAAGCAGACCACTCTGTCCTCGTGCCACTGCTACCACAACGGCTTCGCCTACTCTGCAGGTGAGATTTGCACTTCAGCTGTTCACTTTCTGTACATTTATGTATTTGAGATCCATTCATGCTATATCAGAAACTTTTTACATTTACACTGTAATAGTATGATGTCATTGTACCACTATGACATCATGCTCAAATCAGTTTTCTGCCTATGAAAATAAAAGTATTTAAATTACTTTGCAGCTTGTATTTGAAAACAATAAATCCAATTCCTCCCTCTGGTGGTCTGGGAGTTACATGTACAAAGCATTACCCTTCAAAACGTTTTTTTTTATCATTTATTTATTCATTGAGTTGGGACAATACACAATGACTTGGAACTTGCTTGTGTAAAATTTTACATTATTTTCTCAAACAATTTCTAATTGTATTATATAATATACAGAATTACCAGGTACTCCACAAGGATAGGATTAATAATACCGAAAATACAAAAAACTGCCCAAAAGTTATATAAAAAAAAAAAAGGATCTTAATTTGAGCGCCTTAAAACAAGATTTGCTAATGGGATAAGAACAAATATCTTAGATTCCAGAAATGTCTTCCTTGGAATGAGAAAGTAAATAAACAGTTCTTGAAGACTAAATGGTCCCATTGGCAAATCTTGTTTTAACACAGTCAGAATGTGCTAAAATTAGGACAAAATTCATATGAGTATCCTCATACTCATATTGATTTGCTTTGGTTCTCTTGCTCGAAAATGTTTGGATATCTCTGACTTACATCTTTAGCATCCATTTTGTTATGCTTTCCATGCTTTGTTTTTCAGGCATGACTGTCTACAACAACACAGACCATGCTGGATACTGCTACATTGGCTACTGCAACCAGACTTGTAGCATAGTGGTCCTACATTACCAGTGTTCTTCAATGACCACCACCGCCACCACTGCCTTTGTCCCAACACCCATGCACTGCCTTCACCTGCACCCACCCAGAATGGTAAGCTCTAAAACACGCACTTTCACCACACTCAAATGTACTCAAACCTGAATTCCACCTTTGTTGTTTTTGCAGGAAGGGGAGACCTGGAAGATCAGCGCCTGCCATGTAGCGACTTGTACAAATGGCGAAGTGATTCAAAGCGATATAATCTGTCCCCATCCAGAGCCGATTGTGTGTGCAAACAGCTTCCCACCAGTCAAAGTGTACGACCAGGACGGCTGCTGCTGGCATTATGAGTGTCAATGTAAGTCTGATTTATCCATCAATTTAAATTCAAGTGTAGAGAGTAAAGCGTTGTACTTGTTCCATATGTTTTTTTGTTTTTCCCAACACTACTTCGGTCTTAGCATAGCAGCTCACTTCTAGCGCTTTATGTGAGTTGAAACCAGGGTGGTTACTTTTATTAGGTTGTGTTCATTTTTTAGAATCCTATTTCAGTGTTTTGGACACGTGCCAATACAAATCTGTGGTAAATAATTCATCTTTGAGAGGAAAAAGGTAGAAATGTTGTGCCAGATCATTATTTGATAGTGATTAGATTCACAAATCCGCCATTTTATTGGTGTCTGAAAGTCCCTTCTACAGGCCAGAGAAGAGCCAAATATGTTTTAATACTTTGGGGGTGCAAGGGACAACGCTATTACACAAATGAATAGACAGCCTGAATAAGACCAAACAGTGATAGAGCACAATGCTGTTTTTCAGGTATCTGCTACAGCTGGGGCGACCCACACTACGTGACGTTTGATGGTACCTACTACTCCTTCCATGGGGGCTGTTCCTACTGGCTTGTGAAGGAGGTGTTCCCCCAGTACGGCTTCAGTGTAATGATCAGCAATAACGACTGCCAGGGGAAACAGCACTTGGCAAAACAGCAGTATTACGGCTGCTCCCAGTCCCTCACCATCTTCTACATGCACTACAAGATCTACATGACGCAGCAGATCCACCATGGCATCGTCACAAACATGGTAAGGACAGTGGGGATGGGTCTTGGCTCAAAAAGGTCCCTGAGCTTGTGCGCTGACATGCTTGTAATCTGACTCCTTGCTGGTGATGGCGTACAGGAAACAGAATTATCCAATGCATTCTTATGACGCCTTTTTTCCTCTTGAAAACGCAATACAGGCTGGTCCAAAAGTTGACTCTTGGCTCAACGCTAAGTTCCAGATGCGTGTCAATGCTGAGGGGATCATTCTAGTTTATCCACTGTGGACTTTTGAATGAATGTGTTTTTTCAGCCATGTGTCAGGCTCATTCAGCTAACACATGTGCAAAAGCATTTTTTCGCCATTCTCCTGCGGTAGGGGCAACTCGCGGCCATTTTGAAAAGGTAAATTTTGATCACACATAGATTTCAACGGAGGAAATAGGCGTCACTGAAATAGGCGTCTGTTAATATTTACTGTCTATGGGTAAGAACAGACTGACCATCTTTCTCAAACAGTAGAAGTGGCACTATACAAACAGTGCACAGGGAACCCACACAGAGAATAGTGCTGGATCCGGAATGTTCTCCGACTCTGTGCTTTACGTACAGTATATGCTAGTAATGTAAGTTCAGTATTCTGCATTAGGAGGCATCTACCACAGGAAGCCAGTCCCTGTGTTCCTCAGTTTCCCAGCAGGAGGCCAGTCCCTGTGATCCTCAGATTCCCAGTGATCCTCAGATTCCCAGCAGGAGGCTGTTCCCACAAGGGTGTGACTGTGCAAAGTGTACATACTGCAGGTAGAACTGAATGTTTGTAAAGGGCTTAAAATATATAAATGATTATTGAGAGATGTATGCAGAACTTAAAGGTCAAGGGAACAGGTGTCAAAATCAAGGCCTGTGGGGCTACTTCATTGGCTCCACAGGCCATTGTTATTAACTATAGTTACATGTTATACATATTCTTAAATCAATTACATCAATGTGAACCCAACGTGTCAAGTAAAAATAAATGAATAATAACGTTTCTTTCAGTCTACAATTATAGTCCTTTATTGGTCCTGTTTATATAAAAAACACATTTTGCTTAGAAAAAAACTATGATTAATCAATGATGCCCTACCTTTTTTTCCACTTTTAATTTTAAATGTTTACATTCGACCCAGAATATAATATGTGTTTGACACCTGAGCATTTGTATGAACCATTGGAAGTTTTATCTGCTTTTTTTCTGTTACAAACTGGCTCACTCTGCTCTACAGTGTTCAGCTCTGATGTGATGGCATGAAAAATCTTGTTTGCAGGTTTTGGTGAACGACAAGGCTGTGGTCTGTGCATACCAGACTCTGGAGTTCCGGATCATCACCACAGGCATCAACATCGTGCTGGTCATTCCCAAGATAAAGGTCCAGATCACATACTCAGGACTCACCTTCAGCGTCAATCTGCCCTTCAGTCTGTTCGGAAGCAACACTCAGGGCCAGTGTGGTACGTCATTTGTGATTATTACATCTGGGGTATTTAACTTTCAAAACTTTAGTTCCTCAAAACAGTTTGGTTCTATCACTATTTTTTTTGGTTCTCTTTGACATCTTTGGATCAGCTTTTTCAGACAGAAAGGTGAAAAAGAGAGGACTAACCTGTCTCAGTTCGTCAGCATTCAACCCAAACAGTCAAATAACGACTCACAGGGCTCTACCTTATGCCTAAGTACGCAAAAGAGAAGATGTTTTCTAAGATCAAGCCAGCATGTTGTGGTTGGTTTGTTCACAAAACTACTTTTACAAGACTGTTTTGGGACGAACCAAATGTGTTCTGATATGTAAAAAGTTAAGTACCCCAGCTTTAAGTCAACAGATTCCTTAATTTGTATCATAGACATCTACAAGAATATTGTAGAGCATATATTATATACATCCATGTAATAACAATATTATGATTGTACAAAAAGTAAAAGATATTACATACATAAAATGAAATAAAAGCCAATTTGGACAGATTTAAATCACCACTAATTTGTAGAATAATCCTTAAGTGAATAAGAAATACATTTACTTTGATTTGTTTTTTGCCATGGTTTTAATATTTGTACATTTGTGCATCGTCTATAAATGAACAAACCTGTTTGAATGCTTTCAGGTAAATGCGACAACAACCCTGCCAACGACTGCAACCTGCCCAGCAACCCGGCGATCTCCTCCTGTCCGGACATGGCCCACGAGTGGCACACAAACCACAGCTACTGCCCCCCGCCTCCTCCCCCCACCCCCACTCCCACACCACCTCCTCACTGCGACATCTCCATCTGCAACATCATCAAGAGCAAGTATGTGCACTCCCATACATTAAACATGGAAATATACTGTATTCTCATTGTTGGAAATCCATATAATCCATTTTACTATACATACTTTTTTACTACGTATTTAAATTGTTAATTCTTTTTTGGGCATCTCCATTTGCTTCCACCGATGTAGTTGCTAATCTTACTGGGGTCCCAGTAAAGACAAACGTATTACAAAAAAATAAATACATCAAATAATACATTAAATCATTGCCATCATATTAAATACATAGATCATATACAGTCAATAAGAAGATAACAGGGGGGGGGACAATTATCCAGTCAGTTTCTTCTGCTGTATCCGTTGCCGGGTCGTGGGGTCAAGCAAGGACACAATTAGTTTAACAGTATCATTTAATCTGCTGTTGTTCATGTACAACCAATAAGGCTGAGTGAGAAAACACACCGATAGAAAGGAAAGGCGGTGGTCATAGCTTTAAAAGTTATAATTTACTGTGGAATCTGGTTTGTCTTTGCAGTTGTACATTTCTGATTGTTGTGTGCACCTCCTCTTGTCCTCAGCCTGTTCGAGCCGTGCCATAGTTTGGTGAACTATCTACCCTTTTTCATCGCATGCCGCTCGGACGTGTGCAATGCAGGAAACCCTCGGGTGTCCTGCCGGAGCTTACAGATGTATGGTGCCTCATGCGCTGCGGCCGGAGTGTGCATCGACTGGAGAGGAAGCACCCACGGACTCTGTGGTAGGCTGCACACAGATGAAGAGATAAACATGAATACTCTTGTGCAAAGAAATACATTCTTGTATGTATACTGTATGTATATGTAGATAGATCTGTAGTTCACTCTTGTGCAAGAATCATATGGTAATAAGTAATTTGCTCTGGGAGTGAAGATGTTTTAACAAAGGATTTATAAAATATGATGGACATGAATTTAATTATGGAAATGTGGAAAAAGTGCATCAATATACAGTGCCTTGCGAAAGTATTCGGCCCCCATTGAACCTTTCAACATTTCGCCACATTTCAGGCTTCAAACATAAAGAACATAAAAACATAAAAAATGTATTTTTTGTCAAGAATCAACAACAAGTGGGACACAATCGTGAAGTGGAACAAAATTTATTGGATAATTTAAACTTTTTTAACAAATAAAAAACTGAAAAGTGGGGCGTGCAATATTATTCGGCCCCCTTGCGCTAATACTTTGTAGCGCCACCTTTTGCTGCAATTACAGCTGCAAGTCGCTTGGGGTATGTCTCTATCAGTTTTGCACATCGAGAGACTGGAATTCTTGCCCATTCTTCCTTGCAAAACAGCTCGAGCTCAGTGAGGTTGGATGGAGAGCGTTTGTGAACAGCAGTCTTCAGCTCTTTCCACAGATTCTCGATTGGATTCAGGTCTGGACTTTGACTTGGCCATTCTAACACCTGGATACGTCTATTTGTGAACCATTCCATTGTAGATTTGGCTTTATGTTTTGGATCATTGTCCTGTTGGAAGATAAATCTCCGTCCCAGTCTCAGGTCTTTTGCAGACTCCAACAGGTTTTCTTCCAGAATGGTCCTGTATTTGGCTCCATCCATCTTCCCATCAATTTTAGCCATCTTCCCTGTCCCTGCTGAAGAAAAGCAGGCCCAAACCATGATGCTGCCACCACCATGTTTGACAGTGGGGATGGTGTGTTCAGGGTGATGAGCTGTGTTGCTTTTACGCCAAACATATCGTTTTGCATTGTGGCCAAAAAGTTCGATTTTGGTTTCATCTGACCAGAGCACCTTCTTCCACATGTTTGGTGTGTCTCCCAAGTGGCTTGTGGCAAACTTTAAACGAGACTTTTTATGGATATCTTTGAGAAATGGCTTTATTCTTGCCACTCTTCCATAAAGGCCAGATTTGTGCAGTGCACCACTGATTGTTGTCCTATGGACAGACTCTCCCACCTCAGCTGTAGTTATCTGCAGTTCATCCAGAGTGATCATGGGCCTCTTGGCTGCATCTCTGATCAGTCTTCTCCTTGTTTGAGATGATAGTTTGGTGGGACGGCCGGGTCTTGTTAGATTTGCAGTGGTCTGATACTCCTTCCATTTCAATATAATTGCTTGCACAGTGCTCCTTGAGATGTTTAACGCTTGGGAAATTTTTTTTTTATCCAAATCCGGCTTTAAACTTCTCCACAACAGTATCTCGGACCTGCCTGGTGTGTGCCTTTGTCTTCATGGTTCTCTCTGCGCTTTAAACAGAACCCTGAGACTATCAAAGAGCAGGTGCATTTATACGGAGACTTGATTACACACAGGAGCATTCTATTTCTCATTATCAGTCATTTAGGACAACATTGGATCATTCAAAGATCCTCACTGAACTTCTGGAGTGAGTTTGCTGCACTGAAAGTAAAGGGGCCGAATAATATTGCACGCCCCACTTTTCAGTTTTTTATTTGTAAAAAAAGTTTAAATTATCCAATAAATTTTGTTCCACTTCATGATTGTGTCCCACTTGTTGTTGATTCATGACAAAAAATTAAAATTTTATATCTTTATGCTTGAAGCCTGAAATGTGGCGAAATGTTTAAAGGTTCAAGGGGGGCAAATACTTTCGCAAGGCACTGTACATAAATTAAAAATGCATCAATAATTTTTTTATGATCGAATCACAAACTTTGAATTATAATCGAATTGTGAGGTGCCCCAAGATTCCCAGCCCTATTCGCATGTGATACTACTGTACATGTTAGCATGAGATGCTACTGTACATGTTAGCATGTGATGCTACTGTACATGTTAGCATGAGATACTACTGTACATGTTAGCATGTGATGCTACTGTACATGTTAGCATGAGATACTACTGTACATGTTAGCATGTGGTGCTACTGTACATGTTAGCATGTGGTGCTACTGTACATGTTAGCATGTGGAACTATCCTCCCACATCTTTTAGCTGCCAGTCATTTCGCATTGAGTTGAGAAATTATTTAGTTTGATTTGTATGTCCTCTTCTGTGATTGTAGATTACACATGTGCACCTCCCAAAGTGTACGACGCGTGTGGTCCTGCAGTGGAACCCACCTGTGACTCCTGGTAAAGTACTCTCTCCTCTCCTGATATAAAGTTACACCATAGACTTAGTAAGGTGACATCACAGAGTTCACATGGCTCACGTCTTTTTGTCTGATCTAAAACCACCTTCCCACTCGCACTGCTTGGCTTACACCTAAGGATAAGGGTAGCAATGCTGGACATATTTTGATTTCAAAGAAAAAATTCAAATAAAAACACAGGTATAATGTTCAAAGCATTCAAAACATAAATATTTGAGGCACAAAATGGAGAGTTTCATAACATCCAGGACTATCTAATGTAATGTAATTTAACTAATCAAAACTCACCCAGGTTCACTTACTATTAGGCACACATGGTACAATATGTCTTCCCCTTATACGGTCAAGAAACATAGTCAGGTAGATCAAAAACTAGAGGTTGACTTTGTGTTTATGTGCTACAGGTTTAACCAGAAGTTCATCTATAATGCAAATGATTTCACGGCCATGACCTCAAACAAGAGGCTAGAAGGTTGCTACTGCCCCAAAGGCACCATGCTACTGTCCGCCTACTCCAACGAGTGCGTCCCCAGTTGCGGTGAGTCTCTCTTCTCTCGTCAAACTCATTTTGGTTGAGAGCCAAATAAAAAGTGTAAGGGCTGGTTGGGGGCCTAATGTATGAAAGTGGTAATCTTTGAATACATTTTTTTGATAAATTAATTGTTTCACATTAGTTAAATTGGATATTCTTTTCTGATAGATTTTTCTGAACAAAATTAGTTTAGTTAATGTGGATTGGGCCAAAACTGGACCAAATATTAAGTAATGTATATTGTATTTGTATTTATTTGATCTCCATTTGCTGTAACAATTGAAGACTCATAGGCATTTTGTATTAACCATATAACTTACATGTTGGCTTAACTTTTCTGAATGAATCAATTAATCTGGTTTTTATAGGTACAGTATAACATGCCAACTTAACTTGTTAGCGTCAATGCTGCATTTTAATATAATACTTTAAAATAATTTCAAAGGCCGCTGAAAATGGTCTTGCGGGCCGGATTTTGCTCGTGGGCTGGAGTTTGACATGTCTGCTATAATGTGTAGGGTCCGGAGCGGCATGGTCTAATCCTAATGTTCTTCTTTTTGTATTGTGAACAGAAATCTGTCGACTTCCAAATGGAAAATGGAAAAAAGTATGTCTTGCTCACATCCTCTTTACATTCTGCTTACATGTGAACAGTTGAGTAATTCTCCTTTTTTTTGTTTAAAGCCAAATGAAAGCTGGATAGAAGGCTGTGATATGTGCCACTGCGACGAGGACACTCTGCAGGTGGTGTGTCAGACTAAATTATGTCCTCCTCCGCTAATTGTTCCGTGTGAGCACCACGGCCAGGTGATAGTCACTGATATTGTGGACTGCTGCCCTCGGCACAGATGTGGTAAGTGACACAGCCCACGTTTTTCCAATATTAAGAGATTTTGTGTTCAAAAGAAAGCTGATCTCTGCTGCTTTTCCCATCAGAGTGTGACAAGTCTTTGTGCAACTCTGTGGTGCCATTATGTCCCCCTGGAATGAAATTAAGCCACAAATTTGGCGTCTGCTGTGATACATACATTTGTGGTAAGTGTCAATGATGGTTTTCGTATTGTCTTGTGCTGTGAAAATACTAACCATACAATTTGCTTCTCAGTATCTAAAGATGTCTGTGTGTTCAACAACCATGAGTACCAGGTAAGAAATACCCAGTCCCATCCTCAATTCACTCAAACGCTTTAGGTTCCACTTGGCTTTTGTCACTTAATGATATTAATAATAATAATGCATAGGTTATATATTGCGTTTTTTTTAAACACTTAAAGACTCTCTGGTCCAGACGATGAGTGCCGAGTTGTGTTTGCAGGTAGGAGAGACGATCCCCAGAGGTCCGTGTGAGAAGTGTGTCTGCGGCCGACAGAAGATGTCCAAGAGCTCCTTACACGTTCTGGAGTGTGTCTCTGTGATCTGCGACAGCAACTGCTCTCCCGTGAGTCTCCTTACTGGTGAAGTCCAGCCATAAAGGACCACCTCATCAAACACTATATGAACGTGTGTCTACAGGGTTACGAGTACCAGCTGATCCCAGGACAGTGCTGTGGGACCTGTGTGCAAGCTGCCTGCTACGCAACAGTGGGAAATGTCTCACACATTCTGATGGTTAGTTCAACAAACACATGCAACCCTACCTCCAACCTCTATCCCTTTGGAAACATTGGCATTCATGCATTTGGAAACATGCGTATTATACAGAAAAAACTGCTCTAAAAAAAAGTTGTATTTTTGTATCTGGCGATGATCTACACACATTGCGTTTGAGTTGAAATAAAATCCCTTCACCTGGGATGTCATGGAATTTAAAGACAACACGAGAAAATCAATAATCTTTTAAAAATGAATCATGATAAAGATTTAATTTCATAACTATAGTGTACATTGTCTGTGTGTGTTTTCAGCCTGGGGAAGTGTGGAGCCCTCACGGTAACCCCTGTGTGAAGTTTGAGTGTATCCGCATCAATCATCAGTTCCTCACCGTGGAGTCCAAGATCGTGTGCCCCCCCTTCGACCCCAGCGAGTGCATCCCGGTAACCCCCTCCTCATCCCCTTCCTAACCCCCAGCACCATCAGCTCAAATATGTCAAACCTACACACACAACACACATCACTTTGTTATTTGAGTTTGGGGGTTTCGTGTTTGTCAATTTCGATGAAACTCAAAAAATTCAAAAATGTATCAAAAGTCAGTTTCCTTTTATAATTCTTATGACAGACTCATTACATATGAAGTATTTTGTTTGTCACTGTAAAATAATGTTGTACAATAATTATACTGTAAATGTGATTACAATAATTATAGTTACAGTATTTGTAATTGAGTTACACCCAACAAATATTGATTTCGTTTTTTTTTTATCCTTTTCTGTTCCTCTTATCTGCTTTTCCAATATTTGAGGAGCATTATGAGTCGCCTGTCACTCTATATGTCAGTCATGTAATATATAAACTGAGGAGTAAATAAGCTTTGTTCTTGTTCTAGTTTCCTAGAACACCGTCAAATACAGTGATTAAAATTTTCTAAATGTCTTGTAATCATTGTATTGGCACTTGTCCAATACAATGATTACAAGACATTTTGAAAATTTAAATCACTGTAATTGACGGTAATTCAATTTTTGAAAAACTGCCTTATGTCTGAGAGTACTTTCTACTGGCCAACATCATGCACATGTTTTGAAAATGATCCCCACTTTGTTTACACCTTTATGAAAAAATAATCCAACCATATTTGATGTTTGACAATATGTATAACTTCTCCCTCTAGGGAACCGAGACTGTTGCCTCCGATGGATGCTGCCAAGTTTGTAAGTAAAAACAAGCTTCATAAAAATTCTTATATTTTATTTTTTGTGCTGCTCCTGTCTCCATCCCCCCTCCCTCCACTCAGTCCAGGCGTCTCTTACAGCTTGCTGTTTACCAAGTTCCATTTACTATAACTGGCCTGAACCAGGACTAAAGCCAGACTAATCCAGGACTAAACTAGTTCTGAACCAGGACTAAACGGGACTGAGCAGGACAAATCTATGCCTGGACCAGGACTGAAGCAGTTCTGAACAACGACTGCGCAAGACTGAACCAGGACTAAACCAGGTCTGAACAACGACTGCGCAAGACTGAACTGGGACTAAACCAGGTCTGAAAAAGGACTGTGCGAGACTGAACCAGAACTAAACCAGGTCTGAACTGGACTAGGACTGAACCAGGTCTGGACCGGACTAGGCAGCAATGTAAGCACTTTGTTGCTGATGCAGTTTTGTCCGTATACATGAATGTGTCATAGATTATAGATATGAAACTGACAAATATGGTCCCTCTTGTTGCCACCCTTTCCAGGTATCCCCCGGGGAAACCCATGTACCATGTCCAGCACTTTGATGTACCTGGAGACTAAAGGCTGTATATCTGTGAAGCCCGTAAACATGACGTCCTGCAATGGAACGTGTGGATCCTTCACAAAGTAAGTCCATCACCTGCACTTCACCCAGACGTGGCCTCTACGTCAGCAACAGAAGCTCCAGACCCTGAGACACTCCTCCACTATTACCCGAAGGATTTAACAAGAAATAAAGTTCAGGATGACAAAGGACACTAAAATCCCCATAAAATTCGACCTTTATGAAAGCTGTAGTTTCTCTGTCAGCTGAGATCGAGTTGTTTCAGTTTACATTGAGTTCTGTGGGGAAAATTTCTGGGTAGCCCTCGTGAATTTAGTCTTATTTACTCTGCAGGACCGCAAGAATCCCCTGTGCAGATGGGTGTTTCAGCTATGTTAGTAATTCCCTACCCAGTTATTATTGTAGATCCATGCAGTGGGAGGACTTTGAGCACTGTGAGCTTCCTGTCTTCCAGTCGGAATTTGAAGAGTTCGTAGAGCAAACTCTAATCTCGTAGAGCAACAGATATCTCCGTTTTGAAATGTTGTCCAAATATTGTATTCCTCTAGTTACAATCTTCAACATGTTCTGTTAATGGCAGTGCACTTTGGAATCTGCACAAGAATATATGAAACTTTATTTGTATGGCACTAAAATAGATCTGGCTTTTCACAAAACTACTGAAATTGTAATCTTTTCCAATTTGTTTCCATGGAAACGTCTCTGTTTTTTGCATATAAACAGAGACATTCATGAGTAAAATCACATGCAGGCTTCACTCATTTCCCTCTGTTTCTCCTCGCAGCTACTGTTCACATTCACACATGTTGAAGCATTCGTGCGCGTGCTGTCGTGAGACGAGCACGAGTCAGAGGGCGGTCCAGATGAAGTGTAAGGACGGCTCCCACATCTCCTACCTCTACACCCACATCGACGACTGCGCCTGCCTGAGGACCAGCTGCTCTGACCAGGGATACGACACCAAGCCCACTGTGAAAGCACTGCCCTACACCAAATCCCCAATCCAAAAGGGACTACTATGGGGACGATAGCCATCTTTTCTTTTTTTTAAATAAACCTTTTTTTTACGCAATTTTCTGTCTATTTTTTTATTTATTTAGATTGATAAACACTTCAAGCCCTTTCTTCACTGATAAAACTGTCTGCCAAATGATAAATGCGCAATTCAATTTATTTTTGTTTAGTCCTAAATCACAACAGTTGTTATCTCAGAGGACGGAGGACTTTACAAAACCGTTTTACTTCACCAAAACCGATCAGAGAATCAAGCAGTTCAAACACACAAAATGCAATGATAATAAAAACACATAAAGTTATTGTTCCATAAGGGGCAGAGGTCAATGTTCATAAATGTTGTTGAATGTCAAGAGTCCTGAATCATCACCACTGGGTGGCACGGCTGAGTGGGTAGCACTCTCGCTTCTAAGTATTCTAGTCGGAACAAGGCCTTGTGTGGAGTTTGAATGTTCTCCCCGTGTCCGCATAGGTTTCCTCCGGGTGCTCCGGTTTCTTGAGTGCTCTGGTTTTCCCTACCACTAAAAACATGGACAATAAGTCTGGCCTGGGATCCTGTACGGTGAACCCACTCCCGTCTCTGTGCAGTGAGAGGCAAATGCACACAAACAATTGTAAAGCGCTCTGTGACTCTGGTCTTTGAAAGGCGCTATATAAATAAAGATTACATACTTACTTACACTTTCCTTAGACCCGGCATCAACAAGGAAAGCATTGAATTAAAAAAGGCCTTAAATTGCCTTTTAGGTTTGACATGTTTGCAGTGTAAACCTCAGCCACGACCATGCTTCAGGTAAAAGAGCACATAGAACATGCAAAGCAAGTAGAGCCAATAACTTAAATAGATTTTGGCTCCAGATCATACATGTAGATACAGTACAGTGGTATATTCTTAACTAATATGATAAAACGCCTATAAAAATCAATGATCCTGTTTGTATTATTTCAACATGAATAATAGATGAATATGGCTACCATGCCATGTAACAATATAATATAATGTTTTCTAATGTCCTACAGCAAGAAGGTCCTAGGTTCGATTCCACCTCCAGGCCTTTCTGAGTGGAGTTTGCATGTTCTCCCTATATCGGCACAGGTTTCCTCCAGGTGCTCCCGCTTTAGTCTGTGAAAGGCACTATATATTGTACCGTACACTCCCATAAAGTTATTTTTATACTTGATATTTGAGAAATTCAAAAAATCTATGTTCCTTGACCTGTTGCCTTTTTCATTTCAAAACTGGTTGAGGAGAGTGTTTGCCTAGTCTTCCCGCACACATGAAACAAAACATCTTCCAATTAACCTTTTTGTTGTATACACTCGCCTCAACCTGTTCTGAAAATAATGAAAGATAAGCCAAATATTGCTCAAATTTGGCAAAATGTATCTCAATATGAGCACATTTTCACTCATTTTAACTAATCAAGATAATCATGGGACAAAGCAAAATTATCTAGACTAAATGGCTTTGTCCCATCGGCAAATCTGGCTTTAAGACAGTCAGAATGTACTCAATTAAGATTTAAAAAACAATCAAGTCAAGCATTTATTACCTCATATTTTAACTTTTATTTTTTTGCAGGTAGGACATACAGTGCCTTGCGAAAGTATTCGGCCCCCTTGAACCTTTCAACATTTCGCCGTATTTCAGGCTTCAAACATAAAGATATAAAATTGAATTTTTTTGTCATGAATCAACAACAAGTGGGACACAATCGTGAAGTGGAACGAAATTTGTTGGATAATTTAACCTTTTTTAACAAATAAAAAACTGAAAAGTGGGGCGTGCAATATTATTCGGCCCCTTTACTTTCAGTGCAGCAAACTCACTCCAGAAGTTCAGTGAGGATCTTTGAATGATCCAATGTTGTCCTAAATGACTGATGATGATAAATAGAATGCACCTGTGTGTAATCAAGTCTCCGTATAAATGCACCTGCTCTTTGATAGTCTCAGGGTTCAGTTTAAAGCACAGAGAGAACCATGAAGACAAAGGAACACACCAGGCAGGTCCGAGATACTGTTGTGGAGAAGTTTAAAGCCGGATTTGGATACAAAAAGATATCCCAAGCTTTAAACATCTCAAGGAGCACTGTGCAAGCATCCATCCATCCATCCATTTTCTACCCTTTAATCCATTTCTGGGTCAGGGGGGTGGCAATCAGAGATGCCACCCAAGTCTCATAGCACCAGCCCCTCACTGACCCTCTGCAGGTGGTGAGTCCACCGGAGGACGGCTGCTCTCTGAGTGTGAGCATAGCCTTGATCTGTCAGTGGGGGCTTTGGGCAAAGTGGGGTTAAGTGTCTTGCCCAAGGACACAACGACAGCAGTCATCAGTGGGAGTCGGTGGAGAAGGTGTAGAGGTGGGAATTGAACCCACGACCTTCAGGCCTTAAGGCCAATGCTCTACCAACTGAGCTACTGTGCAAGCAATTATATTGAAATGGAAGGAGTATCAGACCACTGCAAATCTACCAAGACCCGGCCGTCCCTCCAAACTTTCATCTCAAAACAAGGAGAAGACTGATCAGAGATGCAGCCAAGAGGCTCATGATCACTCTGGATGAACTGCAGATAACTACAGCTGAGGTGGGGATGGTGTGTTCAGGGTGATGAGCTGTGTTGCTTTTACGCCAAACATATCGTTTTGCATTGTGGCCAAAAAGTTCGATTTTGGTTTCATCTGACCAGAGCACCTTCTTCCACATGTTTGGTGTGTCTCCCAGGTGGCTTGTGGCAAACTTTAAGAGACTTTTATTGGATATCTTTGAGAAATGGCCACTCTTCCATAAAGGCCAGATTTGTGCAGTGCACGACTGATTGTTGTCCTATGGACAGACTCTCCCACCGCAGCTGTAGTTATCTGCAGTTCATCCAGAGCGATCACGGGCCTCTTGGCTGCATCTCTGATCAGTCTTCTCCTTGTTTGAGATGAAAGTTTGGAGGGACGGCCGGGTCTTGGTAGATTTGCAGTGGTCTTATACTCCTTCCATTTCAATATAATTGCTTGCACAGTGCTCCTTGAGATGTTTAAAGCTTGGGAAATCTTTTTGTATCCAAATCCGGCTTTAAACTTCTCCACAACAGTATCTCGGACCTGCCTGGTGTGTTCCTTTGTCTTCATGGTTCTCTCTGTGCTTTAAACTGAACCCTGAGACTATCAAAGAGCAGGTGCATTTATACGGAGACTTGATTACACACAGGTGCATTCTATTTATCATCATCAGTCATTTAGGACAACATTGGATCATTCAAAGATCCTCACTGAACTTCTGGACTGAGTTTGCTGCACTGAAAGTAAAGGGGCCGAATAATATTGCACGCCCCACTTTTCAGTTTTTTATTTTTTTTTTAAGTTGAAATTATCCAATAAATTTCGTTCCACTTCACAATTGTGTCCCACTTGTTGATTGATGACAAAAAATAAAAATTGTATATCTTTATGTTTGAAGACTGAAATGTGGCAAAATGTTGAAAGGTTCAAGGGGGCCGAATACTTTCGCAAGGCACTGTATATGTAAATACATTATATCTCCTGACAGAAGGTTATTAAAACTGTGCGGTGAAACTGTACGATAATCAAAGCCAATTGCTCACTAACCAAATATTTGAGCATATTGCAACCTTCCTTTTTTTGGACCAGGCAGTGTGCAATTAAAGTTTCCATTAATGAAGAGGTTACGCATCAGCTCGAACATATCCTGCTCCAAGTTTGCTTCCAAAAGCGTCTGTTTGCCTAAAACACAATAGGATTAAAGACAGAGAAAGTAAGTGACAAACCCATGTAGTGTAGTGACCTGTGGAGCAAACAAACACTCCCTGACATTGTACCTGTAGGAAAAACACTGCAAACACAAGAGCATCTCCGCCTCCTGAGCCTTCTTCACACACTGGGTTTGTTGTGTGACTAAGACGGAGCGCACACAAAGACCAGCAGGATGTGGCACAGGGAAGGACCCGGAGAAGACGTCTTTAAGTCGCCGCACATGTGGCACAGCTCTTACGTTGCAAATTCTTCATGATTAACACCAAAACCAAAGAACAGATGGATAGAACTACAGACTGTATAGAACAGGGGTCTCCAACCTGTGGCTCGGGTGCTACACTGCAAAAAAAAAACAGTTCCCAAAGTCCAGAGCACCCAGACCTCCCTCACCACTGCCACTGGGTTCCTGTGGCTCGGAGAATAGACTTTAAAGCAGCTCTGCTTGTTACAAGTCTCTCCATGGCTTTGCACCAAAGTACATCTGTGACATGTTAGTGCCATATGAACCTGCTCTGAGGAGCACAGGAACAGGCCTCGTGCTGGGACTCTGAGGAGCACAGGAACTGGCCTCCTGCTGGGACTCTGAGGAGCACAGGGGCTGGCCTCCTGCTGGGACTCTGAGGAGCACAGGGACTGGCCTCCTGCTGGAACTCTGAGGAGCACAGGGACTGGCCTCGTGCTGGGACTCTGAGGAGCACAGGGACTGGCCTCCTGCTGGGACTCTGAGGAGCACAGGGACTGGCCTCCTGCTGGAACTCTGAGGAGCACAGGGACTGGCCTCCTGCTGGGACTCTGAGGAGCACAGGGACTGGCCTCCTGCTGGGACTCTGAGGAGCACAGGGACTGGCCTCGTGCTGGGACTCTGAGGAGCACAGGGACTGGCCTCCTGCTGGGACTCTGAGGAGCACAGGGACTGGCCTCCTGCTGGGACTCTGAGGAGCACAGGGACTGGCCTCGTGCTGGGACTCTGAGGAGCACAGGAATTTTAGTATTTCGTTTTACTGTATTTCAATTTTATGAATCCGTTTTAGCATGTTTTTAATTTTTTGTTTTATTTTCAATGTGATAAAATACAATTAACAGTTTTAGCAGGTTTTTAAAGATAAGAACAGTAGTGGTGAAAAACTACAATGTCAAAATGAGTCCACTGTTAACTCAAATAAGACTTTTATATGTATTAGGTCTAATATAAATTTCTGATAATAATAATACAAAAGATTAAGAACTGAAAGAGATAACTTTCAAAGACACCAATTTACAGATACTGTTTATACTGTATATAAAACATGTGGCAAATAAACCTAGCTTATCATTACACAGTTCTGTAAAGTGACAGTTTGTGAGAAGTAGTGCTAGTAACCGTTCTAAAACCTGTCATTAATGTCCATATTTTGGCTGTTATCTGTTAAGAGTAGGTGGTGCATTGTACTATTAAAACAATCAGCATAAACTGATGTTGGCAGTGAATTAAAGGATGACGTGTCGCTTGAATGATAAGGTATGCTAATGCTATGCTAACATAATGCTAATAGCTGTGTGCTAGCTAGCGTTAGCCAAAACGGTGAATTAGACTATTACCTATGACTATTAGATAGTATGTAACTAGGTGTACTGTACTATTTAGTGTATTCATGTAATATACAACAGACTATTGCAATGGATGTATTATGTTATTCCCTATTAGGCATTCTTACCATGGCTGTTTAGACAAGCCTACTCACTAACATAACCACACTCTCCTCTGTCCATGATGCTTTTAACTTTGTATTTTAACTGTTTTTAAAATGTACTTTTTACTTAAGGCGACCTTGAGTGTCAAAAAAGGCGCCTAAGAAATAAAATGTATTATTATTGTTAAAGCAAACTATATATAATATTAACATAGCGTTAGTATTTTCCTTACTTACGCACAAACTGTCACAATACATTCTTATTGTATTTTTTGTAATACTTTTTAATCTGAAACTAAATTTGTGTCTCTTGTTAAATGATAATTAATTCTGCCCTATACAACCATTGTAGAAATATGATAAATCAAATCTCTTAAATACACTTTCTTTCAATGTGAGGTGTTTTTGGCCATGATGAATGAATACATAGTTGATAAACATTGTTTATTATTATTGTGCTTTGTCTTGTGTAGTTTAGTGAACTATGCTAAGCTAACACCAACGTTTTAGAAGTGGTTAAGGAAGAATAAGACATCTCTACTCATAAGCAAGTGAGTTTTTTTTTTTTCAATTTCAAACTTATGCAAATGTAAAAGACAAAAACAATAAATATGATAGAAAGAATATTCCTCTGAGTGCACCAGTTTCCTCTACCACCAAAAATATGTATCATAATTATGAATTCTCGACGTGTTCGACATCAATCATCACCGTGTGCGTAGTGAGTGGAAGTTACGCCGAAATTGTGAAACGCTTGGCCTGACCTTGGTCTTTCAGAGCCTATGAACAGTGTTCCCTCTACAGTCAGCTAAAAAAGGGCTAGCTTGGCACATTATTCACACTTTTGTGAGGATAGAACCCATACAGCAACTTTTTTTGTAATTTAATGTAATGCATTTGTTCTTTGTCTTTGTGATTGTAGAGAAGATGCTGTGCTCTTTACAGGTGCGAGTGGAGCTGCAGAGAGAAAGAGCATGTGGATCCAGGTGTGGTGTTTACTGTACTGCATCAACACACGCACACACATTTACCTGAGTTTAACTTATTTTAGTTTCACTACGAACCCTACAAAATCACAATCTTGCTATTTGTGATTTATATAGAATGGACCTGTCTGTCAAGGTGCTCCCTGGACCATTGTGCTGGATAAGCTCCTGGGCTCCTGCACAGGCTCCTGGTGAGAAGCTGCTATAGAACAGCTCTCTGCATGAGTATTTCATGGCTGCACAGTGTACAGTACTTTCCATGGACAAGCATCAAGCACACAGTACAAATACATGCATTATTTATAATTATGGTACTCAATTAACTTTGTCAAGTATTACAGGTATTATTATGTATTATAAATATATAAAGATATTTTCTATTTCTTGTGTGTGAATGGGTAACCTACTCCTCAATGTAAAGTGTGTTGTAGATGGCACCAAATGTAGTTTATTTTGATTACCTTGTTCCCGGTTTGGTTGATTAGTGCAGTATTTGGGACACAGGCCAATAAAGTTTACGTCAAAAGAGTAACAAATACAAACGTAATTATAGGGACGATTTTGTAAACGTAGTTGTTCGTGCATGTCATCCTAATGGGAGTGATGCTTGCTGTGACCGTGGCCCCTCCTCCTGCTCTTCTACTTAAAACACCTGTACTCCTGTGTCCTCTCAGATCAACCATCCTAAGGCCTGACATGGGGACCACACCATGGCTCCTCTACATCGCCCTGCTCCCAGTGGTTCTTGCTCAAAATGGTAATAGTACTTCCTTTGCTTTCTATGAATTAACTTGATGTTTGTTTGGTTTTATTTTTTCTTTCTCAAAGAAAACATGGATAGTTAAATTACATTAGTGTTAATGTTGTTTTTAATGACTTTTTAGGCAATTTATTTTAAACATTTTCAAAATACAGACATAAATGATTTATTTGGTTAGAATCACCCTTTATGTTGTAATTATAACCAAATATTAAAACTCCATCGCTTGATCAATTCAACTGCAATTTATTCTTGTTTGGCCCTTAATTAAAACATTAGTTAGCTTGGAGGACTTAACAAAACTGTTGAATTGGCTGACACAGATCAGAGAATCAACAGTTCAACTCAATAAATTCAATGATAAAAACACATAGAGCCATTGGTCCATAAGGGGCAGATGACCACTGTCCATAAAAGATGATAAATGTCCATAAAGGTTGTTGAATTCTGACTTGAATGTCCTGGATCATCACCACTGTGCTTTTAGTTAGACCATCTATTTGCGCTGACAACTTCTTAAGACCCCTGGGCTGTGTATCAGGGGGCCCTGGACACTGCGTTGGGAATCACTGGATATTTAAGGTTTTAATCCGAGCAATTTATCCAATGCCCGAACCATTCTTTGAAAAGTCCTTCTTTTCAAACTTGGTCTCATGTGATATCTATTTATTGCAGTCTTGTTTTTTAAAATGTTTTTCTTCTGTATTGTTGTAAAAACAGACTTCTGTCTGTGAAATAACATAGGATAGACTCTCATTTGGTCCTGCTCACTGGACATATTACCAAATAGTGAATATAGTGGCGCACTTTTTTAAACATGCCATTCTCCCAGATATATTTACATTCTGCCAAAGTTTGAGTTATAAATGTGGCCGATTGTTACACTTGCTCTCGACCGGGGTGTCACTTTCCAAGTTATCTGTTTATCTGATACACAGCTGATATTCCATTGTAAATGGGGGATTGTTTTAGTTAAATTTAATTTAGTTCAATGTAGTTGCAAATATGTATTAACTTGACACTTGTAAAATTTAAATGGGGGTACATTTCTGTGTTGCTGTCTTCACATAAACCAGATTATTTTTGTGATCTGGCATGAAAACATCATATGAGGAATTCTCCCTGCTGGAATTTGATCTTTGGTGATCATTACTCGGATAATATCTGGATAATATTGACAGGAAAACAATTATATTCACACTTATAGAGTATATGTATATAGAAAATTACAAACAATGTCTCCTTCTCCTTTTGGTTCAACAATGATCCAACTTCTAGTACTGCACAATTACACATTACAAACTTGATTCCATGATTTGATTTGAATTATGTGACTTATTAAGACACACATATCAGTCTCCAGATCTCTCTGTATTCCACAAGATTAATTTTTTTCTTTTGTAAACATGAGCGTATATACTAAGATTTCTCTAACTAGTCCCAGTTGTTTGTATAAAAGCAGAGCCATATAACCTCTTTATGTTTCTTCTTTGTGGTCTAGCCGTAGCTCCAGCCAACTCCTCCCACTTGAACCAGGTTTGCACCACCTGGGGGAACTCTCACTGGAAGACGTATGACGGCCAGTTCTACACCGTGCCTTCCGCCTGCAATCACGTGGTGACGTCAGTGTGCGACGACAGCAGTGGCATCTTCTTTACCATCCAGATGAAACGCTCGCTCGACACAGATAATCATACCATCAAGCAAATCCTGATTAAAGTAGAGGGGACAATCATTGAGCTGGACAGTTCCTCTGATACCACTGCCATTGTTGATGGCCAGACGTAAGTCCTCCACTGGCTCTGCACGCCCACCCCCAACACTAACAGTGGTTCATGTTGTTTTTCTCAATGCATTTTGGGATAGGTTTAACTGAGCCATCAAACCGTATGACTTTGAGCAATATTGAGAATCATTGTTTTAGGACTAAATAAACACCAAAAGTAGAAAAGTGGTCTTCGTTCTGCCTTAAGGGCTGATTATTAGAATTTACAAACAACATGAAGACCTACAGTAATGAATCATGTTTTTTTCCCTCTGCGAACCCAGGACCTAGTTTTAAAACATTTAGTAAATACATGTAAATGTAATATTAAATCACTTTTTATTCTTTCTGTAATTTGTTCAGGGTGAAACTCCCTCATGTTGTGTATGGGGTCAGTCTGTTTTCCACCCTCTCCAGTATAACAGTGGATGCCACTGTGGGCTTCAAAGTAATCTGGAATCTGGATGACTCCCTGGATGTAAGGCAAAACACATGCACAAAGACACACTTAGACTGTTCTGTACCTTCAGAAAGCAGCATGTGGAAGTAGAACATATAAGCTTCTAGCAATATAGAAATCATATTTCTGTGTCAAGTATTCACTGCTATAAATTATTTTTTTTAGATTGAGATGGACAATCAGTTCCGGGGCCAGCTGTGTGGATTGTGTGGCAACTTTGATGGTGCTTTGAATGACTTCATACAAGACGGTGAGACCTGAACAACGGCTTCAGAGTATACGTGAGCTGAGGACGTCTGAAACACAGTTATAAGACAACAGCCAGTGTAGCTCTGGAGACCAGAATAAGGATGATCATACTTATATATTATTATATTATTAGGGCGACAGTGGCTCAGTTGGTAGAGCATAGGCCTTTGAGCCTTAAGGTCATGGGTTCGAGCCCACCACAAGACCTTCTCCAACAACTTCCACTGAGGTCCGCTGTCATTATGTCCTTGGGCAAGATACTTAACCCCACTTTGCCTGAAGCCCCCCGCTAAAAGATCAAGGCTCCTGTGGACTCACCACCTGCAGGAGGAACAGTGGGGGGCTGGTGCTCTGTGACTTGGGTGGCATCTCGGACTGCCACCCCCCAACCCAGAAATGGATTAAGGGGAAGAAAATGGATGGATGGATGGATACTGTATACATTAATATACTTGTCTTTGTACAGGGTTCCTGTTGTCCTTGCAGGATTTTGCAGAAGCCTACAAAGTGAATGGTCCTACAGAAAGTTGTGACGTTCCATCGCCGCCTCCTGTCCAAAGCTGTGTGGAGGAGGTGCGAGTGCTACATCCCTGTCCACATATGTGGAACTGAGATCAACAATAACTTATTGTTCCCTTGTTCCACAGGAATTCTGTCAGAACATATTTTCCAGCATTCCATTCAAAGACTGTGTCGATGTCTTGAATGTGGAGGAATTTATATCTATGTGCAGGTTTGACATGTGCTGCAACATCTCTGTTCCCTGCAAAACTATTTCAGAGTTTTCCAGAGAGTGTGTCCATGCTGGTCGGAGACCACCGACGTGGAGGAGCGAGTCTATGTGCAGTACGGAAATATAAATCACATGAAGCCACAGTTTATGTGTGATCCAGAAATTGACCTGGGGTTGTCTTTTAGATGTACAGTGTCCATATAACATGGTGTTCCAAGAGTGCAGCTCGGCATGTCAGGACACCTGCTCCAACAACCAGGCCAGTCAGACTTGTGACAGCCACTGTCTGGACCGGTGCACCTGCCCCTCAGGTCAGAAGACATGTCATGACACTCACATATTAGGGCTTTTTAACATTGGATTACATTTGCAAAAGTCCCCAGTGTGCACCAGACAAGTACATAAAAGTATCACATCCTTATTACACCCTTATTAAACTATTACACTCTTATTCCACACAACGCATGAGTGTATGCAGTGACTGAAATGTCTGTGGTGTGGATCTTTTGCAGGCACTATCTTTGATAACATTGGAAACAGTGGCTGTATCCCACAGAATACATGCCCCTGTCTCCACAATAAGAAAGTGTATCAGCATGGAGATTCCTATTCGGTCCAATGCAGGAACTGGTGAGAATACTATTTCTAAACCTCCTCCTCCCCTATGCTTTTTTAGTCATAACAACACAGATAATAATGGACAAAAGTACTAACAGCTAATATATCACCACAAACAGAAGGCATATATGAACAAGATTAAATGGTGGAGTACCCGACTTTAAAAGATATTCTAATTTTAAGATATTCTAACAAAGAATTTAAAACGGAAATAAATAGTACAGATGAATCAGAGGTTGAACTGTTCACCAACATCAATCTTGCATTTGTATACAGAGGTACAGAGGGTTTGTGACTTGGTCAGACATGAATCATGATAACCATGATTTGGGTTGTGTCATGAACTTGAAGGTCAGTGTCTTGACAGCCTACTTAGCTTGCGCTTGGAGAAGTGACCAATGTGTTTTCTGTTTTATTTCTTGTGTGTGCACTGTTTGATTCTCTGATCTGTGTTGGCGAATTCAAAGGTTGTTTAAAGTTCTCCGAGATCACTACTGTTGTGATTTAGGGCTATAAAAGTGTAAATTGAATTGAATTGAATTGAATTGAATTGAATTGAATGGTCTGAATGTGTAGCGAGTGTAATGGTGGCCGATGGACATGTACGGAGAACAACTGTCCAGGGATGTGCTCTTTGGTGGGAGGGGCCCACATCAACACCTTTGACGGAAAGAACTACTTCTTTCATGGAGATTGCGGCTACGTGCTCACCAAGGTACCCTTACATCTCTTACTTTTGGGTTTCTCTGGGATGCTGATATGCTCAGAAGATTTGCTTGTGTCTTTGTTGCAGAGCAATGGGTCAGAATTCACAGTGGTGGCGGACGTGGAGAAGTGCGGCCTGTCTGACATCGGGACCTGCCTACGTGGAGTCACCCTGGCTCTGTACTCCTCCTCTCTGGTAGGCTGACAGCTTAAGCTGAAAAGTTTATTTTTAGATAAATATAGATTTTTTGAAAATAGTTCCTAAATCGATTTTTTTGAATTTTCCCCAATTCGTCATTGTATCTGGTATTTCTAAGTTCAATCCATTCATTTCCATTTTCTTCCGGTTCATCCATCCTTTTTTCATGTTACGTAAAATGAGAACAAAATATATATTATTGATACTTGATAGTTCAATGTTTGTTATTGTCAGATCCACAGATTAAAAACAGAAGCATGAAGCTGAGAAGATCTTTCTACACTCACTCTTCATCAAATGGAATGAATCATTAATGGGTTGACCAAAATATAGGCCAAAACCCTTTGTTTTTTACTGAATCGCATCAAAAAATAACCTTAGATCTAGTTTCAATAAGCCGCAATTATATAAACACATTATTTGAACAATTATATAAACACATTATTTGAACAATTATGTAAACACATTATAAACACATTCGAACAATTATATAAACACATTATTTGGACAATTATACAAACACATAACTCAAACAATTATATGAACATGTTACTTGAACAATTACATAAACACATTATTTGAACAATTAAACACATTTTCATATTTTCTCTTTCCTTCAGATTGTGAAAATCAAAGCATCTGGGCAGGTGTTTGTGAACAACATGTTTTCACAGCTCCCTCTCTTCACCCGTGAGTCTATAATCAACAGACTTTGCTGCAGAATTGCCCAGTGATATAACCGCTGCCTCTGACCTCCACAGCCGACATCTCTGTGTTCAAGCCTTCCAACACCCACACTGTGATCAGCACCAAAGTGGGCCTGCAGCTCTTAGTGCAAATCAAACCGATCATGCAGGTCTTTGCCACAGTAGACGCCTCCATCAGAGAAACAACCTTGGGTATGACCATAAACTGTGCTAACCTGCATGCTAACTGGAGCCTCATAGGGAAGTAGTCATTGCTCAAGTTTTGCTTCTACTAGATTAATAATTGTTGGTTTAACACTCAACATTATATGCTCAAAGAAATGGGGCTTTGAGAATTAGATGTTGTTTAAGACACCAACAGTCAAAATAACAGTGAGAAAAAAGCTGTAAACTCAAAAATGATTATGTAGTGTCTATTTTAACTGCCCAATCCCAGCAGCTATGTGTTATTAATTTTCAGTTTTAACATAACTAGCTCAGTGGCTAGTTCTGTAATAAATAGTGTTAAAAAAACATACTACTACTATACTAATAACAAGATCCAAGTATAGGTTATAAATTCATTACTAGTCCTCCTTATTCTGTGTTCTGTAAAAAGGTTTGTGTGGGGACTTTAATGGCAAGGAACTGGACGACTTTAAGGCATTAAGCGGTTTGACGGAGGCCACGAGTGCAGCTTTTGCCAACTCATGGAAAACTCGAGCCATGTGTCCGGACATCCAGCAGAAACTGCAAAACCCATGTACCCAGGCCATCAGCAAAAGTAAGTCTCCAAGATACAAATACACAGCCTCTGCCTTCTGTAGGAAAAGGGTTCAGTTTGACCCATGATCTGTTCCCCAGAGGACTACGGTGACTACTGGTGCCAAAAGATGGGCGAACAACTGTTTGCTCAATGCCATTCTGCTGTTGATTTCAACGACTGGGTGATGGTGAGAATGCACGACACACAAGATTTAGATTTCTGGTAAAAAATAATGCTGCAAAAATGATAATCAAATATTATTATTGGTCAGGAGAGTGCATGTTAATTAATACATCCCTCAGGGCTAATGTATTTTACGTATTGGAAATGCCAGATCAGTGTCTATGTACTGGGACTGTTTTAGAAAATATATCATGTTTTTCAAATCAAATTGCTGGAATTAAAATGATTTAAAGATATCATAATCTGGCTCCAGCTAGTAAGGTAGAAGAGGTCTGTTGTTATAATGTTGTCCCTCTCTACATGTTGTTACTAATACAAGTTTTCCTGAGCAGAAGTGTAAATATGACGTGTGTGCCGGGGAAAACAGTGAGGAGTCTTTGTGTGCGTCCGTGTCCTCCTACGTCCAGACATGCTCCATGGCAGGGGTCTACGTCCAAAACTGGAGAGATCTCATGTGTGGTAAGACATTTCATCACTGCCCTCTGAATGTATTTGTACTCCTGGATTATATTATTATTATTATTTGTATTTTCTATGAATATATTTATTATTCTATTCTATCTATTCATTTATAGTGTAAAACAAGTATGAAAGGTACTTGCTATGTACTTTTTGTGGTAGCTTTTGGAGTAACACATACCTGCTACTCCCTATGCTACCACTAGAGAGAAGAGTTGAATCTGTTTTTTAATTTTTTTTTATTTGAAGATTACCAGCTGCAAATGCAACTACACTTGAGAAATTGCCAAAACAAATTTAGAGGCACTACTTTTATTTTATAAGGCAGAAAACTGATGTAGTCTGATGTAGTAGTGGTCCAATACATATATAGAGATTGCATAAATACATACAGGACTGAGACAGGAACTTTTAGACAAAGGGGCGGAGTTACATGTTTGTGCCGGAATTTCATGATTTTAGCTTGGCTAGAAAAAACCCCAGAAAAAAACACTCCAGGTTGGGGGGAAGAATGATGCTAACGGTTAAAAAAATTCAATTTTGCATATACTGTCATCAAATATGTCACAGCACTTTCTTCACTATAGCTTATCTCACTCATCCTCTCACCAGGACAGTCTCTTCTTAGTTTCTAATTTTAGACAAGATAGTGCAATTTAAGGTAAAATAAAATATTTGTGAAAAAAACAAACGCAATTACACAGAAAACAAAGGAGAAAATATGGTTTACTTTGGATTGACAAAATGTACCAATGCTGATTCCCATTCCTCCAGCTAAATACAGCACATGCCCGACGGGAACCGTATACAGTTATAACATGACGAGCTGCCAACGCACCTGCAAATCCCTGAACCAGAAAGACTACACATGCCAGAACAACATCCCTGTGGTGGATGGCTGTGGCTGTGCTGAGGGGACTTACCTGAACTCAGATGGCCAGTGTGTGCCCCCCACTGACTGCCCCTGCTACGATGACGACAATATCATCCCACCAGGACAGAGCATCCACAAGGACGGATACAAGTGGTAGGGCTGCAAAACTTATTCACTACGCACAAAATATAGCACCGTGTTCATTTCCTTTGCTAAAGTTCACAGTGTTTTTAAACGCCCTCAAAAAGACGCCTGGTTGAATTTGGTTATTGTTGGTTAAAAACAGTTTTCTTTGGTGTTTTAACCAATATTGTTGGAAGTATGTTTTCCAGCCAATTTTTAGGCTTAAATGAATCAATAAATGTATATGACTAATCAAATCTCAACACCAGTCATTTCATGCACACATCAGACTCATACAAACACTTGGGACTTTGGCACATGGTGTTCCCAGGGGTCTCCCATCACTATAGTCCTTACATTACACATACACGCAAATTGTTGAGATGAATAGTATACAGCTGCGTTTTTGTGTCTAATCTGGTAAATGGCAACTTCATTCTTACAATGTTTTATGTTTTTTTTTTTTTCAGATATGTATTTTTAAACTAATACAAATAGTGCAACAATACTAAATGTCAAACTCAATTTTCATACTAGAAAAAAAATACTATTTACCTATTTCAATAACACATAAGTTATATGTTAGAAAATAATAATCATAAAACATTTTGTGGGGTTATGAGGTTTTTTTACAACCTTGATTACAATAGAATAGAAATGTTAAAGGGATTATTATTATTATTATTTTTTATCCACCAGTATCTGCAGAGCTGGAGTTCTGAAATGTGCCGGAAGCTCAGTGAAAGGTAGGTGAATTACACCTCTGTCAATTGTAATCGTTTCCATTCTATTGACTTAAATTGATTGTGTTGTTGTTTGGGTCAGACAACTGCACCGCTCCCATGCAGTACTTTGAGTGTTCTTCTGCCCCTGGGGAAACCGGGAGTGAATGCCAGAAGAGCTGCAACACTTTAGACATGCCTTGTGTAAGTGTCAGCTCCAGCGAACTCTTAACTTAAGTAGACTTATCATGTCTTTATGATAACCACACCATTTAACGTGGATTCGGATGAGTTGATAGTGCATTAGATTTGAGCATTATTATATCGGGTTTGATTTTTGCGTTTGAAACAGATCAGCTCAGGCTGCACCTCTGGCTGCATGTGTTCACCTGGCATGGTGTCTGATGGGAATGGTGGGTGTATCACAGAGAGCCAATGCCCCTGTCTGCACAATGGGAACATCTACCATCCTGGAGAAACCCTCACTGTGGACTGCAACACCTGGTGAGGACATTCACAACTCTATAGAACTGATGTTCAACGTTCATATTTCACATTCAACTTTTATCTGACTTAACTGTCAGATTGTATTTAGCACTGTTACAGTTGTTTTTTTAGCAATTTGTTTTACACTTAACTTGATTGTGTATATTTTTCAGTTCTTGCAAAGACCGAAAGTTCACTTGCACCTCTAATGTCTGTGACTCTGTATGTGGAATTTACGGAGATGGACACTATGTCACATTTGACGATAAGCGATATGACTTCAATGGACAATGCCAGTACACACTGCTGCAGGTGAAGCACATATGTCCTTAAGGCCGCCTTCCTATGAAAATGTTATCTCAGTGTCAAAACTTAGTCCAAGGACAGCTCTGGGTGTGTTCACAGTTAGGGTGCTTCCATACTTGTGGTCTGGTTCAGTCTAACTGAACCAAGCCTGGATGACTCGGGGTAAAATGCTTCACTGATCTGTTTCAAAAGATGCAAACTGACTTAAGTGACTACTTTAAACATTTATACTGTGGTATACACAATGTACTTTTGTCCCAAGTGAACCGGAATTGGCTTAGTTAGAGTAAATCGGACCTGCGAGTATTCAGTTTATTTTGATCATCTATTTTTCACTCAAGGTAAAATGTTTAATTGTTGATTCATTATTCACTTTATTTCATCTGAAACGGTTCATTGACTTTATGAAGACTTACATTTTCTTCCAAAGTGAAGTGAACTGAAAGTGTTTTATCATTCAATCAATCACAGAGCAGTATACTTAAGAAATTGGCTTTATAAATTCATATTGTATGCCCCAATTTAATGAAACCCCCTGTAGTAACACGTTTGTTTGCTTCAGGACTATTGCAATGGCACGAACAGCGGTACTTTCAGAATCATCTCTGAGAACAAGCCATGTGGGACAACTGGCACGACCTGCTCCCGAAGCATTAAGATATACCTTGGGGTAAATTCAACAATACAAAATAAACATATTCCTGTGCCTATTTAATTTAATTTGAGATCTGCGTTTCTTCATACGTATTATGTGACACAAATCTTGGATAGTCTCTGTTTTATTTTACCTCAATGCACTCTTTAACAGGAAGAAGAATACCAACTGCGTGAGGAGAAATTCCATGTGGTCAAGGGCGGCACAGTTAAACCTGCGCAGGTGCGAAAGATGGGCTTATATTTGGTGGTGACCTTGGAGATGGGCCTGGTTCTCATGTGGGACATGAAGACAAGCCTTTTCATTAAACTTAACCCCGAGTATGAGGTAAGCTCTGACTACGAATCTTATCTTATTCCTTTTCATACTTGTATTCACTCTGTTGAGGAATGTATGAAATTAATGAGCACATTGGTTAGCGCTTGTGTTTCCTGGGTTTGATTCCACCTGCAGACAGGGCCTTTTTGTGTGAAGTTAGCATGTTCTCCCCATGTCTGCGTAGGTTTCCTCCGGGTATTCTGGTACCCTACCACTAAAAACATTTGCCTCCTGTATGACGACCCTGCTCCCATCTCTGTGTGGAGTGAGACAAATTCCCACAAAAATTGTAAAGCGCTTTGTCATAATTCATAGTCATAATTACTTAATGGATTACATTTTGTACACAGACCAGAAATGTCTTGAACATTAGAATTTGTGTACATTTAATTATAAAAAGATAATACTATGTCTAAATATAAAGTCAGACTAATACCAATATAAAGTCACTTGTACCTAACCTGCACAAAGTTCCCACACTATTAGTATTTTCAGTGGGAGAAAAACATCCAGTCACACAGTCACTTCACTTGTGTGGTGCTGGCCTTGGCTGTTCCAAAGAATCAAAGTTACATACTTTATTTTATTCCCATAATACATAGTGGTATCATGCTCCTAATTCGACAGTCCAAATGAGAAAAATGTTGAAACTTCTATTGTATTGTATGTCTATTGAAAACAAACACACTTTATTATTCCATTAATTTAACTGTTTGACCCTAAGTAGTGGTCCTGACTATGTTTGGTTGACCATAACCAAACAGATTTTATAATGTTGTTTATTAACTATAACACAAGATAATAGTAATGATAATATCTGTGCATTATGAAGTCTTTTTACGTAGGTAAACTTATCAAGTTGATTATTTTAAAACATTCCAATAACAGATTAACTATACATAATTTACTCATTGTCTCAGGGTCGTGTATGTGGATTGTGTGGACAATATGATGGTAAAAGTGCCAATGACTTCACTACGCGCAATGGGGAGCTTGTGAACGACGTATTGGTGTTTGGGAACAGCTGGAAGGTCTCGTCTAGTTGCCCCAACGCTGGACTCATTAGCGACCCCTGCAGCACCCACGGCTACCGCGCAGCCTGGGCACAAAAACAGTGCAGCATCATCATCAGTGCCACTTTCAAAACATGCCATTCACAGGTAATGTAAAACCTTTAGTTGTAAAAATACAGTTGTTTATATTGAAAGCAATGTGCCTTAAAATATACTTGTATCAAAGGTTGACCCTGGCCCATACTTTGACTCATGTGTCAGAGACTCTTGTGCTTGTGACACTGGTGGGGACTGTGAATGTTTATGTACGGCTGTGGCTGCTTACGCAAAGGCTTGTAATGAAGCCGGTGCATGTGTCAGATGGAGAACACCAACGCTGTGCCGTAAGTCCACCATTGCTGATCTGTGAAGGGAGTACACAGAGTCTAAAGGCATAACTGTTTTTGTGCAGCTGTCTTTTGTGACTATTACAACAAACCTGGAGATTGTGAATGGCACTATAAACCCTGTGGAGCCAGCTGCATGAAGACCTGTAGAAATCCATCAGGGAACTGCTCTAGTCTTATCACTGCAGTTGAAGGTAAAGATCCTATTAAAACATTATAATAACAAGAATTATGATTAAGCCGCAAGCGGCATCGAACGGCCCTCGTCACACCGCGCAGAGTTGTGGCCCTGACGCACCATCTACCTATGGGAGCAACATCAGGGCTGCAAAGGTGTACATTTAAGAGATGTTATTTTCCCCTTGACACAGAATGGGGAATGTTTGTCATCGCCACGGCAACAGGGTAAAAAATAAGTCATTGATCTTCTTGACTTTATGAATCAGGATGCCAAAACAGAATTATTTGCAAAATGTTTAACAATTTGAAAAATCTCATTCTCCCGATGTAAATCTTGAATGAGTCTGTAGGGAGCACTAATGCTGGAATTTCATGTGTTTCATATTGAGGTGACTTAGACCCAGGAGTTGAATCGAGTCAATTTTAGTGCAAATCAGACTTTGTATGTATAAGTCGGTCCATGTGTATACATTTGGATACATTGGATAACATTGGAACTTCACACTTCTCTATGGTATTGGTCTTATTGACTTTTTTTTTATTGGCAAAACAGAATTGTGTGCAAATTTTCAAACATTTTGAAAAAAACAAAATGTGATTATCCCATGAAAAGCTTTGACATAGTCTGTAGGGGGCGCTAACGGGCCAATTTAATTTTTTTCACTTTCAAATGACCTAGATCTTAGAGTCAAACAATGGATTAAAATTTTGTGCAAATCAGACTTTGTATGTGCAAACAGGAGCCAATTTGCTACTGTCAAAAAAGGAAAAAAAAAGGTTACATTTTGCCACTCCGCTGCTCATACTGATAAAAAATACAAAAATTATGGTAAATGTGTTTAGAGGATTTGGAGCGATTTTGAGGAAAATCTGTGAAACGGCCGAGGAGGAGTTGATTTCCAACCGATATGTGTGAATATGATAGATTTTAATTTTTCCATATTCCAATAGCATTTATGGGCTTCCAGTTTGTTAGGGAGCGTGGCCATATTAACTATTTTTTGTGACTTGAGTTGAGTTGTACCGAATTTTGTGGCTCTACGACAAACTTGACCTCGGACCCCCTCCCGTAGGTGCAATGTACACTGACTTTTGTAGGGTGTGCTCTTCTGGCATTTTTTTAGTCCCATAAAAATAAAGCATTTTAGTTTACGCATGAAACTGTCATGTTTTGGTGAGTGACGGGACCTGACGCGTCCGTCACCCTTTGCATTCCCCATTGGCAAAACAGTATTAAGTACCTAATTGATATGTACCTAATTTTGTGTGTTATATTGTGTGTAGGCTGTTATCCGCAATGCCCACCGAGTCAACCATTTTTTGATGAGGACAGCATGACATGCGTTACCAAGGATACATGTGGCTGTTTTGATGAGAATGGCAATCATTATCATGTTGGAGAGCCTGTTCCTTCGGGCAACTGTAACACTTGGTAAAACTGCAATCATTCATTATCAAGAGATACATGGAAAATAATATATAATGTAATAAACTGCTAAATAAAATCAACTACACACTTAAATATATCACATATAGTATAATACATTTACCAATATAAGGTACTGTAGTTCTATGGAGTTTTACATTATATATTTACACTATTTATTCCATTATTTTTAGTGTTTGCGCCATAAGTGGAATACATTGTGACTACAATACAAGTGGTAAGTGTTACTTTGGTGAATGTAACAACATTTAATTTACAATATAAAGAATGAGAAAATTCTCTCACAGCTTGCAAATGCTACATAAATGGGAACATCTACCAATATGGAGAAGTCATATACAACACCACGGATGGACTTGGAAACTGTATCACTGCAGAATGTGGGGAAGATGGAGAAGCAAAAAGAAAAGTGTATCCTTGCGTCTTCACAACCACAGCTGTTCCGACAACATTTGTTTTTACTACAACAAGTATGTTCGTTTCTAACTGTTTATAATTGAATAGTGACTAATGTGAATTAGACACATTTGAATTTGTCTGTTTTATTTCACAGAACCAATAACCACAGGCCCAGGCCCAATAACCACAGTTACAACAGGCCCAACCACAGAATCTACAACGACTGCAGAAACAACTACAACAGGTCCCGTGGAACCAACTACCAGTGAAGTAACAACAGTGGTTTCAACTACACCGTCTGTCACAACTGAAACAACGTCTGTCACAACTTGTTGAAACAAACTGGTGCAGCAACCTTAAACCACTACCAGGCCCACCACAGAAACAACGACTGCGGAAACAATTACAACTGGTCTGTGGAAACAAGTAACAACAACAGGTTGTCGTCAAACTGAAACAACTGAAGCACCTGTAAACCCAAAACTTGTTGAAACAACACTTCTGGGCCCAACAACAGCTAAACCCTACTACACAGGCCAACCACGAATCTACACACCACTGCGGAAACAATACAACTGTCCTGTGGAACCAACTACCAGTGAAGTAACAACAACAGTAGTTTCAACTACACCGTCTGTCACAACTGAAACAACTGAAGCACCTGTAACAACAACAACAAAACTTGTTGAAACAACTACTTCTGGTGCAACAACAGCTAAACCCACTACCACAGGCCCAACCACAGAATCTACAACACTGCGGAAACCACTACCAGTGAAGTAACAACAACAGTGGTTTCAACTACACCGTCTGTCACAACTGAAACAACTGAAGCACCTGTAACAACAACGACAAAACTTGTTGAAACAACTACTTCTGGTGCAACAACAGCTAAACCCACTACCACAGGCCCAACCACTGAATCTACAACGACTGCGGAAACCACTACCAGTGAAGTAACAACAACAGTGGTTTCAACTACACCGTCTGTCACAACTGAAACAACTGAAGCACCTGTAACAACAACAACAAAACTTGTTGAAACAACTACTTCTGGTGCAACAACAGCTAAACCCACTACCACAGGCCCAACCACAGAATCTACAACGACTGCGGAAACCACTACCAGTGAAGTAACAACAACAGTGGTTTCAACTACACCGTCTGTCACAACTAAAACAACTGAAGCACCTGTAACAACAACGACAAAACTTGTTGAAACAACTACTTCTGGTGCAACAACAGCTAAACCCACTACCACAGGCCCAACCACTGAATCTACAACGACTGCGGAAACAACTACCAGTGAAGTAACAACAACAGTGGTTTCAACTACACCGTCTGTCACAACTGAAACAACTGAAGCACCTGTAACAACAACGACAAAACTTGTTGAAACAACTACTTCTGGTGCAACAACAGTTAAACCCACTACCACAGGCCCAACCACTGAATCTACAACGACTGCGGAAACAACTACAACTGGTCCTGTGGAACCAACTACCAGTGAAGTAACAACAACAGTAGTTTCAACTACACCGTCTGTCACAACTGAAACAACTGCAGCACCTGTAACAACAACAACAAAACTTGTTGAAACAACTACTTCTGGTGCAACAACAGCTAAACCCACTACCACAGGCCCAACCACAGAATCTACAACGACTGCGGAAACCACTACCAGTGAAGTAACAACAACAGTGGTTTCAACTACACCGTCTGTCACAACTGAAACAACTGAAGCACCTGTAACAACAACGACAAAACTTGTTGAAACAACTACTTCTGGTGCAACAACAGCTAAACCCACTACCACAGGCCCAACCACAGAATCTACAACGACTGCGGAAACCACTACCAGTGAAGTAACAACAACAGTGGTTTCAACTACACCGTCTGTCACAACTGAAACAACTGAAGCACCTGTAACAACAACGACAAAACTTGTTGAAACAACTACTTCTGGTGCAACAACAGCTAAACCCACTACCACAGGCCCAACCACAGAATCTACAACGACTGCGGAAACCACTACCAGTGAAGTAACAACAACAGTGGTTTCAACTACACCGTCTGTCACAACTGAAACAACTGAAGCACCTGTAACAACAACGACAAAACTTGTTGAAACAACTACTTCTGGTGCAACAACAGCTAAACCCACTACCACAGGCCCAACCACTGAATCTACAACGACTGCGGAAACCACTACCAGTGAAGTAACAACAACAGTGGTTTCAACTACACCGTCTGTCACAACTGAAACAACTGAAGCACCTGTAGCAACAACGACAAAACTTGTTGAAACAACTACTTCTGGTGCAACAACAGCTAAACCCACTACCACAGGCCCAACCACTGAATCTACAACGACTGCGGAAACAACTACCAGTGTAGTAACAACAACAGTGGTTTCAACTACACCGTCTGTCACAACTGAAACAACTGAAGCACCTGTAACAACAACGACAAAACTTGTTGAAACAACTACTTCTGGTGCAACAACAGCTAAACCCACTACCACAGGCCCAACCACAGAATCTACAACGACTGCGGAAACCACTACCAGTGAAGTAACAACAACAGTGGTTTCAACTACACCGTCTGTCACAACTGAAACAACTGAAGCACCTGTAACAACAACGACAAAACTTGTTGAAACAACTACTTCTGGTGCAACAACAGCTAAACCCACTACCACAGGCCCAACCACTGAATCTACAACGACTGCGGAAACCACTACCAGTGAAGTAACAACAACAGTGGTTTCAACTACACCGTCTGTCACAACTGAAACAACTGAAGCACCTGTAACAACAACGACAAAACTTGTTGAAACAACTACTTCTGGTGCAACAACAGCTAAACCCACTACCACAGGCCCAACCACTGAATCTACAACGACTGCGGAAACAACTACCAGTGAAGTAACAACAACAGTGGTTTCAACTACACCGTCTGTCACAACTGAAACAACTGAAGCACCTGTAACAACAACGACAAAACTTGTTGAAACAACTACTTCTGGTGCAACAACAGTTAAACCCACTACCACAGGCCCAACCACTGAATCTACAACGACTGCGGAAACAACTACAACTGGTCCTGTGGAACCAACTACCAGTGAAGTAACAACAACAGTGGTTTCAACAACACCGTCTGTCACAACTGAAACAACTGAAGCACCTGTAACAACAACAACAAAACTTGTTGAAACAACTACTTCTGGTGCAACAACAGCTAAACCCACTACCACAGGCCCAACCACAGAATCTACAACGACTGCGGAAACCACTACCAGTGAAGTAACAACAACAGTGGTTTCAACTACACCGTCTGTCACCACTGAAACAACTGAAGCACCTGTAACAACAACGACAAAACTTGTTGAAACAACTACTTCTGGTGCAACAACAGCTAAACCCACTACCACAGGCCCAACCACTGAATCTACAACGACTGCGGAAACAACTACCAGTGAAGTAACAACAACAGTGGTTTCAACTACACCGTCTGTCACAACTGAAACAACTGAAGCACCTGTAACAACAACGACAAAACTTGTTGAAACAACTACTTCTGGTGCAACAACAGCTAAACCCACTACCACAGGCCCAACCACAGAATCTACAACGACTGCGGAAACCACTACCAGTGAAGTAACAACAACAGTGGTTTCAACTACACCGTCTGTCACAACTGAAACAACTGAAGCACCTGTAACAACAACGACAAAACTTGTTGAAACAACTACTTTTGGTGCAACAACAGCTAAACCCACTACCACAGGCCCAACCACAGAATCTACAACGACTGTGGAAACAACTACAACTGGTCCTGTGGAACCAACTACCAGTGAAGTAACAACAACAGTGGTTTCAACAACACCATCTGTCACAACTGAAACAACTGAAGCACCTGTAACAACAACGACAAAACTTGTTGAAACAACTACTTCTGGTGCATCAACAGCTAAACCCACTACCACAGGCCCAACCACTGAATCTACAACGACTGCGGAAACCACTACCAGTGAAGTAACAACAACAGTGGTTTCAACTACACCGTCTGTCACAACTAAAACAACTGAAGCACCTGTAACAACAACGACAAAACTTGTTGAAACAACTACTTCTGGTGCAACAACAGCTAAACCCACTACCACAGGCCCAACCACTGAATCTACAACGACTGCGGAAACAACTACCAGTGAAGTAACAACAACAGTGGTTTCAACTACACCGTCTGTCACAACTGAAACAACTGAAGCACCTGTAACAACAACGACAAAACTTGTTGAAACAACTACTTCTGGTGCAACAACAGCTAAACCCACTACCACAGGCCCAACCACAGAATCTACAACGACTGCGGAAACCACTACCAGTGAAGTAACAACAACAGTGGTTTCAACTACACCGTCTGTCACAACTAAAACAACTGAAGCACCTGTAACAACAACGACAAAACTTGTTGAAACAACTACTTCTGGTGCAACAACAGCTAAACCCACTACCACAGGCCCAACCACAGAATCTACAACGACTGCGGAAACCACTACAACTGGTCCTGTGGAACCAACTACCAGTGAAGTAACAACAACAGTGGTTTCAACTACACCGTCTGTCACAACTAAAACAACTGAAGCACCTGTAACAACAACGACAAAACTTGTTGAAACAACTACTTCTGGTGCAACAACAGCTAAACCCACTACCACAGGCCCAACCACTGAATCTACAACGACTGCGGAAACAACTACCAGTGAACTAACAACAACAGTGGTTTCAACTACACCGTCTGTCACAACTGAAACAACTGAAGCACCTGTAACAACAACGACAAAACTTGTTGAAACAACTACTTCTGGTGCAACAACAGCTAAACCCACTACCACAGGCCCAACCACTGAATCTACAACGACTGTGGAACCAACTACAACTGGTCCTGTGGAACCAACTACCAGTGAAGTAACAACAACAGTGGTTTCAACAACACCATCTGTCACAACTGAAACAACTGAAGCACCTGTAACAACAACAACAAAACTTGTTGAAACAACTACTTCTGGTGCAACAACAGCTAAACCCACTACCACAGGCCCAACCACAGAATCTACAACGACTGCGGAAACAACTACCAGTGAACTAACAACAACAGTGGTTTCAACAACACCGTCTGTCACAACTGAAACAACTGAAGCACCTGTAACAACAACGACAAAACTTGTTGAAACAACTACTTCTGGTGCAACAACAGCTAAACCCACTACCACAGGCCCAACCACAGAATCTACAACGACTGCGGAAACCACTACCAGTGAAGTAACAACAACAGTGGTTTCAACTACACCGTCTGTCACAACTGAAACAACTGAAGCACCTGTAACAACAACGACAAAACTTGTTGAAACAACTACTTCTGGTGCAACAACAGTTAAACCCACTACCACAGGCCCAACCACTGAATCTACAACGACTGCGGAAACAACTACAACTGGTCCTGTGGAACCAACTACCAGTGAAGTAACAACGACAGTGGTTTCAACAACACCATCTGTCACAACTGAAACAACTGAAGCACCTGTAACAACAACGACAAAACTTGTTGAAACAACTACTTCTGGTGCAACAACAGCTAAACCCACTACCACAGGCCCAACCACTGAATCTACAACGACTGCGGAAACAACTACCAGTGAAGTAACAACAACAGTGGTTTCAACTACACCGTCTGTCACAACTGAAACAACTGAAGCACCTGTAACAACAACGACAAAACTTGTTGAAACAACTACTTCTGGTGCAACAACAGCTAAACCCACTACCACAGGCCCAACCACAGAATCTACAACGACTGCGGAAACAACTACCAGTGAAGTAACAACAACAGTGGTTTCAACAACACCGTCTGTCACAACTGAAACAACTGAAGCACCTGTAACAACAACAACAAAACTTGTTGAAACAACTACTTCTGGTGCAACAACAGTTAAACCCACTACCACAGGCCCAACCACTGAATCTACAACGACTGCGGAAACAACTACAACTGGTCCTGTGGAACCAACTACCAGTGAAGTAACAACAACAGTGGTTTCAACAACACCATCTGTCACAACTGAAACAACTGAAGCACCTGTAACAACAACGACAAAACTTGTTGAAACAACTACTTCTGGTGCAACAACAGCTAAACCCACTACCACAGGCCCAACCACAGAATCTACAACGACTGCGGAAACCACTACCAGTGAAGTAACAACAACAGTGGTTTCAACTACACCGTCTGTCACAACTGAAACAACTGAAGCACCTGTAACAACAACGACAAAACTTGTTGAAACAACTACTTCTGGTGCAACAACAGCTAAACCCACTACCACAGGCCCAACCACTGAATCTACAACGACTGCGGAAACAACTACCAGTGAAGTAACAACAACAGTGGTTTCAACTACACCGTCTGTCACAACTGAAACAACTGAAGCACCTGTAACAACAACGACAAAACTTGTTGAAACAACTACTTCTGGTGCAACAACAGCTAAACCCACTACCACAGGCCCAACCACAGAATCTACAACGACTGCGGAAACAACTACCAGTGAAGTAACAACAACAGTGGTTTCAACAACACCGTCTGTCACAACTGAAACAACTGAAGCACCTGTAACAACAACGACAAAACTTGTTGAGACAACTACTTCTGGTGCAACAACAGTTAAACCCACTACCACAGGCCCAACCACTGAATCTACAACGACTGCGGAAACAACTACAACTGGTCCTGTGGAACCAACTACCAGTGAAGTAACAACAACAGTGGTTTCAACAACACCGTCTGTCACAACTGAAACAACTGAAGCACCTGTAACACCAACAACAAAACTTGTTGAAACAACTACTTCTGGTGCAACAACAGTTAAACCCACTACCACAGGCCCAACCACTGAATCTACAACGACTGCGGAAACAACTACAACTGGTCCTGTGGAACCAACTACCAGTGAAGTAACAACAACAGTGGTTTCAACCCACATTCATCCCACTACTACAGGCCCAACCACAGTATTTACAACTTCGTCATCAGCCACTACAACTGTTATTGTTGTCACTGACACCCCATTAATAACCACACCATATACCAACCCATCAGTTTTGAATACAACTACTGTCATATCATCTACTTCTCAACAAACTAGTTCAATTGAACCAATTACAAAGACGCTTCCTCCAACTACTGTTTTTACCACTTCAACTTCGTTGCCAAGTACTACTCAACCTTGTATCTGCTTCTTCAATGGAACGGAGTTTACTGCAGGTATGTGAATTTTTTCTATTTAAAACATATTTGACAAATTTACTTTTCTTTTCCAATTTCACATTCATTAATTTATCACCCCGCCTTCTTTATTTTACAGGAGATGTGATATACAAAGTTACTGATGGTATTGGAGGGTGTTTCACTGCACATTGTAATGCCAATTGCAGCATTACGGTTGTTCCCACATTATGCCCAACAGTGCCTCCCATTACTACTATTCCCTCAACTTCAGTCACCACACCTTTACTCGACTGCCTGAATGAAACACCTCCTAGAATGGTATGCTTTTGAGTATTTATTGCAGTGACTTGGTATGTGTGTTGCATTATTTATTTTTTTTCTGATATGTTGCACAGATAGAATGTTTTTGGACAGCCAGTCAAAATACAAAGCAAAAAAATCTCTCTCATGTGATTAGTAGTAGTAGTAGTAGTAGTAGTATTAGTAGTAGTAGTAGTATTTTTATTTGAGCAGTTTTACAATGTTTTATATATATATATATATTTTTAACATGCACATATAATTCAAGAAAGACAAAAAAAGCTCAAAAGGAGAAGGCAGAAGCAAAAAGCTTATAAGCGCCTTCCCCATTATCAATAACTGATTTAAGCAGCTGCAAAAATATTTAAATTTTCACATGACATTCTTGGTTTTTACCATCATCCTTTTTATCTTGTTGATGCAAACAAAAACAAAAAAACAGCAACACTTATCATGTTACATACTTCATCGCAATAATAAATGTAATATTTATTTATTTTTACAACGTGTGGTGCATTGAGAGCTGCAGCCCCCTCTGTGTCTGGAACCTATTCTGTGTAGTGCATTAAAAAGATAAGGCTTATGGACCTATTGGAGGGAGGGGTCCTCTACCCAACAGACCCACACCATGTCTACCCTCATTCTCAATTGTCAGTGCAGCTGGAGCGATGACACAAGAGGAGCTGCCAAACCAAATTTTTTGTTGAGATAATTGACCTCAGAATGGAGTTCTGGTGAATTTGGTAGAATCAGGAATGATAAGTGACTGTGGCAGAGAAAGAAAAAGCACATGACAACACATACATGCACACATATACATTCATATATACACACACATACATAAACATACACATATACTATATGCATAAATTAACTTACAGACACATAGATCAAGTTTTATCTAAAATGGCGTCACTCTAAAGTTTTATAAGTATCTATTACAATTGCTTTATAGTTTTTTTGAACACTCTTATGGATGTAGTTACCTTTAACTGGTTATTGAGTTTATTCCATAAATCTACTCCTCTAAATGAGATGCAGTGGTTTTTAATATTGGTCCTGGTCTTGGGTTTTGGTACAAATCCTTCCCTCTGAGATCATGGTGCGTCTCTCTCAATGTAAATCTCTCCTGAATACAATTTGGAACCGAATATCCGAATATAATATACTTAGATTTTGCTAAATTCATAGATAGTTTGTTGTAGCCAAGCTATTTTTTCAAGATTTGTAGTTCTTTTTCCACTCTGTCCAAAAGCTGATCAACACTTTTTTTCCAGAGGAGTAAATACTGGTGTATTATGTAAATAAAATATATTTCATTTTTTTGAACGCAAGACTAATATCTTTTACGCAAATATTAAACAATTTGGGTCCAAGTACAGAGCACTGTGGAACAGCATGGGTAATCTTTCTTTTTTCAGAATTAGTGTTATACATTTGTACATATTGATCTGTCACCTAGATAATGTTTTAACCAATTTTGTGCTACCCCTCTGATTCCAAATCTCTCAAGTTTGAATAATAGTAAATCATGATTTATAGTATCAAAGGCCTTGCTAAGGTCTATGAAGACCCCCACTGTATACGCTTTGTTATCAGTGGATTTTGCTATATGTGATTCTTCATAATGGACACTTATTGATTTAAGGTGATAAAAGCCAGTGGCTTTTATTTCCATCACTGTAGTTTCTAGGATGTTAAAGATTCAATCATTTATTTGGAAGGTGTTTTACTCTGAGAGACCCCATCACCAGACAGACCACAAGACAATTGATTTTTTTTTTTCACATAAAAATGCATCTTTAAAAGATAAATAATGTATATGTATACGCGTATTCTTTAGTAGTGTAACTTTCTTCTCTCTTTAAAACGTACGCTGTACATTTTTTTGTTTTTGTCATCCAGAATGGAGAGACTTGGAAAGACGGCAACTGCACTATAGCTGCATGTGTCAATGGGGTGGTCTCAAAGAAAGCTTTGTCCTGTTCTGAACCACAACCACAATCATGTGCCAATGGACGTCAACCTGTTGAAGTTTATGACAATGATGGCTGCTGTTTTCATTATGAGTGCCCATGTAAGCTGTCTGCAACCTCCAAATGCTCTCTTATTCAACTGATGCAAAACAATCCAATGCTGACTATAGTTCATTATATTTTTTCCTCCTCCCAGGTGTTTGCAATGTCTGGAGTAAAAAGCACCACTTGACATTTGATGGGAAAAGTTTTGAATTTGATGGAAACTGCTCTTACTATCTAGTCAAAGAGATTATATCCAAGTACAATCTGACCATCACAGTGACCAAAGAAGACTGTGACAATTCTGGTTCTGCCAAATTCTGCTCTCACACTGTCACTGTGGCCTACCAGTCACATGTAGTAATACTAAAGCAGTCAAAGAAATCCGGTTCAGTTCAAAAAGAGGTAATTTTCCTTTTATTGATTACTTTGTTTTTTTACTGTACTCAAAAAAAATTCTAACTTTTTGATTTTGTATTTGCAGGTATATGTTAATGGAAAAGAAGTGTATCCTTCATATCAAAATGAAGATCTGGTTATTACTGGAACAGACATTGTGGTGAAACTGAAAATAGCGGCCATCAAAACAGAAGTTGTTTATAGAGGAGAATCGATTAGTGTGGAGCTGCCACAGTCACTGTTTGGAAGTAACACAGAGGGCCTGTGTGGTATGTATCAATTTAGCAAGTACCCCATTTGTTAGTTTTTTTGTCTGTGTAAACTCAACTATTCTAAAAGTATTATCGCAATCTGATTTGGTTGCTATGGCTCAAAGGCTAGGGTAGCAGGATCACCCCAGTCTTGCTCCTGATTGCCTCTTTTGTTGCAAATAAGTTGCCATTTGGCTTCAAGTCCCCACGCATGTACCTAATGGATAATGCTATGACAAAAACAACCACTGCGGCTTAAACATGCACAAACCTCTTTTCTGAGACACAAAGGTAGAAAAGTGTCATGCTGTTGACAGTAATGACACCAAACCCTCCACCAGCTTCATGCAGAGATGGTGTGTCAATGTTTTGTGAGGATAGAGGAGGGAGGAGCAAATGGAGAGGAGACGAGAGAGAGAGAAAGAGATGTAAATCTTTCAGATAGAATTAGAGAAGAAATAGGATAATAATAATGACAATAATAATAATAATACATTATATTCCTTAGGTGCATTTAGGTGCACATCAATTTAATACAGTTAAAAGACAACATTAAAAGCAGCATGAACAGAGGATGGTGTAGTTATGGTGTTCATGAATAGGCTTGTCTAAACAAATTGGTTTTGAGCATGGCTTCGAAGTGTGCGATTGAGTCGGTGTTACGGAGATCAAAGGGAGAGTGTCCCAGAGCTGAGGAGAAGAGTGGCTAAAGGCTCTACTCCACATGGTGACGAGGCAAGCGGGGGGGACCAGGAGGAGGAGGCAGGAGGGACCAGTAGCTGGAGAGAGGAGGAGGAGTGTAGGAGGCGGGCAAATTAATGCAATCTGTCAATCAACCTTTTCACTTACTTGTTGTTACAGGTACCTGTGATAACAAACCAAACAATGACTGCCGCTCTCCGAATGGCCAAGTGGACTCATGCTCTGAAACTGCCAACCAGTGGGTGGTCTCAGATGAGCCATGTGTGCAGCCCACCCCAAGTCCTCCGACAATCACACCCTGTCTAACCAAAGCCTGTGATATCCTTACTAGCAGGTTAGAATTAAAGCAACTGTATCCTGCTTCACACATCATTTTAAAGCTGTTCCAAGGTAGCTGACATCTTTACTCAACAGACCAGTATACTTATTGCACTACAATATCCACCCATATTTAACAATTTAACTTCAATATTCCATGGTGATGGTGATCTGGGATTGTGTGTTATTGTTGTCACACAGCAAGTGACACAACCAGAGTTTTCACAGTGATGTTTTACAGTTATGTAAAGCCATTTTTAGAATAGATACGTTTGCTTTGACCTTCAGACAACCAAAATAGTTCAGGGTTCATACTTGAGAGTGGAGTGCCTGTGAGTTTTACCTCATGAAGTTCATATACTTAATGAAAGTCAATAATACAAAACAAGAATGACAAGTTCTCTTGTTTTGACAAGTATTTCTTTCACAGTGTTTTTGAGGAGTGTAACACAGTTGTACCCGTGGGACCTTATCTAGCCTCCTGTGAGGCAGAGGTCTGCGATGGTGACAATAAAACCTGCCCCATTCTCGAGGCTTATGCAGGGCAGTGCTCTAGTGTTGGGATCTGCCTCAATTGGAGAAACCAAACCAATGGGCTCTGCGGTAAGGCACACAAAATTACCTTGCATAACATTCTGTGCGTTATTCATATTAAATTATGTGTGTTGCACAGAGTACAACTGCCCAAGCAATAAAGTATACAAAGCGTGTGGTCCCGAGGTACAGAAGACATGCGATGCAAGGTACAGTACAGTAAACAAATTAAGTGAGTGCATGTGTGTTTGTGTCATTTTTTTTCATTATGCCAACACCAGTACTCGAGTCGGTCAAGTTGGCTAATTTGATTAAACCAGTAAATATTGGTCTCTTTTGGTATTACCTATAGTAAGAGTAAATAGTTGTTGTCCATTATCAGAGTAATTCTAACATAAGGTAATTCATCCGGTTTTTGACAGGTACAATGAAAGGTTCACAGCGTTTAATGATACTGAGGAGGAGGGCTGCTTCTGCTCTAATGGTACAACTGCGTACAAGTCGGCCCACCCTCAGTGTGTCGACACATGTGGTGAGAGTACATGGCCGTATTTACTGTATTAGCCAATGTCCATCTATTTAAACATAATTCTGTTGGCTTTTAGATGTGTGTGAAGGGCCTGATGGGAAGCCACGTGCGGTGAGTGGTTCTGTGCTCAAGAGTCAAAATACTGCTTGTAATGATTTTTCTTGTGAGAAACGCTGTACCTCTTTTATATAGCGGCTCATATAGCGCAATGATTGCAGTTTAGGCACTTGCCTTGCTTAACCGCATGTTACAAGGCTTATGATCAAGCCTCTGATAAATACAGTATACTATTTATCAGAGACTATAATTCTAGATATAACATTATTGTCCTCCTAAAATTGAATGTAAATATATGTAAAAAACATCACATTTATTGGTTTCTTTGTCAGAAACTCACTGATAATAACTACTATTATTATTTCCTTTGAATTATGGAATTAGTCAAATATACTACACCAATGCACAGTGTATAGTTAGTTGTAACATCAGAAATGTGTTCTAGTAAATAATGAGAAATATTTTTGATTTTAAATAAATCATGTTTACATACACATGAGGTGCGACTGTGTCTCAGTTGGTAGAGCATTGGCCGTGGAGCCTGAAGGTCGTGGGTTTGAGCCCACCACAAGACCTTCTCCACTGACTCCCACTGATGTCTGCTGTCAGAGCACCCATCCTCCTGTGGACTCACCACCTGCAGGAGGATCAGTGAGGGGCTGGTGCTCTGTGTACTGGGTGCAGCTCTGACTGCCACCCCCCAGAGCCGGAAATGGACTAAGGGGAAGAAAATGGATGGATAGATGAATGTTTACATAGATAAAAGATCTAGTCTTTTTGACCTGTTTCTTCACATTCTTTTCTCCACAAAGCCTGGAAACCCATGGACAAGTGATTGTAAAACATGTGATTGTGACAAAGACTCCCTGAGTATACAATGCACACCCGTGCAGTGTGCAGAAGTGGAGCCTGCAATCTGCTCAGAGCCCGGACAACAGGTCGTCAACAAGACCGTCAACTGCTGCACCAAACAGACTTGTGGTAGGTGAACACGCACACACGCACACACTCTCACACACACACACACATATGTCCAGGTGTGAAAACAACAGTAGCTCTTTTAAAGTTAGATAAATGTTATATTCATGAGAGTGTCTCCTGCATTGAAGTGTTTCTCATTCTCATGTATTTCCAACAGAGTGCGATAGAAATCTCTGCCCCGTGGTGGAGCCCTGTCCTATTGGCTTCACTACGAATTATACAAATGGTGTCTGCTGTGTGGAGGTCAACTGTGGTATGTCCCTTTCCCCCATATGAGCCCACAAACGGCAGCTACTGTTTGTCTATGCATGCTCTGATGTCCACTTTTGTTTTGCATTCTGTATTTTCAGTTCCCAAAGGCGTGTGTGTTTATGACATGACAGAATACCCGGTAATCTTTGTTTTGTCACAGTACTCTGAAGAAATAAATTGTCTGTAAGAAATTACATCTTTTGTGACATGTTTTGTTGTCAGCCTGGAGCACTGATCCCCATCCCTGGGACAACAGAACCTCCACTACAACCTCCTCCAAGCTCTGCCTTCCCGACCTCCGGCTCTCCGACCAACGGCTTCCCTAGTTCCGGATCCCCTACCAACGGCTACCCTAGTTCTGGCTCCCCAACCAACGGCTACCCTAGTTCCGGATCCCCAACCAACGGCTTCCCTAGCTCCGGCTCCCCTACCAACGGCTTCCCTAGTTCCGGCTCCCCAACCAACGGCTACTCTAGCTCCGGCTCCCCTACCAACGGCTCCCCTAGCTCCGGCTCCCCTACCAACGGCTTACCTAGCTCCGGCTCCCCAACCAACGGCTTACCTAGCTCCGGCTACCCTAGTTCCGGCTCCCCAACCAACGGCTACTCTAGCTCCGGCTCCCCGACCAACGGCTTCCCTAGTTCCGGATCCCCTACCAACGGCTACCCTAGTTCTGGCTCCCCAACCAACGGCTACTCTAGCTCCGGCTCCCCTACCAACGGCTCCCCTACCAACGGCTCCCCTAGCTCCGGCTCCCCAACCAACGGCTTACCTAGCTCTGGCTACCCTAGTTCCGGCTCCCCTACCAATGGCTACCCTAGCTCTGGCTCCCCTACCAATGGATACCCTAGCTCCGGCTCCCCTACCAACGGCTTCCCTAGCTCCGGCTCCCCAACCAACGGCTTACTTAGCTCGGCCTCCCCCACCAACGGCTTACCTAGCTCCGGCTCCCCTACTGGCTCCCCTACCAATGGCTTCCCTAGTTCCGGTTCCCCTACCGGATCCCCGACCAACGGCTTACCTAGCTCTGGCTCCCCTACCAACGGCTTCCCTAGCTCTGGCTCCTCTACTGGCTCCCCTACCAATGGATTCCCTAGTTCTGGCTCCCCTACCAACGGCTTCCCTAGCTCTGGCTCCCCTACTGGCTCCCCTACCAATGGATTCCCTAGTTCTGGCTCCCCAACCAACGGCTACCCTAGTTCCGGATCCCCAACCAACGGCTTCTCTAGCTCCGGATCCCCTACCAACGGCTTCCCTAGTTCCGGCTCCCCAACCAACGGCTTACTTAGCTCGGCCTCCCCCACTAACGGCTTACCTAGCTCTGGCTCCCCTACTGGCTCCCCTACCAATGGCTTCCCTAGTTCCGGTTCCCCTACCGGATCCCCGACCAACGGCTTCCCTAGCTCTGGCTCCCCTACTGGCTCCCCTACCAATGGATTCCCTAGTTCCGGCTCCCCTACCAACGGCTTCCCTAGCTCCGGCTCCCCTATCAGTTTACCTACCAACGGCTTCCCTAGCTCCGGCTCCCCTATCAGTTTACCTACCAACGGCTTCCCTAGCTCTGGCTCCCCTACCAATGGCTTCCTTAGCTCCAGCTCCCCTTTCAGTTTACCTACCAACGGCTTCCTTAGCTCCACCTTCCCTACTAACGGCTACCCTAGCTCCGGCTCCCCTACCGGGTCTCCTACCAACAGCTTCCCTAGCTCCGCCTCCCCTACTCCCATTGTACCTGGCCCGTGTATGGAGTGTTACTGCGGCTCAAATGTCAACCACACAACCTCTTTGAACATCATCACGTGCAGACCTAAGGTCTGCAACCACACCTGCGCAGAGGTACAAACTACACCACAGTCTCCTTTCGCTTTATCACGTTTCTGTGTGGGGGGGGGGGTTGGAAGTTCTCTCTGTGTCTGTGTATGTATTCTCCTAGTGGTCCCGGTTTCCACTACCAATATACACATGTACAATTGGTATAGACACTGGTGGTGGGAGTGAATAGTTGGGGGTGGCGGGAGGACCCTGTATGCAGACCCAGCCTTAGACACAATTTGTGGCATGGATGAGAAAACGGCAATTAAGCAAATTATTTATGTACTGGGATTTGCAATTTGATATAATGCTGAATCAGACTTTTTTGAAGACAGGACTTTGACTTATGAGCTAGAATTTTGGTGTTCAGTTGATGCTACACCCAATTGTCCATATCAAACACCATGTTCGGGCACAAGGGTGTCCATCAGTGCACGTGGCCGCAGGACCTGAGGCCGTAGGTCCATGATCGACTTTGTTGTCATGTCATCTGTCAACTCGGGTGAAGAGAGGGGCGGAGCTGTCAACTGAGCACCACCTGGTTGTGAGCTGGATCCGCTGGCAGGGGAGGAAGCCTGTCTGACCTGGCAGACCCGTATAGTGAGGGTCTGCTGGGAAAATTTTGCTGACCGTCAGACAAACTTTTAACTCACACCTCCGGAAAAGCTTCTTCCAGGTCCCAGAGGAGGAGTGGGACATTTAGTCTGAGTGGACCATGTTCTGGTGGTAAGCTTTGAGTAATGATCGAAAGGACGTGATTGCAGACACAAGTGGTAAAAATCCTCCTCGGAATTGCTGGGTGCCCCCTTAGAGATTGGGTGAGCTCGGTCACACGAGAGGAGCTCGGAGTAGAACCGCTGCTTCTCCACGTCGATAGGAGTCAATTGAGGTGGCTCGGGCATTTGCGACGGATGCCCCCTGGACACCTCTCTCGGAAGGTGTTCCGGGCATGTCCCACCGGGAGAAGACGTGATCTTAATTCTGGTCCAAGCTCCAAGCGGCACGGTGGCTGAGTGGATAGCACTCTCGCTTCTCAGCAAGAAGGTCCTGGGTTCGAATCCCGGTCGGACCAGGGCCTTTCTGAGTGGAGTTTGCATGTTCTCCCCGTGTCTGCGTAGGTTTCCTCCGGGTACTTCGGTTTCCCCTACCACTAAAAATATGTCCAATAGTTCTAGCATGCGCCTCCTGTACTGGCGACCCCGCTCCCATCTCTGTGTGGAGTGAAACAAATGCCCAAAAATTTACAATTGTAAACCGCTTTGAGACTCAGATCTGCAGTGAAAAGGGGGTATATAAATAAAGATTACTTACTACTACTTGTCAGATGAAAGACAATTTCTCAATTAGAATTTCCTTTATTATGATTATAGACCAGCAGAATTGCTGCATTGCCTCTGAATTCAGTCACCTTGCCTCCCACAATGTTTATATTTTTTATCTTCTTGATTTTAGCAGTCCTATACAGTTTCAGGGCTCCACCTCTTGTCTGTTTAACATACAATTTCTGAAAAAAAGGGTTAAGTTTGAATCAGATGTTTTCCCTACTTTTGCAGGGTTATACATACAAAGACATGCCAGGAAAATGCTGTGGAAAGTGTGTTCCGACCCACTGCGTTGCTTACATTGGTAACACCACTATCACCATACAGGTAAGGAATATTTTCTTTAGACTTGAAAAAAAAGTGAAAAAAACAAGGATTACCTTCTGGCTATGTTTTCAGGCTAATGAGACGTTTGTGTCGCCCGATGACAAGTGTACTAAGTACACTTGTCGGAAAAATCCCAATGGTGATAATTATGAGACTACGATTATCTCCAAACAATGTCCAGAGTTCAACCCTCTCGACTGCGAACCGGTGAGACAAACCACAGACCAGCGCTTTTTTTTTTTTTTACCCATTTCTTTATTTTAAGGGTAATCAACTCAGTCAATCTCTATAGCATTTTTACCACACATGTCATCAGTATTTGTATTAGGATTAAGATGAAGAGATCTTAACAGTAGGAATGTGTAGCACACAGCACAAGATGAATGAACAACTACTCTATACTGAATAAACAAAAAATCTCTAACAATAACTCATGGGACACAGTAGAGCAACAGTGACACATGTGGTTCCACATTGCAAAATTCTGACATTAGTCCTTCACACAACCTCTCTCTTCACAATAACCTGATTATGTTACTCAGTTTTCTGTGAGGTTTTGGAATTTGTCATTAATTGGTGGAAAACAGGTGGGAAATGTTGAAATTAAAATTAAGTGTTCAATTCATTCAATTTATTTACATTTCCAATTTGTGCAAGTATATTGAAAACGGCATGAACACAGAATCTTTGAGTGACCAAGATTTTTTTTCTCACATCAGGGCACAGAGACCACAGATGCAGATGGATGCTGCAAATCTTGTAAGTATTTGAATTATTTTTAATCAATCTTCAAACCAATACTACTGATCATTATATGACTTGGATCGTACACGTGCTCCGATTGGCTGATTTGTGGTCTGATATTTTCCCATCTCGGACCGTTACCATGACAATTGGTCCGCAGCGGGGGTATAGCTCAGTGGTATCAAATTTGATATCTTTCCTTGGTAAAAAAAGAATGGGGGCGACAGTAGCTCAGTTGGTAGAGCATTGGCCTTAAGGCCAGAAGGTCGTGGGTTCAATTCCCACCTCTACACCTTCTCTACCAACTTCCACTGATGACTGCTGTCGTTGTGTCCTTGGGCAAGACACTTTACCCCACTTTGCCCAAAGCCCCCACTGAAAAGATCAAGGCTATGCTCACACTCAGAGAGCAGCCGTCCTCCTGTGGACTCACCACCTGCAGAGGGTCAGTGAGGGGCTGGTGCTATGAGACTTGGGTGGCATCTCTGATTGCCACCCCCCTGACCCAGAAATGGATTAAAGGGTAGAAAATGGATGGATGGATGGAAAAAAGAATGAGCGACGACTTCAAAGAGCCAGAGGAAGTAATAACAGCAAATAACGACAAACACACAACTCCTAACAGTCCAGGAGAGATTGACAACTTTGTTACAGATCAGAAAGCTAAAAACACGATTAGGAAAACCAAGTCGGAGATTGATATTTGCATAAATTAAAAATAGTCATATAATAAAACATTTATTAACCTCGCTTGCTCGGTCTGTACATAGAAATATCAGTCCTTGGCCTTTTTGCACAGTACAAAAAGGCAGCGGTCTTATATTTCTCTGTACAGACCTCACGCTCGTTTAATAAACCGTTAGTATTATTATCTTTGAGATCCATCACTAGCATCAGCATTATTGTGTCTACTGTGAAATGCACTTTTAACTTATAGGAGACATATTATGCTCCTTCCATGCTAATATCAGACAAGTAACCTCGCTCTGCCTTAAAAGTACATGTATTCTCATTCTTTTTATTGTCAATAGTAAAACATAATTCAAGATACGATAAGAAAGTCCTTTATTCATCCCAGTGGGGAAATGTCAATGTCATCATTGCGCACATTAAAAGGGCACTCAGATTGCAATCATCAAACTGGATCTATTATTCAAGATAATGAATGGTAAACAAAATAATAATATCCCTTTCTCAGCAAAAAGGCCTTTGGTTTGAATCCCGGTCTGAACGGGGCCTTTCTGAGTGGAGTTTGTATGTTCTCCTCACGTCTCTGTAGGTTTTCTCCGGGTGTTGCGGTTTCCCCTACCACTAAAAACATGTACAATAGGTCTGACATTTGCCTCCTGTATGGTGACCCCGCTTCCATCTCTGTGTGGGGTCAAAGACAAATGTAAAGCGCGTTGTGCCTCTGATCTGTGAAAGGCGCTATGTAAATAAAGATGACTTACTTACTCTGTATTTGATCTTGATAGTACACAAGTGGAGTTTACACTGTAGTCAGCAGGAGGTATTTCCAAATGTTTATATTGTACTTTAGCAGCAGAGAATATAAATAAACAATATTAATAATAGCAGCAGGTAAAGTAAATAGTATTTGACAGAAATGTAATAAAGTAGTAATAATAAAAACAGCAGGGAAAGTGACTAGTGAATTATCAGAATCAGAAGAATATTTCTTCTTTTAGACTAGCTGAGTGTCAGAGTGGTCTCCTGTATGAACTGTTTGTGTGCAGGTACCCTCCGCAGTGTGTGCGAGGTGCGCTCCAAGACAATGTTGATCAGGTCCCAAGGCTGCAAGAGCAAGAACCCGGTCAACATGACCTACTGCTTTGGCCACTGCGGCAGCTCCTCCATGTAAGTATCCCAGAGAACAGTGCGGCCAGGAACTATTCACTTTTGTAATATATTACACTGATGTATTCCTTTTAGAAGTAACTCAATAGTACAGTTTCAGTTAAATTGAAGTGCACATTTTCTCAGCATTTGCTTTTTTTACATTTAAAAAAAATAGGTTTCCTTCGGGTACTCCGGTTTCCCCTACCACTAAAAACGTGTACAATAGGTCTGGCATGCGCCTCCTGTACTGGCGACCCCCCTCCCAGCTCTGTGTGGAGTGAGAGACAAATGCCCACAATTGTAAACCGTTTTGTGACTCTGGTCCGAGGCGATATAAATAAAGATTCCTTACTTACTTATTACTTAATGCTTTTTTTCCTGGTTAAATGAAGGTTAAAATATTGTCATGATAGTTATAAATAGCCAAAATTCTCTAACTGGCACATGTATTAAAATGTCATGGAGTTGTGGAAGAAATAAACATATTTCTTGAGCTTGAGTTTCTTCAGTGACTTCAGTGAGTGTAAAGTGCAATCCATTCTTTAAAATTCAAGTTATTGTATTTGATTGTATAATTCTATAATCACTGCATAGTGATGAATTGAAAATGTGTTTGAAAACTATTTTTAATCCAACAACCTGAGGTTCTCCAGGGAAATTACTTTGTTTTGGTCAAATGTAGAAAAAAATCCCTTCTCTTTCAGGATCCAAACAACTAATCAAAAATTTAAAAAAATCGTTTATCACACCCCTAGAAAAAGACATATATTCTTGTATAGCCCTAAATGCCAATATTTCGGAGGACTTTACAAAGCCGTTGATTTGGCCAATACAGATCAGAGAATCACACAGTTCAAACACAAAAATGATAATGATGCAATGATAAAAACTCATACAGAGCCATTGATCTAAAAGGGGCAGAGACCAATGTCCATAAATGTTGATAAATATCCATAAATGTGTTTTTTATCATTGCATTTCTTGAGTTTGAACTGTTTGATACTCTGCTCTGTGTTGGCAAAGTCGTTCGAGATAAATCTTGTCGTGATTTAGGGCTGTACAAGAATAAATAGAATGGAATGGAACCCTGCTAACCCCCCTGGCCTCTTCACGCAGGTACTCCGCACATGCCAACTCCATGATGCGGAAATGCGAGTGTTGTCGGGAGACGGCTGTGGTGAAGAAAGCCGTGTGGCTGGAGTGTGGAGGTGGCGCCAGAGTGGAGCACAGTTACACCATGCCGACGGCCTGCTCCTGCACCCCCTCCGAGTGTGTCGAGTACGGCAAGAATTCTTAGATCCATCTCAGCCAATCTGGCAACTCAACCGCTGCAGACTGAAACAGCTTGTGGCACTCAGACTTTGTTATAATGACATTGATAATAAGAATAAAGTCAAACATATGCATTCCAACTGTGTGGATTATTTTACTCAATGTTACATGTTTTGGCGTTTAATTAAAGAAGCTACACCCGATTCTGGAAGGTTATTTTTCGGTTTGAATGTTTAACACCACCCCAAAATTCCCTCACAGGCTTTTCATTTTGAGAAACCCTCCTATGCTCTCCTCCCACATAGCCATCTAGTTTTAGTAGCATTCTGATAGCAATGCAAACATTCGCACAACTTCGAGGGTGACAGTGGCTCAGTTGGCAGCATTGGCCTTAGAGCCTAAAGATTGTGGGTTCAATTCCCCACGACACCTTCTCCACCAAGTTCCTCTGCTGTCATTGTGTCCTTGGGACAAGAGACTTAACCCCACTTTGCCTGAACCCCCTGCTAAAAGATCAAGGCTCACTGACATGACTCTAACACCACCTGCAGGAGGATCAGTGAGGGGCTGGGGCCCTGTATACTGTGTACTGTGTACTGTGTACTGTGTACTGGGTGCAGCTCTGATTGTCAACCTCCCAACACAGAAATGGATTAAGAGGAAGAAAATGGATAGAGTGGCATTTACTTGAAGGGGCAGAATTAAATGGAGCCGACAGTGGCTCAGTTGGTAGAGCATTGGCCCATGGGTTCGTTTCCCACATCGACACGGACTCCCACTGATGTTTGCTGTCGTTGTGTCCTTGGGCAAGACACTTAACCCCACTTTGCCCGAAGCCCCCACTGAAAGATCTCAGCTCCTGCGGACTCACCACCTGCAGGCGGATCAGTGAGGGGCTGGTGCAGCTCTGACTGCTACCCCCTGCACCCAGAAATGGATTAAGGGGAAGAAAATGGATGGATGGATGGCAGAGTTAAATGTGTTGATGGTTTCCTCAATCATTTGGTAGATCACTTTTACACACGAAGCTTGGAACTGAAAAATATCTCTTTGGGGCATCACAAATTGCATTACATGGGTGAACATGGGTTCAGGTGGATGGATCTAAAATCAACTCCAGGTCTGTGTTTGATGAGGAAAGAATGATGTAACGTGGTTAAAAACAGAAAAATTCAACTGATTTGAATGCAACCTAGATTAAATTCCTCCAGCTCCGGTACTGACCAAGCCGAGCATTAACATCTGGAGATGGGTTCCCGGGCGCTGTTACTACGGCGACCACTGCTCCTGACGTAAGCCTTTGCGGCATCAGGATGGGTCAAATGCAGACGATTGAATTGCCCTATGGGGATTAATAAAGTGCACCTTTACCTTTAGCTTACCTTTACCTCTTCACAAATGTTTGTCACTCATTTTTGGCTCCAAACCAATAAAGGTTTTAGATGTTAGGGTTAGGGTTAGGGTTAGGGTTAGGGTTAGGGTTTAAATGATTAAACCACACAGACGTGGGACACCAGTTTTTATGCTTTGGTTTTATTTAACAAGAATCAGTTATCATATAGATTTGGCTTCAAACTATTAGACTCTTATGGAAAATTTACACCTGGCAATCTCATCCTGCATGTTAGCAATTAATCACCATTATATACACACTAACGGCCAAAGAAATGGGAGTGACATGCACTTTGTGAAACACGGGGCCAGCGTCACACCATGGAGCAGTGGAATGCTTACAGAGGGTCTGTGTGGAGACAAACAGTAAATATACTCCTTCAATAAAACTCTGATTTATACAATAAAAACAAGATCACATACACCTGGACTGTATACATCACTGGCTTTCTTCTTGCAAATCCAAACCTCCCTCCACACTTCCTTTGGGGCTGGGTACAATCCCTTGGTTCCGGTACAAGTGCAGACGTTTTCTTCAGTACTTTCACTTGTACAAAATGCCAAATATTATACGTATACAATGTATAAACCACACAATTACTTTGATCAACAGCTCAATTATAAGCAGTTACATTGTCAAGTGAGATTCTACTGTGGTCTGACAACATTACAGAGTCTAAAATAGGGCCCTCTACTATATTCTTTGGAGCCGGCGTTTGATGATCAGTCGAATCATGACTTTTCCAATGTTCTGTACTGGTGAGTGGTACCCACCCCTACTGCGCATGGTTAAGTGTTTTGATGGTCTTCTCTCACATACAATCTGAAATCTCAATTAGGTATGCATCATGTAGATCTAAGCAAGCGGTTTGCACTGAAGCGGTGGAAAGATGGAGGTTGAAAAAAAAGTGTTGTTGACGGTTGGTTTGGAGAGGAGTCTTGGCTCTCAGCAGTTCCACCAGAACGCTGTGAGGCTGAACATTAGAGCTCCTCCGCCATCTGCAGCAGAGAGTTTATGGCTGCGTCCTTGTTGCCTTGTTGGGCCTCCAGCACAGTGCGCACCACCTCAGGGTCCAGGTTTGGGAACATGTCCTGCAGGGCCTTCAGATCCCCCTCACTGCACACTGGGCCCTGGCTCACGGGGGCTGCGTGTGGTCCCGGGACCCCGATAGGGACCATGCCCTGGTTATAGACTCCTGCTGGGACTCCTGAGGACAACATGTATGCAAGGTTGTCAGGTTTTTAAAATTTGTATTATTTAACCAAAACAAACAACAAAAAGATGTGGAGAGACCAGTGGGGGCAGGTCCAAAATGACGGGCGCTGACATGCTTTCCCGGGCTGATGGGGGTGGACCCAGAATAAGAATTAGCCAATGCTAACATATAGCATTAGTTGACCTCTCGAAAACCCCTTTACAGGATGGTCCAAAAGTTTGCTCTTGGCCCAAAGCTCCGTTCCACATGTGTGTCAATGCTGAGGGGAGTGCATTTTTTTGGACCAGTCTAGTTTAGTCGCTGTGACATTTTGAAGGCACTCGTTAAATGAATGGGGCTCGTGCCGGCTAACGCGTGCACAGATGCGTTTTTTCACATTTTCCAGCCCCCGCGGCCATTTTTAAACTGCCCATAGACCGCGGAAGTTGTGGCACGTTAGAACGGCGGAGATAGGCGTGACTACGTCCGTTAATATTTACAGTCTATGGGAGAGACACATGATTCTAAGGGATACAACAAATAACATGCGTGTGTGTGCGTAACATGTGGAACAGTATTAAAGTCATAATACTGAATAAATAATAGTAAGTTTTAACTTATAGGTAGATAATGAGAGTAACAGACAAGGGATGAAATGCAGATATATAAGAGAAATGGTACGTTAATAAATGCATACTGAGACAAAAAAATAATTAAAAATAAATAAATAAAACTAAAAATAATAAATCCAACAGATACAACCAGCCACAAGTGTATATGCTTGTAGCTATGGACAAAGTGTTAAATTAAGACTTGTCAGTGGGTGTAACGTTTTTTTAAGCCACGTCTATATGACCTATATATATATATATATATATACTGTCATATATATATCTATATGACAGTGATTAAAAGTAGAAGAAAAATACCCCAAATAGGGGGCCAAAAAATGACTAAATACCCAAAGGCAAAGTGACAAAGGGCTGAGCATGAGGGTGGACTCTGACCTGAGATGGGGACGTAGCCCACTCCCTGTTGGTACACGGAAGGCATGAGGACCACCGGCTGAGGCATCACTCCAGCAGGCAGCGACTGAAACACACAACCTTTTACTTTCCATTCTAAGTTTGTAATATACACAGTGTCTCTCGAAAGTACTAATACAGTTTTAAGTTATGATGAACTTTATCATCCCCAAAAGAGAATCTGCTATGGGAGACAGTACTACACAAATCTGCAATAAATTAATAACAATAAAAATGAACTTTAGTTTTGTTTTTGTTAAATGTGCAGAAGTTCAAGCTGTATAAATACTTTTGCAAGGCACTGTACATATTTTACTCTTGTAGTTACACAGTGTACTACTACAAAACAGATTGAATTTAACACAAAAAGTGACATGAGTTTCAAAAACTTATCCCTAAGCCCCTTACAGCGTACGACATGACCAGGTTGATCATTCCTTCTTTGTCGTCCCCTTGTCTTCCGCTTAAGCTGAACCACTCGTCCACCACCGTGCCCTCCCTCAGACTCTCTGGGATGGTCACATGAGTCCAGGCGATCCGGTCGTCCATGGAGAACGCCCTCTGTGGAGACAGGAAGCAGCCGCCGTCAACTTAGAACATCCTAAGTACACGCAAGTATTGATACAGGATGAGCTAGTACTTTGTAGAGCCGTCATATGCTGCGGAAACAGCAGTAGAAGACCTACTGCTGTTTCTTAGGGTATGACCCCTGTATTATAAATAGGTTGAATTATTTATTTATTTATTGAAGAGATAGAGATAGCCCCATTGAGATAGATCCACTCTTTTTTTGATGCAAGGATGAGTGGCATGCAATACAATACACTGATAGACGTTTAGCAAAAAAGTAGTTGAAATGGATAGTTATACATAGACACACACTCACACCGTTTGTCTTGCCACTCATGTCCAACGCTTATCCACACTTTTTACCACCAAGTTCTACATTTCCTTTAAGAATTTGTTTGTCATGTTTTATCAAAGGCCTTCATCTATATACAATGTAGTTCATAATCTAACATGTGTATGATGTGTAGTTGTTGTACATTTTTTGTTCTAATATCCTGGGTGAAGCAGTTAATTGATCTGTAAAATTGGCCAAGACATGCAAAGGATTCTCTTGTTGCTTCGTAAATATGTTGTTTGAAGGTTAGTTCTGACTCAAGCCAGATTCCCAGATACAGTATTTAAATTAATTTGTAATTTCCAGTTAACCTCTGTCGGATAAATGTAAAGATAGATTCTGTATTACAAGGCACAGATGTTTGGTAAGGAGCATACTGCATGTTTTTTGTTTGTCCGTATGTAATTAGTGGAGATGGAGCCATACCTCGTCAAAGATCTCCACGTAAAACGAGTCCACTCCTGGGGGCACGGTGCACTGGATCACCTTGTTCCAGCGAGGGTTCTTGGCTCCGTTATGAGCTGTGGGAGTCTCGTACACCGCGTACCCCAACCGGACCCTACAGTACGGGTCCATCCGCGTCATGCCGTAGTTTTTGGCGAGTTTGGCCTGGACGAGAATGGTCAGAAATAAACCGTTTAAAGCAAAAGTATGATGAACTATTTTTGACCATTCATATTCTAACTATTTACTTTGTCGTTTTCTGTTTTTTAGAATGCGGATATCTGGTAAATATAAGGTGAATAGAAGGGTAAATAAATAATCCTGCGTGTTGTTCCTTGTGCTACCACCAGAGGGAGGTGTTGGTTTTTTGTGTGTTCCAAATTCAAACACAGCCATGCAATTTTAAAGAAAGTAATTTTGCCAGAGAAATTACCAAAACTACTTTAGGGACAATACTTTTGTTTTAAAAGAAAAAATCAGTGGTGTGATGAGTGGTACAATGATTTTAGAGCGAGATCAGAGAGAAAGACAGAACACAGAGAACGAGAGACCAGAGGGAGAGACCATAGAGAGAGACCAGAGAGAGAGAAAGAGACCAGAGAAAGACAACCACAGAGAGAGAGAGAGAGACCAGAAGGAGACATCAGAGAGAGAGAGAGAGAGAAGGTCCAGAACAAAGACAGACCAGCAAGCGAGACCAGAGAGATACCAGAGAGAGAAAGACCAGAGTGAGAGACCAGGGAGAAAGACAGGCCAGCAAGAGACCAGCGAGAGAGACCAGAGGGAGATATTAGAGAGAGATACCAGAGAGCGAGACCAGGGAGAAAGACAGACCAGCTATAGAGACCAGAGAGAGAAAGACCAGAGTGAGAGACCAGGGAGAAGGGCAGACCAGCAAGAGACCAGCGAGAGAGACCAGAGAAAGACCATAGAGAGATCTTCCACCTCCCTACTTTCTTTTATTCATTATTGGTATGAATCTTAAGTAAATATTGTTACAATGCAACTTGTCACTCTCTTACATGTTGCTTCTAAACATTATAAAGCATTAAAGCGTGTGCAGATGTACCTGGACGACGGTGATACTGAGGCGGCCGATAGTGCTCAGAGCGCCCCCATACTGCAGCTGCCGTGCGGCCTGGGCGTCTAACTGCACCTGCTGCTGCTGCTGAGTGGGACTGATGCGGAGGAAGTCCTGGGGCAGCTCTCCGATGTACACCTGCAAAACACACAGCAGAGAATTGTATCTTCAAATTTGTGCAGCTGTTTTATGTATCGCACTTTATATGTCTCTGCTATATTCTGTGCTGTAACTTTGTATTGCACCAGTCATTTTCATACTCTCCATTTGCTGCTGAATGTTAATTGTTTTGTATTATACATTGTGAGTTGTGACTGTAACTATGTTGGTAACTATGTATTTTATATGATTGTGTTGTCAAGGACTACAGATGGAAAGTAGCACGGTGCTAAATCTGGTGCAGCCATCTTTTTCATGTAACTGCAAATTGTCCTTAATAAACTAAACTCTAAACTCTAAATTATGGCCTCAGTGGCAACAGTAACAATCATTTATTGTACTTTTTAGCTTATTTTATAGAGATACACTGGGGACTTTTGGACATGTATTTTTTATTCAGCAAATGGCAAATAGAGTTAATCTGAAGTCAAAGCTAATACTTTCTCTTGTGAGCATTTAATGTTTGTAAACACATTGCTGGAGGATATTCCTTTGTTGAATGCATTGAGGAAAACCGGAGGGCCTGGAGGAAATCCACCTAGACATGAAGAGAAACAGGCAAATGCTGCACAGAATGATCTGTGGAAACACCCAAGACCTTCTTACTGTGAAGCATAAGTGTTACCCACAATACAATTTTTCTAACAATCCTTGCAATCAGGTCAGAATTATGATGCATGTTTCAAAAGTATGATTCTCTTCAAATTCAAAATTGAAGTCACATATTTAAGACTTGAACATGAGGCAGACAAACAATATTACAAACAAGGAACAAGCCAAGCGTAGACAAGTCAAATAATACTTTTAACTATCTGATCCATGTTTTATGGATACTCCAACCAGTAAGCACTTTAACCATGAAAGTGTGACAAACTTGATGCATTTTACAGTATTGGTTTATAGCTACATTTTATTATTTACTTGAAATAGACAACACTTGAACCATCAAAACACGTAAGACTGCTGATGTAAATCAAACAACAGGGATTCAATTCAGAAAAATTTGATGACACGTCAAACATGTCTCCCACTATAGATAAATAATACATCTGAAGCAGCAGCTGTGCTTTACATGGCCAGATCAGGGTGGAATGTGATCTGATGCTGTACGTGGAGGCTAGCTCTCTGCTGTCAGGGCTGAGCTAGCTGCACTGTTTACATCACAGATCTACCATAATCCGCACAAATCTGGACAAACAATCCTCATCGCGTCGCTCGGAAGACACAAACACACACAACTTCAGTAATACGACCAAAGAGGGGAAGTGTGTTTACTTGGAAATAAAACCCTTTCCGCAAGAATGAATAGACTGACGCGTTTATTATGAGGAAGTTGCGGTGAATAACTCTCACAGTCAGGCTACAAAAGCGTCTCACTCTCGGATTCGGGGCCGGAATCTTTCTGGAGAGCTGTCATCAGAAAACAACGGCGAAAAAGCGCTCAAACACGGAGTAAACACAGTGTAAACAGACCTGGCCGCGCTGCGTGCTGACGGTGGTCGCCATCTTGTCTCTGAGTGGATGTCGTTGACAAACAGTGAAGCTTGATATTAGCGGCATCTGCTGGACGCACAGGAGTACTGCACGCTGGCATTTCATCTGTTTTGTGTCATTTAACATCTAGTTTAACCATGAATAAAAAAGTAAAGCCAGGGGAAATGCCATATTTAGATACATATATAAGTAAGTAAATTAAACATTGTTAAGGATTCTTCATGTAATCATGTAATCTTTGTTTATATACCGCCTTTTCACTGCACATCGGAGTCTCAAAGCGGTTTACAATTGTTATTTTTTGGGAGTGGGGGTGCCAGTACAGGAGGCACATGCCAGACCTATTGTACATATTTTTAGTGGTAGGGGAAACCGGAGCACCCGGAGGAAACCTACGCAGACACGGGGAGAACATGCAAACTCCACTCAGAAAGGCCCTGGTCCAACCGGGATTTGAACCCAGGACCTTCTTGCTGAGAGGCGAGAGTGCTATCCACTCAGCCACCGTGCCGCCCTTCACAGCTTTAGGATTAGAAGAGGAGCAACATTCTCTATATACTATTACAATTCTATGGTATATGATAAATTCCACATTCAGAAGTGTAAATTAGCAAAGATCAGTAAGACTTTTGACAAAAAAAAACTGTAGGAAGAATACACATTAGAAAATTCAAATACACATTAGTGAACACTTTAAAGTGTTTAAAGTGTAAAGTCTTTTGGAATATGCAATTGATAATTAATGAAAAGTAAAGGCATTACAAAATCACTCTATGTGGGCACTTCAGATTGTGTGTGTAAGTAAGCAGGGCAGGGCCTGGTTAGTACTGGGAGAACTGTTGGTGTGTCATTTGGCAAGACATTTCACCCAGTCAATATGATCAATTCAATGGAGGGACTAAACAGACACAGAATACATTAAATAGCTTTATTGATAATTGTTTGGCAGATAGACCCCAGCAGTGACACTTGATCAGGGGAGATCATTATGAGATCTGATTTCCTGGAGATGGGGCACTGTGGTGGCATGAGAGCGACATGTGATTAATGCTTTATGCCTGAAAAAAGCCATAGGAGACGTAGAGGCGGCAGGTTTCAAGAGCTTGAAGAAGCCATAGTTGGTAGGGAGCAGCAGCTTTTAAATTGCCTGCTTGATTGGCACAGGTTGGCAGGGAGGCTGGAAGAGCTGTGGGAGGGTGAGGAAGGAGGGGCAGGCCCAGGATGAGGTCGAACTCCCCCATTTAGGCTTAATCTGCATCATTATCCTTTCAAACACTATTCTCTCTACATATATAGACAGACAATCAAGGACCACCATCCTTTTCTTTATATGTACATAAATTATTTATGCCATAAAACTATGGATTGTAAAAACTTAATTTTATTTTGCAAAATGGTAAGAACTCTGGGGTGTTTTGTCGACGAGATTAAAGCAGAGCCATATAAAGAAAACATGTTGAATAGAGAAATTATTAAGAATAAGATTTTGTACAGTTCTAACATACAGTTCTAGTCAAAATTATAAAGCTGTTAAATGAGGCCCCTGCTCTGTGATTTGAGGGTGATATTTTGATACTTCATCCATAAAAACAACAATAAATACATAAACTTGCTAAATAATGATTAAAAAAATAAATACATACATACACAGTAGACACAAACAATCTGTCTCCTTCAAACAGGAGGGTCTAGGATAGCGGTGATGATCATAAATGTCAATGTCCTGGATCATCTATTACTATTTATGGACATGTGTCATCTGCCCCTTATAGACAAATGCATTCTCTGATTCTCGGATCTGTATTAGTGGATAAACAGTTTCCTGAGATAACAACTGTTGATTTAGGGATATACAAAAATACATTGAATTGAATTGAATTAAACACAGGCATGGGCTTCTGTTGTGGCTGGTTCGGGAGCTGTGGACTTGACACTGGCCTGTGCTTCTGCGAGGAGCTTGATCAGGGAGCTGGGGTTGTAGGGGAAAAGCTTCTTACTGTGGAGCCTGGACACCAGCTCCAGCAGCAGGCCCAGACAGCGCACTGCAGCCTCCCAACAGGGCCCCATCTCCTGCACTTTCCTCCCACTGTTCTCTTCCTCCGAGTCCTCTCCGGAGCTGCTGTAGTCCACAAGCAGGACCTCGCGAGTTCGCCCTGCTGTCCTTGCAGCGCGGCCCCTGCTGGGCTCCTCTGTGGTGGGACAGACTATGGAGGAGGCGGCGCTGAAGCCCAGTGGGTCTGTGCGGAGCAGGCGGAGGTAGAGGACCAGGTACTCCAGGAAGCAGGTCTCTGTGGAGATCAGGAAGTCCAGGAGCACACGGTGGTCGAAGGCCAGGCTCCGCAGCAGAGAGAGAAAGTAACAGTGAGGGTTGAGGCCCAAGGAGCAGGACCAGAGCAGGAGAGCGGCGGGACTGAGGGCGCACTGCTGCTGTCTGAAAACACACCACACAAGGAATATGTTGTATTTTTATTAATTACTTACTTACTTACTAATCAAAAACTGACTTATACCAGCTTCCAACTATCTAATAATAATAATAGTAATGCATTGGTTTAATGTAGTGCTTTGTTGGACACTCAAAGACGCATCACATGTCATTCTTCATTCTCTCCAGTAGCCACAGCTGCCCTGGGGCACACTGACAGAAGCAAGGCCACCAGTATGTGCCATCGGCCCCTCCGACCACCACCAACCATTCTTGTAATTTACAGCCACAAACGCATCACAGTACTAACCAGGCCCTGCCCTTCTTAGCTTCAGAGGTCTGACAGGATCTGGCTTTCACATGCAGGTATGGCCTTAATACAATGTTATTCCAATAGTTAAAAAAAGGTTAAAAAAAAAAAAAAAAAACACAAAAACACAAAAAATTAATTTAACATTGCTTTGTCCTGCTATGACACACACCACAGAAACAACACTTGTGAGACGTATAATTATATTTTAGTTGAAAAGAAAGATTTCAAACCGATGGTGAAGAAAAATGCGGAGCTGAGCCTTGGCCGCTTCCATCATGTCGTCATCCTGCTCCGAGAACACAGCGCTGAGTCTGCTGCAGTGATGAGGCTCACCACAGGGGGGCGCACACGAGTCCACAGGCAGGACGTCCCACAGGCTCTGCAGGCACAGGGGAAGAGGCAGCGGCTCTGTGTGGACAATCCACAGATCCACATTATTCAGATGTTTTGATGCCATAGTGTTATGGATACAGGGGACAATTCAGTGGGTTACATACAGTATTGTCTTGGCAACAAAAAAAGGTTTGAAAGTGGTCCCTCAATATAACCCTAAAAACTAATCTTTCGCAGCCTTGCGACTGTTCACAGACTGTTGTGTGGGCTTATATATAACCGCAGCGCTCAGATTTACAATGAACAGATTTGGTATCTGCATGATCACACTTCAGCAGTCATGAGTTTAGGTGGTTAGAAAAGTGTATGAAATGTGAGTGAGGGGTTCTACAACCTGAATTCAATTCAACTTTATGACAGACTCTAGGTGCAATTTAAAACATACAGACAGACAAGACAAAACATACAGCTGCTGCTTTTACAGTTATTTTTAGAACATAATCATTATCATTTTTAGAACGTAACCCTAATAACGAGGATAGTAATAGAGCAACGAGGGACCACTGTATTACAGATACTGATGATGCTAATATTGGTGTTACAGTTTCATAGAAATCTTAAAATAGTTGTAGTTATGCCAAAGTAATTAAATTAAGATGTGCAGCTCTGTTTTGATTTTGTGACTGCACAAAATATTTGCCAGCCTTTTCAGCTAAAAAGAGTGACACTTGATATCCTCATAATCTTGTTTTCCGATGGAGTGCATTTGAGTTATTTTGAAAATCAAAACATTGTTATTCACCTCTGGTTCTACTGCAGGCCTGCATTTCCTGCCATGTGTAAAAAATCTTGAGAAAATCAATATTCAACAACTCTCTCTGGTGGTAGAAGTGGATAATTACATGTTGTACTACTGCCATCGTGAGTAGTTGAAGGACAAGAAGGAATGCATAATATTTCTTCTCATGCCTGAGCCTTATGGAAGAGGTACAATGATATGTATGGAGTGGTAAAAAAATACTAACAAAGTCATGATTGAAAAGAGAAAGTTAAATAAATGGATGTTTCGTTAATGCTTCGTGTGTACATATGAACCTTATGTTCATAGGTACCAATGGCTCTATGTGTTTTTTAAACATCGCATTTCCTGAGTTTGATCTGTTTTATTCTCTTTGTAAAATCCTCCGAGATAACTACAAAAATACATTAAATTGAATTGACAAACCTGGTTGACCGCTTTGACACTGCAGCTCCAGGGCCTTGAGCAGAACCAGACACAGCGCTCGGACTGTCACATTATCCACAGAGCTGCTGGATCCTTCGGCTCGCGTGCCCCCGAAATACGCCTCTCCTTCCAACTGCACCCCCCTGAGCCCACCTGCAGCCACCACAGCCAGCACCCCAGCCCCCATCAGGCCCCGGTCCCTGCAGCTGAGCCCCGAGTGGCCCCAGTCCTCCCCCAGCCTCTGTCCCAAAGACTTTTTCAGCAGCAGTAGCAGTCTGCGTCTGAGTGCAGGCTGGAGGGCAGGCCGGCAGCTCAGGTGAAGCAGTGTGGAGGAGCGCAGGCAGAGAAGGCACTGTCCAGGAAAGGCTGCCCCCTGCTGGTCACAAGCACTCCTGCAGGCGCACAGGCTGGAGGTAAGTGCAACCGGCGACTATGGCACGATACAGCTAGAGCATATTACAGTTTATTTTAGTCCCTTTGGTGCATTTCTCACATCACATTTGCATTTCTCACAGATATTAACGGGTTTGTTAAGTCCTCCAAGATAACTACCGTTGTGATTTAGGCCTACATTGAATTGAATTAAGTGTGATTGAACTAACCTGAGAGCACAGAGGGTCTCCAGCAGGTCCAGCAGGAGGCTCACAGAGGCCCCCCACTCTACATCACTACCTCCACACTCGCTCCTCTCCTCCACACTCAGGACCCAGCAGCAGTACTCTGACAGACTGCACTCAAACTCAGGCAGAAAGGTCTGTGCCAGCTCTAAAGAAACACAGCAAAAACACAAATAAATGCCTTCAAGAAATGATAAAACCACTCAATTTGATAGCGACAGTCTGTCTTTCTGGAGCTACAGTATTGTGGAAAACTGGTCTTATTGTGGAAAACTGAAGTCAAATGCAAGTCCTAACATAAGGACATATCTTTTGTAAGGTGACCTTGAGAAGCCACTAAATAGATACAATGTATTATTGTTATTATTATTAAGTAGTTACCGTGACGTCCACCTTTGAGAATCCGCCTGAGGACCTCTGTCAAAGAGCGGACACAATTGTCTACACGGGGCCCCGAAGGAAAGAGGGGCCCCCGGGGACATTGAGGTGAACGCAGGGCCTGGACACACCACTCAGTCCACTCACTGATGACAAAACCCTGAACACATAAAACCAGGAGTTATTCTAATGAGAGCAATGTCGCTGAAACACACACATGTGCTCAAGTTATGAGTGAGCGTTTATACTTTTTCTATATAAAAAGTGTGTCTGTGTGTGTGTGTCTATATGTGCGTTTGTCTGTGTGTGGAGGAGAGGCTCACTTGGTGCAGGTGGTAGATGACAGCCGCAGCCGCACACGTCACGCTGAGGTGAGACACGAGCTGGTCCTCACAGCCAAACTGCTGCAGCTGCAACACAGGTGTAGGATTGTTCTGTGCTGTTCTTCTCATTTACTTTCATCTCATTCACAGACGTCACAGCTCTGTCCACTCACCAGTGTGCCCATCACACCAGCCCCCAGCAGAGCCCACGTCTCCTGAGCGAACAGCTGGAAGTCCTGACCCCCTGTGGCCGCAGTCAGGCGACCAAGCAGCTGCTCCAGCACCGTCAGGGACACGCACCGCAGCTCATACCCGCGGCCATCACCCTCTGCTCCGGGCGCATCACCTCCTGCTCCGGGCGCGCAGAGGCAGGAGCGCAGCAGCAGGGCGCACTGTGCGGGAGAGCGCCTGGGACAGTCCGCAGACAACACACAGTGGTACAGCTCCTGCAGACAGAGAACTGGCTCCGGGAGAGCAGGCCCAGACTCGTTCATCCTTCCGCTCCAGAGTCAGAGTCAGAGTTGACCATTAAGCACAAAACTTGTGCCATGTGCGGAGCAGTGGTGTCTGTGGAACTCATGGTGGAACTCCTCTGCTCAGTTCTTTTTCTTCATTTTGTGGAAGTTCTCACCAACACGTTTTCTCATTACTGCCACCTGCTGGCGTCCTTTATATATTCTGATATCATGCACAACTGCTCATCTTTTATTTTATCAATATATTTATTGCTTCAGTGGTTTTTGCTTCTTCACATTTGAAAGCTTAATGACTGTTTTCCGATCTTTACATCTTTCTCCAGTAAACAGTTTCACACTGAACAGAAGATGCCTGGACATCCAGAGGAGAGAGGACCTCAGCCTAAGCAGACCTTTCATCCCGGCTGCTGTCAGCTTATCAGACACTGCTTAAAGAGGGTTTAATCATATAGTATGTTTAGATCAAATGTTACTGTTAATGATGTTATGATCTATCTAATACACATTACACACATGATGACCTGAAAGTATAAGTCACTCCTTAAAGTTATACATGCAGGTTATAGATTTTACCCAGGGCCTGTTTTTAAACATGATAAAATCCATTTTCATGGTCACATGATAAGATGAACACCTCAGGACGGCACCGTGGCTGAGTGAAGTTTGCATGTTCTCCCCGTGTCTGCGTAGGTTTCCTCCGGGTGCTACCATTAAAAACATGTACAATAGTTCTGGCAAGCGTCTCCTGTTCAGTGACCTCGCTCCCATCTCTGTGCGGAGTGAGACACAAATGCCAAAAAATAATAATTGTAAAGCGCTTTGTGACTCTGGTCTGTGAAAGGTGTTATATAAAGATTACTTACTCACTAATTCTATAACATACATTCAAATTATTTTAGGCTTTACTTGTACTGCCTTTTTTGTGTTCTGTTGTCGTTGCTTCATTGTGTGGACCACCACTTTTCCTTTCAAACATCATTCAGGTCAAGACATTTCTTCATGTTTTAAAGCTTTGAACTGAAATTGCTTTCTCCTCCTAGTGGGCATACCTGTCTGTTTTTCTTTTTATTTTGAGATACCCTGATCATGCGTGTCCACAACATAGCCCAGACAAGCGTTGCTGTGTGTGTGCTGTCATTAGATATGGGCCCATATAAGCGAGCCTATTGTGTTATTATGCACTTCTCGCAGGGGGTGGGGGCCTAGGGGGGGGTTCCCAGGTGACTGTGTCCGCCTGGGTGTGACCATAAGAATGTCAAACAAAGGCAGAGGCTGGGAGCGAATCCGACAATCCAGGACTCAACATTCACAATCCGGGACTGCTCCAGGTGAGTCCGCCTCTCTGTTTCTAAAGCTGGTCCATTTCAGGGCAGGTGCATGTGGAGGGAGTGCAGTGTTGCTTTTAGAGCTATTGACGACTCAAGCAATATTAGTAATGTTTTAATAATGTTCTTTTAATAAGTTTTGTTTCAGAAAAAGTTAGGACCAATTTGGAAAGTGGACTCAAAAAGTGTAACTTGATAGCCATGACGTAATAGGCCTTATTCAGCATGAGAATTCTTAATAAACACATTAGACAGCTTTTATTTCCTATTGTAAGATGTATATGATTATTTTTGAAACATGTTATTTATGTTTATAGTGACCGAAGAAATAAACTACAACTATGAATATCTTATTATCAAATACATTTCACTGCTGTCCACAGTTTGGATGACTGATCTCAACCCGTTTTGGTTCAAAGTATTCTATAATAATGTGTGATTATTATGATTGTTTGATTGTAATGCAGCCTCTTTCTGAGTTGCCCCGTGTATGAACCGCGCCACACAAATAAACTTGCATTGCTTAGGTTCATCTTCTAGAGTCCATGAATGACGTCATTGTTATATTACTTATGTAACTATAGCTTTAAAGAAACTGAGAATTACAATTGGTCAAGTCCTGGTCCATCTCAGAGTCTCAAATAATCGATCTTTTAGAAAATCTTGAGTGGAAACAGTTTTTCGACACTGAACTGCAAAACATGGAGAAAAATTATGAAAAAGGTTAAGTGCATGTTGAATCTTTTTGAAACGATCAGTGAATAAGCTTCTGTAGTCTGTATTTCAAGTATAATAGCATATTTTGTCAGTTTTTTAGTTGTTAAATGGCTCATCTAGATACTTGTTGAAGAATTGTGAGAATTGTGTCCAATCAGTATAAAAAATACGACTTTGACTCCTAAAACGTATTTTCTCATTGATTGTCACGGTTTCAAACTTTATGGGATTTGGTGAATGCAAGCACCAACGTTTCCCACTCTCACATTAACACGAGGACTCCCAGTACTCTGAGACGACCAGAACTCCCAAAGCTGTCATTTTTGTTTTTATTGTTTATTATGGATCCCTTTAGCTTCTACCAGTGTGCTGGCTAATCTGCCAAGAAGAAACTTATTACAACAAAATTATCCAATACTTTAATTCATTGCCATCATAATCAATGCGGATAAGGCATAGATCAATAAAAATAATAAAAATAAATAACACATGGGGGTAAAAAACTCAAAAAACTATTGCCATACCCAATGGCCATCAACATTACATGAAGCCATACATTATAATGATGTATTGCACATTATTCAAGTTTATGACTGCTCCCATTCAAAAAAAGGGATTCTGAGAAGTTTCCCTCAAAAAGGTTTAGTTTTCCACCAGTTTTTCTACTTTTCAGTCTTTACCTTTAGTCACTATAAATATCAAGCTAAATCTTGTGAAAATAACTGAAATACATTAAAAAACAACAGTTGGCTGAAAGGTGACCAAATGCTACCTGCTGCAAGTAAACAATGCAATGTATGATAGCTATGGTCATTTCTGTGGTGGGAAAACCAAACTGACTCCAGGACCTGACCAGGACCAGTCCAGGACCAGTTCAAGACCAGTTCAAGACCAATTCAAGACCAGTCCAGGACTGGCACAGAGGGCTTTAACTTCCACAGAATGTTACCAAGAATATATTTTGGTTTAACATTTTTAATTTAGTTAAAGGTAGAATTGCTCACATTTAAATAAAATAAAGTATCATTTTGTACAAGTTATGAAGACCAATAATGCACATAAGCTGAGTAAAACCATCACAAGCATCATTTCACTGTAGCTTAAGACACTATTTATAGACAAACGTGTGGCAGTTTGAAGCTGTGTTAAAAGTCGCCCCACTCCATTGTCTGTTGTGTCAATAAAGCTGTTGATGAGGGCAACACCGGTCACCACCTTTCAGCTGAATACAACGTTGAAATTTGTCAGAAGATCCCTCTCAGCGTCCGTTTTTGAGTCCACAACAAAGTAATTCAAACATCTGAGAGAGACGTTGAATCAGAAGGGACCAGGGCCTGATCCTGGGACAATATTTGCTTTGTCAACAGAGCCATGCGGAGAGGGGCGGGGCTTCAGACATGATTTACGGATGTATAATAATGCAGCTCAACTTAGATCAAACTGGAGCAGGCAATTTGATGGCTTTTTGTTTCATTTCTAGTCAGTTAGTTAGTTCAACTTTATTGTACTCATGAGGAATTTGTCTTCTTCATTTGACCCGCCCTGGATGCCACTAGGGCCTTTATCAGGAGCAGGGGACGCCTCAGCTTTTTTTTTATAATAACATTCAATGGCAGTTAATGCCCCTTTTCTCAAGGTGCTCGTTCAGGACTGGTTCTGATTTGGTCCTGGATTGGACCTGGTCCAGAGCTGACTCAGCTTGTTTTCTTTTACCATAGCAACACACTGTTTTTTTTTTGCAGCAGCAGTTAGCATTTAGCCATTCAACAGTATTGGCTGTATTTCAAGTTTATTCACCATTTTTACTACATATTCAAAGTTACTAACGATAAATACTCAATAAATTACTTATTTTTTTATTTGTAAAAATATTGGGTTTTTTGAGGACTTGTCCCCACATTCCATTGATTGTAATGGGAGCCATCAAAATGACTGCTCTGGGAGTTCCAGTAGTTTCAGACTTGAACTGTGTTTAACGTGCGTGTGAGGCCAGACTCACTCTGTGTTTGTGTTGAGTGTTTTCTGCTCCCAGATTCTGCTGCACATTTATTTCCCTTTGGGATCAATTAAGTTTTTTGAAATTGCATCTGAATTCTGGTTGTCCTAGTGTTAGCAGTCTGGTAGACCACCTGCTGCAGTTCCAGCTCACCCAGGGCCGGCCCCTCCTTCACCCTCAGACTCACACAGTGCTGCCAACTTACTGCCAACCTGAGCCAATCAAGCAGAAACCCCTCACTAACTCCTCTTCAAGCTCTTGCAACCACCTCCTCCTGCCTCCTCCTCTGGTCCTTCAGGCGTAAAACACTTGACAAATGACAAATGAGGCTGGGGTCTGAGATTGTGTAGAAGCAGAAGACATTTTATTGTTGGTGAAGGACATGAACAAAGTTTGCAGCGTGGTCATGTTTGATAGAACACAAAACAGGGACGCTCCTCTTAGCATCTGCCAAGGCGCCAATAGAAAATCAGTCTGGCCCCTTTCACCCTTTGCCCATCACACAGATCTGTCAAACTATGCCGATTAATAGCGGAAACTTTGTTTCCATGCCTTGCCTGTGTATCCATGCCTGTGTAGTCTATCCAGATTGAAATAGCTTTGATCTTCAGATAACCAAAACATCCAGTGGAAAATCCCTGTTGTACTGATCAGCTTAGCTTTTACATAATTGCGTCAAAAGTGTTTTAAAAGATCCATCCGATCTCATAAAGCATCACTCAATGATCTTCCCTGACCAAGTGCACCAATCAAACCAAATCAATACACTTATTTAATACCTGTGTCCGTCTTGTCTCTCCAGATTGAGATAGCGTCTGTATGTGTTTAGGATGCTGGGATGCGTGTATGAGTGGTTCTGGTGGGATCGGCTCTGGCTGCCTGAGAACGTGACCTGGGCAGACCTGGAGGACAGGGAGGGGCGGGTCTATGCCAAGCCCTCACACCTGTACGCCACTGCCCCCCTCACCGTAGGCTTTCTGATCGTGCGGTTCATGTTCGAGAGGTAGGACTGACACTCACAGATAGCCACGTGTGTATTTTTTATCATATATCTGCATTTAGAGTCCTTCTATAGGATTTATGTCCTCCTACGGCTTAATAATGTAATCCTCATTTAGATCTATGCACAGCAAAAAGTGATAAAGAAATAAGTTAAAAATGCTTAAATCAAGTGTTTTTTTTTTCTTATTTTGAGTACTTTATAACATTCTGATTAGCCCTTTAGTATTTTTTCAATAACTGTTGCTTTATTTACTCATTCCAATGGAGAGATTTCTTTTATCTTTTCAAAATAAATCATTTTACTTGTCCCATTGGCAAATCTTGTTTTAATGTAGTCAAAAAATGCTTAAATTAAGATACATTTTGCCAATTTATTGCAATTTTTCACTTATTTTCATCAGTTTTTTGCAGTGTGGAAACAGTGTACTTTGAGAACAAGCATTATCGAGAATGTTAAAGCAGATTTACCTAACTTTGAAACTCGTAATATCGTAATTACCACGCTATAGCCACAACCTTTTTTCTAGTTATTTTTATTGTAATATTTTGATTCTAGGGAAAACACCACAGCTCTTGTCTAAATGTGAATGCTGGATTTAGCATTCATGTATTTATGTATGTCTCTTTTAGAACTGACTGTATGAGGGGTATAGTTTGTCTGTAAAGCACATTGTATTTCAGACGGGCTGTTTGGATAAGGCGGTTCACAGAAGACCAAATGTTTAGATCCTGTAGCACGCAGCTGGACAAATGTGTTCTTTCTTTGTGTGAAAAGTTTGAGATGAACTGAAATAAACAAGTGAACAATGCAAAGTACAATTATGGTCTAATTTAGAGTGGAGGAAGTTTTGGCATGGTTCCATCTTATCATGTTGGATCTTTCATGATAGGTACGTTTTTAAAGGTACACTGTGTAGTTGTTCCTCCCATCTACAGTTGAGATCATAGAATAATAATAATGCATCGGTTTTATATAGCGCTTTTTTGGACACTCAAAGACGCTTTACACGTCATTATTCATTCACTCCATACACGGTGGTGATAAACTACTACTGTAGCCAAAGCTGCCCTGGGGCACACTGACAGAAGCAAAGCAACCAGTATGTGCCATCAGCCCCTCTGACCAGACACACAAGACTCCTTCTAGGCAATGGGAGTAAAGTGTGTTGCCTAAGGACACAACAGCAGTTTGGCACTTTACAGTTGCAGCCGCCCCACTGTGGCACCTGGTGTTCCCAGAGGTTAAGTGTCTTGCCAAGGACACAACGACAGCAGACAGTGGGAGTCGATGGTGAAGGTCGGGCTCAAACCCACGACCCTCTACCAATGCTCTACCAACTGAGCTACTGTGTATTTCAAGATGGCGCATTGACATGTAGAGTCCTCCAGCTCTCATGGACATTTAGAAGTCAAATTCTAATTCTATGACAACAATTCAAAAACATGGTGGAGATTAATATTCTTATAAAAGTCACATTTGTCATTGGTTAACATGTTTTTTTCATTTGGAGCAACTGTAAAATTACACAGAGTACCTTTAAGATAATATTGAAAATGGGGACTGAAGTTGAAAATTAGCTATAGCTATAATCTCTTTTTGCATCTCATCATTTACAAGCTTGTTTTGTTCTATAGGACTTGCAAGGTCCCTGTCAAATACATGAATGAATAAATTAAACTATACAAGCCACAACACTGAAAAGTTGGCTCCTGATGAAAAGGAATTATAGTTTAGAGACTGAAAAAAACTAATATCAGCCTACTTAAAGCTGCAACACCTGACTTTTTTTTTCATAAATATTACACTGTATTTATCCCAACATAAAGAGTCTTGTGTAAGTAAGTCATTTATATATTTATAATGTTTATCAGACCACATATTCTACTTTGTGAGTCACTATTTGACTCTTTGAGCTGGTTGAGATGACAGAGTCCTCTCGTTCACTGTGTTGAAAGTGAGTCACAGTACATGGACGTGTAAAGAAATAGTTTAAATAGGATTTCATGACATAGTTTGATTCCAGTGGTTTTAAAATGCCCCCCAGCTTGAACTGTATCAATGATGTTTAATAAAATAGGCTTGTGCTGTATTTTTTTATTAGATTCTATAACATATTTCTGTAATTGTCGTTGTTTAGATGGATAGCGACTCCCTTGGCATTGAGGTTAGGTGTGAAGAGAAAAATCTGTGTCCAAACTGAAGAAATCCCAGTTCTGGAGCATTTTTACTCCAGACAGAGCAAACAGCCTTCACAGGTACGGTTTAACTCTGAAATTACATTATATTACATTTTTTGCATTTTCAAATATACAACATAAGAAGAAGACACAAACAGTATGTGTGTGTTATCAGTAACCATTTGTGTCATTTTGGGCTTAAAATCCGTGGTTTAGTGCTCTCTATGATCCTTGGAGCCATTAGGATTGACCAATCAGATGCTTTCATTCACAGGGTAAACTCCTACTTTCCTTAGCAACCACCTAGCGACACTTCTGCCCCTATTATGGCACAAAGCTAACTCAGAGCAAATGTCTCCAGCTAGCTTCTGTTCAAATCTGTGAACACCGTGGTGACATCAGCACTCGGTCAGTCCTAACATTGTTCTATTGTCCAGATTAAATTAAGAAAAACATGGCAACAAATAATAGACAAATGTAAGTGGCTTATGGTCCAGTAAAGTACAGTACTTACTTGCCACTTCTGTTGGATCAGACATGACTAAATCCATGTGTCTCAGGCAGACGTGACGGGTCTGAGTAAGAAGACCGCTCTGAGCCTCAGGGAGGTGCAGCGATGGTTCCGGAGAAGGCGGTGTTTGGACCGACCAGGAGTTCTGAGGAAGTTCACCGAGGCCTGGTGAGTCCCGTGGACACGAACTTATATTACTCATTGGACGACCAGAACTCCCAGAGCCTTCCTTTAGTCACTTTTCAATGAAAAATTACAGACCCACAACATTTAAATCTTGAATAACAACATTGGTACATTGTGGAGTAGTGTGTCCACAACTTGTATTATCTTATTTTATTATCTTAAATTATTTTTTTTAAACAATATACAACCAGCCTCTGTCTGTGTTCACAGCTGGAGGTTTGTCTTCTACCTGTTTGCGTTCGGCGGGGGGATTCTGGCTTTGTACGACGTGAGTCAAATTTTTTGGTATAATTGAGTTGATTGAAATGTTTTAAAATAAGACATATTTCAACAGTTACTTTGAAAAGCCTTTATGCACTTCAGTGATTTAAGCATATTTGAGAAATAAATCAATCCATAACCTGTTTTTTGATGCCCAGTACAGGCATTTTGGCTCAATTGTCATAAACCCCCCCCAAAAAAACACGGAAACAGCTGCCTATTAATGTTTATGGTGGTCACAAATTAGCACTAAAGTTTTCATTACAGGAGTTTATAAACTTTACTTTATCATATTATGAAAACAATATGATAATGAACGGTTATTACTTATTGTCTAAGGCCCTATCAATTTGGTTTATAATGTTTTAATATATCCATGCTAATGACCCAATCTCTTACATGTATGTTTTATGTTTTGTTTTGAAGAAAGAATGGTTCTATGACACCAAAGAAGTATGGACAGACTTTCCGAAACAGGTACGTGGCCTGGTAAACTCATGTGGTAGAGATAATGTTTCTCAAACTGGGGTTCCCTGCGGTTTACAAGGACAAGCTCATCCACGAGTCTCCTTCTAAATAAGACTTTGTTGCTTCATAAAAAATAATTTTGTGTGACGAGCCAACGCAATGTGAAAAGTTTGATAACCTCTGAGTTAGACAAGAATATATATATTATTTTAATTAGATAAAATTAATTTTTGTAGGGACCTAGATCACAACATTAGTTATCTTGGAGGATTTTACAAGGCTCTTGATTGTCTATCTCTCTATCTATCTAAAGTGGGCAAATAGACCAATGGCAATGTTGTATTAAAATGAAGGAATTTTGAAAATACCAGTTGGAGTGCCGCAGGTCTATTTACCAACATTACATCGCCTGCTTTTATGTAAATATCTCTATTAGGGGTCGACCAATTATTGTTCCGATGTCGACCAACATCTATGTCTGTATTGGACGCTTTTTGTGTTCGGATGTTTCAGTCTAGTCCAGCACAGGTCAACACAACAGCTGTACCTCGCATTGTAACAAAGTCCTACAGTACAAGTGAAAATAAAAATATTGTATTTAATTCTCTAATTCAACTCTGTGAAACGTATACATAGACAAATGACATGCAAAGTGACAGATGCCAAGACTATGTTTGTTATAATGTAGAATAGATGATTAAGGCCCAAAGTCCGTTTTCAAAATATTCTAATGATCTGAGATGTTTAATTTGGGTTTTTCAGCTGTGAGCCATAATTATCAACATTATAACAACTACAGGCTTGATACATCTCACTTTGCTTGTAACAAGTCGGTCATGCATTCGTTTCACATTGTAAGATTGAAGTATAGAAGTAAATGGACTTTTAAACAACATTCTACTTTTCCGACTTTCACCCGTATGTCCCTGAACGGCATCAGCATCTGTTCCCTGTGATATCTCTGCAACACACTAGTGACATCACACACCAGTCTGTACAGCATGCGTCATTATGATTCAGGCATTCAAACAAGGGTAGAAGTTAGGCATAATAACACTTTTTGACACTTATTTTAATTGTTACTTCAAATTAGTATCAGCTCTATTCTATTCAATGTATTTTTGTATTGTCTGTAAACCACAGCAGTAGTTTTCTGACTTCGGAGGACTTTACAAAGACCACAGATCAGAGATTCAAACCATTCAAACACATGAAAGACAATTATATAAAAATAAAAAATAAAACACATAGAGCCATTGGTCCATAAGGGGCTGATGACTAAAGTTCATAAATGTTGATAAATGTTGATAAATGTCGTTAAATGTCGAGTGTCCTGGATCATCATCAGTGTCCTTCCTGCATCGGAAAGTAACAACTCTCTTTGGCCTCCTATTGACACCTATTTTTCAGTATCGGCCCTGGAAAAACCACATTGTGTCTATTTGATCTATTATATAATTATATGGTGAATACACACCAATGGTCTTTATGTCCTCAGTCCATGTTGGCCTCGCAGTACTGGTACTACATCCTGGAGATGAGTTTCTACTGCTCCCTGCTGCTCAGCGTCACTTTCGACATCAAGAGAAAGGTTCCTCTCACTAACAAGCACACATCCATATACTGTAGTTATTTTTTGTCTCTAGTAAAAGAAAAACAACAACAAAATCAATGTAGAACAACAGTACAATAACACAATACATTGAAATATGGTAATAACACGGTATATTATAGTAATATAATATGGTAATACATTAATACACACACAGATAAAGATTACATACTTACTTTGACCCAGTTGTGATTGGATACAAACATACCAGAACATAATATCCAAACTTTATGAAGACAAAAGAAAAAAAATATGTAAAAAAGAAGAAAAACATCTTCTGGCCTCAATCAGACCAAAATGAGTGAGACACCCCTGGTTTACACCAATTGCGTTGTTTTCCAGGATTTCCGGGAGCAGATCATCCACCACTGTGCTACCCTGGTGCTGCTGTCCTTCTCCTGGTGCGCCAACTACATCCGTGTGGGGACCATGGTGATGCTGGTGCACGATGCCTCCGACGTGCTCATGGAGGTGGGTGGGGCCTTCTGTGGGTGGGGTCTTCTTTGGGTGGAGCCCTCTGTGGGTGGGGCCTTCTGTGGGTGGAGCCCTCTGTGGGAGGAGCCTTCCCTCTGTGGACTGCTTTAATTCTTGTCTTAAAGTAGAATGTTGATGTATGTAGGATATTGTTGTAGGATATTGTTAAGGAAATGACCCGCAAGAATCAGTACGCTTGAATCCGCCAAAAAACACTACACTACAATACAATACTATTTATTCTTGTAGCCCTTAATCACAACAGAAGTCATCTCAGAGGACTTCACCAAACCATTGAAATCACCAACACAGATCAGAGAATCAACTGTTGAAACACAGAAAGAATATAGAACAATAACAAAATGTCCATACATGTTATAGAATGTTTAAAGTGTCCTGGATCATCACCACATCCTTTTTGTTGGACACTAACGGCAAGGAAAAACTCATAAGGAAAAACCCAGTGAGAAAAAAATGAGAAACCTCGGGAGACCCACATATTGAGAAAGGGATCCGCTCCACACGGACGGACGGGCTTTAGATCCAGGACCTAAGCTGGACCCTCACTACCAATAATGAGGGTCTCTGAGAGTAATGTTGGTTACGAAAACCTGCACTGGGAGAGAAAATCCCCCTCTCTGGGAGGAGGCGTGTGACAGCTGAAACATTCTTTAATCACCACATTTATTCTCTGGCTTTCAAAATTGTTGTGTGACCCTCATTTGAGTGTTTTTTTTATTTTATTTACATGTTTTTGTCTGATTTCATTTAAGACTTGTATGTTTACATGTTTTACTTGTGTCTCTGTGCAGCTCCGGGTTGAAAACGGTTACTTTTTGTGTGGAAAATACACATAAAACGGGCCATATTATTAAAACGTATTGGAACAAAGTGCCTCAGCACATACTGAACTCTCGCTCCGTTTCAGTCGGCCAAGCTCTTCAACTACGCCAAATGGGAGAAAACCTGCAACTGCCTCTTCCTTCTGTTCACTGTTATGTTCTTGTGTACACGCCTCGTCATTTTTCCATTTTGGTGAGAACCTTCATAATGTTTGCTTTGTATATTTTAACCCTTTACTGCACGGACTTTTGTGAGGCTGAGGTGATGTAATTTTGGTCTCTGGTGACGCATTTACTTGATTTGTAAGTGGGAACAATCTGCGCAGAAAGATCAAACTCCAAAGTAATAATAATGATAATGCATTGGTTTCATATAGCGCTTTTTTGGAAACTCAGAGACGCTTCACCTGTCATTATTCATTCACGCTATGCTGGTGATAACTGCAACTACTGTTGTAGCCACAACTGCCCTGGGCCACACTGACAGAAGTGAGGCAATCAGGATGTGCTATCTGCCCCTCCCACCAACTACCAACCTTTCACACACACACCAGACTCATTCTAGTCTTATAATAAGATCTGTTTTTTTAGACAGAAAAGTGACAAAGATAGGACCACCCTCACTCAGCCAATCAGCTCTCAGGCCAAAGAGTCAAAAAGTGACTCACAGGGCTTGCACTCGTATGCAAAAGATAACGTGTTTTTTCTACTTAGATGAAGACAGAATGTAGTGCCTTATCTGTTCACAATATGTTCCTTTCCCCCTTTTGATTGAGACAAACAAAATTTATTATTTCTGAAAGACGTTTGACACCCCTTCCCTAAAAACAGGAAACAAAATTGTTTATTGAAAATTGAAATGCTAGAGTTGACTGCTAGATAACCAGTCAAACCTTCAAGTGAGGCTTGAAATCAGTCACTGTTCTACATTTATGCTATTTTTACTTTGACAGATGTGACCTAGAAGTTTTAACTGGCTCAAAGACATTTCTGGTATATATTTTTTTGCTTAGAGAAGACTCAAAAGGAGGATCTAACTGACTTGTGTCATCAATAACATCGGTTTTGCTCAATCATAACTTTTCTCATGTTCTATATATTCAATTCCATTTTATTGTGCTGTATGGAAAATATAAGTTTGAAATAAAGAACACAGGGGTCCTTGATGATCATGGTATTTAGAAAACAGACCACCATAATTGGAAAAGGTTCTTGTTTACAGCACAAGATATCGTGTAGTAAATGTTCGACATAGATTTATTCTTGGTTAACCCTAAATCAGTAGTTATCTCAGAGGACTTTACACAACTGTTGAATTCGCAAACACAGATCAGAGAATCAGGCATTTCAAACACAAGAAATAAAACAGAAAACATATTGGTATTGGTGCAAAAGGGGCAGATGACCAAGGTCCATAAGTGTTGTTGAATGTTGAGTGTCCTGGATCATCATCACTGGGATATAAACAAAAAACTCTAAACGTACAGTATCAAAGCGTTTATGTTGTGTTTGTTTGTCTTTTGTCCCAGGCTGATCCACTGTACCTGGGTGCATTCATGCCAGGATTACCCGCCCTTCTTTGGGTACTACTTCTTCAACATCATGCTGCTAGTTCTCCAGGCCCTGCACGTATTCTGGGCTTACCTGATCCTCCGCATGGTGCACAAGTTTTTCTTCGGCAAGGTCAGACCTCCTTCTAACACCCTCACTACTGCAGTTTTACTTCGAGGCACTTTTATAATGTATCAAAGAGAAGATACTTCATGAGGTGTCCAGTCCTATATTAACTGTAGCAGGGATGTGTTACTATCATAGACTATATATCGGGGGGTGTCAAACCAGTTCCAGAAAGGGCTGGTGTGGCTGCAGGTTTTAGTTCCAAACTGAGCAGGAGTACACTAATCTCAAGTCCTCAGGTTAAAATCAAGCCCCGGCGATGAAATCAATGGCTTGTGTTTATTGGCACATGAAAGGTCTACCCATATTTGCTCATGCCTCTGGTCCTACCGGTTCTTTGCAGTGGAAAAAAACCCATGATGCTTTGCGCCAAATACTAACAACATGATTGTGTGGCTCTCATGCACGTGCACAGAGGAGCACGGCAGCGTTCTGACCAATCAGAGCTGCTGATGAGAGCGAAGCTAGAGCGGGAGCAAAGTCAGAAGAGTTTGTTGTATTAATGTGTGGATTTAACAAGAAAAAAAAAGTTTAAAACATTTATGAAAGCTGTCTGTTCTCTGTCAGCTGAGATCGAGCTGTTTTAGTTTACATTGAGTTCTATGGGACATTTTTCTGGGTAGCCCACGTGAATTTAATCTTATTTAGTCTGCAGTACTGCGGGAAGCCATACGGATTCTTCCGCTATTAGCTAGTACCTTATCCAGTTATCATTATAGGTCCTGAGGAAATGGGTGGAGTCTGGTGTGGTCCTGCTCAGGTTGAAACTGACACCCTTTGAGTATCCGATTGACAACCACGCAAAACAGACACAACTGACAGACATTTCTAGTTGCACTTCCGGTGTCTGAATGTCTAGTAAAGTGAGTGCTGTCATCAAAGACCACCAAGTCTGTATTAGGTGCCACCAAGAGTTGAACTCCGATCACTGCATTCAGAATCCAGAGTACTAACCATTACACCGTAGAACCACATATTGCCTTGGAACACACCGGAAAACATTAACCGGACCATTTTCATTGGACGGTCCTACAGGAAGTGGTTCAGGTTGTTTTACTCATAATTGAGGGTTACTGCGACCTTGTGTTCACCGGGTCAGCAGTGAAACTGTAAATAGACAAATGCTTTTTGTGGTTCTTTTGAAAGACAAGTTTATATGTATTTCCTATATGCAGAGCTGCGAGCCATCTTCAGAAATGTTACCTGCCCTGGTGACGTGTCATTTTTCAGCTGAAATTACTTCTTGAGCTGATGTTACTTCTTGAATAGGCCTGATTGACCTGACAGATATATTGTAAATAAACAATTATATACAGGTCTGACCAAGATTCCAATTGAGTTTGTCACAATCCTGGGGCCTAACTGGCTTGATAAGAGGGAAATATTGTCAATGTTAAACAACTTTAACTGAGGTTCCACTGAGATTTGAACTCAGATTGCTGGATTCAAAGTCCAGAGTGCTAACCATTACACCATGGAACCACATAGTCATAAAGGGGAAAAAACTCATAGAATTTTTACTGGACGGTTCAGACCTGAAATATTCTCCAGTCGATTCAAAAATGAAATATTTAATCCAATCCACTTTAATGATATAGCACATTTTATAAAACACATTTCCAGTGCTGCACAGATAAAAGTATCACATTACAATATACATGTCTACCAGCTTTAGATAAAAACAATTACAATAAAATTAAAACGATTAAAATAATATAAAAAAAACAGTTTAAATGAAATCAAAACTCTAAAAATCGAATAAAAATAAGTGATCTCATCAAAAGGAAAAAAAAAAATCTTCATCCCTTGGCATTTTACCTTCTCTATTCCGAACTTATTCTGTTGTGATTCCTGACGCAGCTTATCAAAGACGAAAGGAGCGACAATGAGGACGAACATATGAGCGCGGCGGAGGAAGATGCAGCAGAGGAGGAGGAGGAGAACGAGGAGGAGAAGGAGGGTCACTATCGAGGAAAGCTCCAGGACAAGGGTCAGAACGGCTGCTCCCAACTCTTGCCCCCTCCTCACACCCACTGCCCCTCCAAGACCGTGTACTGACCCGTGCTGTCAGCCCGAGAACCTGAGTTTTAACAACACTTAACACACAAGTATTTTGTATGGATGACAAGGCCCTGGATGGTTTGTAGCTATTTTGTACAAAGGAAACTTAGAAATTACAATATTGTTCAAAGGTTCATCCATTTGTGTCATACAACTTATGTCAGAGCTGCCCTTTGGCACACTGACAGAAGCAAGGCAACTAGCCTTTGCCATCGCACCTCCGAGCATCACAACCACATGCCACTGTGGTCCCCGGTGTTCCCAGAGGTCTCCCATCACAGGATTAACCAGGCTTTTCCCTACTTTGTTTCTGAGGTCTGGCAGATCTGACATTGCGCTACATCAACGTATGATACAGACTCATTACCTGCAAAGTGACATATGCCTTTGTTATAATGTGGATGATTATGGCTTATAGTAAAGGTTGGCTTGTGGTTATTTTAAACATATTATTGTTAAAAACCAAGCATGCTCGTGGACCTTTTTGAGCCGGGACTCACCATGGCCCCTCCAAAGCCCCCCCCAATGGAGAGAATCTGAATCAGAATTCTTTTTATTGTCATGTAAGTAACAGGACATCAACAGAAAACTTCTACAATGTGAAGTCACTGCACTTCATTTTTCCTTTTACCTATGAATGTACAGTACTTTACAGACTGTGGGTGATTTAGGTACATTTTTGCATCATAAAAATATGTAGGAGAATAATACCTATTGGAATGATACAGAAACTTTACTCTGCTCCAACTCCTTGTGTTTCTTTTTCCCCAATATTGGGCTGTGAGTATTTTGTGAGTTGATCGTTAATATTGTGATCTTGTATCAATATCCCTTATTCCATACGATTATGTAGCATTATTTATAGACGTGTCCCCAGCTGTTTATATTTAAAATAATTGTGTTTCTAATTTGTGAAAACAGAACGTTGCACAGTGCATAGTGCATAGTGCAATTACATTTAAATCCACTGGGGGCGCTGTCATTCGGTCTGCATATGTATTTGTGTTTCTTTGTTCAAACATGTACATATTGAAGGTCACACAGCAATGTAAGAATAAAGGAACGTATCTAAACGTGTTTGATCCAGCTGCTCACCAGTTTATTGTGTAATTATGAAGTCACGGATTTTAAAAAATGAATACAGTTCATTCATTTCTGAAAACAGAAGCAACTAGACTTCTGAACAAATATTCTAATTTTAATATTCTCAGTTCAACCTGTGTATTTAAGTTAACTCTCAGACTCCCACAATTATGGAACTGCTGGAAATCCCAGAGCCGTCATTTTGACTGCTCCCATCATTCAAGTAATTTATGTTGGGTTTTTGTTATTGTAGCAGATAGTATTTGGTTATTTTTTGCTAAAGACAGATGCAAACTGCTGACAGTAATCAAACACAGTTTCAAAAATAATAAGATAATAAATAACCGAAAAAAGTCATAAAGTTATGAAAACTAAAAAGGTACATACACAAAGAACTTTAACTAAAAGCTGTCAATTTGACTGCTCTGGGAGTTCAAGTTTAAATCTTAGAACTACATGAAAATGGCCATTGCAGGACGGTCATAGCAAAGCACAAGTGAAGCCTGGTGCACTGCAAAAAAAGGTTAAACATGAGGTAATAAATGCTTGAATCAAGGCTTTTTCATCTTAATATGAAAGGAGTGAGTTATCATTATTTATAGAGCACACTTTTACAGAGCAATGTCACCCAAAGCAAAGGATCCATGATAAGATATTGTTCCATTCACCCCACTCAGACCTATTGTGCACGTTTTTAGTCGTAGGTGAAACCAGAGCACAGAGAGGAAACCTATACAGACAAAGGGAGAACATGCAAACTTTAATCAGAGGGCCCTGTCCCAACCAGGATTCAAACTCAGAACCTTCCTGCTGAGAAGCAAGAGTGGTATCCACTCAGCCACCGTGTCAAGTGAAAACCACATTTGAGTACAAGTATTAAAACAAGATTTGCCGATGAGACAAAGCCACAGAAATCAATCAGTTTTTATTGCCATTGTAAGAAACATGAAGTCACAAACTCGGAATGCTGCTTTGGCTCAAGGCAAAATCGACGAACGACTAAAAAGGTAAAGACGTGCATAAAAAAATCTTCCTAGCATTTCTTAAAATTACTACAACACACAAGTGCAATAAGTACACACAATAGACATTTAGCTGTGCGGTAAAGTGACACTGCAAAAAGTGATAATAGGTACTGCTTGAATCAAGTGGGTTTTATGTTAGCTTTCAATACATTTTGTACTGTCCAAAGCTCCAGTGGCGCAATCGGTCAGCGCGCGGTACTTATAAGACAGTGACCTGCAGAGTGATGCCGAGGTTGTGAGTTCAAGCCTCACCTGGAGCATTAGAACTTATGTTAAATTGTCCATTGTGAGATCAGTACATCTTACATTCACACTGTGTAAAAACAAGATTTGCCAATGGGACAAAGCCATTTAGTCTTATTTCAAGAACTGTTGCTCAATTTTCTCATTCATTTAGAGACATATCTTGTATCTTTCTAAAATAAGATCTATTTGCTCGTCCTATTTGCAATTGTTGTTTAAAGGCAGTCAGAATGTGCTCAAATGAAGATGCATTTTGGCATTTTTTGTCTTATCTTTTCACTATTTGCAGTGTGCTACAAAATAAATAAGTATAACACATGTTCACAGATACAATTTAAGACTGAGTGAATGGCACTCTGGGAGGCACAGTGGCTGAGTGGATAGCACTTTCGCCTCTCAGCACGAAGGTCCTGGGTTCGAATCCCAGTCGGACCAAGGCCTTTCTGAGTGAAGTTTGCATGTTCTCCCTGTGTCTGCATAGGTTTCCCCTACCACTAAAAATATGTGCAATAGTTCTGGCATGTGCCTCCTGTACAGGAGACCCTGCTCCTATCTCTGTGAGGAGTGAGAGACAAATGCCCAAAATTAACAATTGTAACCTGTGTTGAGACTCAGATCTGCAGTGAAAAGGTGATATAGAAATAATGATTACTACTTATCAGCAAGAAGTAAGTGGGTTCAATTCCCGGTCGCAACAGGGCCTTTCTAAGTGGAGTTTGCATGTTCTCCCTGTATATGCATAAGGTTTCCTCTGGGTGCTCTGGTTTCCCCTGCCACTAAAAACATGTACATTAGGTCTGAATGTGATGAGTGCATGGTGTTGGTTGGAGGCTTTGATGCCAGTTTGTGAAGTGATCTCTGAACTTTGTACATTGCTTTGGATGACCTTGGTCTGTAAAAATGCTCTATAAAGATTACTCACTTACTTACTACTATATCTATTAGAAGAATGGGCAGTGTGCTTGCTCCAAAGACCAGGGGAACATTGCCTAGTAACCTGTGAAGCCTATTCATAGCCGCACATGTCAGAGGCAGCCTGGAGGTCCTGCCCTCGCGCCGCTCACCGTGGCCCTAGGCAGGAGACGGGCACCGGGGGCCAACACGCTCCACTGTATTTAGTCTCTTCTTATTGGCTTTACCGCGGTCGTCATCCATTCACTATGTCAAATATGTGACCAATGCAACAACACACCATCCACTGAAGGGCTGGGGTCATCTGCCCTCTGCTGTCTGCACCCTGCTCCACCACTCTATTTAGACCAAAACGTCTGTCGCTGATTCAAAAGGGTTCGTAAAGTATATTCTGTCATTTCCTTTGGGATCAATAAACGTTATATTATCTATTGTCTATATTTTATTTATTGTTGCTAAAGAATCACATTAATGTTTGATGTAGATGCATTACCTGTGCATAATTAATACACTGCAAAAAGTGATACATTCTGACTGTGTTAAAACAGGATTTGCCAACATTTCAAAAACTGAAGCCTTATTTTCTCATTCCAATGAAGTTAGTCTAGTTTCTTTTTAAAACAAGATCATTTTGCTTTGTCCCATTGGCAAATCTTGTTTTAGGGCAGTCAAAATGTGCTCAAAATGAAATACACTTAGTCAAATGTATCCAATGTATTACTTTTTTCATCACTTTTTTCAGTGTAATGTACTACATTAAATTTGTCTTTCAAAAAAAACACAAATAACAACATTGCAATCCGCTATTATGTGCATGTAAAGTTGACATAAGCTATTTTCCATTTTCCTTCCTCCCTTGTTTTTAAGCATTAGACAGGGAACCCATTTAAGAGTATATAGACAATGTAGAATGTGTTTTTATTGCCATTGTAAGTAACAGGAAGTCACAAACTCAGAATACTGCTTTGGCTCAAGGCGTAATCAAGTTGTATAAATAAAAAAGGTAAAGGCGTGCATACAGAAATCTTCCTAGCATTTCTTAAAATTTCAACTACTTAAAATTTCAAAAGCTCCAGTGGTGCAACCGGTCAGCACGTGGTACTTATAAGACAGTAATTGCGAAGTGATGCCAAGGTTGTGAGTTCGAGCCTCACCTGGAGCATTTTGTAAATTTGTCCATTGTCAGATCAATAAAGTTAATCTTATCTTACATTCTGACTGTCTTAAAACGAGATTTACCAAAGGAACAAAACCATTTAGTCTTTCTTCAAGAACTGCTGCTTTATTTTCTCATTCCATCTTTTTAAAACAAGATAATTATGCGATAAATATTTGGTAATACTTAGTTTGAATAATATAGGAGACATTTACTGCATGTTATTTACTGAACACAGATGCACTTTTCTGATGCCCTGTACATTGAAGGATTTTTTTTAAATAAATGTCAAGTGCCTCAGATTTTTCCTAATTTCTGCTATTTTCATCATTTAAACTATTGTTTTGAAAACTGGGGGATATGTTGCAAAAAAAGAAGGGTTTTTTCTAAATGTCCACTATAGGCATCATTGTAATCCACTGCCCTCGCTGTGTGAATGAGAGGTTCTGCTGCTGTCAGACTGTACAATGAGACCTGCTGAGTCTATACATGTGCCGCTCACTTGTTCTGATAATTCACTAGTCACTTTACTATTCGCCAGTCATTTTACCTGTTGTCATTATGATTACTAATGTCATGGTTTAGGTTTATTTCCTGTTTTATTTTGTAATAGTTTGAATCCCTATTGGTTTAGTTGTACTTCCTGTTGTGTGAGTACATGCCCCGCCCTCATGTTCCTCACCTGTGTCTTAGTATTGTATTAGTCCCGTGTGTTCCTTCACTTCCTGTTCCGTCAGTGTCATTACTTGTCTGTCTTCTGTGACTTTTTATCACTAGATTTTGTCTATTTTATTTAATTTAATCCATAATTTGTTCTGCGTTCTGCGTTTCGGGTTATTTTCCTTTTGGCTCCGTGAGGACTACAATATTATTACATACATCTGATATTTTTATCATTTTGTCAATTTACCTACTGCTGTTATTATTATTGTTTATTTATATTCTCTGCTGCTAATATAGTGCAAGTACAGCTCCAGTGTTTTATTTTATTTTATGATCTTATTACTTTAGTATATTATTTTATTTGCATTTATTATCTTAAATAATATATCCTGTTTGTGTGTGTAATCTTTGTGCTCTTATTTCCTCATTTCTTTTATTCTGCTGTAATGTGCAACAATGACATTGAAATTTCCCCACTGAGGGACAACTATAGGGACATCTTATTTATCTTTTATAGCAATGAAAGAACTTTAGCTGTGGGACTGTATTGACTTTAAAACATATTATTGTAGTGAATCAGGAATCTCTCTGCACCTACAAAACTACATGTGCTAAACTTCTTCCATGATCGAGATGCTCATCAAAGTCTTGATGATGTGTGCTTGAAAATAGAAATACTTTCAAATAAATGTGTATCTCGGTGAGAGGAGATGCTATTTGGAATATCTTGATAATTGGATCAAGATGTTTGTTTTTGTTTGATGTCTTTCTTATCTGGGCCTCTTGTCTGTAATAAAGTTTAATAATAAAAACCTTTCCAAACCATTTCCTGGTTTTAGTGAGTATATTACCTGGATAGAAAAATATATATTAATTTGATTCTAAAGAATAAATAAGAGCCAATGGAGAAAGTATAAATTAGAATAATGACTATTGTGGGAGGAAGGATGAAATATAACGATTAAAATAATTATAATCAGTTTTAAAAGTTCACACTCATACTGCAGATGTAGCCTATAGGTATCTTAGGAATTATTATGTCTTGGGGGTTGCAAAAAATCCTGGTTTATCATGTATAAATCGGTGGAGATAACATAGAATGTGTTGGGTATGGGTTCTGTGATAACATCCATCCATTTTCTTCCCCTTAATCAATTTCTGGGTCGGGGGGGTGGCAGTCAGAGCTGCACCCAATTCACAGAGCACCAGCCCCTCACTGATCCTCCTGGAGGGGGTGAGTCCAGAGGAGCCTTGATCTTTCAGCGGGGGCTTCAGGCAAAGTGTTTTGCCCAATGACACAACAACAGCAGTCATCAGTGGCAGTCGGGAAGTAGGTCTTGTGGTGGGCTTGAACCCAAAGGCCAATGCTCAACCATCTGAGCCACTGTCGCCCCCTCTGTGATAAAATGAAGCTGATATCCTGGTATCGGCTTTGAGATTAGAGAACAGTTGGATTCTAGTTCCATGTTGAGTGGTTTGAAAGTTAGGTATCCTCTGCATTGAGTCATTTTCATTTATATTGACATATTTCATCAGGATTCATTACATTTTTGAAATAAATGTGAATAAGTGAATGCGGCGGTGTTTTGTGCCTGGAATGGCCTCCTCCTGCGAGACAGGCCTCTGCTGTCAACACACCGACCAATTAGTGACTGATTTTAACCCACCAGGCCAAAGCATCATTTTTTGCAACATATAAGTTTGAAGAGAACAAGATGCTATTTCAGTCCTGTCGCTGTTGTTGTGGTTTATTTTGGATATTATTCAATCAAGCTGTTTATTTTAACACATGTACAAACAGATACAATTAGCAGAATCATTAACACGTAGCAGCAGATATCAGAAGATAAAGTATCAACAATGGGATCAGTGCATCCCTAAAAGTTATGCAATGAATCAAATTTGAAAATGTTGTGTATATTCTAAATGATTGAGATCATGAATGGAGTCTACTGCTAATTATGGAACGAAAGCGGAATTTCAGATTGGAAGACTTGGAAATGGTTCTCAGTGGTCACTCTCACCTGCCACACACCTGCACCTGCGCTCATCACCTTCAGCCTCAGCCTCAGTCACAGATCTGGGCTCATCTGCATCCCTTCAACGCTGAATTTAAACAGAGTTTCTCAGTCCTGAGAAGCACTCATGATCTTATACTTACTTATTCGTGTATCATTATATCAACAAGGGTATTTTAATTCATGACTAAAATAGAAAAGGTCAGGGAAATATATTTGGCATAATCACATCATTTTACACCTGAATGGAAAAATGATGATTGTCCTTATTATGTCTTTAATATCGAATCCTGAAACAATAATTCCCAACTCTAACAGTAATTTCCCCCTGATAAAAAAATCAATGTTTGTCCCAACAGAAAATCAGAAAGTAAAAAGTTGTCAACAAACCAGACCAGATTTTGTCTTTATTGTTTTCTTTTGCATATTGTAAGGAAGAGCCATGTGAGTCATTATTAGAGACTTTGGGCTGAGACCTGGTTGGCTGAGTGAAGACGGTCCGGATTTTTATTTTTCCCATTTTTGGTCTGAAGTGACAGTCTGAAAAATGTATGCATGCGAAAAGTATAGTGACAGGACCAAACAGTTCTAATAAAAACTATACCTATATGTACTATATTACAAGGTTTTTTTGTAGGTTTAGGTACACCAGCTTTAAAGTCATAACTGCAGCATTTGCAAAACTTTCTAGCATGCATTTTTACATACTGCATCTGAGGACCCCTGCTTCTCTCCAAACTCATTGCACTTTTTGCGGGTGGCACAGATCTCCCAAATCTCGCACACGAGTTTACACACACACACACTCCGCTCTAGAAGCCAACCTTTTTTCCCCCTAAAACCACGTGTAGGGTTTCATGCCTTGACAGTGACGGGCAGCTGCTGGGGCCAATCAGGGGCCAGAGATTCTCGTGTTTCCTCGGCTCAGGGCGTCACTGCACCAATAGCAGCGGAACAGAGGGCAGCCCGGCCTGGGGGAGGCGTATCCAAGCTCTCCAAGGAACTCCAGCCAGATTTCTCCAACTTCTCCCTACATCAGTAAAAGTGTTGCCAGCACGATCGCATCCAAACCAGCCGCGTCAATAGCCCCCAGTTCTGGAGACGACCATGCGTCACAGCCATGCAGGCCTTCTACCGCTGCTGCTTCTCTGCATCGCGTTAAGTGGTGAGTCGCTTCTTTCCCTACGAACACTGGGCTTTGTGTGCTTCAGATGTAGGTCAGACCAGCCTTAAGTAAGTGACCCAGCGGCACATTTTGTTCGCGGTATAAGTCAGTGTGTGCGTGTGTGTCTGCTGCAGAGCGCACTGATTTTACGCGCAGAAACTTTTAAGCGCGTTTTTTGCTTTTTCTTCTTTACGCGCGGGTGTTACGTGGCTCTCGCTGGTCCCAGTGAGATCAATGAAAGAGTTGAGTTGAGTTGAGTTGAGTGCACTGCTGATTATAAACTTTTCCATCCGCAGCGCGCTGTGAGCTGGACACAGATGTGGTGGTCCCGACCCTGCTCCCCGGACCCAGGTCGGCGCACCTGTCCAGCCTCCGCATGCCTCGCTCTCCATCTTCTGCGGGATCCAGGTGGAATAGAACCAGCAGCAGGGACATCCTCGTGGCGCTGCCTGCGTTCGGGGGCCGGCTGGTGCTAAATCTGACCCGGGACGCGTCGTTTCTGTCGCGGGACTTTGTGGTGGAGGAGCGGGGCGGTGTGGAAGCAGAGGTGCGCAGGGTGACACAGGAGGAGCAGCTGTGCTTCTACACCGGCTCTGTGCTCAACCACTCCGGCTCTGTGGCGTCTGTCAGCACCTGTGGAGGTCTGGTGAGTACTGTTGCTGTGTAATAAACCTGCTATTTACAGATAGACATCCAAATTACATGGAGTTTGGTAGAAGTTTAGGAGGGTTCATCTTGTCTTCTTAGTATAATTAAGTGATTTTGTTTCTTCTAGACCAGTAAAAGTTTACTGGACGCTGAAGTTCAATTGAATTCATTCAAATATATTCTTGTATCGCCCTTAATCACAACAATAGTTATCTCGGAGGACTTTACAAAACTGTTGAATTCACTAACAAATTGCAATGATAAAAACAGATACAGCCATTGGTCCACAAGGGGCAGATGACCACTGTCCATAAATGTTGATAACTGTTGTTGAATGTTGAGTGTCCTGGATCATCACCACTGTCCTTAGACCGTCCTGCATCTGCAAGCAACAACTCTAATAAAAAACTAAATGGGAAAATCCTTGGGGTGGCCCACATTGAGGGAGGGAGCCGCTGTCTTTCGCATTGCTGCCTAGATTAGACAAGACTGGGCATTGAAACGCAGGTATGGCCTCAATATCAAACTCGCTGTCAAACACTAGCGTTTGGAGGAATTCAATCTGGGGTGCCACCCATTTCCCCCCGAAACAATCCACAGAGAGAGTCTTTATAATGTTGTGAATACATCAGGGCAAGTTGTCTTTTGCACACTTGTAAGAAAGAGTCCTGCAAGTAGCGTTTTGACAGGGTGGTCAAACCTTTTTTTCACCAATTTTTTGGCGGAAGAAGTTGATCGAAAGATGTGACACAGACTGAAAAAACGGACATGTAAATATTAGTGAAAGGCAAGGCAAGTTTATTTGTATAGCATAATTCATACATAAGGTGCTTCACAAAAGAGGAAAAGAAACTCTATAATAATTATCACAGTACATTAAAAAGAGTGAAGATACAAGCCTTCAGCTGCCTCCCCATGTTTAGTCCTGACTTTGGCACCCGCAGAAGGCCAGACAGAACCACACTAGTTATATAGAGGTTATTACATTATTGATTTTTGTGTGGTTTAATGTGAAATGTATATATCTAAGCTTTAAGGAAATAGATCTGCTCAGTGAGATGCTTTGTGAAATGAAGCTAAAGCAGTTACGGCAACAGCATCTGTCAATCACACACTGCCCTCACCTGGCAGCAATCTGGCACTGCCCGCATCAAGCGTCAAATCGCGAGGAAGCTCCATCCAAACAGCAGCTACATTTCTCAACCCTCCTCCTCCCCATCTCTGTCTCGTTCCAGGCCAGCTCCTTCATCCATCCCCTAGCTACCACCACCAGGGTTTAGACCCGGGGGATTTCATCTCATAAACTCTTTCCCTATCTGCAATCGTGCAGTGCTCTGCCGGGGTCTAAGCACCAAATACTAACCACATTTCTGTAAAGCAGCAATAAATGTAATCTTGAAAATATTTTCCTCAGAGACATATGTGTAATTTATGGAGAGTCCGCTTACTGCCAAACAATATACAATTCTATTAATAACCATGTTTTGTCTGTTCAAGTCTCTCCAGATTGAAATACCATGTGCAAGCTTAAGTCAGCCTTCTCTAAAGTCAGCCTTCTCTGTGATATTTGATTTCCCTCTGCATCATAGACAGGGATGGTCCACATTGGGGAGGATATGTTGTTCATCGAGCCTGTCCTCAAGTCCACTCTGCAGTCCTTCTCTGGCCACCAACACCGGGTCCAGAGACAGAAGCGCTCTGCTCCGGACCCCGGCTCGTCCAAGGACCAGCTCCGCTTCTGTGGCACTGAGCAAGGTGACTATGCCCTGTGACTATTTGCTACTTTCACCATAAAGATATAAACAATTATGCAAAAAGTGATAATTTGGGCACATTCTGACTGCCATAAAACAAGATTTGCCAAGGGGACATAAGCAAAAAATTCTTGCTTAAAAACCATAAAAGTCTTTCCTATTTTCTTGGAATGAGAAAATAAAGCCACAGTTCTTTAAATAAAATGAAATATAGTACCCCTTTTTATCCGCTGAGAAAATCGACATGCTACATTTCTGTGTTACTATACTTTGTAGAGTTACACGTCACGTAACTGTATTTAAATAGGGAACACGTGGAAGAGTTTGGTAGCTTCTAACGGGAGCTGATTTGGTACTATATAGTATGTGGAAGAGGCTGCGTTTGTGCTCCGTTTGCATGACAGAGCGCACGGACAAAGATCACACAGGTACATATCAACTAGTCTAAAGTAAGGTAAGAACATCTGTCAGTATGTAAAAACGGTGGCCTATTCCTTTAAGTTCTCTGATTCCTATACTTCTTGTCAAATGATAACAAGTACGTGTTTTTCACATTTTCCTGTGAATCTCACAAGCAGATTTACTCTCACAGACATTTGGCTTTAATATTATTTAATTTAAACACTGTGCATGTTGTCCTGGCATGAGTGTGTGAGTAAAGCCAGCCTCCACTGCTAAAAGAACATTAAATCTATGTGCACAGATCACATCATCAACAGCCGACTGTGGAATTATAGATAATTACAAAGGAAAGGCACGTGATGTCCACATTTTTTTTGTTCACATTTTATTCTCTGCTTTCTGATCTACAGTATGTGACTGTGGTGTGTGTTCTCAGGGCAGAGGAGAGCCCCCCGCAGCAGGAGGCACACTCTGGCCCCGCCTGAGGCCTACACGGTGGAGACTGTGGTGGTGGCAGACGCAGACATGGTGCAGTACCACGGGGCAGACGCGGCTCAGCGCTTCCTGCTCACCGTCATGAACATGGTCAGTTCACACACACACGTACGCACACACATGCGCATGCCTGCACACACATGCGCATGCCTGCACACACAAAACCAAAAAACCAACAGTATATTGGCAAATTTTGGAAACAAGGCTTGAAGAGGACCTTTACGCAGTTATTGAAAGAAAAGAAAAAACAGAAAAGTATTCTTTGTTCTGTTACTGTGTAAAAATACAAAAAACAAGGCACTCTCTTCCTTTCTAATGATACATGATTTTTGGACAATTTCATATATTATTTTACAAGCTTAAATGTCTTGTATCTAGTTATAACTGTTATATAACCAGTGAAATATTCCAGGTCACATCACAAATACATCTATGCTTGAAAAAAGTCCTACATCTTGAATAATAACCTAAATTGAAGTCATTATTCGCCTGAGGTGGGGCAAGGTGTTCTGTGTCAGACTCGGCACAGGACGGAGGTGAATGATATTTGGTGTGTTTTTAAAGTGAAGTTCTGTGTTTTCCTTCAGGTCTACAACATGTTTCAGCACCAGAGTTTAGGAACCAGGATCAACGTCCGAGTCACTAAACTGCTGCTGCTGCACACCCGCCCTGTACGTACACACACACACACACCACACACACACACAACATACACACATAACAGGACAGGAGGACACACATATGGTGTGGTCAGGAGGACTCACATGGTTTCTGTCAGGAGGACACACATGCTATGGTCAGAAGGATCCACATGGTTTCGGTCAGGAGGATACACACATGCTATGGTCAGGAGGACACACATGGTCCAGGAGGTCAGGAGGACACACACATGGTTTGGTCAGGAGGACACACATGGTCCAGGAGGTCAGGAGGACACACACATGGTTTGGTCAGGAGGACACACATGGTCCAGGAGTCAGGAGGATGATGCTGGGTGTGTGCAGGTGAAGCTGAAGGTGAGCCACCATGGGGAGCGTGCCCTGGAGAGCTTCTGTCACTGGCAGTACCATGAGCTGGGCACCAGGCACCTGGGAACCAACTACCTCCCAGGGGCCAGAGACGACGTGCCGGTGGACGCGGCCGTGCTGGTCACCAGGTACAACACTGCTGTCTGTTTGTTCCTGCCTCATCTCTCAGGAGCTAAGCAGGACAGGGCCTGGTTAGTGCATGAATGGGAACCTTTAGTCTCATGGTAAAATTTGATTTCAGCTTCAGTTTATAATTCAGTATAAAAAACACTACAGGCCAAATTAAAGTCTAATTCACATTTTGTATAAAAAAAAATTCCGTCATGGTTTTTGTCTGTCCTTTTTGCAGTGTGGGAACAGCAGAGCATGTTGTCTTGTATGTGGAGAGAGAATGGACAACATTGTTAAGGAACATTTAGTGTTAAAACAAATATATATAATAAACATTGTCATTCTTTCTTTCATAGATTTCGCAAAACTTGCACATGAAGGAGTTCAGTTACAAACTAAAGTGATATTTGATTAAGTGTTGTTTCTTTCAGAACAGACTTCTGTGTCCACAAAAATGAGCCCTGTGACACTGTCGGTAAGTACTCTAGCAGGATCAGAACAAGTAATGGTAACATCAACATATAATTAGCCTAAAATATAAGTGTTTGCATCGTATGTTTTATTTAGTTATTTATTTAGCAATTACATTTCAAAAGTTTTAATTTTATTGTTTTTTCTAAACATAAAAAAACACTTTATTTATAGAGCACAAGTTTTATGAAATTTGCTACATAAATAAATTGGATTGGATTGAAAAACTGTTTGAAAAGTTGTATACATTTGCATGGCTCAGTTTTCTTTCAGTCAATACCGTTTCTGCCAATGCACTTTTCTCATCACATAAATTTGCAAGAAAAACAAATTCACTTCTTGATCCTAAAGGAAAACCAATGTACAGTGACTTTGCTTACTTTAGCTGCTTTTTAACAAGTAGAATATGCAAATGTTTCACCGCAGTCGTAGGTCCAGCAACTCCAATCCCCCCCCTCAGTAAACACGCAGGATGTGTATTTGGGCAGACCTGTGTACAAATATGTGTGTCTGGGAGGATAAAAGCCTCTGTTTCAGGCCTTGCCCACGCGTAAAAAGCTCACGCGGACATAGAGTCGTGGGATCAATGCTAATCTCTTCATTACATCACGCTTCAATTGTATCCAAATGCAAATCCAATGTGCTGAACGCGGGATACCGACCTGCTCTGATGACTGCTGATCTGCAGTTCTAGGGCCAGAAGGTAAAGGGAGTGGGGACAGCCTCATTTTAACACCAAAGTCACAAGCAGTTATCCTGCCACCGTTGATTTTCATCAGCTGTACAATAGTCATCATTTTAGCAATATTTATAAGGACACATGGTATCGGAAAAAAACTGTTCAAATCCACGGGCTCATTTGAAGAGAGCTGTGTTTGTAAGATGCTTAGGAAAACTAAAGATCGTTTTACCTCTTACCTTTTCTCTTTTTACATTAAAAATCCTCAATCCTCAGTGTATTTATCTTATCACACAATTATTTGGACTTTTTCACTCATGCAGGCTGAAGATAATTCAGATATTTTTTCCTAACAAGTGGAAAAATCATGATCATCCACTTGCAGATAAATCGGTTTGAAACGAGTACATTTCCTCTAATAGTAGCTATTTTCTCTTGTTTTTGTTTTTTTTGGGCCAAAAAAAATGCACAGATATTAGTTAATCTGTTCTGTTATTCGTTTACAATTAAAGCACCAAAAAAAGTAAGCAGCTAAACTGAATTAAATCTGGAAAGACTCGAGACAAGGATTGCATTGTTGAGATGCCTGAATAGACACAACAGACATGTTCATTAAGCTTTGGCGATTAGACCTCAGCAGGAATACTGCATGACATATGCAGAAGGGAGTTTATATTAAATTATGAGCCTGCGACCTACGGGACCTAGACTCTGGTGGTGAAGAAGTTGAGCTGCAGAAAACTGAGAGGCTCTGTTTAAATGCAGCCATGAAGTGATGATGAGCTCAGGTGTTTGACTGAGCAAGGCGTCAGTCAAACACCTTCTCTCCAGCTGGAGAGAAGGATTAGGGCTCTAATGCAGGGCATCCTGGGTAACTGTGTGGGTGACACACTCTGCATGACACTATGGCTGCTCAGAGGAGTAATCGAAGCAACAGGCTCCTATCACTGCGCTGCCGAAAGGAACATTTCAAGAGTTCCTTTGTTCCTTCGGCTGTCAAGACTGTACAAAAAACCTGACTGACTGTAAAAAAAAAAAAAAAAAAAGAGTCTTCTGCTGCTGGACACTTGAATTTCTCCTACAGGGGATCAATAAAGTATCCATCTATCTATCTATCTATTACAGTAGCCACAGTTGCAGGGGCTAACTGACAGAAACAATGCAGGCCATCTCATATTGGCCTCTCCTCCATCAATGCATTATTATTATTATTATTATTAACACCATAACAACCATTGCAATATTACCCAATTATTTTCCTTGTCATTTCCCTTCTGTGAAAGCCTATGCAATGAGGGACAGGGGGGAGACAGTAGACCCCCTGGCCCGTCCCACTGTATCCTCATCTACCCTAACCCTCGTAAAGTTCCCTTCCTTTCGGCAGGGGATGTTTGGGATTCTTTCCTGCTATAGTCTCCCATCATAGACACCAGACTGGTAATTACAGCCTCCCCTCACGATGGAGCAGTAAAATCACACCACATCTGTTTGCGTCCAGAACATCACAGTTACGACGTACAGTAAGAAGATAAAGCTACTGTAAACATGAGAGGGTCCTACTCTATCACTAATGATAGTATGAGCTTGTATGGCCTTTGGCATTGGGGTGTTTGGACTTGCTGCTGCTGGTTTAGATGTGTTTGGATCTCTGTTAGTCGTTAAAATCTCAACTGTTCTTCCAGTTCACATTAAACAGTAGTTCATTTGTGTTCATCTAGATGTTTTATGTAATATGAGAGTGAGCGATATTTTCCTGTCATGGAGCAGTACCAATCAGCTCTATTCCGTCCACATCTCTTCTTCCATTTAACCCTCTCAGGGTCCAATTCGAATGTCAGGAAAAATCTGATATTTGGGGAAAATTATCAAATGGGTCGTAATATACAATCCAGACTTCTTTTGAGAGAGAGAGACCTTCACAGGCAATGCCTTCTGGGATGTTGCAGATTTGCAACATTGGCCCGCTGTAGTAAATATAGCTGACCCGGGGAAAACCCAGAGGATATACTAATTGGCATATGCTGTATCTACAGTATATATATTAATATTTCATTCTATGCATTTTTTGTTTCAAATTATTAGAGGTTGGTAATGATACTGACTTGAAATTGATGTCTAGAAAATTTGTTTCGCTGAAACCAAGGAGACTGATATTTTGAAATTAAGACAGCTCTACCCCCTTAAGCTCAACAAGTCCAGCAGGGTCAGAAATATGGATGGGGAGTAGTTAGGTAATAATAAATGAAGTTGTTGCAAATCTGCAACGCCTTCCTGGAGAGTGTTAATTTGTTCCCTTTATTTGTCCCATTTGTTGCCTTGTTTTTGCCCTGTGTGTAGTCCTGTGTGCTGCCCTGTGTATTGTCTTATGTGTTGCCCTGTATGTTGTCCTGTGTGTTGTCCTGTGTGTTGTCTTGTGTGTTGTTTTGTATGTTGCCCGTGTTGTCTTGTGTTTGGCCCTGTGTGTTGTCTTGTGTGTTGCCCTGTGTGTTGTCTTGTGTGTTGCCCTATGTGTTGCCCTGTGTGTTGCCCTGTATGTTGTCCTGTGTGTTGCCCTGTGTGTTGCCCTGTCTGTTGTCCTGTGTGTTTTCTTGTGTGTTGTCTTGTGTGTTTCCCTGTGTGTTGCCCTGTGTGTTGTCCTGTGTGTTGTCTTGTGTGTTTCCCTGTGTGTTGACCTAAAGCCCTTCTGTTTTAGGGATTGCGTATCTGGGAGGGGTGTGCAGCTCCAGGAGGAAGTGTGTTTTGGCAGAAGATAATGGCCTGAACCTGGCCTTCACCATCGCCCATGAGCTGGGACACAAGTATGAACGACTTTCTCCTTTAAACACCTAATTCCAAATGATCTAACTGTTATTATTGTCTGTTTACTAGTATCTCAGGGCTTGTTCATGGTTCAGGGGGAGAGACAGACGGATTGGAGATACAGGCGCTGTATCAGACTGTTATATTTTGATGTATTCGCCTCCCTTTTGTGTGGGACTGTGTTTCTCAGGGGCCTGGGAATAGGTTGCGTTCTTGTTGTAGACTTCTGTTTCAGTATTTTGGACAGGTGACTCTTTGGAAAAGAAGCATTATTTTAAAAAGAAATGCTAAAGAAATGCTTTTGTTGTTTCCCAGATCATTATTTGATCGTGATTAGGCTAGGCAAGGCAAGGCATCACACAAGGCATTATAAATTATCACCGTACATTGAGAAGAGTGAAGAGTTGTATGCACAGCTAGACTGTTTTTGAACATTGTCAGAGAAGAAGCCTGTCTCACATTGATTCACAAACCCAACACATTTTTTCATGTCCTTTCCACTGGCCTCATGTTTATTGAATATTGTCACCACTTCTAGACATCTTTATGAGAAAATAAGGAATTAAAAATAGAAATCTGACTTCTAACAACAAAATCACAAAGACATTTTTATTTACCTGCTTTGCACCAAATGTTTTCCCTTTTTTCATCAATATTGGGATGTCACATGAACGCAACGTGTTCCACGCGTCTCCGCTCTTGCTGCTGTCTCTCTTTTCTGGCCAATGCACATAATGAACATCTGTGTAACCATGCCACATTCTAGCAAAAAGGCTAGTTTCCCTCGTATTGTCATTAAATCATTCCCTAAACTGTTAAATCAGTCCATGAGTCAAACCTTGCCACAAATATTTGCAATAAAACGTTTATTGAATAAGCCTCACACTGCGATGGATCCATGTGAAGGCCTTAAGAGGCTTCAGGGAGCAGGAGGTGATAGTTTTGGGACGGCCCTATTCACCCACCTCAGTGAAGATGAAGATGAGATAAAATTGTGTCCCACAGGATCAATTTGTCTTGGGACAGGGATTCACATGCTTTACACAGACACCACATACATTTACATACAGCACAGTCAACATTAAAAATACTAGAATAGACACAGGTAAGGGCACCAGCAGAGACCTCTAGGACCAGAGAAAAACAGAAGACTTCAAAACAGAGTGCACCCCACTTCCATACTCGGTAAACCTAAAGCGCAGTAATTTATTGCACTTCCCCTGAACCTTAAGTGCAGTATTTATTACACTTGCCCTACACTGCAAAAAATGATGAAAAACAATCAAAAAAAGGCAAACATTTGGGCAAATGTATGTAAAAACTTCCTTCAAACAAGATTTGCCAACGAGACTAGGTCAAAATTTATACCTTGTATATAAGAATATACAATAAATGTCTCCCTTGGAATGAGAAAATAATTCTTGAAATAAGGTTTTTTCCCCCATTGGCAAATCATGTTTTAGGACAGTCAGAATGTACTTAAGTAAGTAAGTTTTTATTTATATACCGCCTTTTCACTGCAGATCTGAGTCTCAAAGCGGTTTACAATTGCTAATGTTTGGGCATTTGTCTCTCACTCCACACAGAGATGGGAGCGGGGCCAGTACAGGAGGCACATGTTAGAACTATTGGACATATTTTTAGTGGTAGGGGAAACCGGAGTACCCGGAGGAAACCTACGCAGACACGGGGAGAACATGCAAACTCCTTTCAGAAAGGCCCTGGTCCGACCGGGATTTGAACCCAGGACCTTCTTGCTGAGAGGCGAGAGTGCTATCCACTCAGCCACCGTGCCGCCCACGGTGGCTGAGTAAAGATTAAGATTAAAACCACTCCATTCGTGCATTTATTACCTCATATTTTATCATTTTTTGCAGTGTAAGCCTAAAGTGCCGTCTTTATGAGCCACACTGTGTCGTGGACGACCAGAAGCGCCTGTAATATCATGTGCTGCTGTGGTTTGCAGCATGGGGATGAGCCATGACGATGACCACGCCTCCTGTACGGGACACTCCCACATCATGTCTGGAGAATGGGTCAAAGGCCGGAACCCCAGCGACCTTTCCTGGTCCTCCTGCAGCCGCGACGACTTGGAGAAGTTCCTCAGGTCAGGATTTCCACTGTGCAGATATGTTGAAGGAGCAGCTCTATATGTAAAAAAGGCATGTGTTGTGCTTAAAGTGAAAGAGCGTTTTGTTCTCTGGAAAACAGGAATGGCGCGGCTTCTACAGACAGTGGGTTTTCAAGATGAGATAAGATTCTTCATTAAGACTAGAAGAGATCCTTTTCCACAGTGGGGGAATTTCAATGTTGCAATGCACATACAGGACAGTAGTAAGAGCACACAGGGAGCACACAAAGTATTAGATTAGATTAGATTAGATTCAACTTTATTGTCATTACAAAGTCAGAACAATGCAACAATATGCAGTTTAGATTCTAACCAGTAGTGCAATATCGCAAGTATAGGATAATATCTACAACACAGATAAAGAGTTGAGACAGTTGAGAGTTCAAGAGTCTGACTGCTCTGTGATAAAAACGGTCTCTTAGCCTACTGGTCCTGTCCCGGAGACTCCTATAGCAGCGACCAGAGGGCAGAAGGCTAAAGAGTCTGTGTGCAGGATGAGAGGAGTCCTTCACAATTTTACGAGCCCACCCCAGAGCATGCTGGCCCTGGATGCTCTCAAGGGCAGAGAGTAGAGCCCCAATGATGCGCTGGGCTGTTTTTACCACCCGCTGTAGTGATTCCTGCTCCGCCACAGTACAGGTCCCATACCAGGTCATAATGCAGTTTGTTACAATGCTTTCTATCGCTAATGCAGCATTACGGACGTGGACATGTTCTCAAGAAGAAGAGGCGCTGGTGGGCCTTCTTGACGAGGCTGGAGGTGTTGATGGTCTAGGACAAGTCCTCAGATATGTGGGCTCCCAGGAACTTGAAACTGTGAACACTCTCCACCGCCGTCCCATTGATGTAGATGAGGTTGTGTTCTCCTTCTCTACTCCTCCTGAAGTCCACTATAAGTTCTTTGGTTTTGCTGGTGTTGAGTATACATTAAAAGTAGCTGTACTGTTTTGTAGCTAGCTGTAAATGCTTCAATATAAATAAATTCAATTCAATGTATTCTTGTATAGCCGTAAAACGCAACAGAAGTCAACTCAGAGGACTTTACACAACCGTTGCATTCGCCACTACAGATCAGAGAATCAAACAGTTAAAACACAAGAAGTAGAACAGAAAAAAAACATTAGTATTGGCCCATCGGGATGTTGGCGAATCGACAGCTTTGTAAAGTCGTCCGACAGAGAGTAGAGTAGTGTTGTGCTTCAAAGGCTGCAGTCTGGTTTTATTATTGCCCATTATTTACTGTAGTGATTATCAAACTTATTTTTTCACTCATTGTTCGTGGTCGTGAGAAGCCATTTATTGTCAAATCAACATGTTTTTTATTTATTCTAATTATATAATAGACATTTTAAAACTCCGCCTCTGACCCCGGTTAGCAGTCTCCATCCCCCAGTTCCCAATAGCGTGTACTCCGCTGAAACATCTACAGCTTGGAGTCTTTAGTGGTGGTTGTGGATGAGGTTCTTTCTCCTCTCTCTTTTGCATGAACTGCACAGATTGGCTCAATTATGTTGTAATTGGATGTTATAGATTGAAAATAGAAAACACATTTATTTGACAATAGAACCACTAACTAAGCGGTTGTATGAAGTGAGCAAAAAACATTATTGTGTAATCGTTCATGGTCTCCCAATGAGACTTTAAGACCAACTGTTCACTGGGGCCAAAAGAGTATTTAGTCTGTTCAAGTTAAAGTTCACTTAAGTTGTGGCCATACTTGAATGTGAAAGCCAAATCCCATCAGATCTCTGAAGCTGTGCACGGCAGCGCCTGGTTAGTACTGTGATGGGAGACCTCTGGGAACATCAGGTGCCACAGTGGGGTGGCTGCGGCTGTAAAGTGCCAAACTATCCTTGTGTCCTTTGGCAAGACACTTTCCCAACATTTCCTATAAAGAGTCTGGTGTGTGTGAATGGCTGGTGGTAGTGCCTTACTGTAGATTTGCGTGTTTTTAACTTGCTCTGGGCTCTAAAAGTTGTGAAAAAGTTTCTGTCTCGGCTGCACGGTGGCACCAGCATCTGTCTGCTCTCTCACAGTCGACACTTGCTTGTTGTTGGAGAGGTGCAGGAGGCTTTGTTTGAGCCCCGTCTGAAGAGTCCCATGCAAAGCGGTGAGCACCTATTTACTGTACATACAAAGCTATCATTACAGTACTTCTTAGGTCTAAAGACGCCGGTGATGATCCAGCGTTCAACAGCATTTATGGACATTCATCAACATTTATGGACATTGGTCATCTGCCCCTTATGGACCAATAGCGAACTATCTAAATGACGTCACTAAGACACGCCCCCGCCGTCTGTCAACTCCCGCCCACATGTTTCGGACAAACACTGCCGAAATGAATCAAATACCACTTGTCACTTTAGACGAAAATGATATACCAGGGGCAAAATTCCACCATCAAACCATCAGGGATCATAGTGTAGACCAATTATAACGTTGGCTTGAATGTCGTGGTCTTCCAGTAACTGGTAGAAAGTTTGATTTGATAAAAAGGTAATGGTGAGGATTATGCTAACATTATCTAGTCATTTAAACTGCAATGCTAGCGCCTTCTTTGTTTGTTTTGCTGTGATTAACTTCCATTTATCAAGTTGTTTTTGCACTATCCACTTTGTAATTAGTTTGATCATTAGTTAGCTACAGTCAGCTGATATTATAATAAATCCATGATCACAACGGGTTACGCCACTGTCTCTGAGAGAAACTATCAGAGCTAGCCACACTCAGTAAACGCAAATGACAATCAATCAACACATTTAAATGTTAATGGGAGAATACATTATACACATTCATAACACAAGTGCACGGAGGTTTTCAGAATTAACTGTTCAGGTTTTCATGACAAAAATACTTTTTTAATGCGACTAAAGCGATCGCTTTTAGGTTAACTATCCTCACTGTTACTCGCCTGCCACGGGAAAACCTTTGGGAACTATTTTCTTTGCACTCATTAAATAAACCTTTCGGCATGAGTAGTGAATGACGTTTATTTTGTGTGTTCAATTGGTACAAAGCCGTATAATAAGCAGACACAAAGTTGAAAAAAATCCCTCTCATCTTTCTTCAGGTGTGAGAATTGTATACTTTCTGGATTAGGACAAACAATACTAATATGGATTGATGGGGGTAAATGGTGTAAAGAGAAAGTTTGTGCTAACTACATTCAGAAGAGCTCAGACGGACCTGATACAGCGGTCCAGGTCCAGTCCCAGCTAAACGTAGCTAGGACTGGATCTGGATGCTCCACAGTTGGTCCAGCGAAGTGTTTTGAAAAAACATGTGCCCTTTTTAACCTTTTCATGAGAGAAATTCTGCCGACCACAAGCACCCACCTGGTCTGATCTGGTCCTGGTCTGGTCCTGGTCTGGTCCGATGTTGTGGTTTAACGAACGGGTTGAATGTTACTTTCATATAGTCCTTTTCAGAGTATCTGAAATCGCTCCGACAAGCACCATAACTGCAGTGTTTTGTTGTCACCATGATTCAATGATTTAGCCCAAATAAATACACACGCGTATGAGGAGAACACAGTAGAACTCAACGAGTCGTACACAATGTTTGTCCGAAACATGCGCGCATGCGCAGTCATCTGAGCTATTTTTAGCACATTTCGGAAACCGGACAGTGCCCTATACATGTGTTTTCTATCAATGCATTTCTGACCTGTTTGATTCTCTCTTTCTTTGGCTTTTTTAATGAAAAAAGCAAAAACAATACAGTTATATCTGCACATTTTTGTATTGTTGTTGCATTTGTGTGTGTGTGTCACCAGCAATACTAGCTCATTGAGAACACTCTGAATTTCTGATACCTACTCACAAAAAATAACGTTTTAACCATAAAATTGCTGAAAGGTTTAGAAATTCATTCAACAAATGTAATTTGAGAGTTTGATCTGACTGAATATCAATATATATTAAATCTATTTGCTCAATATCTTCTATTTTCTGCAGTTTTCATATATAAATTCTTGTAATCAAATCATAATGAATCAACAAAAGCACCATCAAGCTATTCATCAACTATGCGACTAAATATTGACATCCCTAGAAATGACAACATCTCTACCTTCTGCACTTTGATGTTCTTGCACTTGCTGCTTTTGTTGATCGGTTTCACAGTAACATTTGTTCCTCTTATTTTTTAGCTTGTTTTATCTATATACTTATCTGCTGCTCACTGGGGGACTCTTCCACATGTATTCCAAGGTGGTTTTACTGCAAATGGCAAATAAACTGAATCTGAATCTCTATAAAGTTCCTCGAATAAATTCCACTTCCCATCTTTGCTTATTCAATTTTAATGAAATACAATTCAACGTAATCTTGTAAAGCCCCAAATCACAACGGTAGTAATCTCGGAGGACTTAACAAAACCGTTAAATTCGCCAACACGGATCAGAGAATTAAACAGTTCAAACACAAGAAATAGAACAGAAAAGACATTGGTATTGGTCCATAAGGGGTAGATGACTAATGTCCTTAAATGTTGAAATATTAGACACTTCCATTATTTTTCTAGCCTGGTTGTACCACACCATAGTGCAAATTACATTTTATACTAAGGTCTGGATTTGCTCCATTGAGCTCCGTTTACAGGTGGGAGGGGTTAACTCCTTTTGCAGATTGAAAACGATTGGATCTGAGTTTACTGTGACGTATGTAGTGCGCCCGAGTCTGTTGTTAGCATTTAGCATTTAGCCTAGCCATCTCCTTTTCCCGCTAACGGAGCCCGTGGGGATCTTTGCCAGAGATTACATTTGCTAAACATTCTTCTTGCTCTGGCTTCAATTTCTTGATAGAACCAGACTGGAATACTTTACTATCGCAATCTTTGCCATTGCCAAACTACAACCTGCCCATTCGGCGCAAACTCTTGACGTCACCTACATGTAACTACAACACTCTCCTCCCGTGCTCGCTGATTGGTCAGATGGAATTCAACCGATTGTAATCACAACAACGTTGCTTGCAGTGAAATGATTATTGACGGAGTGTACGAATGGCTAAGGCCAGGCTAGTATTTTTCCAGTCTTAACAGATTTTCCCTTTGTCCATGTCTCAGGTCTAAAGCCAGTGCCTGCCTTCTCCACACCGACCCGCGGAGCCGGTACCAGGTGCGGCTATCTCCCAAACTCCCCGGGATGCACTACAGCGTGGACGAGCAGTGTCAGATCCTGTTTGGGACCAACGCCACCTTCTGCACCGACATGGAAGTACGCACTGAACTTACGACCGCTGTCACGCTAATGCCTGTGACCCCAGTCTCCATGATTTACCTTGTGAACATTTGGAAGGATTTTAGATGAGGAATTGAAGACATGTGTACATTTGATTCAATTTAAATTTAGTTTTAAAAAGAATTATATGGAGGAATGAGAGTGATTCCCTCAACCCAGAGCGAGGGAGGAGAGAGAGAGAGAGAGAGAGAGAGGGGAGGGGTCAGTGAGTGTTTTGGGCCTGTGTCTGTGTGAATAAGAGCGTTGGTGTGTCTTGGTCTTGTCTGTCACTTGCCACTGGTGTTAATGTGTGTGTGTGTGTGTGTGTGTGTGACATTGGCTGTTGTGTTTTGTTGGATGGTATTGTAGGGATTTAATTATTTATATGAGCTCTGCAAAAAATGATAAAATATGAGGTAATAATTGGTAATAATTAAAATCAAGTGGATTTTATCTTATTTTGAGCACATTCTGACTGTGTTCAAACAAGATTCACCAATGGGACAAACCCATTTAGTCTTATGGCAAGAACTCTTGCTTTTGCCATGCACAGGGTTTCTTGTTTTCTCTTATGATCATATATTTCTGTGAATAATTGTTTGTATCTTGTGCATGTTTGAAATAAATAAACAAATGAACATTCTCCCTGCAGCACCTGATGTGTGCGGGCCTGTGGTGTATGGTGGAGGGAGACTCTGCCTGTAAGACCAAGCTGGACCCCCCTCTGGATGGGACGGAGTGTGGGGTGGACAAGGTGCAAACGTTGAATTAGTGTTATTCTATGGTCTCTCGCTATAACGTCATATTCCTCACTGGTCTCTCTCTCTAATCTCTCTCTCTGGTCTTTCTCTAGAGAGAGAGATCAGATATCAAACCAACAGGTTTGATATCTCAGTGATCGCACTTCAGTACTGTGATGGGAGACCTCTGGGAACACCAGGTGCCACAGTGGGGCAGCTATTAAGTGCCAAACAGTTGTTGTGTCCTTAGGCAAGACACTTCACCCACATTAAAATGAGTCTGGTGTGTGTGTGAATGGTTAGTAGTAGTCAGAGGGGCCGATGGCACATACTGGTTGCCTCACTTCTGTCAATGTGCCCCAAGGCAGCTGTGGCTACAGTAGTAGTTTATCACCAGCGTGTTTGGAGTGAAAGAATAATGACAAGTGAAGTGTTTTTGAGTGTCCTGAAAAACGCTGTATAAAACTGATGCATTATGAAGTGTGTGTTGAGGGGTTTACAGTATTAAAACATGAAGCTGCTACTTTGCGGATTTTGCTTTTTGCAGGTTATTCTTCGACCACTATATATTTTAATTATTATACAACCATTATAAATATTCTGTCCCATTTGCATAAGCCATTGCTGGTGAAAAATGTAAACCATCACATGCACTTTAAATGCTCTTACTGCTCCCAATCTCAGATGTATGTGCACTTCTACATTTTAAATGATTGCAATGAATTATTAACACTGTGTCGTCTGGACTAAAGTTAGAGACATGATTTCAAAAATAGGTTACAATTTGTTGCAAATGAGTGATATTTTTAATGTTGTCTTCCACTGGAGCTTTAATCAAAGTGGATTAAAAGGACGCATATGCACAACCAGCTGCTCATGCATCAACAACACACCTGGACTCGTTTTAGCAACAAAGTCTGAATGTTCTGGCCCAAACTCCGTCTGTCTAAATGCTAATTTAAAAAAAAACGTTGTGTGCTGTGACAAATCCCAAGACTAAAGGCCTGGCCTCACCATGACACTAGCTGCGTGCTGAAACGGGGTAACCAGTATGTGCCATCAGCCCCTCCGACCACCACCATCAACCACACACACGTCAGACTTATTCTATCAATCAACTTTTATTTGTATAGCACCTTTCCTACACAAGGCAACACAAAGCGCCTCACAACCCATATCCCATCAAGCATAAATCATAAACAATAAAGTCTACATAAACTGTAAAAAATACAATAACAATTCTGCAGGGCATTAAAAACACACAATAAGATCACAAGACATACTAAAAACATAAAAAATATGTTTCTGGACAAAATGGGTAAAGTGTCTTGCCTAAGGACACAGCTACAGTTTAGCACCTCAGCCGCAGCCGCCCCTCAAGTTGAAATAACTTGAGGATTTCACAAGAATTAAATACGTTTATTATACATTCCCCTCTTTGGAAAAACTAATAAGGTGTGAATCTAAGAACGAGTGTGTGTGTCGTGACATGAGGCTGTTCTGTGCCAATACATGGTCTGTGTGTGAACATCAGCAACATGTGAAAGTTACAGTTGTTGTGCAGTTGTGTAGTGTACTTTGACATCAGTGTGTGGTCATTCTTGTGTGCGGTGCAGTGGTGCAGAGCCGGGGAGTGTGTGATCAAGAGCCCCATCCCTCAGCACGTGGACGGGGACTGGAGCTCCTGGAGCCAGTGGAGCATGTGCAGCCGGACCTGTGGCACCGGAGTCCAGTTCAGGCAGAGGAAGTGTGACAACCCCCCGTGAGTAAGACCCCAGCTGCCCTCTGTGGCCACAGCTGCCCTCTGTGGCCACAGCTGCCCTCTGTGGCCCCAGCTGCCCTCTGTGACCACAGCTGCCCTCTGTGGCCACAGCTGCCCTCTGTGCTCAGCATTCACTTTTGTGGCTAAATATAACACTTAAATACTGGTGCAATAGTGTGCAATGCTGTGATGTAAGAATGCAATATGGGAGTAAGTGTCCATCTGTCACTTTATAATTTACTACAAGACTAAGATGAAGATGAAGATGAAGAGATCCTTTAATCGTCCCACAGTGGGGAAATGTCAGTGTTGCATCACCAGTTACAGAACAGTAGGAATGAAGAGCACACAGCACAAGACAAATGAACAATTACTCTATACTAAATAAACTCAAAACTTTAGTCAAGAAGCAAGTATAAAATCTCTATCTTAAGGATTATAACAAGTAAGTATAACTTTCCATATGAAATAGGAATCAAACAATTACATGAATCATACTTTATAACCAGTTACCTGAAAATGCCCCCCCCCCGCCTTCTTGTCCCTTGCTCTTCACCCTCTCCCTACTCTCTCCCTCCCTCGTCTTTTCTGGCTCACCCCCTCTCCCTTACCCAGTCCCCTCTGGGCAGGGCTGTCGGAGTTTATATCCTAAGAAAAATGTCTGTGTCTTGTCCAAGACATACCTTGTCTATCCAAACTGCCTTTGTTTAATGTACTTTATGTACTGCCCTCTGCTGTTTATTCTACTGTTTGTCGCATGGCGCCGTAAAGATGGCGCCGTGGCAAGAGCTCTGGTGTGTATACTGTACCTTCTCTGTCTGGTGCACACTGGGGTAGTCTTGCACGGTTTTTTCCAATGTTTTACTGCAAATGGCAAATAAATTCTTGTATCTTGTATTCTTGTATCTATTAGTGCTTGGTGTCTTTCCAAGTCTGTCCATGCATCTCTCAATAAAAGGGAGTTTCCCTTTTAGTTTAGGTTATTTATGGAATTCCCCTTGAGATGAGCCATCTCCATTTTGAGGGGGTCCATTTGGCGCCCATTTTAGAAAAAATATACATTACAAACAAAACAAACATTATTAATTTATTTTGTACAAGCATTTTATACTTCCTCTATACTTTCAGTACGTACAAACCAAACTTGTATTATTTATGCATTTACAGTATCTACCATTTATGGACATGTATCTACTGTTGAATAGTCCTGACCCTTGTGACTATTGCAAAAATATGAATATATCAAAATATCAAAAATATATATACAATATTTATAATAAAAAAATTATATAAAAATCTATATTTTCAACAGAATGTATACCTCTATAATGTGCCCTGTGTTTGCCTGCAGGCCTGGTCCTGGGGGCCGCCACTGTCAGAAGACCAGTGTGGAGCATAAAGCCTGTGAGAGGCCCTCCTGTCCTAAAGGGGCCCCCAGCTTCAGGGACCTGCAGTGTCTGTCCCACGACCGGCAGTTCCCTCTGATGAAGAGCAGTATGATGACGTCTATTGTCAATGATGGTGAGAGTCCCATCCTCAACCTCAACCTCCAGTCTCTACTCCCCTGAGCAGTCACTTTGTCGGCTTTTGCTTTTGGAAGTGTGATTACCCAGCGTATGCACATTTTTAGTCTTTTTCTGTATCTATTAATTTTATGAAATTATCTTTTATTTTTGCAACGTGAGTTCTACCTTTATGAGCCAAAGAAGATTTAAGATTCAGATTTTTTTTTTTGTATTACAGTGGGGACATTTCAGTGTTGCATCACAAGTTACCGACAGTAGGAAAGAGGAGCACACAGCACAAAATAAATGAATAATAACTCTATACTCAAATAAAATCTCTAACTCTAGCATAAAAAGAAGCAGTTTAACGTCTCTATCTTATCTAAGAAGCAAGACTTGAGCGCAAAAACCCCTGACTTTAGCCCAATAAGAAGCTAGTGCGAGAGCTAGTTACCATAGCAACGCACTGCTAACTTGCCGCGGTTGGCATCTGATAGAAACTGGTCATTTTCAACCAGTTTCTATGCATTTTTTCAAAAGCTTCAAAGTTTCAAACTTGTGGGAGAATGAACCCGTATCCGCATCGGCCCTTTCTGGAACTAGTTTGCCCCCCCCCCCCCCCCCCCCCGCTCTAGATCCAAAAGAGATGTTGTTAGTGCGTTTCTACTTATAATTCCCGCTTTCTGTACCTGTCCTAACCTCAGGGATGAAACCAGAGCCCATATTTCCTCTGTAACCTTTCCCTCTCGCCCCAGAGAAACCGTGCGTGCTCTTCTGCAGCCCGGTGGGACGCAGTGTTCCGGTGCTGGTGTCCGAGCGGGTGATGGACGGCACACCCTGCGGACCGTACGATGCAGACCTCTGCGTCAACGGCAGGTGCCAGGTACGCGCTCATTAATGTATAAACCACATTTTACACTGTTTACTATACGTGGGGATCGTTCTCTTTTGACCCTCCTCATATCTCCTCCCACTTCTGTGTCCTTACTTAAAGCTGGGGTCACTAAACCCCAAAGCGAGATGAAAATCTCGCTTTTAGCTTTGCACTCTAAAAAGGGTATGGCTCTATCTTTTTCTACACTGCAAAAAGTGATGAAAAAATAAGTAAAAAATGGCTCAAATTTGGCAAAATGTTTCATAAACTAAGCACATTCTGATCCCCCTAAAAAAAAGTATTGCCAATTCGCTCATGCTTCCATCATCACCTTGTGTAAAAGTAAAAGTATATGGTTTCTGAACATTGTAAACTTTCGGTGACCTCGTCCAAATGCGCTATATAAATAAACATGACTTACTTACTTACAAAGCAAAATTATCTTCATCTTTAAATCCGCTTTTTCAGACACGTAGAATAGAGAGGACCACCTTTACTCAGCCAATCAGCTCTCAGCCCAAAGTACAGTATCAGATATGGGTTTATTGATTGATAAATGATGAATATAGTTAGAGACTTATTACTTCCTTCTTGCTTCTTCATTATCATGCTAAAGCTGGAGATTGTATGTTTGCTTCTTTATAATGAAATTTTTTGTGTGTGTTATTGTTCATTTATCCTCATTCCTACTGTTCTGTGATTGGTGATGCAACACGAACGATCTCTTAATCCTAACTGACTCACAGTTGGCTCTTTACATGTTTTCTACTTACGTGACGACGGTGTACATTTTAATTTTACTTACTTAATTCCATTGGGACAAAAAACGTATTTTGAAGCAGAAAAGGAAGTCACCCCAGCTTGAAACAATGAGGTTCACTACAAAAAATGATCAAATATGAGATAATAATTATTGAATCTAGTGGTTTTTCAGTACACCCTGACTGTCTTAAAAAAAAATCCCAATAGTACAAAGCCATTAAGACTAATTCAAGTTTTTCAACTGTTTTTCATTGTATCTTTTTTAAAACAATAACATTTTGCTTTGTCCCATTTGAAAATCTTGTTTTGATGCAGTCAAAGAGTGCTTAAATTTAAATACTGACTTATTTTTTTATCATGTTTTGCAGTGTTCTTGCTTTAGTTTTGATATTTACAGTATTGTCTCCTTGTGGCTCCTGCAGAAGATCGGCTGTGACGGCATCATCGGTTCTTCTGCCAGAGAGGACCGCTGTGGGGTGTGTAACGGGGACGGGCGCTCCTGCCGGGTGGTCCGAGGCGACTTCAACCACACCAAAGGAATGGGTCAGTGTGTGGAGTGTGTGGAGTTTGCATGTCCTCCCCGTGTCTGCTAAGTTTTCCTCCGTGTGCTCCAGTTTGACCTACCACTAAAAACGTATACAATAGGTCTGAATGTAATGAGTGAGTGAATGGATGGTGTTGATTGGGGCTCTGATACCAGTGTGTTCGCCGTCTCGCTTCTGTCATCACTGTGTGGAGAGAATGGAACAGTATCTGAACTCATTAAAATTGTAGAAGCGCTTTAGGTGACCTTGCTCTGAAAAATGTGCTTTATTAATGAACATTCCTGCTGTTCAGATGGTTTTACCCGCTTCGCCTTGAATTCAATTCAATTCAATGTATTTCTGTCCTAGCCCTAAATCACAACAGTAGTTTTCTCAGAGGACCTTACAAAGCTGTAAACTCACCAACACAGATCAGAGAATCAAATAGTTCAAACATAAATAATATAGAACACATAGGATTGGTCCATAGGGGGACTTGACCAATGTCCATGTCTGCTTTCTTAACGTGGATGGGAGGCTGATTCCACAGTAAAGGAGCTTGGTAGCTAAATGCTCTGCCGCCGGCGCCGTCAGAGCTTTTTTAGACTTCAGGAACCATTAGCCGTCTGGCATTTTGTTCTCTGTTTGGTTGGTATGACACTAACGTGTCTTGGAGGGGGGGAAGGAGCCAAGCCATTTATGGCTCTGTATGTTAAAAGAATGAGTTTGGTTCAGGTTTAGTTTGAGTTTAGTTCAGGGCTTAAAGAGTTCCGACAGAATTCCAGGCAAGTTGATAACAGGGGAGGTATATCTGTCAAATGTGTAAAAAAAACCCCAGAAAGAACAAATTAGGAAGACTGGATGTTTATGTGTCTTCAACAACACGCCAAGTACAAGCGCATGCGTAGAGAGACGCACACACACACACACACACACACACTGCCCTTTCATTGTAGTTATGGACAGTCTTCTGAGATTACTACTGTTGTGATTTAGGACTATACAAAAATACATTGAATTGAATTTAAGATGCCTTCATTGGCTAAGTCTATTCTAAGTCTACACTCAAAAACATATCAACAGTTGTTCTTGACTCCATCCATGATATGAACTTACTGAAAAGGACAAACGCATTCAGATTTAAACTATGACGACTATCCTCAGTCTGTTTTGTGACTTTTTCTCCAAGTTTTGCCGTTACGTACCTTCAGATAGATGGCTCCATGCTCATCTTGACCATCTCTTATTCCAGGAATCACTTTTATACATATATTTTCGACCTACAGCTGTGACTCATGCTTGTTATAGTTCTCTGGTGCTCCTGCTGTTATAATGAGCCCTGTTGCACAGAACCATGCATTATGATGAGTGTGGGGAGTGGTGGCTCTATATATAGGGCCCTGTGCTCCTGTGTCTGTGTGTGGACTCCTCTTCTTCTGCTCTTTGTCCTTTTCAGGTCGGTTCTGTTTAGGGTTGGGTAATCTGGGGAAAAAAAATATCAAATTGGCTAATCTCCATCTCAATTTCCGATTCAAAACTGCTACGACAAAAACAATATTTTTCTTGGTGAACCTAAGGTCAAATATTCTGCATCGTGTTTGGCTATTAAAAATATAATGAGACTATTGCAGGCTGCCCTCTGAAGCTGGGCAGGGCCTGGTTAGTACTGTGATGGGAGACCATTTATGGAGTGAAAGAATAATGCATAACTTTGAGTGTCCTAAAAATTGTTGTTTAAAACTGATGCATTATTATTATCATTATTATTATTATTATTATTATTTAATGTGTGATTGTATGGTTCATAAAATAATCTTTCCAGCAAAAAAATTATTGGGAAACTCAGACATGTGAAAGTGTAGAAAGTAATTGTACCTGAGGAATGATGGCCAATACTTTTGTTTTAAAAGTCAGAAATCGGCTTTGAGTGTGTTGTCGAAGTGGTACAAGGATGACTGATGCTGGTTTCAAGCGGTCTCAGCTCTGAGCAGCTGTGGATGTGTCCTCTGTGTCTCTGCAGGATACATCGAGGCGGTGGTGATCCCGGCTGGAGCACGGAGAATCAAAGTGGTGGAGGGAAAACCTTCTCACAGCTTCCTCGGTAAAAGATTTCATTTTCTTTGTTATATTTTTTTTATATTGAACCATGACTGAAGGAATAGAGAGAAGACTCTCTCCATGGCCTCGGACCAAAGTACATTAGTGCCACATGAACCAACTCTGAGGAGCACAGGGACTGGCCTCCTGCTGGGACTCTGAGGAGCACAGGGACTGGCCTCCTGCTGGGACTCTGAGGAGCACAGGGACTGGCCTCCTGCTGGTGTCCAAAGTACTAGAACTAAAAATGGGGAGATTCAGAATCATGCAGCTAAAATCTGGAACAGTCGTCCTGAAAATGTGAGACAGGCTTCGACTCTGACAATGTTCAAATCCAGGTCAGAAACAGTTCTGTTTAGCTGGGATTACAACTGAAGAATTTTATCTGTAATCTGTTTACACTGCACAAAACTTGCAGTCTTAATTTGAGCACATTCTGACTGCTTTAAAACAGGATTTTCCAATGGGATGAAGCTAAATTATCTTGTTTTAAAAAATATACAAGAAATGTTTCCCTTTAAATGAGAAAAAGTGAATTAAGACTAAATGGCTTTGCAGTGTAATGTACTGTGGTTATTTATGCCCTGTGGGATTATGTCATGTTTATAATATAATTAATTTATCACATTTTCTGCTGTTGTTATCGCAGCTCTCAAAGACTCAGGGAAGAGGTCCATCAACAGCGACTGGAAGATAGAGCTTCCAGGAGAGTTCGAGGTGGCTGGGACCACGGTGCGTTATGTGAGGAGGGGACTGTGGGAGAAGATGTCTGCCCGGGGCCCCACCACGCTGCCCCTGCACCTCATGGTCAGTCACATCTCCGGAAACGACAGCTTCTCAAAAACACAAACACAATCTTAAAAAACATCATAAACAATGCAGTTTTTTTGGTCAATACACGTTATTTGTACATTTTATCAATTAAAAATCCTTCATTCACCTCCACACTGCAAAAACAAGATTTGCCAATGGGAAAAAGCTATTTAGTCTGAAATGAAGAACTGTTGCTTCATCTTCTCATTCAGACATTTCTGGTATCTTTTTAAAACAAGATCATTTACTTTGTCCCATTGAACATCTTCAAATTAAGATTATTTTTGACTTATTTTTCATCACTTTTTGCAGTGTATTGGTCGAACAATGTTGTTAGTAATTATCATTAAAATACAAAACGGGTCTCAGTAAACATGCCATGATGTGTTTTTAGATACAGGACACTTTGAACTTGATACAATATGTAATAAACTGTTCAATTCTTTAAAAAATACTGACTTTTGGCCACTTGCCTGATGCTCCACTCCATTTGAACAAAAATATACAATTTTTCTTCCATTCATTGAAGATTGATAGTAGGAAACTCTTTTGTTAATATATAAAAAAAATGAAATAAAGAAGTTTAGAAATAGTCAAAATATAAAACTAATACTCTTGTTTTTATAAATATATGAATAAAAGCTTGACCTGGAATCTAATAAAACACTATTGATATTTCTCAAAAAAAATATTTTTCAGCACACCCCTATTTATATTCTTTAGTTTTAGTTCAGTTTATTTCAAGCACACAATGAAAAAGTAACCATGTGTGTGATGCGTTCAGGTGCTGCTCTTCCATGACCAGAGGTACGAGATCCACTACGAATACACCATGACCCTGAACGCATCAGAGATCAGCGTGGAGCCCAGAGAACCGGAACATCTGTACATCTGGACACACAGCCGCTGGCAGGACTGTACCGTGCAGTGTGGAGGAGGTGAGACAGGACCAGGTGGGGAGGAGGGGAGACAGGGACCAGGTGGGGAGGAGGTGAGACAGGACCAGGTGGGGAGGAGGGGAGACAGGGACCAGGTGGGGAGGAGGTGAGACAGGACCAGGTGGGGAGGAGGGGAGACAGGGACCAGGTGGGGAGGAGGGGAGACCGGGACCAGGTGTGGAGGAGGTGAGACAGGACCAGGTGGGGAGGAGGGGAGACAGGGACCAGGTGTGGAGGAGATGAGACAGGAACCAGGTGGGGAGGAGGTCAGACCGGGACCAGGTGGGGAGGAGGGGAGACAGGGACCAGGTGTGGAGGAGATGAGACAGGAACCAGGTGGGGAGGAGGTCAGACCGGGACCAGGTGGGGAGGAGGGGAGACAGGGACCAGGTGGGTAGGAGGTGAGACAGGACCAGGTGGGGAGGAGGAGAGACCAGGTGGGGAGGAGGTGGGGCCAGGACCAGGTGGGGAAGAGAGACCAGGGACCAGGTGTGGAGGAGGTGAGACCAGGAATCAGGTGGGGAGGAGGTGAGACCAGGACCAGGTATGGAGGAGGTGGGACCAGGGACCAGGTGTGGAGTTGAGGCCAGGGACCAGGTGGGAAGGAGGTGAGACCAGGGACCAGGTAGGGAGTAGGTGGGACCAGGTGTGGAGGAGGTGAGACCAAGACCAGGTGGAGAGGAGGAGAGACAGGACCAGGTGTGGAGGAGGAGAGACCAGGACCATGTGGGGAGGAGGTGAGACAGGACCAGGTAGGGAGGAGGTGGGACCAGGTGTTGAGGATTTGAGACCAAGACCAGGTTGGGAAGAGGTGAGGCCAGGAGCAGGTGTGGAGGAGGAGAGACCAGGACTAGGTGGGGAGGAGGTGAGACCAGGTACCAGGTAGGGAGGAGGTGGGATCAGGACCAGGTGGGGAGGAGTTGAGATCAGGGACCAGGTGGGGAGGAGGTGAGACCAGGACCTGGTAAGGAGGAGGTGGGACCAGGGACCAGGTGTGGAGGAGGTGAGACCAAGACCAGGTGTGGAGGAGGTGAGACCAGGACCAGGACCATAGAGGGAGTAGACCATCGTTGTGTTTGCCTTGATGTGTAAGAAGTCAAATAGCGCTAGCTTGAACATGCTACTTGAGCCAGAATGTGGAGCCAAATGAATGGCAGTGGAGGAAAACTTCGCCCATGATCACTTCCCTATTAGGCTTCATTAAGCTAGAGGGTTAGCATTAGCCTCTACAGTGGGGCAAAAAAGTATTTAGTCAGCCACCGATTGTGCAAGTTCTCCAACTTAAGATAATGACAGAGGTCTGTAATTTTCATCATAGGTACACTTCAACTGTGAGAGACAGAATGTAGAAAAAAAATCCAGGAATTCACATTGTAGGATTTTTAAAGAATTTATTTGTAAATTATGGTGGAAAATAAGTATTTGGTCACTTCAAACAAGGAAGATCCCTGGCTCTCACAGACCTGTAACTTCTTCTTTAAGAAGCTCTTCTGTCCTCCACTCGTTACCTGTATTAATGTTACCTGTTTGAACTCGCTATCTGTATAAAAGATAGACCAAATGCAGCCCAAAACTATATTTCAACCACTGATAATCTCCCTCAATCTGGGGCTCCACGCAAGATCTCAGCCCATGGGGTCAAAATGATCATGAGAACGGTAATCAAAAATCCCAGAACCACACGGGGGGACCTGGTGAATGACCTGCAGAGAGCTGGGACCAAAGTAACAAAGGTTACCATCAGTAACACACTACGACGACAGGGAATCAAATACTGCAGTGCCAGACGTGTCCCCCTGCTGAAGCCAGTGCATGTCCAGGCCCGTCTGAAGTTTGCCAGAGAGCACATGGATGATACAGCAGAGGATCGGGAGAATGTCATGTGGTCAGATGAAACCAAAGTAGAACTGTTTGGTGTAAACTCAACTCGTCGTGTTTGGAGGAAGAAGAATACTGAGTTGCATTCCAAGAACACCATACCTACTGTGAAGCATGGGGGTGGAAACGTCATGCTTTGGGGCTGTTTTTCTGCTAAGGGGACAGGACGACTGATTCGTGTTAAGGAAAGAATGAATGGGGCCATGTATCGTGAGATTTTGAGCCAAAACCTCCTTCCATTGAGTTGAATTTCTGTTATTGATCAAATACCTATTTTCTACCATAATTTACAAACACATTCTTTAAAAATCCTACAATGTGAATTCCTGGATTTTTTTTTCACATTCTGTCTCTCACAGTTGAAGTGTACCTATGATGAAAATTACAGACCTCTGTCATTATTTTAAGTGGGAGAACTTGCACAATTGGTGGCTGACTGAATACTTTTTGCCCCACTGTATATATGGTCTCTCGTCTGGAGGAGGTGAGAGCCGGGGCCCCAGCTCACACTAGGAATCTGCTAATGGTCATCACAAGGTTGTGCCGCCTGCTGACCATGTGACCAATCACAGCTCAGCAGGAGAGATGAGGAGAATGTTACGCATCATTTGTGTTTGTTTTGATCTGTGAAAATGATCTGTGAACTTTACTAGAGCTTGAAATTATCTTGATTTGTGCAGATCTCTGAGACCAGAGAGAGACCAGAGAGAGAGACTTAACCCTGTGAAGTCCATTTATTAAACAGCAGCAGGTAGAAAATCTGTCTGCTCCCACACCTGAAGAGGTGTTTAAATAATGAGTGTCATTATAATCACTCTTTTAAACTTGAGATTTTTAACCTTAGCTTTTTAACCTTTAAACCTTCTCTAACACATGATCTGTTTGACCCTTTAACCCAAAACAACAATTTAGTATTTTTAACTAGAACTTAAACACTTGCATTTTAACTGCTTTGGCTCTCACAGACTGAGAGCACAGTGCAGCTGTGTCTGTGCATGTTTTCCAAACTGGAGAACACGGACTGATAAAAGTCACAGTCCAAACAAACCATCTGCAGGTCACTGTGTCTGTGCTTTGTTTCATGAGTGTGCTGCCTCTTATTACTAATATTTAATTCAAGTCAATGTATTTTTGTAGTTATCTCAGAGGACTTTACAAATTAGTCGATTTGCGAGGGAGGCCCGGACAGCTGGGCTATAGATCCAGGACTGTTGGAACTGTTTGATTCTCTGATCCATGTTGGCGTATCGACTAATAACTTTTGTTTTTGTTTGTTCGCTGTAAATTGTTTTTGAATGTGTGTGTGTATGTTTACATTTTTGTATGTAGTATGTTTAGGACCCCCTCTAAAATGAGATGATTCATCTCAAGGGGTTTTCCTTAATAAACTTAATTCATAACTAAAAAAATACATCAAATTGAATTGAATATTAGTAACGAGAGGCCGCCTGAAAGCTCAAAGGTGAAACAAAGCTTGCTCACGTTCAGAGTGACCTGCAGTTTGTTGGTTTGGACTTTTTAATCAGTCCTTGGCTTAAAACAGTTGTGATAAAAAAAAAAAAAAAAACCTCTATTACCATTACAGTATTTATTATGTGTAAAACCTCACATGACCCTGACACTGCTGTTGTAGGAGAGCGGAGGACGGTGGTGTCGTGCATGCGGATCGCCAACAAGAGCATGGACGTGGTCAGTGACAGCTTCTGCCAACCTGAGAACAGACCTCACCCTCAGGTCCGGCTCTGTAACTCTCACCAGTGTCAGTACAGGTGAGGCACAGTCTGCTCCAGCAACTGTTTTCACGGCGTATTTCTATGTGTAGTAGTGAGTATTACAGTTTTACAGACTTTGCATTTATTTGCTCGTGAAGCCGTCTGTATGAAGTTTGTCGTCCTGTCGGGAAACTCCTTGGGGCTCAAAGTTACAATCTGTCTCTTTCTACTGACCTGAGTCATCCCGTACTCATCTCAATAACTCTTCAAATGCAAATTAGGTGTAATTGGAGAAATCATAGCCACAGTTACCAAGGCAACATCACTGGAATGTCCCACCCATCACCCATTAGTTTGTGCACAGGCCGACAGACACACGTTGATGATGTTATTGTTGTACATGAAATCACATTTAGAGCTGTTCATTTCAGGTGCAGGCCTCTTGAAGACACAGTTTGTTCTGAGACAAAAGTGTTGAAAGACTATTTGTTTAGCTATAACAGTTTAGTGTATTATTATTAAAGACTAAACTGCAGTCGAAAGTTAGACATGACAGAACTCTGCAGGGAATAGCTTCGAGATGCACCATCTGGGCTAATACATGTTTTGGTTTTAACACATAGTCACACAGTATATTATGTCGTGGGTATTTGACTTTCACGCTCAGCTGCTGGAGCATAAATTATTGAGTGTATGCTCCAGGCTCCGATTCTGCGTAACTACACAAAACAAAATCATATGCAGGAGGGAAAGTGTATTGATCCCCAACAACAAGAGTCAGAACCATTTACCGTCCAAATACATACATTTCTAATATAAACTATTTAGAACAATTAATTAAAATCACTGACTGATTAAAATCGCTCAGTTAATGCTCCATTTTAAGACAGATACAACATTATTGGTGAATTTATCTTCCATTAATTGGAGATGGATAAAAAATATATAGATATTAAAAAAAAACAAATTGAAATGAAATAAAAAGTTTGAAGTTTAAACATAGTCAAATTATAGAACCATTATCTTTCAGTTTACTCTAGTGCTTTATGCTCTTCATTTGTAAACTCTATAAAAACACTGCAAAAAGTGATGAAAAATAAGTCAAAAATTGCTTAAATTTGGCAAAACTTTCGGACTGCAATACAATAAATGTCTCCCTTGGAATGAGAAAATAAAGCAACAGTTCTTGAAATTAGACTAAATGGCTTTGTTCCATTGGAGAATCTTGTTTAAATCAAAATGTTCTCAAATTAAGATGAAAACCACTCACTTCAAGCAATTATCACCTCATGTTTTCTCCGGTGAGTGGTGTAACTGTGACTGTGGCGTTGGCAGGTGGGTGACGGGGGAGTGGGGGTCCTGCTCCGTCACGTGTGGCCCGGGTCTGCAGCACAGGGAGGTGGGCTGTGTGTACCAGCTGCAGAACGGCTCTCTCATCCACACCAGGGACCTGTACTGTCAGAGCGGGAAGCCCCCGAGGGTCCAGGCCTGCGAGGGTCGCCTCTGCCTCAACGTGTGGGAGGCCTCCGAGTGGTCCAAGGTAGGTGTCATGTTTGGACCAGAACTTCAGAGTGGTCTGTGGGGAGTGCAGGATATCCAGGCTGGTTTACACTAGTCCCTCGCTAAAACTTGAAACTTTCGCGGCCTCTGTTATTTTATTTATGTATTCTATTTTCATTTGATTTGATTTGTTTCAAGCTTATAAACAGTGGTGATGATCCAGGACACTCGACAATCAACAACCTTTATGGACATTTATCAATATTTATTGATATTGGTCATCTGCCCCTTATGGACCAATACCTGTGTTTTCAGATTTTTTATTGTTTGATTCTCTGATCTGTGTTGGCGAATTCAACGGTTTTGTAAAGTCCTCTGAGATAACTGCTTTTGAGATTTAGGGCTATACAAGAATACATTGAATTGAATTGTTGTAAATTCCATTATTGATTCCATTCAATCACATAGTATACATGAAACAAACATACATGAGTGTGTTCACAGTAAAGTGCCAGTTAAAGTATCTGGACTTTAAAAGATTATAATTTAAAAACGAAACTATCATAGATTGGAAAAAAGATTTTAAACACAGACATATCGAAGAGATAGTGTGGATAAAAATAAAAGGAAAGCTTGGCAAATATATTTTTGGCGACATTTTAAATGACAAAAATCAGCATCTGATTTGACCATTCCACTGGCCAGTTACATAGAAATAAAATGTCCTCAGTCTGAAAAAGCGGCAGATGAAATCCCACAAGATTTACATGGTTAACACAACAGAAGTAAATCACTTGATATAAAAAGTTATTGTTAAAAAAACTTAAACAAAAAAACGTAAATGACCCTTGAAAAATGTGTAACGAACGTGATGTTTCCGTCCATTTTTCTTTAACAATTAAACAAATCTGGGCTAGTTTCACATTCAATTGGTTGACTACTCTATGTAAAAAAATAGAATCTCTTAATCGAATGTGGACGTCTGAAAATACGTAACAAACCGCAATTGGAAACTTGTCTAATGTATAAAACGTTATGTTCTAGCAACTTCTAATGGACAGAGGAGGTATATACTGTATATATAATATAATCTTTATTCCGGACTCAAGGTCCATACAACAGACAACACAAGGAGACCACAAGACACAGAAACATAAAAAATAAAATAAAAGTCTAAGGACTCATTTACAAAGATACTTGTACCAGTGTTCCCGAAACTGAGAAATACAGTGTGTTGTACTGAACTTGACATTCACCAAAAAAACAACAACCAGGTTCACAGACTCGTTCAATCGGCGAATAAAACTAAACATTGCATTTCTCAGGACAGACTTCAGTGTGTTCACTCTGTTGCTCACGAACAACTCATTGAGTCACATATTGGATACATGAAAAACATGAAAAACATCAAATATCTTTGAATTATTAAAATAACATTTTTGGCCTTTTGTCACACTTTTGTGCCCTTTAATGTGAACAAATAAAGGATCTCTTAATCTTAATCAATACATTCATTCATACATACATTCAAAGGTTTTGTTTTTTCAATGTTTTTTCATAAAAGCTCCCTCCCCCTAAATTCACCTTATACGGTTGCACATTCTCAGATTTTGTGTAATTTTGTGTTTTTACAGCGTGTCTCATACTATCTCATGCATCCTCCAACGACATCATAATATAAATGTAAATGTGCACTTTAGTTATCCTCATAGGCAAACTTAGTCCACGGATCAATTGAATTTATTTTTGTAAAGCCCTAAATCACAACAGTAGTGATCTCGCTGCACTTTAGAAATTTGTCGATTTGCCAACAAGAGATCAGAGAATCAAACAGTTCAAACACAGGGAATGCATTGATAAAAAAGTACATAAAGGCATTGGTCCATAAGGAACGGATGACCAATGTCCATAAATGTCCTTGATGTCCCGGATCATCACCACTGTGCACCGTTTACCTTTTTTAAAGTCAAAAGAAATTGTTTACGTCTCTGGCCCTTTGGAACGCTGTGATGTCACATGAACGCAACATCAATAATAATATAAATAATCACTGTTGTAGAAAATATGCCAAGATTTATTTTGATTATTGCCAACCAACACTTTTGACTTCTGTAAACAGTGTTACTGATTACCGCCCCGTCTCGTATTTCTACCTGGTCGTCACGGTAACAGTATAGATTGTTCAAAGTGATGGTCCTGTGCGTGTGTGCAGTGCTCGTCAAACTGTGGAGAGGGCGTTCGCAGCAGGACTGTGCTCTGTACCAACCCCCAGGGCCTCTGTGACCCGCTGTCCCGGCCCCCCCACCAGGAGCCCTGCACGGACCACTCCCAGTGCTACGAGTGGAAGACCGGAGACTGGTCCAAGGTGCAAGAGCTGTAGGACTGAAGGACCATGGTTTATCTGGGAGACTGAGGCTCAGGGGCCATTCATGAGGCTTAATGGAAGTGAAATTGTGCTTATGACTAAACAAACATTTACCTCAAATCCCGCAGAAAAATATCAGGGTAACACTTTAAGTTTAGCTCTTACTAATAAATAGCAAATTAAGTGCTATTTAGTGTATACATTATGGTTAATTAGCTCTTTATTGGTATTTATTACGCACTTATTAGTCCTTTTTCTACTTGGCCTTATTCCACATCTAACTTACTACATACTGACACTTTCCCATGTGGATGAGGGTTAGAGTTAGCGATAGGGTTAGCGTTAGGGTTAGCGTAGGTTACACTGATTAGCATTTCATTAGCTGTTAATTAGTGAGGGTTAAACTAAAGTGTTTACCAATATCAGTTTACGGAAGGCATCCAGGACCAAGAAGATAAAAGGTATTTTAGCAGAAAAGTCATAAAAAAACTCCAAATGTACATAATTCTGTAATAAGTAGCTCCCATCATCAAGTTTGTTATTTTTTTAATTATTTGTGTAGTGTAATTAAAGAAAATCAGATAATAATAAAATCTAAAATTAGTATCAAAAGTAGACGCTAATTCAGGTGTAACAATACAAAAATGACCTCATAATCATAAACAGGACAACATCATGATCAGCGTTTGAACTTAAAAGTACTATAAATTTGTCCAACAATAATTTGTGTAAATGATTGCAGTTTATAATCACATTTTAAACTATTGACTCACACACAAAAAACCTCCAGTTTCCAGACTAAATTGGTTTTTTAGTTAATTATTGTTTGTCACATACACATTAGAGGCAGTGGAATTCTCATGTACCACTCGCAGATGCTCAGTGCAGTATTCGGAAAACAAACAATAACAGAATAAAAACACAGAGGTTTTTGGTCTCATAATAACGTCCAATACCTCATTTCGATGGCTGTTTGCGAGTGCTGTGTCTGACCTTCACTTCTGACCTCCTCTCCTCCAGTGCTCGTCGTCCTGTGGGAAGGGTCTTCAGTCGCGGGTGGTCCAGTGCATGCACCGTGTGACCGGTCGCCATGGAGACGACTGTCCGGTGCTGCTGAGGCCCCCTGCGTACAGACCCTGTCACCTGGACACCTGCAACCAGAAAGTCAACGTGAACACCATCACCTCCCCCAGGCTCGGTCAGTACACAGACAGACACACACACAGACACACACATACGCACACATGCAAACGTACGCACAAACAAACACATTCACAGACACAGGCAGACGCACACACACACACACAGACAGACACACATTCACACATACACAGTCACACACACATATACACACACCGACAGACAGACACACACACAGGCAGAGATACAGCCATAAACACACACAGAAACACACAGATAAATAATCACACAGATAAGCATACACGTAGACACACACACACAAAGACACACACAGACGCAGACAGACAAATAATCACACAAATAAGCATACACGTAGACAGACACACACACGCACACACACACACACAGGCAGAGATACAGCCATAAACACACACAGAAACACACAGATAAATAATCACACAGATAAGCATACACGTAGACAGACACACACACGCACACACACACACACAAAAAAGACACACGCAGGCAGACACACCACACACACTAAACACATCATTTTTTAACCTACAGGAAAACATGATCCAGTGCAGTACGGCTGCTTAGTAATAAATAAAATACAAGAAAAGCATACATTATTTAGATCATAATTGAAATGACTTATTCATGCTGTAATTTCTGTAGAAATGTGGCGTGTAAAGAGTGGGATATAGAAAGTGAACACCTATAAAACTAAGTGATGTTTCTCTCCTCACAGCGTTCTACATTGTTCTGTTGATGTTGCCTAACAGCTGTATGTACATTCATGTTTTGTTTTTGTGTCATGAGGGCAAAAAAAAAAGTATATCATCAAAGCAAATACAAAGTCAAACACCAGCTCAGAAATAGAAAAACTATGATGTCATAGTGGTGCAATGATACTATCACAGGACGGACACAGGAGCTTTTAGATAAAGTTGGATGTTTGTGCCAGAAGTTCCTGATGTAAGCGTGGATGGATCTAAAAGCAACTCCAGGTTTGATTTTGATGAGGGAACAATGTGACATGATTAAAAGCTCAAGAAAAACATGTACAACATACAAGCTTCATTACTCCCAGGATACAGTAAATACAGAGTCAGAGATTGGGAGACAGGCTTTTTGCTCCAGAGCCACCGAGGACTAGAACAATCTCCAGGCTTCAATAAAATCTATTTCCTCACTTGCAATTGTTAAAAACCGCTTTTGTCACACGCCTTAAGACAGTATGGGATTGTTTTAGGAAACACTAAGAAAACATCAGAGAAATAACGGTATCCAAAGTTCCTGTACACTGCAAAAAGTGATGAACAATAAGTCAAAAAATTCTCAAATTTCTCTTAATTTGAGCACATTCTGACTGCCTTAAAACATGATTTGCTGAAATGAAGATACAAGAAATGTCTCTTGGAATGAGAAAAAAAAGCAACAGTTCAAAATTGCTTTGTCCCATGCCTCATGCTTTATCATTAAAGATACAGTCAATAATTTATCCAATGGTTTTGACTTGGATGCTACTGCTAAGAATCCTTTACTGCGCCTTTAAATAAATAAATGTCTCCTTTCAATCACCGTCATGTTACTTATCTCTGAAGCCTCACCACTTTGACTTTGATTCTGACTCCTCTGTTGTCCTCTTCTCTCACCTCTCCGCCGCTGCAGCCGCACTGACCTACAAGTGCACGGGCGACCAGTGGGCCGTGTACTGCCGCGTGGCCCGGGAGAAGAACCTCTGCCAGGACATGAGGTGGTACCAACGCTGCTGCCAGACCTGCCGGGACTTTTACGCCAACAAATCTCAGCTGTCCACAGACTGACCACTCCTGACGCCTCTTAGCACTATTTGAATTCTCGGACTGGAGAAGGTGACGTTTAAATGAAAACTTGAATTATGTCCAGCACATTTCTATGCACCGACAACGAGTGTGAGAAGCTCCTGGAAGTGATTGGAAGATGTTTGACTTGTATTTCTTGTTTGAAAGCGTGTGGCTGAGGTCTGCTCGCCCTTTCGTCCACAGTTTTATGCAAACGTTACATTTTTAAAGCAACAGTACGGAACATTCTGGAGGTGGAAAGTCGCTCTGCAGTTGGAATATACAGATTTAATGTCAATTGTTAAAGTTTACAGATTTATGGCCGTTCTCCGACACACTCACATTTGTGGAGATGCAAGCAAGCTCAGTTATGACACACTTTATTTTTACATTTTTCATCCAATTTCTTCTGCTTTATCCATTGCCAGGTCGTAGAGGCAGCAGCCTGAGCAGAGAGGCCCAGACTTCCCTCTCCATGTGCACCTCCCAAGGGCCTTCCTTAAACAGTTAAGAAACTTTGGATCTCTCAGGCAGGGGTTCCCAAACTTTTAAGCCTGATTAAAACTGAGGGCAGTAGATACAAGATACAATTTTATTCGCCATAAGCAGTAAAACCAAATTGGAAAAATTGTACCAGACAGAGAAGATTGTTCAGACCAGAGCTCTTGCCACAGTAGTAACTTGAAATCTCAAAAATTTATATATTAATTATAATAATATTGTTTGTATTAGCTAATATACAATTTTATCTACTTTCCCCTAAAATATATGGTTTGTGTCTGCATTATAGCTATAACGATTCATTGATATTTCAGAATTTTCGGGTAAATTGTCTTGTATTATCTAGTGACGGTCCTATGACCCGCACTTTGGGGACCACTGCTCCAAGGGAAACTAATGTCGGTCGATGTGGTCCTATCTGGTAACCTTGCTTTCTCAAACATGTTTTATCAAATTTCACTTCCCCTTGTGCTCTCCTCAAGCCAAAATGACCCGACACAGTGATTTAAAAGTAGAAGAAAAACAATGAAACTGTGTAATATGACCCAGGGCATGGAAAGATCTGAGAAGTCATCAAAATTCAGCTAGAATATTTTTTTTATTTAGGGCATTTTGTAAACACTGTGGTGGGTCAATTTGACTCGAGGACTGAAACATTTGGATTGAAAAAATTGAAATATATCAGTCTACCTATATAAAAAGTTACGTACTGTCTCTTTAAAAGGTTCCGTTGATTCACTGAAGTCATGCAGTAATTATACCAATATTAATAATAATGGTTTGTATTTATATTGCGCTTTACAAACTTGACAAGCTCCTCCCACCACAGTTCACCATTATTCATATACTCTATATTCAGTGGGAGAAGCAACACATTTCAGGCCGAGTGCGAAGCCTAAAGGCACAACAATAGTATACCCTGGTGGGAGCTGATGTACTGACAACACTCAATAGTTTTTTTTTCATTTGATTGAACCTAGTGTTGGGAAAGAACATTACAGAGACTGGACAGGATACTGCAACGTTCTTATGATTTGGTGGACTTCAGAAAGTAGTAACTGCTTCATTGATTATATTTGAAATAGTTGTTGAGAAGAGGTTTCATGTCCCAGATAATTAGTATTTTTGACTATTTTTAATCAAACAACCCTATGCGTTCTCCAGTGGGCTTCATTTTGGTCAAATTAATAAAAAATCCCATTATAAAAAATATCTTTATTAACTGACTTTTTGGAATCCAGACAAACGTATGTTTTTATTAATGTCATTATTATTAGTATTTGACAAAAACATTTTGATTCCCTGAAAAAAGATTTTCCCGAACAATCACTGTTTCTTTCCTATTTCAACATTTCTGCTGCATTACGCCATACAGCATTAGGAGAACATAGTGGGAAAATGTGTTGTTTTAACCATTTTGCTCTAGAACATAATGTTATTTTAATGTTAAATGATCTTTCTCTATGACACAGTTCATATAAAGCAGCCATGTCAAACTCAGGCTAATGGGCCAAATCCGGCCGCAAGACAGTTTTTAGTGGCCCCTGAAATTATTTTATCTCGCAGCATTGATGGATATGGGGTGACCATGGCATGTTATACATCATTTATTTTCTAAGGAAAACAACCAAATGTAATCTATTAGACAATTTTATCCCAACACATCATTAGAAGTTAAACAGTTAAATATAAAACAATGTGTTTAACATTTGGTCCAGTTTCGGTTAAATCTAAACAATAAACTTTTTTTTTTTTTTTTTTTTTCAGAAAAAACAGTCAAACTCATGTCATATTAAATACCTTCATAATGTAAAAAAACAATTATAAGTAAAAGAAATCCCTCCTATTTCTTTGCCTCCAATCAGTTCCTATTTGTTTAATTTGGCTCTGACCACAATGAGTTCTACGCCCCTGATATAAAGCTTAAAATTCATAAATAGCTTAAAACATTAATCTGCCACAATTTTTGCCTATTGTTGTTGTTTTTTGGACGTAACCCCGGTGATTAATGAGAGACCACTGTTTTGAGAGTTCACAGACATAAAAACTTTTCAGTCTCTGCCACCTCTTCCCAACACTGGTCCGATGATGCTTCTAATCTTTGTGCGTTACTGTAACACACACACACACACGTCATTGTAACCATAGCTTTGTTAAACAGAGTTACAATGTTACTTCAGCACTTTACATGTTTTAAAGTAACATTGAGCATCTGCTACAGAACTGGACGAGAACAAAAACACAGGTGCTTCTGGAAGGATGGCTCGGTTTTTAACATTAAAATTAGGGATTAAAATAATGAATAACCAGTGGATCAAAAATAGAAATAAAATCCTTTTATCTTTTTATTACAATTTTTAACCTGGATTTGAACAACATTTAGTGTATTGTCCTAATTTAGCAGTTGTTTACTCACCAATGACAGATCAGAGAATTAAACAGGTCAATAATAACAAACACATGGGAGCCATTGTCCTTACATGTTCATAAATGTCCCCTAAATATCTTTAGATAAATGGAAAAATAGAGTCACACATCCAGAGGTGATGTCACTGTTCTTGTTTACCCATGGTAGGTGCTCACATTGTTACTTTTTCATACAGAGCAGGTGTCAACAGGTCCAACTGATGTGGCCCGATATCGCCAACAAGAAAACATTGACATTTGTTTTTGTTTATCGGGGATCCCCATTAGCTTCCACCTTTGCGGTTGGGGGTCCCAGTTAAGACAAAAGTATTACCAAAGTATTACCAAAAATTACAAAATGAAATAAAACATACATTTATTCATTGCCATCAAATTAAATACAGATGAGGCAATGATCAAATACAGTCAAAATTAGTAAATTAATAACACCAGGGGAAAAAACAAACAAAACATGGAGTCATACGTCACGTTTTCGCACCAAAAAGTCTTGCAAACTCAAAATACTAACATTGTGACTACACCCTTTGCCGGATTATTTCTGTTCACATTTGACGGACGGTAAATAATACATTTTTAGTTAAAAGTTATTCCAAATATAATTGCTGGTTATGCAATATTTAGTGTGTGGTCCTAAGTCAGCAGTTGTGGATTCACCAACAGATCAGAGAATCAAACTGTGAAAACACAGGAAATTCACGAATGAGCGAATCACTTTTGTTTTTCCACAGTTGTTTTTAGCTAATATCAATCACCTCTGGCACAATTTGGCACAAGGGACAAAATTAACATTAACTAAAATTGATGACTAGAAAAGTTTTGTCACTGCCGTTATCTAGACACAGAAGTTTCTATATCGCCCTACATGCAAATGTCATCTATACACAAAGGAATTAAGTTCAAAGTTTAATTTATTAGGGACAATGTGCAGTTACATTAAAAACATGGCTGCACCAGATTTAGCACCATCTGTAGTCCTTGACAAAAACAATCATATAACGTACTCATTAAATACAGTTCCGTTAAAAAGTTACAAACGTAGCTACAGTCACAAAGTACAAGATACAAGATAATAAAAAGTATAAAGGAGGATTTTCCCATATTTTAGGAAAGAACCGCAATCTCCACTTTCAAGAACTCTCTGGTCTAAATGACGAGCACGTATCAGCAGAATGATTGACAATCGGGAGGACCAATAGTCGTGAGGATCCACCCGGCACGGTGGCTGAGTGGATAGCACTCTCGCCTCTCAGCAAGAAGGTCCTGGGTTCGAATCCCGGTTGGACCAGGGCCTTTCTGAGTGGAGTTTGCATGTTCTCCCCGTGTCTGCGTAGGTTTCCTCCGGGTGCTCCGGTTTCCCCTACCACTAAAAATATGTACAATAGGTCTGGCATGTGCCTCCTGTACTGGCACCCCCACTCCCAAAAATAACAATTGTAAACCGCTTTGAGACTCCGATGTGCAGTGAAAAGGCGGTATATAAATAAAAAGGTTACTAGGTTACTAGGAAGTAGAAAATCCTCCTATATATTTTTTGACTTTTAGCGGCAAACGGAGAACGTGCAAATTACTGGTATAGATAAAAGCATTGTTTCCATAAATTGTTGCTTCGGGATCACTGTGTTCTTCCTGTTGATGTCGAAAGGGCTCAGGTCCTTTCTGGTGAGTGTTGCGCTTTTATGGTGCTAAAGTATGACCTCATTCACTCCAGCTGAAATCTGGGTCATATTTTTTTTATTTTGTATATTATTTAATAACTGACTTTTTTTGTATTCTTCTTGTTATTGTATATTATTTGCACAGTTGTTTTTCTTTGGTACTCTTTTCTACCACTACATGTATTTTTTTTCATGGTGCTGAAATATCCCCAGTTAAGTCTGTAGCAACATGTTGAATTTACGTTTATTTTGGTATTTGTTACAAACTGCACTGTGGCGCTTTTCTTGTGTGTTTGCCGGAGACATTTCAGAGTGTGGCATTGAGTGAGCCAAACATTTTAACGTTTTTGATTTGAGTATAGACAACAAAAAACAGTGTGGGATCAATGGAAAAATGGATTCAAATTCTAGACAATTTATCTAAAATATTTCAAGCTGGTGACAGTTACAATCAATACATTTCAAAATATTAATAATTAAAAAATTAACAAATATTTTTGATCCTCTACTAAGAAGTAAAGCGTTGTTTTCTTGTCTTGTTTTTCAATAATGACATACCATAGTCAAGCCAATAAGGAGAGCGCTCACTTTTAATTAATTAGTAATTTGTCCAATCAGAAAGCAGGCAGAGTGAGCATGGGCAGGTCTCCTTTGTAATCAGTAAAAAAAATCATCCATCCCTAGACATACATATTTTAACCACTCAAGATGGGATACTTTTTCTCTCAACTAATTAATTTTCAATGTACAAAGAGACCGCAACATGCTGCCTTTGTCTTACTACTAGAAAAATACATTAAAAAATTGCTCACCTTTGGTCAAATGTTTTTTAATTTGAGCACATTCTGACTGCCTTAAAAAAGGCAGTTAAAAAAGATATAAGAACTGTCTCCCTTGGAATGCAAAATGAAGCAACAGTTCTTGAGATTAGACAAAACGGCATTGTCCCATTGGTTAATCTTGTTTTAACACAGTCAGAATGTGTTAAAACAAGTGGTTTTTATTAAGACTAAAACCACTGGATTCAAGCAGTTATTTCCTCAGATTGTATCTTTTTTTTGCACTGCATGGATCTTTTGCATAAGGAGCCCTGGGAGTTAGTAGTGCTGGTGAGGGTGGTCCTCTCTTTTTCACTTTTTTCCTGCAGCTGATCTAAAGAAGGAACTATAGATTCCCCAGCTTCAGGCACAAACAGGAACAAATATGGTGTGATTCCTGCTGCTGAATTACATGGAAGAGTCGAGCCACGGCATACACTGCAAAAAATATCAAATCTGAGGTAATAATTGCTTGAATCAAGTGGTTTTATCTTAATTTGAGCCCATTCTGAGTGAATTAAACAAGATTCACCAATGGGACAAAGCCATTTAGTCTTATTTCATGAACTGTTGCTTTGTTTTTTATTCCAATCGAGACATTTCTTGTATCTTTTTAAAACAAGATCATTTTTGGATGTCCAATTGGCAAATCTTGTTTTAAGGCAGTGCTCAATTTAAGACATTTTTTGACAAATTTCAGCAATTTTGTGTTTATTTTCATCACTTTTTGCAGCGTACGAGATTGGACCTCCAGTGGTGATTTTACTGCACAGTTATGAGCAAATATCTTCCAAAACTTCAATCCATAAATGACACTTAATACACAGTTATGTCTGTTGCTAAGCAATTATAGCTCCAAAGTTTAAGTGCTGATGTTAAATCATTATGTATCGATTTGGATCTTTGACCTGCTGTAGACTGGCAAAAGTGGTTTTATCTATTAAAGCAAACAGACAAAACGAGATGGGTCTTTTTGTTAAAGCAATAAAAGACGATTGTAATCGAATGTCAATGCCACACTCAGGTTCAGTGCCATACTGTGAAGCACTCAAAGCAAAAGTAACAGCATTTTAAGCTGGTAAACACTGGGAAAGTTCCATAGTGCTCTGTAGCTGACGTGGTGCTATGCTCTCGCCCACTACTGTCATGTGTGTTTATGGTCACTACTCTCGCTCCTCTAATGGAAGCACACATCTCACACCAGAGGAAGAGCAAAACATGTCTGACATTTTACATTTGTATTGTATTGTGATTTCAAATTGACAGTATTATTCTTGTTCAACTACTCCACCTGTTTTCTCTGTGGTTGAAAACTCATGTCAAACTCCTAATAAAATCAATGTATTGTTTCACTCATGTGCTTGGATTATTGCCTGTGTTTAGTTCTATGTTGTAACATGATAGATGTGATAAATTTCCTCATGAAATTATGTAGACATAGGTGTATTTCGTTTATACATTTTAATAAATAACCCCGCTATATAGGCTATATACATTTGTGCCAATAGGCTTGCGTCTAACTGACGTCACCGGGCTCAACAAAGAGCAGCAGAACGGATATATAAATTACGCTTCCACAACAAACTCCCTTTGGTTCTCTGTCCACACGACATCTACTCTCTATGGTGTTTTGTCCAGAACCTGTCCAGCTGCAGTGGTGTGCCTGCGGGGAAAGCCAAGACTCTCTGGATACAACAGTGTCTAAATGTGCATAGGTGAACCGTCTCCTCAGTGTGTTTATTATGGAGGACCTGGCCGGATGTGGGAGCGCGTCTTGTATCATCTTGACACATAGTTTTCAGAAGTGTGTACAGTCCATCACAGCCGCAGCTGCCCGAGCGCACCACGGAGACTGAGAAGGGGTCAGCGCGCCCACGGACGCCCGGGGAGAGCAGAGGGAAGGCGGACAGACTCACCCTGAAGGCGCATCTGTGACAGCCGCAGACCGCACCTGCCCTGGATACTCAGCCTATAAATGGATGCTGAAAGAATAGCTCCGGTGTGCGCGTTCTACCGCGTGTGCGCGCAGTCTGCTCCAGGCGCGCGTTCGAGTCGCATTCTCGTCATCTGAACGGAGCATCGTCCCGTTAGAAGAGGATCAGGTGAGTGTTGTCTCCGAGGACTCGTCTGGATTGATGCTGCATCCGTGAACAAGATGCGTGCGCACGTGCACGCGGCTGTCCTATTGAAGGCTCTGCAGATGATGCAGGTGCAGACTATTGCAATGTGATCCGTTAGTCCGTGTGATCAAGCTTGAGCAGCTCGAAAGACAAACGCATGGCAGAAATGTTGTTTTCAGCTGTTTTCTTTCATATCTCCTGTGTCTGTCTATACCTCTGTCTGAAACATAGGCCTAGATAAATCCTGATTCAGCACTGTCTGATGTAGGCTCCAAATGTGTTTGATGTCCACAGTCATGGAGCACCCTGGGGAGTACTCCACGGTCCTGGGACAGATCCTGTCAGAGCTCAAGTCTAAACATCAGAGTGTGTCCCACCCAGAGCTGTGTGGATGGCTGTGCTCGCGCTTTGACCTGGTGCACCTGGCCAAACTGCGCAGTGTGCTCTTCCACAGTGCCAGCCAGGACCCCTCCTTCCCTGCCACACTCTTCAGAGACCGGATGCGCTGCTCCTCAGTTGACCCTCACTCTAAAAAACTTCAGGTGGCTGCGGATGTCGTGTCCATGTTTAATCTTATCCACAGCAGAAGCCCAGCCAAAGAGAGGCTTCCTATGTCCCGAGCCCCTCTGATCAAAAATCACTCTGTCGGGTCAACTGACTACCACCCACCTCACCCGCCTCACCCGCCTCACCCTCTTCACGGCTCTGCCCACAAACACAAGCAAGGAGCAGAGAGCGGCCTGCACCACTTTATTCCTGCCTCCGACCCCAACTTCCTGCTCCGAGTGAGTAAAGACCTGAAATGTAGAGCGGCTTCTCTAGACAAACTACACCCCCTTCCTCTCTATGGCCCTGGGCCCCTGGGTCCCTCCTGTGAGATGCAGAGTACGTACTTCCCAATGGATGTAGACAGTGAGGCAAGCACAGAGCTCGAGTCGCTCTCACAACCACAGCTAGGCCCTCAGGAGCCCCGCGCTGCACGCTCCTGTGTCCACAAGAGGAATGTTTTCAAAGAAGACTTTCACAATATGTCTGCGTTCTCGCCAAAGGTAGGTGTGAATGTTAAAATGTTTCATATTTGAGTGTTGTAACTATCATGTCAGACGCAATATAGTCTCCTCCTCTACAGTGTGTCCTTGTGCTGTTGCAGGTGCATCGACAGGCCAGTGATTGTGCCGAGGGTATCCACCAGAGAGAGCTCCACAGACCTGCTGTGTTCTTTAATCACAGTTTTGAACTGCCTTGTACCAATCCATACATGGACCCAGGATTCAACTCTCCACTTGATGAGAGACATCGCGCCAAGCATGAAAGTCTGGATGACCTACAAGCGTCCACATACTTTGGCCCAAGCACTGTGTCAGAGAGCGTGAGTTCCCGGAGGTTCCCCGACAGAGAACCCCCCCACAAAGGTAACAGCAAAGCAGGCAGACCAACCCGGCCAGTCAAGAGCTTCAGTCTCAACACAGATTATGTACCTGCACCCAGCACCAAACCCATGGCAACCAAGAGACCTCTCAGGAACATGGCTGCGATCAATGGGGAGAGAGAACCATCTAAAACAGAGTCTCCAGCTTTCAACAAGAAAGTAAGTGATTTCAAAGGCCAGGAGGTATCACCCCTGAGCAACGGTCCTGACTGTGTGGAGAGAAAGGGGGACAGCCCGTGGTTTGAGGGCAGGACTGCAAGCCGAGGTTTCCAAAGACCTGATGTGGCCTCCAACGTGGGCACACAGACGGAGAAGGGCAGTGAGCCCAAGAGACTCAGGAGCTTCAGTCGAACAGACTCTGAGATGATCAGTGACGACATCAGCGACATCTTCCGCTTTTTGGACGACATGAGTGTGTGCGACTCACTGAACATGATCCAGTCCTCTTGTTACAACAGCACCGGCTCTCTCTCCCAGCTCACTCTGAGGTCCGACAGCTCTCCAGAGCGCAGCACGGTTCGTCTGGCTAAGTCCAGACTGGACAGTCTTTTCCACTCTCTGGACAATAGTGATGACGAGCTCAAGTCAAACGTGCACCGCCTAGTACAGAGAATCGGAGAGATAGAGAAGAAGCTTGAGTCTCTGTCTGGGGTCCGCACTGAGATCACCCAGCTCCTGTCCAAACTAAACCAGCTGGACCACAAGGTTCACAAGCCGCACAGCACTGATGAAACTGACCCTAGCCCAGCTCCCTCTGACTCCCACCCCTCCTCTCAAACCTATCAGTCCCACACTATGGGACGCACAAATGTACTCTCTACTGGACACACAAATGGACACTCTGTGGGACAATCCACTGGACTCTCTAGAACACACACAGGTGGACACACAAATAGCAATCCCAGTGGACACATCAGTGGACATTCAAATGGACACACAACAGGTGGACCCTCTGATGGACACACACAAAACGGACACACATTGGGACACTCCACAGTACACTTCACTGGTCATACGAGTGGACTTTCTAACATCCAATCCGGTGGACACACTAGTGGACACACCACTAGTGGACATGCTACTAGTGGACATGCAAGCGATCATAGTGGTGGACATGCTAGTGGTCATAGTGGTGGACATGCTAGTGGTCATAGTGGTGGACATGCTAGTGGTCATAGTGGTGGACATGCAAGCGATCATAGTGGTGGACATGCTAGTGGTCATAGTGGTGGACATGCTAGTGGTCATAGTGGTGGACATGCTAGTGGTCATAGTGGTGGACATGCTAGTGGTCATAGTAGTGCACATGCTAGCGGTCATAGTGGTGCACATGCTAGTGGTCATAGTAGTGCACATGCTAGCGGTCATAGTAGTGCACATGCTAGCGGTCATAGTGGTGGACATGCTAGTGGTCATAGTAGTGCACATGCTAGTGGTCATAGTAGTGCACATGCTAGTGGTCATAGTAGTGCACATGCTAGTGGTCATAGTAGTGCACATGCTAGCGGTCATAGTGGTGGACATGCTAGTGGTCATAGTAGTGCACATGCTAGTGGTCATAGTGGTGGTCACGTTACTGGACATGCTGGTGGTCATGCTGGTGGACACTCTAATGGACACTCCAGTAAACAGCACAAGCGTGGACATTCCCATACATTGGCGGACTGGAGTAGTTCTCAGGTGACATGGAGCAGCCCTGGGGAGAGCATGGGGGTGAAGGCCCTGAAGAACAGCCTGATGAGGAGGTCCTCTCGTTCCCTGAACCAGGAGCCAGCTCCTGACTGGAGCACCACGGTCTACTGCACTGAGAGACCACGCACACACAGAGAGGTGAGGACAATCAATATGTTTCAGACTGATTTAGAATCTCCATTTGACCTGTTCTGTATCAACAACACAGCAATCATATCAGCAATCAATAATAGGTCTGTTCCAGACTGAAGTTCAGTTGTGCATAATCACATTTCTTACTCATGGGCTTCAGTTACATTCATCGGATGAATCATTCTGTAAACTTCATAAAGAATAGAACTGTTGATTTAAGGGTACAATGGATTAGTGTTCAAAGCACAGACTTAAAAATGAAAGTTGGTGATCGTGTGAGTTATATTAGTGCGCTTCTGCAGACACGTTGGATCTCCTCAGAAGTTATAATAGATGTGTACACAGAGAGTCACCCGCAGTGAGTCAGCCCTAGCCCCCACATGTCTCTCTGACGTCACACTGAAGCAGATCACAGCGTTTAAGGTGCCTCAGGCCAATTTTAATGAGTTAAAACCTGCTTGTATCCATGACGATGATATTGCGGTGTTCTGATGTCCCACACTTTACATGTGTTGTTCAAAATAGTCTTTTTTTTATTTATTTTTATCTAATAGCAGCATTACAACATTGTTCATTTTTCAAAAACAGACCTGGAAAGGTTTTAACTCCAGCCACAAACCTAACAGGATTTTCCCTGTTTTGGTTGAAATTTTGGTTGAAATTTCCCACTTCAACCAAAAGGAAGGAGTTTGGGAATATTCCAATCATTACTTGCTTTATTGTTTTCGAAGTAAATTCTGAAATTCAAAAATAGTAGCAAAATATTTGTTCTTTAAAAGCACCTGATCAGTGTCTGTGAAGAGTTGGCCCTGCTCTTGGCTTTTGGTGTTACAGCTTCTCACGATTTGATCCTATTCCTTTGTCCTTTCTTTCATATCATCCTCCACAGTTTGAAAGTTATTATGGCCATTTTATCTTGTACCATCCTAATGCATGTTTTTCTAATGTTGTCATTGCCATAACTTGATCACCAGTGTTTGTCTATTTGTTGTGAGAGGATCTGGACAGCACTTTGAAATGTGTGCAATGAAGCTACCATATGTAGTTCCAAACAATGGGAATAATGAGGCAGTACTTTACAGTGTTTATTTTGTATTCATAGTGACTTAAAAATGTAAACTATTTGACCATTTAAACTTGTTATGTTTGTTGTATTAAGTCAGTATAGTCTTGAATATGATACGGACCGTCCCACGCTTTTGGGGCAACAGAGACACCACATTGACGACATGCTTCTGCTTGATATTTGACGGTTCTGGCGGCTCATATAGAATGCGTGGGAGAGTCTATACATAGTGGTGACATGTGACGCACAAGTGCAGCAGTCTGGGGCTCACCCTCCTCCATCTGACCCAGGCAATTTTGTGGTAACCTTACACTTACCGTGTGTAGAGGCGGCTAAAAATAAACCGAGAGCAATATCCTTCATCTCTGGCCCACAGTGGTCTGAGCATTTGTGTTATCTCTGCAGGTGTGATGAGGCTGACGCAGTGACATTGTGATGCTGTATGTGCTCGGTGAAAGAGTATAGGAGCAATGCAAGAGTCTTTCATTAGGGTCTGGTGCAGGCAGAGGCGCAAACATATACTGCTATCACTGCCTCACAATGGATAAAGTACAAAGCAGTAACTGTGTTTCTGGTTTGTGTAATGGGGCAGTGAAATGGGTGGGGCTTTGACTTCCGGAGGTAAAAATCACCATTCCATAGATATTAAAGAAGGAACTGATTTTGTTAGCATGATAAAATTGAAATCTATTGTAAAACTCAAATATGTCATTGATACTCTTAATCTGTTAGGCAACCCTTAGTAAAACCTGTTTTATTTGCTTGTGATATAATATGGAGGGGCGACAGTGGCTCAGTTGGTAGAGCATTGGCCCTAGAGCCTGAAGGTTGTTGGTTCGAGCCCACCACAAGACCTACTTCACGACTCCCACTGATGTCTGCTGTCATTGTGTCCTTGGGCAAGACACTTAACTCCACTTTGCCTGAAGCCCCTGCTGAATAATTAAGGCTCCTGTGGACTCACCACCTGCAGGAGGATCAGGGAGGGGCTGGTGCTCTGTGTACCGGGTGCAGCTCTGACTGTCACCCCCTGACCCAGAAATGGATTAAGGGGAAGAAGATGGATAATATAATATAATATGGCTCTGTTTTACGTACAGTACATGATGAATTATTAAGCAGACCTGTTTATAAACTGCACCATTTAAAAAAGAAAGTACAGACCGCACTTTAATATAAGCCGCAGGTTTTTTCATGTTGTACTGTAACAGGTCACCAACAGCTGATGAACCCAAACCAAGCTGATAGACGTTTTAACCGGACACAATTCCATTTCATGATTTTTTAGATGCATTCTTTTAACATGAGGATCCAAACACCTCAATCTACTTCGACAATTACATCCAGACTAAAATTATCTCAAAATTAATGAGTCCATGCGAACATATAAAGTTGTGGTCATTCATCACCAGATAGCTGATTAGACTCAGTTTGTTTTCAATCTCTCATGACAATTATTTCTAATTGAGATTTTTACTTCCAGACACTAAGCTCTACCCTCTTTGCAGCTCCATCGAGGCATCGTTTATGAGAGGTTTGTGGAGAGAAAGTTGGATCGCCTCAGATAACATTATGTTGTACAGCATTTACAACAACAGCAGGTGCCCAAAGTGCTTCACAAGAACATTGCATGAAAACAGCATGACATATTCACAAATACAAAGATACAAATTGTCTTGATTTTTAATGGGGTCTCTCTACCATCTCAATGACACAACGAATATCAGCTAAATCCGTGCAGCAATGTCGCTCATACAGACAAAAAGATGAACAAAGTCATGATGGCGTAATACCTTAGCCTGAGTTAGAAGCCAAGGACCAAAAAAAGTTTCTTGGCTGAATTTTAAAAAGTCTCAAATGCTGAAGCCACACAACATCCAGGGTCCACTTAAAGATTTACAAACAATCATTAGAATCTTAAAATCAATTAAATGTGACTGGGAGTGGATGAATGAGACCAGCACGGGAATGATGTGCTCTATTTTACGTCCCAGCGCTTTGGAGTTGCTGAAGACACTTTATCGAGGCACAGTGCAACAAGTTACAATAGCATGAACAAGAAGAAATGAAAAGGTGGATCTCTCGCTCAAAGTCACAGGGCGGATAAGTTCTTGCTTCCGTCCTGTAATGATGCAGTTCTTTTTCGTTTAAACTAATCAAAAGTAAAAAATATATATATTGGCCCTAAATTAGTTTTGACAGATTCTTTATATGTTTTATTTTGGCAGATTCTTTACAATTGTATAGTTGTTTCTCTGTCAAGTTCTCTGGCAGGTTCTCTGTCAGGTTCTCTGTAGGTTCTCTGTCAGGTTCTCTGTCAGGTTCTCTGTAGGTTCTCTGTCAGGTTCTTTGTAGGTTCTCTGTCAGGTTCTCTGTCAGGTTCTCTGTCAGGTTCTCTGTAGGTTCTCTGTCAGGTTCTCTGTCAGGTTCTCTGTCCGGTTCTCTGTCAGGTTCTCTGTAGGTTCTCTGTCAGGTTCTCTGTAGGTTCTCTGTCAGGTTCTTTGTAGGTTCTCTGTTAGGTTGTCTGTCAGGTTCTCTGTCAGGTTCTCTGTCAGGTTCTCTGTAGGTTCTCTGTAGGTCTCTGTTAGGTTCTCTGTAGGTTCTCTGTCAGGTTCTCTGTCAGAGTGGGGAGTTACACAGGGACATCATTTATACTTTGTCTACCAGTTTCTATGTTTTTTCTTAAAGATGAAAAGTCAGAGTGAAAATGACATTATAATATAAAAAAACCTGCATGGTATTTCTTCTTTATAATTTGAAGGAGGTAGGATCTTGCTTTGACATTTTAGAATGCTTGGTTGGAATCCTAGTTGGAATAACAGTGTGAGATATTGGAATGTAGGAATCTTCTATTGAAATACCTGCATTTCATCATTATATTATTTTCTTTCCTGATCTTATTTTAAATGGGAGCCTCCCGACCCCCTGCCATATGACCGTTGGGTAAGATACAATATGTAATGTATGTGTAACTAGAAAAGCTCAGGTTCCCTATCTAAATTTAAGAAAACGCGGCAATCCTTTTTGTCATTTGATCATTTTACTTCCGGACGTTGAGAGGGATTTACTGTATTTTATGTATTTTAATTTTTTTTGGCAGATTCTTTACAATTGTATAGTTGTTTCTCTGTAAAGTTCTCTGGCAGGTTCTCTGTAGGTTCTCTGTCAGGTACTGTGTAGGTCCTCTGTCATGTTCTGTCAGGTTCTCTGTAGGTTCTCTGTCGGTTCTCTGTCAGGTACTGTGTAGGTCCTCTGTCATGTTCTCTGTCAGGTTCTCTGTAGGTTCTCTGTCGGTTCTCTGTCAGGTACTGTGTAGGTCCTCTGTCATGTTCTGTCAGGTTCTCTGTAGGTTCTCTGTTGGTTCTCTGTCAGGTTCTCTGTTGGTTCTCTGTCAGGTACTGTGTAGGTCCTCTGTCATGTTCTGTCAGGTTCTCTGTAGGTTCTCTGTCGGTTCTCTGTCAGGTACTGTGTAGGTCCTCTGTCATGTTCTCTGTCAGGTTCTCTGTAGGTTCTCTGTCGGTTCTCTGTCAGGTTCTCTGTTGGTTCTCTGTCAGGAACTGTGTAGGTCCTCTGTCATGTTCTGTCAGGTTCTCTGTAGGTTCTCTGTCGGTTCTCTGTCAGGTTCTCTGTTGTGTTCTCTGTCAGGTTCTCTGTCAGGTTCTCTGTAGGTTCTCTGTAGGTTCTCTGTAGGTTCTCTGTCGGTTCTCTGTCAGGTTCTCTGTCAGGTACTCTGTAGGTTCTCTGTCAGGTTCTCTGTCAGGTACTCTGAAGGTTCTCTGTCAGGTTCTCTGTAGATTCTCTGTCAGGTTCTCTGTCAGGTTCTCTGTAGGTTCTCTGTAGGTTCTCTGTCAGGTTCTCTGTAGGTTCTCTGTCAGGTTCTTTGTAGGTTCTCTGTCAGGTTCTCTGTCAGGTTCTCTGTCGGTTCTCTGTCAGGTTCTCTGTCAGGTACTCTGTAGGTTCTCTGTCAGGTTTTCTATCAGGTTCTCTGTCAGGTTCTCTGTCAGGTTCTCTGTAGGTTCTCTGTCAGGTTCTCTGTAGTTTCTCTGTCAGGTTCTCTGTCAAGTTCTCTGTCAAGTTCTCTGTCGGTTTTCTGTCAGGTTCTCTGTCAGGTTCTCTGTCAAGTTCTCTGTCAGGTTCTCTGTCAGGTTCTCTGTAGGTTCTCTGTCAGGTTCTCTGTCAAGTTCTTTGTCAATTTCTCTGTCAGGTTCTCTGTCAGATTCTCTGTCAGGTTCTCTGTCAGGTTCTCTGTAGGTTCTCTGTCAGGTTCTCTGTCAGGTTCTCTGTAGATTCTCTGTCAGGTTCTTTGTAGGTTCTCTGCCAGGTTGTCTGTCAGGTTCTCTGTCAGGTTCTCTGCCAGGTTCTCTGCCAAGTTCTCTGTAGATTCTCTGTAGGTTCTCTGTCAGGTTCTCTGTCATATTTGGAGTGGGGAGTCACACAAGGACATCATTTATACTTTGTCTACCAGTTTCTATGTTTTTTCTTAAAGATGAAAAGTCAGAGTGAAAATGACATTATAATATAAAAAAACCTGCATGGTATTTCTTCTTTGTAATTTGAAGGAGGTAGAATCTTGCTTTGACATTTTAGAATGCTTGGTTGGAATCCTAGTTGGAATAACAGTGTGAGATATTGGAATGTAGGAATCTTCTATTGAAATACCAGCATTTCATCATTATATTATTTTCTTTCCTGATCTTATTTTAAATGGGAGCCTCCCGACCCCCTGCCATATGACCGTTGGGTAAGATACAATATGTAATGTATGTGTAACTAGAAAAGCTCAGGTTCCCTATCTAAATTTAAGAAAACGTGGCAATCCTTTTTGTCATTTGATCATTTTACTTCCGGACGTTGAGAGGGATTTACTGTATTTTCTGTATTTTAATTTCTTTTTCATCCTTTTTTTTAATCATTACTATAAATAACTATTATCTTGGTTTATTTATGTATTTATTTTTTTTCTCCTCATTTTGGACCAAAAAAATTGTATGTTCATGGGTGGGGGGTAGAGGGGGTGTTGACATACTACTCTATCATCTTGTTGTTCAAGATTTCAATGCGGTTTGTCTGTTAGTTGTTTTTGGAAAATTTATAAAGAACGTTGGAGTATTTCTCACTGTCCTAAGATCAATACGACGTGTTTCTGGACGCCATCTCATCAAAAACGTGGACATGCGCCAGTCAGGCTCTCATTAATATAGCTCCCTTTGCTTTGGATTTTAAATTATCTCTCTGTCCCAGCCCCATCTGTCCCATGTGAGCCCATAAACCCTGTGGTCTGTGTGCGTGTGGCTGTGTTGTGGAGCGGCTCCCATTAAAAGCAGTGTAAATGGGTGCAAGTGTGGGGGCCCTGCATGGGTAACACTGCTGCATGTGACCTTTGTGTATGTGCTTAATGGAGCGGGAGCGGCTGTCTTCCTCATCGCTGTCAACAGTATCATGACAAACATATAAGTCATCTATGCGGGCTAAAACAGTGGACGCTTCAGATTGTGTCCGTCGTGAGGTTGAACGAAGGAAGACCCAAAATGCAGAACGGTAAAATGAATGATTTATTGAGGATGAGATAATAAAAGTGCAATGTAAAAACAAACTCAAAGGAGCACAGGTACATATCAACACAGAGACATCAGAATCAGATTCATTTTTATTGCCATGTAAGTAACAGGACGTCACAGACTAGGAAATTACTTTGGCTCTCGGTGCAAACAGGTCAAAAGTAGAGGAAGAAAAAAGGCATAATAAAACTTTTATAAAGTATAACATTTTCTAAAATATACAAAATGAAAAAGTAATATAACGTATCATGATTATTACTATATACAAGTCCAGTCTATACTACTATATACTACATACAATACAGACATATAGTCACAGAGACACAGGGGCAGATAGTCACAGAGACATAGGTACATATAGTCACAGAGACATAGGTACATATAGTCACAGAGACATAGGTACATATAGTCACAGAGACATAGGTACATATAGACACACAGAGACACAGGGACATATAGACGCAGAGAGACATAGGTACATATAGACGCAGAGAGACATAGGTACATATAGACGCACAGGGACATATAGACACACACAGAGACACAGGTGAAACACATTTGGGCGGGAAAGGGCAGGAAGTAAAACTAAAACAAAATCACAGAACTGAAGACAAAATAAAACCAAGCACAAAAAAGCACAAATCCACACCATGACAGTCTGTGGTGCAGAGCTGTGCATCAACAGATGAAGTGTTGTGAGGTGAGTTGAGAAGTCTTTATAGCTCTAAATAGTACTTCATTATTTGTATTCATGTGAAATTAAAAGAGAACTCACCTCAGATCCTTGGACTATATTCTTGAATTTGTTTATATTGGAAAAAAAATCTTGACATCAGTCAAGAAGTTTATTTAAAAGTCTGTTTTCTGTAAAAAAAAAAAAAAATGAAAAATTAGAATGTTTGGGAAAGGGGTTGAAGCAAATACTATTGATGATTTATTTAAAAACCGCCTGAGAATTCCACTCAGATGACACGCACACGCACACATACACACACACCCACACGCACATGCACACATACACACACACCCACACGCACACGCACACGCACACACGCACACGCACATGTGCACACACACACACACACACACACTCCCCCTGTGGTGAAGTCATAGTTTCTCATTAGACTAGGCGATTGGTCATAAAGCAGTGCAAGCAGAGTCCCCAGAATTGAATTTTCTGATTGAAATATGAAATGAATTCAACGCCACCGAATGCAGATGTTTTATGAGGAAAGAGAGGAGCCACACGGGTCAGTTACTCTGAGATAAGCACAGATAGTGTGGCCCCAGAGGGACATGAAACAGAGACGTTTATCCTTCTCCCTGAGACCACCCCATACACACACTGACACACACTGACACACACACACACACTGTCACACACAGACATACACACAAATAGAATTATATTTGATTTCAAATAGAAAGTAAAATCAAAGTAAAAGTAGCAACAAATGAAATTAAATATATATATACTGTACATGTAAGAATAACGTTAAGTGCTGTATGTAAAATCAATTAAATTGCTATCTATAAAATAGCCACCTTAAAAAAGGCAACACAACTCAGAGGTAACAGAAGCCAAAGAATAAAAGACGAGTTAAAACCCTCCAGAAGGTGCAGTTGGAACGAGGGGGCTGTGCTAAGATCTTTGTGACATAATTCTATCATTGTTTGAGTAACACTTGAGTAATCCTTCTCCTCTGAATATTGAGAATAATTGTTTAGAAATTGCTTTCTGTGATCCGTCCCTGTCCATCGACAGGGTCCAGCAGGGCATCAGGATCAACCTTTAATATACATTTAGAGACATTAGATCAGTTTAAAAACGTGCTTCTGATGTTTGGTGCCACATAGCTGTAGTCTGGATCACTTTTACTTCAGCTTGAAGACATCACTTCTGTATCGACACTTCTTAATTATATGTCCATAAATGTATCACCGTTTATGCAATTTGCGACACATTTTTGTGATCAAAAATATACATATTCAATTATAAAAAGTCTTTTGGATTTGATTGCAAAACTCATGCTGCCTTTCTTGAGAGGGAACCCAATTTCTGTATGTTGATGACCGAATACATAACAAAACTGCGTCACATTATACAATATACTAATTCTGTTATTGCAGCAGGAGCATCCGTATGAGGTCTCCCGGATTCGGCCAGGCCCCGTAGACTTCCCCCCTCCCCCCTTCACCCCATCCCGGCAGAAGCACCTCCAGAGCGGCCCGGTGTACACTGACCTGTCCCCCGCGGTGAAGAGCAGCCCTGTGTACTCTGAGCTGAGGCTGGACAGTACCCGGCTGCACCCGGGCTGGGGGTCCGCGGAGGGCTACTCCCGACACCCGGAGCAGAGGCCCAAGCAGCTCAAGGCTCTGGACGCACAGGTGGGCTAGTTCAGTTTGTTTAGCTACACTGGAAAAAAATATAAAATATGAGGTGATAATTGCTTAAATCAACATTCTGAGTGTCTTAAAATAAGATTTTCCAAATAAGATACATTTGGTCAAATTTTTAGCAATTTTTGAATTATTTTTCATTACTTTTTGCAGTGTAATTTCTCCTACGGGGATCAATAAAGTATCTATCTATCTATCTATCTATCTATCTAACTATTTGTAGCACGTACTTGAAAAGTATGCAGTTCAATATCAGACGACAGAGCAATATAAAACTGCAGGCAGCATTTATGCAGCTATAATGGAAACAGTGTTCCTGAATAAGTGAGACAATTATCAAATCCAGGTTAAAACAGTTCAGTTTAGCTGTGCAGACAACTGAAGGATTGTATCTTTACTCTGCTTAATTTATGATGTTAATGCCAGTTTCTATCTTGTTTTGTACAGCACTTTGAGATGCCTTGTGTATTAACTGTGCTATACAAATACATTTGCCTTGCCTTATGCTACTTAGGACAAATTCTGTTGGCAGCACTGAGAGTCCGAAACATACCATAAAAGCAGGTATATTTTTAGAATCCTGACGCTGAGGACTGTACGTTCTTTACATACAAGGTTAAAGAAGCAAAATCAAAGACCAAAACAGTACAGTTCCTGACTCGACTATAAAGTGCACCTATATACTGTATATAAAAAAATATATATAAAAAATAAAATCATTTTTCACATAGAGACCGCTCTTTGAAGTCCTATGTAATATGTGCCTGCACTTGCGTCTTTTCTATCTGCACTGTTCACATAAAGATATGGAGAGGCAGGAATGTGTGCTACGGCATTAGCTTTGGAGCTCAACAGCCGGTAGAGCCGTGCCTAAATCACTTCCTGGAACTCTAACTTAATAAAAAAACACACATTGCCCGGTAATAGTTTAGTTATTGTTATCATTATTATTATTCAATCTATTCTTTTTTTCCATTTTTGTTTTTAGTATTTTAGTATTATTTATATATTTTGTTATTATCTACGCCTTTTCATTCACTTTTTAAATTTGTTATTATTATTATCATCATTATTTATCTTTTATTTATTAATTCTCTTTGCATGATAATTGTTTCCTTGTTATGTTTTTTAATTATGACATATTGACCACTCAAACTCTGAAGGAAAAACTCAAGAATAAAGTATAAAAAACCAAATGGTCCCTCGAGCCGGATACTGACACGCGACCATCAGAGACCTGCTGTGGTTCCAGACTCTGGAGGCTAATGCTTTTGATGCTGTGTCTTACAGTCCATATTTATTAGATGATTTATTTATGTTTTTTCCAAGCTGTGAGTCATTTATCAACATCAACAAATAAGGCCTTGATGAATCTCCCTTTGCGTGTAATGAGTCATACAGTAGTCTCACGTTGTAAGCTGGTTTACAGTACAGTAAATGGACTTTTGAAAGATGTTATAATTTTCAGAGTTTCACTTGTTTTTGTTTGAGACCAGAGGTGATAGCTTGGTGACAGAGTGTGACATTTATTTCCAAACTAATACAACTCTTATTTTAGCTGGCAAATAACCACAGACACCATCTTCAATTTACAAGTGGTAACTTTTGTTTGTTACTTACGTGGCAATAAAAATGATTCTGATTCTGATTACAAGTTGTATCTGAATGAATATATGAGTTTGGCAGGGTTGGGTGGGGGGTTGGATGGATAACGTATTTTTATTTTGGTGTTTTCCTTGTTGTTTGCTCTTTGTTTTGTTCTCAAGAAATAAAGAAATAGAAAAAAAAAAAATCTTCTCCCAGATAAAATACTTACCATCTCGGCCTGCAAAGAACCAGGGCCAAGAGGGTGAGTCCCTCTTTATCCATCCACCCTCTTGGACGTTATCCATCCAGGAGGGTGAGTCCCTCTTGGCCCTGGTTCTTTGCAGGCCGTTTCCACCTGTACCATATACTTCTTGAGTAGAAGTATATGGTACGGGTGGAAACGCTCCCAATCATGGTAGAGTGGGGTAGAGCAGAGTAGAGTAGGGCCAAGTAGTAGATGTATTGCTCCTAGAATCTCAAAAATAATGGGTTCGACCTAACGGTGTTTGGATATCACTTGACCAAATATGGAGCTGCCCTACCAGATAAATCAGAATCAGAATCAGAATCATTTTTATTGCCACGTAAGTAACAGGAGGTCACAGACTTGGAAATTGCTTTGGCTCAGTGCAACAGTCAGAAAGAGATAATGAAAAAGAGGAATATGTAAAATTCTGTCCAAAAGTGGTTCTGCAACCTTTCCCACTCACCCTGACTCAGGTTGCCAGAAATGCAGACAAATCCAGCTGGGACCATAATGGCTGAATAGACAGAAACTTTGTCAACAACAAATCCATTACCAACACCTTTTTCACAAAGTCCCCGATAGAAATTCTCGCCTTATTCCTTGTTTTGTCATTAATGATTTGAGAATCATAACGAGACCTCTTTTACTACTACGGCAATGTGCTACTTTACCAGTGAGATTATCTCGACGCAGTGAGTTTTGGCAACCAAGATCACTGACTTTCTGATTGGTAAAACGGTAGAGGGCGGGACATCAAAATGAAAACAATAACAAGATGTTCTACTACTGTTATCAGTTAAAGAACTAATAATAATAATGCATCGGTTTTATATAGCGCTTTTCTGGACACTCAAAGACGCTTTACATGTCATTATTCTTTCACTCCATACACGGTGGTGATAAACTACTATTGTAGCCACAGCTGCCCTGGGGCATACTGACAGAAGCGAGGCAACCAGTATGCGCCATCGGCCCCTCCGACCACCACCAACACACTAGACTCATTCTAGGCAATGGGGGTGAAGTGTCTTGCCTAAGGACACAACAGCAGTTTGGCACTTTACAGCCGCAGCCGCCCCACTGTGGCACCTGGTGTTCCCAGAGGGTAAGTGTCTTGCCCAGGGACACAACGACAGCAGACAGTGGGAGTCGATGGTGAAGGTCGGGCTCAAACCCACGACCCTCTGGCTCAAAGGCCAATGCTCTACCAACTGAGCTACTGTCGCCCTATTGGTATTGGAATGGTATATTAATGCCTTCTGACAAATTACGGCCATTTAATGATAACTTGACATGATAATCTTAAATATTGCTACTTTATACTGCTGTAAATACAAGTTTTCAAATCGCTCCCAGACATGGTGTGTAGCAATGAACAGTTGTTTGCCTCTCTTTCCTCAGGGCGGGGCGGCTCTGGACCCAGCCCACCTGGAGTACTGGCTGGAGGACGTGTACAGCCCTGGCTTTGACTCTCTGCTGCGGAGGAAGCAGGCTGACCTCCGCAGAGCTCGCCTGTGTAAGCTGGGCGCCCTCATCACCGCTGCAACCTGCACACTGCTTCTGGTCATTGTAGTCCCCATCTGCACCATGAGGACCTGATGGAAGACCGGAGGGAACTAGAGTCTGGAGGTCCTGAGGGAAGAATTTCAGGGGTGGAATTTCAGCCTGGTTTTACTCAGGAGGGGCCATATGCAAGATAAAACCACACAATTACAATAAGCATAAAACACAGCAAAATTACTTAAATGAATGCACTTGATTTGGGTAGATTAGACAAAGAAAAAAAATCACCTAGAATTTGGTTAGACTGGTTCAAATCAAATGTAGAGATTCTTGACCATATTGATTTAAAAAAAACCATGCCGACATTGTTTAGAGTGCCGGCTTTGTGAGGAATTACTAGGAATTTCACTGAATTTGGGTTGCCAAATTTAACAGTGAAATCTAGTCGCCGGCCTTAACAAACCGGACTGTAGCAGCATGAAGGCTTTAGGGTTAGGGTTGATCATGTCTGGCTGTATTTGTAAGACGTCCTGGCGTTTCTTGTGGACAGAAGGCGGATGGCACAGGGCTCACTCGCGGCCCTTAAGCCTCAGAAGCCGCAGCACATGAGTCAGTGCTGAATCAGAAGCTCAGGACCATTTCACTATCATCATAAACTACACGTGTTTGTCAGAATGTAGAAGGACAAAGCTGCAGCAGAAGGACACTTTCTCTATCTGTGCAGCTACACAACAAGCAATAGAACAAGATTTCCTCATTTTGCATATATTTGTCTCCGTACAACTATGTTTTTCTCTATTAGCTGTTTTTTTCCAAGTCAAATCTACTCAACTCAAGGCAGAAATATTATTAATTCCAGTCATAATACCTTAATGAGAACTGTAGTGATTTACAAAGCACACTCAATTCAATTTAAAGTTTTTACTTAACTAAATTTTGTATTTATTACCAAAAGAACAACCAAAATTATGTATGAAAATCTGTAAAAGTCGAAACAAATCTCACTGCTACGTACATGAATGGCTTTCTCCTTTGAGTTTGTATGTAAGGGAAAGCAATGATCTCCAGTATGTGGTGAACCTTGAATGAACAATGTGACACAGTGCACCGTAAAAATAGAATTAAAAACAATTAAATGCAATTTTGTAATTTGTAATAGAATGGATGTTGCCTGCACATATTCACTGGGGCCCTGTCCTGTCAGTAGTAGCCAGCATATTTTGTTAGTTCTATGGTGCAAGTGTATTTGAAGTCACTTTGAATTACATTTTTTTTAGACAATGATCCGACATGAATATCTTTCTCATGTTTCAACCATGATTCTGTGTTGTATTTATGACGGAATGTTTCAAATGTTTTACAGACTTTAGATGACCTCTCAAACAGACCTTACCTGGTGAACTGTATAATTCTATAGGTTCTGAAAATACGTGAACATATGTATAGCTCCAGTGCCAATGGAAAGCCTTAAGACATCTCACAGCAGCCATAGTATTAGTACCGCATCCCGCCCAGAGCTCCCTCTAGTGATTCAAATAGGTCATTACAGCAATAACTATTTACAGACTTTACAGACTTTGGCAAAGGGTTAGATTAAAGAGACAGTATGTACAATTTTCATCAATTACATCGACTTAATTTATATGCGTCCCCAGATAATAGATCACAGGTACAAATTGTATGAGACCTTATTCTCAAGTAAAAATACAATGGACGCTGTTTACTTAGGGCGCCGGAGGTTCACCCTGGAGAAAAAAAAATCAGAACATTTTCTATTCTATCACCAAACAGACCTCTGATATGACGATAGAAAATCCATAGAAATAAAATATGGAGATACAGATAAAGTGACAACGTTATGAAGAGGAAGAATGTACCTTAGTATGAGTTTGTATGAGTTACAAAACTATGAAGCTGTCAAGTTGACTGCTCTGGGAGTTCTTAAGGTGGCTCTGGATACGTGCAACTTCAATCCTACTTATAAATCTAAAAAACTTCTTGTCATGATTGTTTATTAGCTGCTCTATAAACAAGTTGTAAACCACAGTTGTTAAGCAAAAACTTCCAATTTGAAATTTTCTGTTCTCTGCAATAGAGGCTGGGCTTGAGCAAACCTTGTCATTAAAGGGATGGTACCTTATTCTGATTGGTCACACCGAGGTCTGTCAACACCAACATGGGTTAATGGGCAATTTATTTTTTCAGTAAAAAAAAATCCAAAATGCTATAAAACAATAATTGTTGAAACTATTCTTTTATGCCAGTCAAATAACAGCAAAACCCTCTGAAAATATTACTTTATTTTTCTATTTCATTTAAAGGTCTGCACTGAGAAAATAATCAGGAGAACGAAAAAAAGAATTCCCAGAGCAGCCAATCTTCATAACTTTGTGACCTTTTCAGTATCTATATATTATATTCTATGTTTATTAAATTCTCAGCTTGGAGCAAGTGCTAGTTACCATAGAAACACACTATTTACTTGAATTAGTTAGCATTGCTGTATTTCATTCATATAAACCAGTTTTAGCATGTATTAAAGTTAAAAAAGTGTACTATTTACTTAATTAATAAAAGTAATGAAAAATCGAATTCCATTGATTTTAGTGGGAGCCGCCAAAATGACTGCTCTGGGAGTTCTGGTAGTTTCAGAATTCTGGAAGCCTTAGTGTTAAGTATATTTAGCCATAAATCTTTTTAATATATATTATTGTTTATGCTTAGATATATATATTGTTTTATTATTCATTTTTGTTTGTATGAACTTATTTATTTATATAATATGGACACAACAGTTAAAATTGGACCAATCAAATGCCCTGCCTTTAGTGCTAGAGCAAGACCATGCTAACTGTTACCACATTTTACATTCCTAGCTATTTTTGTTACATTTACATTTTTTAATTCGTTTGACAAATGTGTGTTTTTTTGTGTGTGCTAATTCATCTATGTGCAGCCCCTTTTTAAAATGTGCTATACAAAAAAAGTGGATTGGATTCACTAGAATAAGGGAGAATCAGGTGCAGTCCTTTTAAATGTGATTTCAAAATATTTATTACATATTTATCATGAATGTACCTAATATATTTTTTTTGCATAATGGCCCAGGACAAGGACCATATCAAATAGAAGATATTGTCGCCAAAAGCGCTTTTATTTTGTTATACTCATTATCCTCGTGCAGTCCTAGATCTAAAGGATTTATTGAACACACATTAACATACATAGTCAGTTTATATTAGTTATTGAATGTTTACAACTTCTGATTCCTTGCCTACAACTGTAAATGTACCTTTTCTGATTGTACACGGTTCTTTTAATAGATTGAATGTAAGTAGTTTAGCAATTAATTATGTTTTCGTTTTCTTTTTCTACTGCGTTGTTGGAAAATGATCGGATGTACATATACCTCCTGTAAGAATGTACGTTTATGTTTTTCACCAGTAGGAGCAAGTATTGTGCATTTCTTCATCTGTCCATCGCTGAGACGCAGCAGAATGTCTTCCTTCACCGTGAGCCCCTCGTCTGTGGGGACTGTCTGCGGGTGGTTTAAAAACAGAATATAGATTTGTGCCATAACTGACCCAGGCTGCACATGAATGTAAACAGACATGTCCAGAGTAATATCTGAGTATTCTTCTGCCTGTATGGATTACATATTAAAGTCTTGAAAAGCTGTTGTCTTCACTTGTTTCCGCTGCTGCTGTTGTCAGAAAGATGTATGTATTTGTACTGTTCATCTTAATAATGGATACAGAGATTGAGAAACAATACTCTTTAATTATTTACACAAAATCATAGAATGGCTTCACAAGTCACATCTCTGATACAACAGCAACCAAGAGAAAAGCAGCACAGAGCGTACATTACACCAGGGCCAGACAGGATCACAATAAATTAGAAACACTCTCAGGTTGCATTACTCTAATACATACAGGCCTCCAGCTGTTCCCAGAGACCAGCTGTGGATACTACGCTTTTAGCATAGAATCTCATGGTTTTTTTTCTGACACAGACACAGGGTTGTGCCCCGGTACGTGCCCCAGTGCTGGACAGTGTGGGACATGTCTCATGTATCACACAGGACACGACACCTAAAGTCCTCATGTTTGTGTTGTGCTTATGTCAAGATGGATTAAAAGCACCATATTCTCATTTAATGTAGATTTTTGCAATAAGTGACATGTGCAGTGTTTCAAGAGAAACCTCTCACTCAGACGAGAGTGGTTCATCTTTGTGCCGTACAAATAATCACTGTGTTCTTTTGGTCTCACAGACAGGACAAGAGCATTCTTCACTGGGAGATGAAGGTGAGACAGTGTATGCCTATGTACAGGGCCCAGGGCTCCTGGGGGCCGCAGCCCCAGGGCAGAGTCTGTACTATGGGCTGAACATGCAGAGATTGTCCACAGGCCTCATGGAGCGTCCAAAGTGCTGGTGGCAGTCTATCTACAGAGCTATGTACACGTGGTCCAGAGGAGCTCCAGTGCTCTGCTGCCTCTACATGTACTCGTACTTGTACTTGTACTCGTACTCGTACATGTATGTGTAGTAGTGTTCAGTCAGCCTCAGTCTGACGAGCCGCTGGTTGCAGCTCACAGCTTCTTCATGTGGAACACAGGGACAGGCAGCACCTGGTGGATCTTGGCTCGTTCAGAGTCGGTCTCCAGATGAACCCAGTGTGGGACGAAGGGGCCTTTGAAGCCGATGAAGCTGAACTTCTCTGCAACGAAACACACGTGTGAAAAACAAACACAATTCTCTATTCTTGTTCAAGTCAAAATGTGCTATTTTATTTTTTGCATAAATGTTAGAAAGAGCCCTGCGAGTCACTATTCGATGATATGGGCTGAGAGCTGATTAGTAGAACTGAACAGTAGAACAGATGCATGTTCCTGTGTGAGTGCAGCCCCACCTGCTGGCAGACACCAGCATTACATGGACTAGTACCTCGCAGTTTGATAGAGGAGTCGGCTCCCAGAGTCTGTAGAACTTTAGTCCAGGGGCCACGGGTCACGGAGCGCCCTTTTGTGGTCATCAGCACAATGGAACTGAGGGAAAGAGAAAGGGACAACTTGAGACGTTTTCTTCTACTACAGAACAACACAGACACACACTTTTCAGACAATATGGGTCAACATCAGCTCGTAAATGGTCCCTATTCCTTTTTGACTCTGATCTATTTTCTCCAAACATTGCAAACAATAATTCCAAAATAAATCTGTTTTGGATCCTTTGGACAAGTTGATGGGCGCTTTGAAGTTGGGGCTCTGCAGTGTTGGCCTCTTATGTGCAAATATAAGAGGCCAACATTGTCATAAGTTTGGACATTGAGATACGGGGACCATGTGGTGTTGGTTGGTGAACCTTGTGTGTCCTCACTTGTCGGGGAGCTGGTGGATGTAGTTGTGGATCTGAGCGGGGATGCCCTGGAGGACGGCCGTCTTGAAGCTCGTACTCTCCACCACCTTTCCATCATGGCCGCTCGCCACCGTCACCTGCACGCCATCCTCGGCTTGGTACCACTTCTTACCGTTCACCTGAGCAGGATTAATAATAATCATAGTTACAAAGCCAGAGAATTCAATTAAAGGAGGCTCATTTGGCTTCACAAAGGCAATGGTCACAGCTGCAGGAGCCTCCAAGCCAGGAGCAGCCTAAGAGACTTAAATTTATTTAAAAAGAAAAAAAAATCCATTAATATAATGTAAAATATCAATTACATTAATACATTAATTATACATTAATTACTAGCAATAGCAGCTTTGTACCATCCCACATATCCATCCATCCATTTTCTACCCCTTAATACATTTCTGGGTCGGGGGGGTGGAGAGCAGAAATGCCCCTCACTGATCCTCCTGCAGGTGGTGAGTCCACAGAAGGATGGCAGAGCCTTGATCTTTCAGCAGGGGCTTCAGGCAAACTGGGGTTAAGTGTCTTGGCCAAGGACACAATGACAGCAGACATCAGTGGGAGTCGGTGGAGAAGATGTCAAGGTGGGATCGAACCCACGACCTTCAGGCCTAAAGGCCAATGCTCTACCCACTGACCTACTATTTAGCAATTTTAGATAATATTACAACACACATAAACTGCATCTTGTTGCATTGTCCTGACAAGTTGAATCTAAACTATTCTATTAACACCGGGATCATAGAAAGCACTAAACCGCACCATATAAGCCCAAAATGGTGAGTGTGACACAAACGGTTACAGGGCCAGAGGAGTTTACTTCATATGTTACATTTTCAAGTCAATATGAGTCAAAGAGAGTTGGAGAAAAACGTTGCACAGGAGGTCTACCCTTTTGGGTTCATTGAGCCGGTGGGTTAGCATCGTCCATCTATACACAGTCGACCAAGCAAAACAAACTGACCTCGGTGAAAGCAAAATCGTCTTTGATGTGGAAGAAGCGAGTGTTGTAGGACTCCATACGGATCTCCAGGAAGTGGTCAGAGGAGGACTGTGGACAAAGTGAGTTTAAAAAAAAAACAATTCTTACATTATTAGGCCGTAGTGCACAGCAGCAAAAATGCAGTGGACGATTCTTAAGGTTGTACGGACGGTGCGGAAATCAGCTTTCTTATTTCATCAAACAAAACATATTCCTTGATAGGGATGCTCACCTTTATTCCAGACTAAGAGAGAAACCCATCTGAAATCATGGTTCATTACAAAACAGACACGTCAACACTAACTTTTAACTGTTTGTATATATGGTGCATGTTACTGTTATCTTATTATTGATATTTTGTAGGGGGATAAACAACGGATAAGAAATAGCCTTGTGGCTATGTCTGGTACATTTATAATAATGTTCATTAATGTACACTGTCTCTGTCATATAGATAAATCAATAAATAAACAAATAAAACAATAAATAAATACTAGTTCTCTTCAATGTGCAAGTCAGTGAGTCATGAGCCTCCTATGAACAGACCAGACCTGGAGAAATCACTTTTTTCTTGCAGATAGTGATGACAAATAAAGACGACAAATAAAAAACTGAAAATAGAAAAGCATGAGTGTGTATCTGAATGCCTTGTGTGTGTCGAAATGCCTTGTGCGTGTATCTGAATGCCTTGTGCGTGTATCTGAATGCCTTGTGTGTATCTGAATACCTTGTGTGTGTGTATCTGAATGCCTTGTGTGTGTCGAAATGCCTTGTGCGTGTATCTGAATGCCTTGTGCGTGTATCTGAATGCCTTGTGTATGTATCTGAATACCTTGTGTGTGTGTATCTGAATGCCTAGTGTGAGTATCTGAATGCCTTGTGTGTGTATCTGAATACCTTGTGTGTGTGTATCTGAATGCCTAGTGTGAGTATCTGAATGCCTTGTGTGTGTATCTGAATGCCTTGTGTGCATACCACTTTGTTGTCAGGCAGTTTGTGGGGCATGGGCAGCTCCACCAGGGGGAGCTCTGAGTGCAGGGGGTAGGCCCGGGACATGCAGTTACTGGGTGGACTGTTTCTGGGGATGACTGCAGTGATCTTTATCCGTTCACAGCCTTTAAGAGAGCAGAAGGAGAAGCCCTCTCTGTGGTTATGAGCCAGGACCTTCAGGAAGAGCAGACTACATGTACAAACACACACACACACACACACGCACAGACACACACACAAACACGCATTATTAGTAAAGCTTCTAACATTTGTACAAATATATAACATTTACATCTTTTCAACATTAAAGTGAAGACCGCTGCTCGCACAATCATTAGCATTGATTCTTAAACATAATTTTGTTCAATTGGATCAAACCAAAATATATGTTACTTGTTGTGTACAGTGGAAACTGGAGCAATTGGACTAAACACTGGGAAACAAAGGGAGAAAATGCAAACGCCACACACACAAACCCTGTTTGGAGGAGTTGAACTCAGGACCTTTTTGCTGTGAGGCACAAAGGCTAACCGATGGTTCAATACCACAGTTTTGAGACGGTGGACTTTTCAGATTTTTAAATTATAGCTTTCTACAAAGTCAGAAATTGACAAAAATCTTTTTGGGTGAAACTGATTTTAAAACTAGGTGACTTGGGTCGAAGATTTTGGTAATCCAACCTTTGAGAATTCTGGCTCATTCCTCCTGAGCTGTGCATCTGAGTGTGAGGCCTAAAGGCACAAATGTTCTATGGGACTGAGGGCTCTGCTCAGACTGCTCCAAAACAGTGCTGTTTCTTCATCCACGTTGGAACATTTCCAACATATAGCTTTTACACTAGAACGCCCGGAGCCTTTTGTTTTGGAAGTGTAAATACATTATGTAAATTTTTGGTCTTGAATGAATTAATGAATACAATATTTATTTCAAAATATTGTTCTTCATAACTTTTTGACTTTTTCTATCTCTATATGCAGTTTATTTTTATGTCATTATTTTAAAAACATTTTATTTAACTTTTGAAGTGAGAGTAGTTTTACCTTTACCTCCTAGAGTAAAGAGTAGAGCCAGTACTAGTCACCACGGCAACATAATGTTTATTCACAAGTTTAAGTAAAGGTAAGTAACTTACAAACATCTGTCAAAAAACTAAACATTTTCGAGGAATTATCCAGAATCCCATTGTTTTGAATGAGAGCAGTTAACATGAGTTCTGTAGTTTAATAATTGTTACACTTATTTGCTGATGTCTGGATTTTCATTCCTTCAGTGGACTCACCCGGTCTGCTCCTCCCAGTAGTAGTAGCCCCTGGTGGGGTGTGGGTGCTGCAGCTTGTCCCGGTTGCTGGTGGGGGCGTAGGTGGCTGTCTTGCGGGTGACTTTGGTGTTGCGGTCGTGGATGTCGGAGATGACGGTGAAGGTGGTGCCGCGAGGATAACAGAGGCCCACGTTGATCCAGTCGTCCCTGTCGGAAGCAGGACATTCAAATTATTTATCTTTATGGTCATTAAAAGATTCAGACTCAATATACAGAGACACGTGGTATAAGATTCATGTATTTTCCAAAGTTTTACAACAACAATATTTAAACATATTAATCAGAAGAGGAAAATCAATGATAATCTGTGCAGCCACTGCAAAGGTAATTATAGTAATAATATTTGTTAATAGTAATAACGCATAGCATTTATAATGCATAACATCCATCCATCCATCCATTTTCTTCCGCTTTATCCGTTGCCGGGTCGCGGGGGCAGCAGTCTAAGCAGAGACGCCCAGACTTCCCTATCCACACACACTTCCTCCAGCTCGTCCGGGGGGACCCCAAGGCGTTCCCAGGCCAGCTGAGAGACATAGTCCCTCCAGCGTGTCCTAGGTCTTCCGCGGGGCCTCCTCCCGGTGGGACGTGCCCGGAACACCTCCCCAGGGAGGCGTCCAGGAGGCATCCGGAACAGATACCCGAGCCACCTCAACTGGTTCCTCTCGACGTGAAGAAGCAGCGGCTCTACTCCGAGCTCCTCCCGTGTGACTGAGTTCCTCACCCTATCTCTAAGGGAGCGCCCAGCCACTCTGCGGAGGAAGCTCATTTCGACCGCTTGTATCCGCGATCTCGTTCTTTCGGTCATTATCCAAAGCTCATGACCATAGGTGAGGGAGGGAACGAAGATTGACCGGTAAATCGAGAGCTTTGCCTTTCGGCTCAGCTCCCTCTTTACCACAACGGTCCGATACAGCGACCGCATCACTGCGCACGCTGCACCGATCCGCCTGTCAATCTCACGCTCCATTCTTCCCTCACTCGTGAACAAGACCCCGAGATACTTGAACTCCTCCACTTGAGGAAGGACCTCTCCACCCACCTGAAGAGGGCAAGGCACCTTTTTCCGGTCGAGCACCATGGCCTCGGATTTGGAGGTGCTGATTCTCATCCCAGCCGCTTCACACTCGGCTGCAAACCGTCCCAGTGCATGCTGCAGGTCCTGGTTCGTTGGAGCCAACAGGACAACATCGTCCGCAAACAGCAGAGATGAAATCCTGTGGTCTCCGAACCGGACCCCCTCCGACCCCTGGCTGCGCCTAGATATTCTGTCCATAAATACAGTGAACAGAACCGGTGACAAAGGGCAGCCCTGTCGGAGGCCAACATTCACCGGGAACAGGTCTGACTTACTGCCGGCAATGCGAACACAGCTCTGGCTCCGGTCATACAGGGATCGGATGGCCCTCAACAGAGGACCCCCGACCCGGTACTCCCGGAGAACCCCCCAAAGGACACCCCGGGGAACACAGTCGAACGCCTTCTCCAAATCCACAAAGCACATGTGGACAGGTTGGGCGAACTCCCATGAACCCTCGAGTATCCGATGGAGAGTATAGAGCTGGTCCAGTGTTCCGCGACCGGGACGAAAACCACACTGCCCCTCCTGGATCCGAGATTCGACCATCGGCCGTAGCCTCCTCTCCAGTACCTTGGAGTAGACCTTACCGGGGAGGCTGAGGAGTGTGATCCCACGATAATTGGAACACACCCTCCGGTCCCCCTTCTTGTAGAGAGGGACCACCACCCCGGTCTGCCACTCCATTGGCACTGCCCCCGATCGCCACGCGATGTTGCAGAGACGTGTCAGCCATGACAGTCCTACAACATCCAGAGACTTTAGATAATCAGGGCGGATCTCATCCACACCCGGAGCCTTGCCACCATGGAGGCTACCAACCACCTTGGTGACCTCAGCCAGGGAGATGGATGTATCCGCCCCAACATCCTCAGCCTCTGCCTCTGAAACAGAGGACGTGACGGGGGGATTGAGGAGAACCTCAAAGTATTCCTTCCACCGCCCGACAATATCCCCAGTCGAGGTCAGCAGCTCTCCACCCGCACCGTACATGGTGTTGGCAAAGAACTGCTTCCCCCTCCTGAGGCGCCGGATGGTTTGCCAGAATCTCTTCGAGACCGACCGATAGTCATGCTCCATGGACTCTCCGAACTCCTCCCAGTCCCGGGTTTTTGCCTCTGCAACAGCCCGGGCCGCGGCACGCTTGGCCTGCCGGTACTGGACACCTAGGGTGTCCTGGTGCCACGTGCACTGGTGGACACCCTTGTGCTCGAACATGGTGTTCGTGATGGACAAACTGTGACTGGCACAGAAGTCCAACAACTGAACACCGCTCGGGTTCAGATCAGGGGGGCCGTTCTTCCCGATCACCCCTCTCCAAGTGTCACTGGCGTTTCCCACATGGGCGTTGAAGTCCCCCAGGAGAATAACGGAGTCCCCGGGCGGTGCACCGTCCAGTACCCCTCCCAAAGACTCCAAGAAGGCCGGGTACTCTGCACTGCTGTTAGGCCCGTAGGCCGTCACAACAATGAGAGACTTGTCCCCCACCCGGAGGCGGAGGGACGCGACCCTCTCATTCACCGGGGAGAACTCCAACACGTGGCGGCTGAGATGGGGGGCAATGAGAATGGCCACCCCAGCTCGCCGCCTCTCCCCGCGGGGAACTCCAGAAAAGTGGAGCGTCCAACCCCTCTCAAGGAGTTGGGTTCCAGAGCCCAAGCTGTGTGTGGAGGTGAGGCCGACTATCTCTAGTCGGTATCGCTCAACCTCCCCCACAAGCTCGGGCTCCTTCCCCCACAGTGAGGTGACGTTCCACGTCCCAAGAGCCAGATGTTGTGTGTGCGGACTGGGTCGCCGAGGTCTCCGCCTTCGACCGCTGCCCAGTCCTCTCTGCACCGCTTCGCCACCACGGACCCCTCTGCGGGTGGTGGGCCCACAGGAGGGACTGCCCACGTCGTCCATTCGGGCTGAGCCCGGCCGGGCCCCGTGGGCTAAGGCCCGGCCACCAGGCGCTCGCATACGAGCCCCGACCCCAGGCCTGGCTCCAGGGTGGGGCCCCGGCAGCGCCATGCCGGGCGACGTCACTGATCTCGTAAAAGTGCTGTCCATGGTGTCTTCTGGACTAATGCATAACACCAAAACTTAAAGTGCTACAGATAAAAAACAAAACAAGGAAGAGGAAGATTAAGGCCTTTAACAGATATACAACAATTAATTATTATTTTTGTTCTGCTGTTTGTAAAAAAATATATTTCTCTAATCCAATGTTTTCATGTGTTTCATACTAAAAAAAAAAAAAAAAAAAAAAAAAAAAACAAAACACCAAGACACACATAAAAGCAGCTTTAAGATCATGTATACGGAGTGGAACTACAAATTGCATGTTCTGAGTCCATGGATAAAAATCATACATTTTCCCTCTAAGAATGTTGGTTTTGGTATTGGTTCGTAAGGGGCAGACGACCAATGTCCAGAAAGCATTGTTACATTAGACCAGCGTGAAACCCAGTTCTTCTCACGGACACTGGGGGGCTCTACTCGCTCATGTTTCAGATCACAGACTCCTCCACTGTGCTCCAGAAGCTGCTGTGAATGAAAGCTCTTTTGTCAAAAGCTAAAGCTCTCCTTTGAAACGGGAGTGTTGTCTCCAGGAACTGTTTAATTGTTTTCTATTCATCGTTCATAAGCATTAAAGAAGAGTTCACATTGAGACTGTCAAACATTAGAGCAGTTATCACCAGTGCAAAAACAAAGCTGTATTGATCTTCAGTTCACACCCTTCCTGCTTATAATATAATTTCCTGATGGAGCAGACAAACATGAACTTGTTCTCTGCAGCCCACGCCTTTGTTTTGTTGGATAAATATATGTTGCTTTATCCAACAAAAAAGAGAATTGTTTAAATAACCTGCTAGACCAATATTAGACCACAACATGCTGTCTTTATTTTTTTAGATTAGCAACCATTTTATCTTGTATAGACTGAGATCTGATTGGCTGAGAGAGTGTTGGTCCTCCTAAGATAGACTTCTTCCTGATCTAAAGATGTGACAGAAGAAGGCAAAACATGTGAAAACTAGGGACTAGTCACATATGGATGTTGTATCAGGTGTTGTGTCCATATGTGAAAGCCAGATCCTGTCAGACTTCTAAAGCGAAGCAAGACAGGGCCTGGTTAGTACTGTGATGGGAGACCTCTGAGAACACCAGGTGCCACAGTGGGACGACTGCAGCTGTAAAGTGCCAAACTGTTGTGTGCTTAGGCAAAACACTTTACCCATATTAGAATGAGTCTGGTGTATGTGTGTGTGAATGGCTGCTGGTGGTGGGAGGGACCAATGGCACATACTAGTGCCTCGCTACTGTCAGTGTGCCTCAGGGCAGCAATGTTCAAATGTTCACTCAGAGACAGACACCTCAGGACAGGAAATACCACTGTTATTATATTTTCCTACTACTCCAACCACCAGTACTACCACCAGTACTGCACACAGAGGTTGTTACAGACACAGGAGGGGCGGACTGGATCACTGCTGTGTGTGTGTGTGTGTGTGTGTAAGTGTGTGTGTGTGTGCATTTCTGTGTGTGTGCCCTTGGGTGAGTGCAGTCGCTTGATATTAATAGAGTTATGAATCATTCCTGTGGTCGGCAGAGTCCACTACCACAACAAAAGTGTGCTCCATGCCTCAGGTCTGTCTGCAGCAAACAACTTGCAGAGTGTACTATTTTGAATGCACTATTTTAAGGATGACAATTTTTTGGATTACTAATTTGATACTGTTACTATTGCTCCTTCAATGTTTTCCTCCCCTGTTATACTGAGTGTAACACACAGATTGTTATTATACGGATGAGTTTATCTAACGTGGCTTGGTAAGAAAAGTATAGACATCAGTTCCTCAATCAGTCATCAAATATTAAGATGATTGTTCAGGAAAGTGGGAAATGGGGCAAAGAACAACTAACAAAATATCGGAGGTGATCCACATTTTTTGATGGAGTGGAAAAGCACCTCTTAGCGGAGGTTTGGACTTTGTTTTAGTTTGATATCAATATTGAAATTGTAATATATTAAAATGTACTGGGCAGCACGGTGGTGCAGTGGTGTAGAGTTTGCATGTTCTCCTCATGTTTGCGTAGGTTTCCTCTGGGTGCTCTGATTTCACCTACCACTAAATGCCTACATCAATTGCAAAGCGTTTCGTGACTTACTTTCTTATTATAGAGGACGAAGCAGAGTCAAAGATAATTAAACATCCTCAAAAACATTCTACTATCCTTTGACAAGTATAAAAATCTTCGCCTGATGCAATGGCTTCAACACCCTTCTATAATTCTATTTTGGGGCGGACACTTTTACGACATTCCAACCCAAATCAGAAATACCATTGTCACACAATGCTGCGTTCCTTTGGGAGCTTTGGTGCTGCTGGTATGGAGCTTGCTTAACTCTAACTTGTAGTTCTGTCACAATACTATAGTTTGGTTTGGAATGCACTGGAAAAGGCACGTTCTAAGCAGCTCATCACCAAATACCAAAGACACCTCTGAGGGAGATCCAACAGAAGTCCACTGCTCCTATTCAAAAGCTGAATACGAGCTGATGAACACTGTTTAAAAGAGCTTAATCCTGGGTGATATGTTTGGATTAGAAGTGTCTCTTGTCTGTTTATCGGTTTACCTATCTTGTTCATACACTTTAAATATTAACGGACGTAGTGACGCCTATCTCCACCTTTTAAACTTTTGTGTTGTCACTTTTCCCTCCTGAGAACGTTTTTAAAATGGCTGTGAGTGGCCCCTCCCGCAGAAAAATGTGAAAAAACACGAGCCCCTTTCATTTAACGAGTGAATTCAAAAGTCCACATCGACTTAATCGAGCTGGTCCAAACAACAATACTCCCCTCAACATTGCCAGCATCTGGAACTTAATGGCGTTGAGCCAGGAGCCGACTTTTGGACCAGGTTGTAATCCCATTTGAGAGGAAAAAAGGCGTTATAAGAAGTAATGGGACAATTCTGTTTCCTGTACACCACCACCAGCAAGGAGTTTAATTACCGACATTTGAGACCCTTTTAGCCGGGACCCACCCCCACTGATCTTGTCGTAATATGTCATAATTACAGTGACATATTTAAAAAAAACAAACTACTAAAACCTTCAAGTCCAATTACAGAGCCAGGCTACACTCGATGTAGGGGATCAGCAGCTCTACTCCAATCTCCTCTCATGCGTCTGAGCTCCCTACTCGATCTTTAAGTATACTACTTTCGGTCATAACCCAAAGCCTCTGACCCGAGATGAGCGCGGAAATGTACAAGAGTCCGCGTCACAGCAAACATGGCACCGATGTCAATATTATGTTCCCTCCTTCCATCCAAATATTAATTCTCCACAATTCTTGGACTGACTTGTTGAAGTTGATGACCCATATGATGACCTCCTGAGGGGCAGCCTGGTCCCAGTGCAGCGTGTAGCCCTTATACAGCGTCACCACGGGCTGGAACTGCTGGTAGTGCTTCTTCTTGGCCACAGCGCCTTCTAGAGTCAGGGGGCGATCTGGGTACTCGTCCCTGACCATGTGCAGCAGCAGGCCAGCCGGGTTTCGGATCTGTATGTAGATCTGGAGAGTAGAGACACGAGCAGAGGTTAAAAAGGCATGAATTTAATAATGATTTTGTCATTTAAAAGGATGAGAATGAAAAGGGAAGTGTTGAAATGTTAGTGTGTTTATGGTGAAAATGAATTAATCATTACTTATATTTAAAATGTATTTTCCATCTGTTATTAAATTGTACAGCTGGTTTTAAAAGACATAGAACCAAGAGTACACTGAAAAAAGTGAGGAAAAATAAGTCAAAAATTGCTCAAATTCTGTCAAATGTATTTTGAATAAGCATATTTTGATTGTCAAAATGAATGCAAAAATCAAGCCACTGTTCATCAAATAATAAAACAACATTTGCCAATGGGAAAAAGTAATCTAAACAGTCAGAATGTCCTCAGATTTAGATAAAAACCATTCCATTCAAGCGATTGTTACCTCGTATATTATCGTCGTTTTTTTCCCCATGTTGACAGTATATAAATGAACGGAGCATAATCAATTCTCCACATACAAAGTTATGATCTTACAGTTAAGGAGCTGGTGGTCCCCTCCTGCAGAAAAACTGAAAAAAAGTGCTTTGAGCTCCCCCTGCTGGATGTGCCAAGCAGAGCAAATCGTGTTGTGATGTCACACGGCTGGAACTGCTGTTGTGGTGCCCATGCTGGATCTGCGCCCTAACGAAACGGCAGTAGCTTTGTGAACAAAAAAAATCTACAATGTCTAAACAGAGCGGTTTGAAAAAAAAAAGTCGATTTTGACTCATGGAAAGTCAAAGTATTGAGTTCCACAATGTATTACTGTTTTTTCCCTGCATGCAATAACAATACTAAGAATAGCACGTATGGAGCGGAGACCTCAGCCTACAGGCGCTGTTCCATTTCCTCCATCCAGGCAGTGATTCACTTATTCACCAGGTCATTCCTCCAATATCCTCTCACAACTTGTTGAGTTATCTTGCTCACAGATGAACGTACAGTCTGTTGCAGCCAGTATTCACTTTACCGATAACAATCACAGAAGAAACCATTATAACATTGTGAAAAGCCTTAAGCGAGACGTATTGTGCAAAATGGTATTTCAATCTGAAGAGACCAAGACAGAAACATTAGTGCATAAAAAGATTTATTTGTTTGGCGCATTGACCCCGGCAGTGACACTTGCAGAGGGGGAGATCGTCAGCTGCTGTAGATGATCTCAGACCCCCCGGGTCAAGCACTGGTGGTGGCCAGAGCATGGCACGAATGGGGCGCAAGCAGAGCGGGAGCCGGAACCAGGAGCCGAGGAGGCGCTGGGGAGGTGGTGGGTGTTAAGAGCACAGGAAGCGCTGTTTATCGGCGAGTGACTGCTTTTAAACTGGCCGCTCCGCAGCCAGTAGGTTGTCGAGGGGCTGGCAGAGCTGTGTGATTGGCAGAGGCTCGAGAGGCTGGCAGAGCTGTGTGATTGGCAGAAGCTCGAGAGGCTGGCAGGGCTGTGTGATTGGCTGGCCCTGGCGGTGAGAGCCGTGGCCGGTCTTTCAGGTTGAAGTTGCGCTTGCAGCTTCATATTTTAACAGTATTGGTGGCTGAGTGGAGAGCACTCTCACTTCTCAGCAAGAACAACTCCCGGTTTGGGTGGCCGTGGTCTTTATAGATAAACATTACTTACTTACTATGATTCCTCATAAAAACCAGAGCTATTCCCTATAAATTAGTCTTGGCAATTTCTCAAGTGAAATTATATAGTGCTTTTTTGGACACTCAAAGATGCTTCACATGACATTATTCTCCCACCTGTGCGTAGTGCCCGCTGCAGATGGCGCCTCTCCACTCGGGCACATCGATGCAGTCAGGATGGCGCAGGAGCCAGTTGTCCTCTTTGACGAGGTAGGAGCCCGGGTACTGGCTCAGGGACCCATCTGTGTCGTGGAGGACCGTGGTCTTGTCCCCATCCCTCTGCATCAGACTGAACCAGGGGCCCACCTCCCCAAAGAAGAGGCGCGACGACAGCTGTCAAACACAACAGAGAAGAGGCTTTGGTTAAGTATGTAAGTAATGTTTATTTATATAGCACATTTTACAGACCAAGGTCACCCAAAGCGCTTCACAATGTTCAGAGTTCAGATATTGTTCCATCCTCTCCACACAGTGATGACGGAAGCGAGACGCCAAACACACTGGCATCAAAAAAACCAACACCATCCACTCACTCACTCGTTACATTCAGACATATTGTACATGTTTGTAGTGGTAGAGGAAACCGGAGCACTTGGAGGAAACCCACGCAGAACATGCAAACTCCACTTAAAAAGGCCTGGGGGTGGAATGGAACCCAGGACCTTCTTGTTGTGAACCACAAGCTGTAGTCCTTTTGAAAACCTATTTAAGGACTCGGCTTGTCAAAAGTATCTTACTATAATACATTACTTTAGTAGATGCAAGCATTTGTGATTAGATGTATCACCCTGTTAACATGTTTCGGCTGCAGAGCTGAGAGCCACCTTCATCCGAAACATATCAACAAGTTAATACATCTAACTTGTCTTTCGAAAGAACCACCAAAACATGCAAGCATCTGTACTGAAACAACACAAATGCAAAACATAAACTCACAGATCATTTTTAGTGCCCCTCCAAATTATATGGAATTCTTTAATTTCAATTCAAATTGAATGACAGATCTGATGTTTGGGGAAAATTATCAGATGGGTTAGTAATATACAATCCTAACTTTTTTTGAGAGAGACCTTCACAGGCAATGCATTCTTGGATGTTGCAGATTTGCAACATTTGCCCGCTGTGGTAAATAGAGCTGACCCGGGGAAAAGCCCAGAGGAGATATACTATACTAATTGGCATGTACTAATATATATATATATATATATATATATATATATATATATATATATATTTTTTTTTTTTTTTTCTCAAATTTTATGCAGTTTTGATTTCAAATGATTAGAGGTTGGTAGTGGCACTGACTTGAAAGGAAACCCCCTGGTGAGCAGGTAAACTGTGTGTTGCTGAAGCTCAACTAAGTCCAGCAGTGGTACTTCAGTGGTACTATACTCAGAAGTAAAAATCTACAATGCCTGCAGAAATTAATACTAAAAACGCTTATTTATATATACATTTTTTCACCATTATCTTTTAGAATAAAACTTGATGTCAGAACAGACATGCTTGACGCTGGCACTGACCGGAACTTGCTGGAAGCTGAGTTGGGACACGTTGTTGGTGGGACAGCTCTGCCACGAGTTGTTGAGCCTGAAGCCGATGGCGCTTGTGTGGCGTCCGTCAAGAGCGCTGAACTTCCGGAAGGTGCAGTTGTGGACGCGGATGGGACCGTCGTACACCTGCATCCCACGCAGCGGGAAGTCTCTGAGGGCAAAGGGTTCATAGACACACGGCTTCAAACACAGCATCCATCCATCCATCCATCCATTTTCTTCCCCTTAATCCATTTCTGGGTCGGGGGGGTGGCAGTCAGAGCTGCACCCAGTACACATAGCACCAGCCCCTCACTGATCCTCCTGCAGGTGGTGAGTCCACAGGAGCTGAGATCTTTCAGTTGGGGCTTTGGGCAAAGTAGGGTTAAGTGTCTTGCCCAAGGACACAGCATATTTAACTTTATTTGTATGAGTTTTATGACTGATGGCCTTTTTCTACATTTTCCTCACGGGACAAGTCAGGACTGCACATTTTTCCCATGCCCTATAAAAGACGTGTCTGGGCCCCGATCTCAGAGTTCTGATCGAGCATAATTGAGGTTGGGATGGAATGTCAAAACAGCTGTTGCCATGGTAATCAGTGGCAGCTACTGTATATCCAAGTAAAAAAATCAGCAAATTTGTATGAAGAAAATATCAATCCAAAGTGACTTGAAAATATCAAAATACACGTATTATGGTAATGCTCGGATGGACTGGATAAAAGAACAATACATAGCTTTCCTGCCTGCATCTCCTTTGTTGGTGAGTTCAATGGCAAACATATTTCTCTTGATTTGAGTAGACTTTAGTTAAAGCAGGAGTTCCTATCCTTGAAATCACAAAAAATGATGTAATAAAATCTATCACTAGTTTCCACATGCATGTATTTTGTCCTCTGACCAGCTTTGTCAGACAGAAAAGTGAAACAAGAGAGCTCTCAGTATATTGTGGTCTGATTTGTTCACAGAATGTTAAGCCTAGCGTACATCGACAGAGAAACTGGGGACAACTAGTTGCAAGGCGGCTTTTGGCAACTGATAGGAGATGGTGGAGATGATCAGTTGCTGAAATCGGTCGATGTGCGCGCTCTTACAACTGGAGATGAACAGTCGGTCTCCAGTTTCAGTCAGTTGCCCGTGTTCTACTTTTCGGCAACTAGTTGTCCTCAGTTTCGGAGATATGACCGGATGTGCGCGCTCCATGCGCCGCTCCGACAACGTGTGTGTATTGCGTGTATTGCGAGCCCGCAACAGTTTATGTCAGAAAACACACTGTAGTTGAGGCCAGTTGCTGTCGATGTACGCGCTGTTATTCCCGAGACGATACTTTTTTGCAAATCACTTTCAGTTGCTATATGTACAAATTGTCCCATACAATTAACCTAGCCCTGCCTAAACAGTGTGATGGTGTGTGGGCAGTTACCGGGCGCGGGGCAGGGAGCGGCCCTTCATGTCCGGGCCCCCGGGGCCCCACACGCTACCAGCCTGGAAGCTTCCTCTGTTGTCGCTCTCTCCCACAAACAACGAGTTTATGACCTGTTGGTGCGAGCCGTCGTCATCCGGGAACGTGCCGCCACTGAGACAAGAGAAACACACTCACACATCTACAACATACAAATGTTTATTACTATTGTTAGTTACTTAGAATTATGTTTTTATTTTTTTGTATGGATCAATGCGTTTCTGCCATGGGGATCAGTAAAGTATCCATCCATCCATCCATCCATCCATCCATCCATCCATCCATCCATCCATCCTTCCTTCCATCCATCCATACCTACATCAGGGATGTCAAAGTCAAATACATCAGAGGGCCAAACAAACACATTTGCCACAAGCCGAGGGCCAGAATACAGTGTACCATATTCTAATACTAATCAAATATAATCCCAGGGGCCAAGATAAATCATTCACGGGCCGGATCTGGCCCCCGGGCCTTGACTTTGACTTCTATGATCTACATCTATCTCTCTAACTCTCTATCTATCTATCTATCTCCTTCCATCCATCCACCACATTTTGTGAAGGGAATCGGTCTAGATTCAAATTATAGCTATGAGTTACCGAGCCAGCTATCACTGGAATAAGAAAAAAAGGAACATTTAAAACATTATTATTATTATTATTAAATACAACTTACTTATATTTCAGAAGAAAGTTTATAGTCTAAATAGAGATTTTTTTCAGTCATTTTTTTCAGTAAAGATTTACTAAAAAATAATGACTAAACGACAAAATAAAATGACTAAAATTGCATTGTTTTACCTATAGAATTAAATTATGATAAAATTCTGTATTTATGTGTTTTGTATGCTGGGCACTTGCATTTCTCCTACAGGGATCAATAAAGTATCTATCTATCTATCTATCTTTCAATAAAGTATCCATCTATCTATGTATCTATATATCTATCTATGTATGACCTCTCTTTTTTTCCACTTCAGAACTCCTCCATCTCTCTCTCTCTCTAACGTTCTCAAATGTAGCCAGCTTTTGCACGTTAGCCTTGATGTTAGCGTGATAGCAGTGTTGTTCTTACCTTGCCAGAGTCAGGCTGATGGCGTTATCTGCAAATCTACAACGCACAAACACATGTCCTCAGTCAATCATTCCAGCTCAGGCCCCGCTCTGTCTGACTGTGTGGACTCACTGGCAGTCGTCCAGCCACACGTCGCCTCCTCGCAGCCACGCGCCCTGGTCCATGTTCTTGTAGGCGATGAAGCGGTGGATCCGGGCGGGGACCCTAGGTTTGAAGGGGTCCGCATCCTGGTGGGGGCTATACCTGTGGAATGAGGGGGAACAGGTCATGGGTTATGTACAGTATGGAAGAGGTTCTAAGGACAGTTGAGACGATCCAGGACACTCAACATTCAACAACATTTATGGCTCATCCTCCCCTTATGGACTAATGGCTCTATATATTTTTAATCGTTGCATTTTAAGTGTTTGAACTGTTTTATTCTCTGATCTGTGTTGAATCGACAACTTTGTAGAGTCCTCCGAGATAACTACTGGTGTGATTTAGGGCTTTACAAAAATCCATTGAATTGAACTCATTTATAGAGGAATGATTACTTCTTTCAAACGTCACAAAAAGACAAAATAATAAAAAGGTTACTTACAGACAGACAGACAGACACACACACACACACACACACACACACACACACATACACACACAAATCTTAAGTACTTTTTTTTCTTCTTGTTTATATATTTTTTGTATGGAAAAACCATCCTGTACTCTCTACCTTTCCCAGTCACTGTGTATCTGCATCACAACGGACGAACCAAATGTGACACGTACATTTCTCCATGATGAGATCCATAATGTTTATCTTATCTTATCTTATCTTATATCCTCTGCTAGAAGAGCCGGGGGCCAAAAGAGTCATTGATTATTTTAAGTTTATATTCCTCTGTAAATGAGGATGATTTGTTGTATCGCATTTGATTGACTCTAGGTTTAGGTAAAGTTCCTTCTCACTGCCTGCTTGGTACAGTACACATGTTTTTCTTCACTGAATCTCTTATCTGCGTCCTGAAAACATTCCTGACAAAAGTTATTAAAGAACTTGATGGTATGATCCAATTGCAGTCTCACCTGGAGGCCACCAGAGACAGGTACGGCCGCTTGTCCTTGTTGTTGGCTTTGGTGGTCTTCACTCCATGGTCCAGGATCATCCCGGCCTGCAACACACAGAGAGAGACACACACACATTGGCTTATTTGATGTTTGGGTCTCGAAAAGTCGGTGAATATGGGATTTTTATCTGCATTTAATCAAAACAAACCTTAAGTAATTACTCTGGAGAACCTATTCATATGGAAAGGACTTGATACTTTGATTAGAAATACGTTGTGAACATATTTTCAAATCATTCTGGAGTAATTTCCCGAGTCATACATTATTCTCAGCTTGTTTTAGGTTAAAAAAAAGAATCAATTACTAAATAACTTGACAACCATTTAAATAAGCGAGTAGTTGCGATTAACTTATTTCTAATTATCCACTATTTTGCCAAAGAAGTAGACACCAGTTTTGGCACTTTAAAGCCTTGACCATTCCACTTGTTTTGATTTTAAGATGTTCTTTTCATACGTTTCATATTTCATATAACTAGACACATTGGCGGCACGGTGGCTGAATGGATAGCACTCTCGCCTCCGGAGAGAGTGCTTGGTAGGAACTGGGTCTTTCTGAGTGGAGTTTGCGTAGGTTTCCTCAGGGTGCTCCGGTTTCCCCTACCACTAAAAACATGCACACTCCTGACCAAGCTGAGCATCAACATCTGGAGATGGGTTCCTGGGCGCTGTTACTATGGCGACCACTGCTCCTGACGTAAGCCTTAGCGGCATCAGGATGGGTCAAATGCAGAGGATTGAATTGCCCTTCAGGGATCAATAAAGTGCACCTTTACCTTTACAAAAACTATGATCTGTTTGGTGTCACACTTGATCACCTGTTTCACATTAAAGCTGGGGTACCTAACTTTCAAACCACAACAAATTAAACAATGTAATAAAATCCATGTAACTATATTCTTAAGAATAGTTTGGTTCTATCATTTGTCTCAGGCATGTTCTGTATGTTTGGCCTCTGAGACATAATGCATTGGATTATATAGTGCTTTCACTCCATACACTGTGGTGATAAACTACTATTGTAGCCACAGCTGCCCAGAGGCACACCGACAGAAACAAAGCAACCAGTATCAGCACCAACCATTTACGCACACACCAGGCTCATTCTAGGCAACGTGGGTGTATTGCCTTGCCTAAAGATACGACAACAGTTTAGCACTTTACAGCCACAGCCGCAGCTGCCCCACTGTGCCGTCACAGTGCTAACCAGGCCCTGCCCTGCACAGCTTCAGAGGTCCGACGGGTTCTGGCTTTCACGTGCAGGTGCAGGGATGGCCACTGAACTGACATTTCTAGACCATCACCGCCGTCACCGAGCCAAAAACACTTTAACCGTATGCATTAGTACTTAGACAGTCACTGACCCGGTTATTGGAGTGTGCTCGATTGTTGATGAATAGGCCCATGGGGGTGTGCTCGGTGTGTCCGGGGGAGTACATGCCTTCTGAAGGGCCTGTGGGCACGTGGTGGAAGATGAACCAGAAGCCAGTCTCCTGAGGAACCGAAAACACTCATGATGACTATTATTATATCTACATCATCATATCCAGATAAAAGGCTAACTCCATCCTCTATCCTCTTTTAAATCACTTCATCAAACTCACTTTCATCGAATTGCCTTCCTATAACTGTCTGTTTTCAACTCTGCATGTGTTTTACTCTACATCATTGACTTTGTTTGGTCTTTCTTGTTGTCTGTCTGATTTAATCCCCTGTTTATTGACAGTTTTAGATTACTCATAATAATAATAATAATAATAATAATAATAATAATAATGATGATGATGATGATGATGATTATTATTATTATTATCATACAGTGTTCATTTAAAAAATTCAATATGTTAATTTTTGAGCCTCAAATTCAATGCACTGTGAAATTCGACAGAAAGAAGACAGATAATTTGTTCCATCCAATTTTGGTCTTAAATGGACCTGAATTAATTAGAATTTTTAACATTTTTAACATTTTTGTCTGCAAATTTCAGTCATTGATATTAAACAAATGTTTTTTTAAATAATGTTGCCTAGAATTTCTCCTATGACACTTATCTGCTGCTCTCACAAACCCTTCATCAAGGAAAAAGGTGGATATTTTTTGTGAGAGTGCACCTCGGAGCCTGCAGCGGAGCAGTTGATCAGGTTGTTGTTGGGGTTGGCCATCCAGAAAGTGGACGTGGCACTGCGGAAAGAGAAGTGTTCACTCACACTGAAATAATCCACTCACACATCTCAATCAGAATGTTCCATAATTACACTGCAAAGAGTAATGAAAAATGAGTCATAAATTACTCAAATTTGTCAAAATGTATCTTAATTCGAACACATTCTGACTGCCTTAAAACAAAAATGTGTCAAGAAAAATTTCTTTTTTGTTGAAACCAGATTCTAGTTATACCGGGAAATTTAAGTTGAATTTGACTAAAATACACCAAACTAAAGAATCATACATTTTGTTTACACAGCTGTTGTGTGTCTCAGTAAACACATAAACCCAGTAAAGTAAAAAAAATATTAGTGATAGAAAAACTCTTTGGCTGTTTTGATAGCAAGAAACTAGAGGTAATAATTGTTTTTTCTTAATCTGAGCACATTCTCACTGTCTTAAAACAAGATTCGTCAATGGGATGAAGCCATTTACTTAAAGAAATGTGGCTTTATTTTCTCATTCCATATACATACATTTCTTGTGTCATTTGAAAACAAGATCATTTTGCTCATTGTCCCATTTGCAAATCACATTTTAAGGCAGTCAGAATGTGCTCAAATGAAGATACATTTTGCCAAATTTGAGCAAAATGTTTGACCTATTTTTCATTCTTTTTTGCAGTGATGGATTCTATTACATGGCTACATTTGTTCAAAGCTAGCTACCCCCCGCTTAATTTTGGCCTGATGCTTTACCATTTAAACAATATTGGCCCTGTAATTAAAGATTTGTCCCTGGGAGGAGATAACCATGAGTCCTTTCTAAGTGAAGTGCACGACTGAAGCATTCCCTCGCCTCCCATTACTGTCACAAAGATCTGAAAGAAAGACAAGTGAACTCATTTACATTCAGCGGGTGAAGGGAGGCCCCTAGGCACCTCACGCTCACACACTCGCAATCTGAATCTTGTTTGATAAAATGCATTTTTAATCCACAGAAATAAATCAACGTGGGAGTTAGCCCCAGACACAATAGTTTGGATAAATTGGACAAAAAGGCTCGTTAGAAAACATCCATTTTCTGTGATGGAGCCTTAATTGGATCCGTTTAAATGAGCAGGGGAAGAGTCTTTATGGAGGGAGTTTAAGCTATACTTTAATTTCCCTATAGACGGCATATGATTCTTTTGGGGTCAACTTGTCGGGAGTAGAGAGTGTTTTAAGGACCCTTCAGCGGAGGCATTAGCACGGGCTGAAAGAATCTTTGTGTAGTTTTCCCTTGGAGGGTCTGAAACATTCTCCATTCCATCTCCAAGGTAATGTTAGAGGAAGCTTCGCAATCCCCAAGGAAAACGTCTAATTTTAGCATTATAAAAACTCTCAAAGTGGATAAATGAATAAATGAGTTGATAGTGTTTTCGACAAAAGTATCAAGCTACTAAATGCATTTGTATTTTCCTTGGACACTAATCAAGGGTCTTAAGAAACAAAGAAAGGAACCACTGTCTCCACACATCAGCTGTGGTATCCATACTGTATCTAAGTGCATTGGTGTCATGGTGTGGATTCTGTTATTTTGGAACTTGGTTTTATTTTGACTTCAGTTCTCTGTGGTTGCAGTTTAGTTTTTCTTCTTGTCCTGTTCCCCTGATGATTGTCTGCCCCCGCCCTCATGTGTCTATATGTACCTGTCTCTCTGTGTCTGTACCTGTGCTCCTCTCCCCAAGCTCGTTGCTGGTCCATTGTTTTTGTTTGCCTGTATTCCTGGTTCCCGTGTTTCATTTGGATTATTGAGCTTGGGTTGACTTTTATTTTATCATTATCATTAAATCATTATTTTTGCATGCCTGTATTTTGGGTCCACATTGTTTTTTAACCGCATGACACTGGTATAAAGTAGGAGGAAAAAACAAGACACCAATCTGCGGACAAAAGGTGAGATGCTCTGAACAAGAAGATTATTAGTGGTTATAAAACAGTGCAGATAATCATCCGGTCTCTATGACGTCACAGATCTTTCTAACTCAATAGGTTAAGTTCATGTTGTGGGATTCTATTTCTTTTGGAGGGGATTCTGACATTTGTTCATGATTGTCTCACTCACAAAATTCCATATAGCACTAATGTAGCTGTGGTGTGAATCAGTATGACTATATAAGACCTTATTTAAGATTGAAGAGCTCTAGATAAAACCAGTTGTCGGTCCCTGGACAAGTCTGATGAGCTAAAGTCTTTCTAAAAGTTTTTGACACAGCTGCTTTATAGTAACATACTCTTTATCCATAGAATTTGTGTTTTTCATTGGTTGGAGCATTATCACTACAACAAATCGTCTCTGACCTGCAGTCCTGACGGGGATTGGCCACATAGCCGGGATAGGCGTCCTCTGTGATGTCGCGACACATCTTCCCGTCCCGGTCAGAGGGTAGGAGGGTCCCAGCCCGCACCATGAGGCCGAGGCAATGGTCAAACGTGTTCCTCTCCTCAGGGCCGTCCTCCGTGAAGAAGCAATGTCCCAGAGTGTCATAGCCCACCACGTCCTTCACCTGCGACATCGACACAGACAGAAATTATGGGACCACCAGTCAAAAAGGCTTGCATTTGTGTTAGCTGACTTTCATAATTATCTCCCATGTTTTCAAATTTGAGCATCAATTTAAATGTCCCCAGTACTAGTTCTCTTGGTCTCTGGGTCCCTCATGTGTGTGGCTCCTCTGCATCCAGGGTCTCTCCCAACTCCAATCTCCCTCCTTGGTCTGCATATTTTCTTGTTTATACCTATATGTAGCTAAGTGTCAATATCTGTTCTCTTTCTTACTTCACCTGGTTGGGCCTATTATCGATAAAGTAACATTACCATGAGTATACTATCATATTTTCATGAAAACAAAGGATTCAGAAGCTCACATTGTCTCACCTTTTTTTTTTTTATCACTAAGGCAATACCTGATCATTTTTATTTTGTATACATGTATTTATCCATTATCCAAATGTCATTATTGCTAATAGGTGAACATTTTTTATTATTTTTGTTTAAAAAATTAAATTATTATTATTTTTTCTATGTGTTAATATCTATTCTTATTCTTGATTCTCTGTAAATTGTTATGTATGTTTGCATTTATGTTTTACGACCCTAAACATAAATGCACCCTAACCCTAGCCCTCGGAAAAAAGATAATTCACAAACTTAAACATGTGTGTTCTGACCAGGAGGCCGTTGGTGCCGTGGATGGTGACACAGCGGGAGAAGGCGTGGTGGATGGACACGTGCTGAATGGAGGTGGGGGGGTGGTAGCCTCCTTTCTCGTCCACGTCTCCGTTCATGTGGAAGTGGATGGGGTAGTGTCCCATGGTCTGCTGCCCCATGTGCTGGAGCTCCACCCCAGACACATGCATGGCCCTGAAGCCCCTCTCCACCTGCGAACACAAACAGAGATTCAGACTAATTTTTATTATCCATGCAGTAAAACCACATTGGAATACATTTGCAAAAGTACAGAAATAAAACGAACAAAACAGGAAACAATTGACACTGTGGAATTTATCAACTAAAACATTTTCAATACAAGTGCATCCATCCATCCATCCATTCAGCTTTGTTCAGACTGATAACAGCTCAAAGAAGCATATCCAGATGTCCTGAATCTCAGCAAACAATATCTTCTGCCAGAGGAAAGAAGCTGGAACATGGCTTGCAGGGGCCAGAAGAGTCATTGATTAATTGAAGAGCTCTGGATTCATAAAGCACCTCCAGAACAGACAACTCACAGTCCTCTTTCAGAGCAGAGCACCTCTCTGGTCTCTCTCTCTGGTGTCTCTCTCTGGTGTCTCTCTCCCTCTGGTATATCTTTCTGGTCCCTCTCTCTGGTCTCTCTCTCTGGTGTCTCTCTCTGTCTGGTCTCTCTCTCTCTGGTCTCTCTCTGGTTTCTCTCTCTGGTTTCTCTCTCTGTCTGGTCTCTCTCTCTGGTTTCTCTCTCTGGTGTCTCTCTCTTTGGTCTCTCTCTCTCTGGTGTCTCTCTCTCTGGTGTCTCTCTCTTTGGTCTCTCTCTCTCTGGTGTCTCTCTCTGGTGTCTCTCTCTGTCTGGTCTCTCTCTGTCTGGCCTCTCTCTCTCTGGTGTCTCGCTCTGGTCTCTCTCGCTCTGGTCTCTCTCTCTCTGGTCTCTCACACACTTCTCTGGATCGAAGCATTGGGCCATGCACTGACCTATTGTACATGTCCTTTGTGGTAGACACGAGGAGCACATGCAAACTCCACACAGAATGGCAAACCGTAGTGCCACACTGCAGCCACTAAGAGTGTATAAGTGTTGATATACAGTACATGTGGCCCTTTCCCTTTTGCAGGAGAAAAATGGCTCTTTTGATTGTAAAAGTAGCCGTAGCATCTGTAGCACCTGTAATTAATCCACATCCAGGCTCCGCTCTCAACTCACATTTCAAGTCAAACTATAAAACAATCAGTGGCTTCCTGTGGATTTTGAAAGTACATTTTATAATTAGGCCGTTAAAGGTCTGGCCACTTCTTTAGGACCATAATGATTCTAACAACACAAACAGAGTTAAACTACCAAGCTGCATTCAAGATTTTTTACTTTCACCTGTTATACAGTATTTATCCCCAGACACATGGCCATGTAACACATACACAAAATTATAAAAATTTGAAAATATTGTTATCAAGTTATTTTTTCTAGTAAGAGTACATTCTGTCTTAAAACAAAATGCATCAATGAGACAAAGCCATTTAGTCCTATTTCAAGAACTGTTCCTTTATTTACTCATTCCAAGGAGGAGACATATCTTGTATTTTTTTAAAAACAAGATAACTTCGATTTGACCAATTTTTGACATATTATCCATCGCTTTTTGCAAAGTATTGTTTTTTTCATGGCTATATAATTGTTTTCATTTCTCTAGCTAATTGATAGCAGGGTTATCAGTGTCAATGTTGAAATCCTGTGTTACGACTTAACCGGAATAATCTCTATCAGAGGTCAGTCTGGGCAGCAACACTGTCTGCAGGTAAGGACATGATGCTTACATACTGAGATCTGATTGGCTGAGTCAGGGCTGGCCAAAAATACAATACTAGTGAGAGAAACAACCATATTTGAGAGTGAAAAACTGGTTAATACATAAATTAACTAAATAATATAACTAACTACTAAATACATTTTCGCGGTTGCAAAGTTAGCTACTCGAGCCACAACAATGCGAAATGACTCAGACTTCCCAGTTGAAAGACATATTTGACTTTCTTGAGCTTTGAACCATGATACCTCCCCATTGATCCCTCATTAAAAACAGACCTGAGGTTGTTTTTAGATCATCCATCCATCTTTTTCCCCCTTTGTCCATTTCTTGGTTGGGTGGGGTAGCGGTCAGCTGCCACCCAATTTGCAGAGCACCACCCCCTGTTTTTAGATCAATCCATGCTAATATCAGCAATTTCTGGTACAAACATGTATGAAGCTGTCTCTACTACTGTACCACTATGACATCACACTCAGAGCACTGTTCTGCCTAAGATAAAATCCATCCATCCATATTCCTTCTGCACTCAGTTCACATAATAAAATTAAATTGTCTAATTATTATACTTTAACTCCATGTGCAACATGCAAAGGAATGTGTCCTTTGCATGTTGCCTCATGCATTTAGGTTTAATCCGGGTGCTCCGGTTTCTCTACTAAAAACATGTACAATAGGCCAAATCCTCTAGTTCTGGTCTTGACAGACTCAAACATCAACATCTGGAGATGAGTAAAGGATAACTAACAAACAATAACCACATTTAGCAATGTAGAATATTATGCTTTCAGACCGCCAAAGCTGAAACGCTGAAGCCCCGCTCTTCAGACCCAGGGATCTTCACACAGAGATGTCCTGACGCACACCGGAAGTGCCGGAAGTAGCCGGCCGGCTGCTAACAGAGTTTAGCTAGCGGCTTCTTGTGTACAGATCTTCTCCAATATGCAGCTTTGCAGCGTGTCTTTGACCGTGACCTTCCACGGGCTTTATATAACAGTGGTATGTGTTCACGGAGGTGTGCCATACGTTTTTTGTATTATTAAATGGTATTTCCGCATCGGTGAACACACTCGAAGCAGTTGCATAAAGTCACGGGAGCATGACAACCCATATATTCACAAGCACAGAGTCCCCCATTGTCAACCCTGGTTTGAGTTCTGGTGAAGCCTGGAGTGGGTCCTGTTTTGGCTGTTTAAGAGTATTTTCAGTCTGCTCGCTCAGTCCGCTAATGTCCCCGTGACCACTTTGCGGCTCTCTGATTGGTTGTCGCACGAACAGCCCAAGGAAAGGATGATCAGAATCCATCTAGTGTGGGCGTCGATTTTTCGCTCCTGCTCCTCCCCTTTGACTTTCCCGCCAAGTCCGTGTGTGTCTACTGAACAGTCAGTCCGTGCGTGCCGAGAGGTCCGTGTATTGTGACGCTCGAACGCTCGTCACCATAGACTTTGCATTGAAAGCCGACGCAACGCATGATCCGGTCTGAAAGCACCACTAGCTTCTGGGTACATACATTCGTTAATGCATTGAACAAAAAAATTCCTACTTTGATCTTTATGTTGCATATTTGTTACCAAGTTAATATAAAAATAATGCATAATATGTCTTCTTTAATGTTACATCCTGACTCAAAAGTATCAGTTCCATCTCTCATCTTCACGACACAAGTCAAAACAAAAGCTCTCGTGTGGGTGGGCTTCTTTGCAGAGCCCGTCCTGTCTCAGTCTGATACCCTACACCCAGGTCGGCCTATTATATTCACACACATGGCGACCGTTTAGCCTGCTGGCGTGCCGCCCGGGGCCTGGGGGGATACGGCGACTGGAGATGGGTATTTGTGATGATTGTGATACCAGAGCTGATTATGGGATGGCACGCTTGAATGCAACACATCCAGATCGCATTCCTAGAGCTGTCACCCAGAGAAGAAGAACTTGCGTGTGGTTTTTCAATGAGTAAATCGGGCCCCGACTTTTATAACGTGGAAAGAAAAAAACATAAATTCACGCTTCTTGATTGCCGTCAGATGAAATAGACCAACGCTGAAGCAAGAGCAGGCGTGTTTAAAAAGTGACAGGGGAAAATGGCAAAGCTGAGTTTAAAGTTAATGAGATTTTCAAACAACATTTGGAACATCGCGTCGTGTTTTTGTTTGTTGGACTGGATTTTCAGGCGAACCAAATGTCACAGTTACCGGTCGTGGATGCTATAATACAGTAAATCCTGAATAATAAAGAACATTATGGCAAAAAATAATTAAAAAAACGTTTCCATCATAATAAGCATGATTAAAAACTAACCACTGCACTAACCACTTTCACGTTGTCACAGTGTTTAGTGCTTGTGCCTCACAGAAAGAAGGTCCCACTCACAGCAAGAAGACCCAACTCAAAATGTGGACATCATTGGTCACTGACAACACATGCTCCATCTCTGTGTGGAGGGAGAGCCAAAATGCCTTTGTAACTCTGGTCTGTGAAAGGCTCTATAAAAATAAAGATAACTTACAAGTTAAAGGAGCTATACCCGTTTCTGCAAGGTTTGAATGTTTAGCACCGCCCCCAACTCGCTCAAATTGCTTCTCATTTCCTCTACGCTCTCATCCCACGGAGCAATCTAGTTTTATTTGTGATCTATATGCAAACATTAGCATGAGCGCAACTTCTTGTAAGCTGTACAACAATCACTAATGAAATGGTACTCCCAAAAGTCTCTCCAGAGGATCCGATGTAAGCAAGCTATGTTCACCCAGGCTTGATTTCTTCTTTGATAATTTTTTCGCTTTAGTTCCCTCTTCTCTTCCTCACTGTTGTGTCGTTTGGGCTGTTTTGCTGTGTATGCACTGTGTTTAGCAGCGCTGTAGAGGCTAGAGGACGCTGCCTCGTTCTGTGATTGGAGGAGAGCAGCGTCAGGCTAAGTCTATACTCAGAACTTTTATACGGCCTGAATTCATACACAAGCTGAATCAATGAGCTCTAGTTTACAATTAAATTACAGATAATAAAACAACTTGTATGTAGTAATAAGCATTTTTATGAACTCAAAAAAAGACACACAAAAAAATCGGGTATAGCTTTTTTAAGTTAAGTTTGCATGTAGTAGAACTCATTTATTTACAAGGTAATATTGGTTTATTTTTAATATTATAATGGACTGGCAGATTTTATAATTATTTTTGATAAATCCGAGTGAGGCCGCTTAGGTTGGAGACGAATGATCTACAGTGTCCTTGATGATGGCACGTCTGATGATCTTTGAGTCAATGCATTATTTGACCCAGAGCACATGGCCCTATGAAAAACCCCTTGAGGAAATTAAAGTTGAATAGCTTTGTCAAACATTCTAGAGAAAACCATTCCACTAACAGACTTCCGTACACCACATTTCTTCAGCTTTAGTCCTTCTCTCGTGTGTGTGTGTGTGTGTGTGTGTGTGTGTGTGTGTGTGTGTGTGTTTGTACCTTCAGGTGTCCCCCGAAGGTGTCGAAGCCGAAGTGTTTGCAGGCGCCCTCCTCGTAGCACCGCGGCTGCATCTCTCCTCTCAGCAGGATGTTCCGGGTCAGAAGGCCCACCTCAGCCCTCATGTCCACGCCGTCCATCCACTCGCCCACGTGGAGGAAGCGTGCGCTGCCTGAAAACATCACGCCAAAGCAGCCGTCACACAATCTCCTTGTTTCAGACGAGACAGTGGCTTCACATGCAACTTGTTTGGACTGTGGAAAATTGTATCATGATACTAACGACCAGACTCCACACCAAATTCTTTACCACTATGGCTCTCTTACAAGACTTGTCTGTGCAATCATATTCAATCTGAGCTGGTCATTACAAGAGGTGGGATTCTGTTCAGTATCACAATATTTTGCATGCTATTTACAGAAAAAATGCAGTATAATTGTGTGTTTCACTTTCATGTGAGCTCAGTGACTAATGCAAGTTCAGTGCTGGGAGCTCCCCATTCATGTGAGAGCCCTCTAATCAGAAAATAATGATGTCTTGTCGGTAATAAGGTTCTGTGTCCTGACCAAGTGTTTGCTTCAGTTCATGTGCAAACCATAGTAAATGTGATGCTAGATTTGAGACTTATTTTCTTCCATTTTTGTAACGTCTTTGACTAATATGAGAGACAAGTATCGCAATGCCATGAATTTGTCACATTTTTGCCATTCCGAGCCCTCATCTTTACAACAGTATGCCGGAGTAATTATGAATAAAGTAAGCAACAGGAGCTGAGGGAAACTAATACTTTTACATCGGGCTGTATAACATGTGCTGAGAAAACCTGTGTCATTTAAGCTGTGTACAAACAATAACCACTTCTTCTGCTGAGACACAATCCCAGAACTCCACACGTTTGTCATTGTCTTCAGTTGGTAGAAAATGCAGTACATGTCTGAACAGCTGCATGATTTTTTTGTTGGAGTTACTATCAAAAAACATCAAAAGAGAAAAAAGCGTCTGGACCAGAGCACTGGACAGACCCCTGGATCAAATCAAGCCTCCTGTAAGCCTCTGAAACATGAGAGATGGACTGTGCCATGGTCCTCTTGGCCTGGACTGGATTGGAACAAAACTGGAACGCTGAAAATGCACCAGGCTACAAATGGTGAAAGGGAAAAAAGAAAAAGTGTGCTTAAACACAAACATGAAATTCAAGCTGAAGAAGAAATCTACACAGAAAGATTTGCTAACTTAAGGTAGCCATTAATAATCAGAAATTCGCAGTGTCACCCAGCCAACTTCAAATGGTCAAAATTCATGGCAATCATAGAGCTTCAGATCAAGGAATACACACACACACATATAGAGACACACACACACAGACATACACATAGAGACACACACAGAGACACACACACATTTTGTAGATGGCGCTAATGTAGCCGGTGAACAATTGTCATTCAGCCAACTTCGGCTCTGTCAAATGTGAACCATCATATCTCATGTTAAAGATCGGAACAGCCCAAATCCAGTCAGAAAAGTTTTAAAATCTGGAATAAAAAAAGTTTTAAAATCTGGAATAAAATCTGGACTACGGATGAAAATTAGCCTATATGGCTAACTCCGGCGCATTTACATGTTGAAAAAACACATGTTGATTAATGTGCACTGTCCCAATTCAAATAAAGAATTAAAAAAAAAAAAAAAAAAAAAAAAAAAAAAAAAGAATGTTCCCTCCTGGACAAGTCCGGTTAAGTAAAGTGACAACTGAAAAAAAAAAATTGGACTCTCAATCTTTCTAAAACTGTTCAAGAGATGTCAAAAGTTGTCATTTTACTTTTAACGCCTAATACCACATCGTCAGGATTTTTTCTAGCTCTATTGTTAAGGTGGAAGTCTCACAGAAAATATTCCAAAAACTATTTATAAATATTAATAAATAATCTGCTGTAATTAAAAATGTCGAGCAGGACAGGATTTTTCTATTAAGGAATTATCTTGTGTCGAAAACATTCATTATTTATTCACCGTAAGTTTCTAAATGTTTTCAGTCACCGTTAAGAATACTTGAAATGAAATGATTACTTGGCAGAGGATCAAGACCGTTTTATGTTTGCTTCATTGTTTGTAATGTAATTAATTAACACTGATTAGCGGAGGAGGGAAATTGCACACAAACCACAACAGTATTTTTTTTTTATCTTTCTCTCACACCATTTTTAAATCCTAAACTGCTTAATCAAAGAGTACAATGTGTTGCTTTTGGGAAACTGTATTCTGAATAATAAAAGTGGAAAGAAAGTGAAAGAAACCTGGACCAAAATTGTGGCGTTGAGTATAAGTAAGAAAGTAATCTTTATTGATATAGCGCCTTTCTCAGACCAGAGTCACAAAGCGGTCGCTGTATCGGACCGTTGTGGTAAAGAGGGAGCTGAGCCGAAAGGCAAAGCTCTCGATTTACCGGTCAATCTTCGTTCCCTCCCTCACCTATGGTCATGAGCTTTGGGTAATGACCGAAAGAACGAGATCGCGGATACAAGCGGTCGAAATGAGCTTCCTCCGCAGAGTGGCTGGGCGCTCCCTCAGAGATAGGGTGAGGAGCTCAGTCACACGAGAGGAGCTCGGAGTAGAGCCGCTGCTTCTCCACATCAAGAGGAACCAGTTGAGGTGGCTCGGGCCTGTTCAAGATGCCTCCTGGACGCCTCCCTGGTGGGGGTGTTCCGGGCATGTCCCACCGGGAGGAGGCCCCAGGGAAGACCCAGGACACACTGGAGGGACTATGTCTCTCAGCTGGCCTGGGAACGCCTTGGGGTCCCCCCGGACGAGTGTGTGTGTGTGGATAGTGAAGTCTGGGCGTCTCTGCTTAGACTGCTGCCCCCGCGACCCGGCAACAGATGAAGCGGAAGAGAATGGAATGGAATATTTCTAAACAATTCGATATGATTCAAAAAAAAACAAAAACATTTACTCTCCATAATACAACACCATTGATGCACTTATATTTAGTCTATGGTGATTGAATGATTGTTTTTTTAAGTAAAACACATGAAAATGTCTCTTTTTTAACAACTCTAACAAAACATACACACAAAGTTCTATTATATCCTGGATTGTGTAATTTCTTATTTTTTGTTAATTAAATCTTGTTTTCTGCATTTGAGTCCTCCCTTTTGTTCTGCACCCGTGATCCAAAGTAATCCAAAGTAAAAAATTTAATATATATATATATAAAAAAAAGAAGTTAAATTGTGATCGTTTTTAACTTTTTTCTTCACAGTAGCCTCTTGTCAAAACGTACATTTTGAAACCTTGCCGCGTCATTAGACTCTCAGTCCAGCAAAGCCTCCGCTGCCTTTGTGAGACAGAACAGCCCCTTTTGAATCCCGGTAAATGTCACGATGGAAATAGAAGCGTGCTCGCTCCAGGCGCCACTCTTCACTTAACATCATTTATGCCATTTAGCGACAACGAGAAAGACCAGCGAGACGAGAGAGACGAGCAAATCCTGCGAAAATGTGACCACAGACCCCCGCCCCGGGCCCTTTTCTGCTCGACATACAGTGATGGATGTTATTGCTTTGCTTCTGGAATGTTTTGTGGTATTAAATTAAATCCATGCATTGATTTCAAGTTTTTTTATTTTTTTATTTGGCTTTGTATTAAAGCTGAGGTACTTATTTTTCTACCAAAAATAAATAAGTGAAATCCATTCAACTAATTCCTCACTCTCAATACTTGTACCTTTATTATGCAAAGTTCGAGGAAAGAGAAAAAAAGGAGACTCTCTCAGCTCAAAGCGTCAAACAGTGACTCACGGGGTTCTTTGTTATAACAGCATGTTGTAGTTCACATTTTTTTCACATAATTTCACTTTTTAAAGGATCTTTCTGTTAAGGGCAATGAAATGTATGATTTAACCCACTTTTAGACCCTAAATTTGGGTCTACCACAATCTACTGTAAATGAACCAGGGTTACCAGTTCTCCAAGTAAAAAAAAAATCATCCAAATTAAGCTTGAAAAAAAAAATGATTAAAGGTATTGGTCGGTCAAATTTACCCGAAAAATGTTAGGTACCCAACCTGAAAAAAAAAAGATATATTTGAACATGTTTTATCATTAGTTTAAGTGGGCTTGCCTCTTCACAGAACCAGGGGCTTATTCTCCTGGGGCATCATCTGTTGATTCAGGGCCAGACTAAAATGGATATAATAAAAATGACTAATACTGATTGATGTTTGAACATTTGTAATATTGACTAAAAGGAAACAGAGTTTGTGGGCTGTGAAAACATAATATTGCAAATAGAGGCAAAATCTTTTAAGAACAGAAAACAATAAAAAGGAATTTGCCGCTGATTTCCCAAAGTCATGGTGCATAATTCTGATGGATTAAAAACTCTCTGGCATTTGGTGTCAATATCACAACATCTGCAGCACAAACAACTGCACAACATGAAACAATAGGCTTTTATTGAAGATAACTTTACCCTTTCAGAATAAATGGAAAAATATGATTTATAACAATAATAAAAATGATAATAATAATGCATTGGTTTTATGTAGCGCTTCAGGACACACAAAGACGCTTCACATTTCCTTCTTTTCTCACTCCAAACACGGTGGTGATAATCTACTACTTATTATTAGCCTCTCGTGTTCCACCAAACATCACTCTTGCCCTTTAGCAGTGGGGTGACTTACCACCCAGAAGCCAAACATGAACTTAGACCCTCAATCTCCCTAGACCCTCTCTTGCCCATATTACTCCAAGAGGTTTCTCTTTTAGGTGAGAAGAAATTCCAATGCTCAATACCGTAATGTAAGGAAGCTGGCCTGAGTGTCGAAGTGACAGATGACATGAAATGAATTATAACAAAGTGCACAGAGCTCTGTCTCTGGGTGTGTCCTCACCTGTGAGCTTTTTAAAAGGGGTGGCTCCACCCAAGCTCAAAATGGCTGACTGAGACATGCCCTCAACAGGTCCATCCATCCATCCATCCATTTTCTTCCGCTTTATCCGTTGCCGGGTCGCGGGGGCAGCAGTCTAAGCAGAGACGCCCAGACTTCCCTATCCACACACACTTCCTCCAGCTCGTCCGGGGGGACCCCAAGGCGTTCCCAGGCCAGCTGAGAGACATAGTCCCTCCAGCGTGTCCTAGGTCTTCCGCGGGGCCTCCTCCCGGTGGGAC